ACAATAACTAAGTAAATCAATAAGAATAATAGCCACTTGAATTAATAGGAACAATAGTTCTTAGTGTTACGAATAGTAGGCTATTGTCTTAGAATAATAAATAAATAGAAATAATAGCTAGGCCATTGTTGTACTTATTTATACAGCAAATAACAAATAGAATCAATAGAGCATTTTGATGGTTACAAACATCCTACTGAGCACTGTAACTAAAAGTACAACCAACAATAATAATGAAAAGATACAAACAAAATTCTCTATGCTTTGATCAAACTCAGCATCTTCATTTTGTATTCTTCATCGTCATCTAATCCTCAACAAGTGAAGTCCATTGAACATCTGCTTAGCAGATGAATGACGATTGTAGAAATAGGAGGAAGGGAACTAAGCAGGATCTTACGCTGATGCGAACGAGGGGATTGCCTATGTCAAGTGACCATAAAGAGAGGCAAATGTGATGTATGTGCTGATAGATGAGATCACAATATCTCCCTATATAGGATAGAATCTTTACGTGAGACACAAATTGTGTGTTTCAATCACTCCACACTTAAAATACAATATCCTTATTGTGGAGAAGAGACACGTACTTTTGTGTCCAAGGTAAAATGAGGTTTGCAAGGAAACCAGATAGTCGTAAAACCCATTTAACAAGCAATGGAAGCTTAAGATACTCTGGTGCCATAAAGACAATGAGCGACAGAAATTTCATGCACAAACCACTATTCTTAGCAGGCAAGTTTTCTGTAATCCTTCTAAAGACAAGATGAGGTGCAAGTCGTTTGTAAAATATTGATAAAAAACATTGCACGTGATGTGACAGCATCTGCACACATTACACTAAGCAGATACTAAAGTGCCAATGTTGGTGTAGGACAAGGGTAGAGATGAAAGCCTTGTGCTTCAGCATCAAAGTTGTAGGTAATGTGCAGAGGATTAAGATATAAGGACAGGAGTTGATAATCAGTCACAGGTGCAGTGGCAGCCCAGCCAGTGGGAGCAACCATGGGCATAAGTACGAGCACATGCAGAGGTCTAGCAATCACAGGACCAGCTGGTGTGAGGGTATCTAGTATGTAAGGTAAGTGGATGACGGAAGGCAAGGACAGTTATAAAAAGAGCACTAACCTCTCTGAAGTAGCTTGCAACTAGCACAGGCTTGACCTGTAGTCGACAATGGAAGATGGTTAGTCTAACAATGACATCGAGATGGAGGAGTCAACTTATTCTGTTATAACCTGGCCGATACAAGGGCCGCCTCAAGAAAAGCAATGAGTTCAGCCCAATTGCAGGGTGCCCGATGTGTGGAGTCAGCCCCATGTGATTGATCAGTCATTGTGGGAGGAGGGAGAGCTTTAGAGTGAGATGTGAGTGAGACCAAAACAGGGGAAATATGATATGATATCAGAGATTGATGAACACCACTAAGTTTATGAAACTCCAGAATCTAGGAATGCATATACAACTGGACAATAAGCTTGAACCAAGCAGGGAGAGATGAGAACAAGTCGGGGAAAGAGCACATTTGACTGGACGATAAGCTCAAACCAAGCAGAGAGAGATGATGACAAGTTGCAGAGAGATGAGGACAAGTTGAGGGGAGATGAGGACAAGTCTGAAGAGCTTTGAAGAGAGATCTGTCAGTGACATGGGCACTACAAACACCTAAGGGCCATCGAACGATAATGAAGTGATGCTCTGGCCAGATAATGTCTGGTGACTTAGCGAGACTACCTCACCTTTACCACCCCTCAGGTAGGCAGATAGGCAAGATAGCTTCTGGTCAATGTTGTGCTAACTTATGTGGTTAGTGAATGCTCCAAAACTGTGGGCAACTTCAGAGAAACTTGAGTGGCTCCAAGCACAGCAGCCACAGTTCTGACAAACCCAAGAGCAGGGTAAGTCCAGGGACATGCTGCTCATGCTCTGCAAAGAATGGCATGAGCAATTCTCGCAGTGTAAACAGTTGTTCCCATCTTGTGATAAGGAAGATGTGCTGATGGCAGATGAGGAAGACCTATTGGGGGAGGCAAAGATGAAGTGAAATAGGGTGAGTCCTGCATTTATTATCTCTTTTCCTGGTTCTGATGCAACTTAGCAGATCAAAAATCGGTATAATAACCTGAACAGCAAGAGGCACCACTGCGCAATGTCACCATCAAATAGACTACCTTATTGAACAATATCTTGATGAAGAACAACACACGACTTCCTCAGCTTATAGAGGCATACTTGCACAGATATTACGCTAAGAAGGTGAAGTCAATCATCAAGGAGAAGAAGGCGCTCACTGGTCATAAGCTGTCTAGGTCTGAGATACTTGCCCTCATGAAGAGCTATATGTAGACAGCATTTGAAAATAAGACCAAAGCAGTGAAGGCCAAGATTGAAGCTGCTGTACAGTTTAAGAAGGTTGCTCGAAAAGAGGCGGAGGTTGCTGCCACAGAGGTGCTTCACAGTGACAAGTCCTCACCTCAGGAGTATCAAATGTAAGTGCCAAATTGAAGGCTACCTTTGCAAGGGCTCACACATCAATCTTATAGTGCATTGAATGAGATGCACTGTGAAGGTCAGAGCAGATGAAAGTCACCCTGAATGTCACTCAGCCTTTTGATGAATGTCACCGAATATATGTGTAGGATTCACCCAAGCAACGTCAGGTCAACCGATTCTCTGGATGAAATTACAGGGTGGAAATTACCCTAAGTATGACCGCTTTCACCCTTTTTTCATGGGCATTTATTTCCATCATTCACCTGCTGTCCACCCAGATCATCGCTGAATAATTCACCCCTCAAGCGGGGACACCCGTCTTGCCTACGAATGTGGTCGCCTTGGAATCGGTATCGACAGTCATGTCGCGAGGGCAAAACGCCCTTGTTTACTGCATGTCAGGTGTTCCTGCAGAACGTACTGATCATGAATAATCATGAGACTGAATTTTCTGTGACAATGGAGGTAGTTAGAGCTCCAACAGTCACAATCAGCGATCCAGGCTACTGACACTCAGCATGGGGCCTGGCGATGTGCTTCCATCGCAGCGATGTTGCTTCAGCAACATGGCGACCCCAATACGTTAGATGGGACTTTGACACCGTTAGCCATTGCCTGAAAGACACTACTGGCCGCTCGTCGAGCTTCTCCTCCAGTACGGGGCAGATCCTCACTTACCAGGTCAATTGAATGTGGAATCCTTTCTTGATGCCGCGGACCACCGTTGCTTTGGTGCGCTCAAGGTTGCTAACCTCCCTAAAATCACGTCCTCCGCGTTTCTGTCTCTGTTGGTCCAACAAATATTAGTCGCAATGCCACGACGCGGGCCCCGTTCCTTACCCCCCTGCATTCCTATGCAAATGCCGGTCGCGCGAGACCTACGGCCGATGCTGCTCCAGAAGTGATATCCAGATGCGTGAGGAGTGGTCGGAGGAAATGCAGATGATCCAGACAAAGGCATTATTCTCCGCTGGCTGCATCACGATGACGATCGCAGCCTCTTCGACGTCCTCGCCAGGTGCCAGACTTAGATGAAATCTGTGGAAATCCGTGATCTGATATTCACACCCGCCGTTTATGCTGCTGCCTCGTGTCACAAAGAATTTATAACCGAGAAATTATTGGGGGCACATCAGAACCCGCGTATATCTACGCTATGCAGAGGTTGTCATCTGCAGCAACGTAAGTGCTCATCGTTATAGAACTACTCACCTGTTTCTGACCTTTGGTGCTCTGGCTGCGGGCAGGCCTCTTCGAACACCGGCTCCCGAAGATTGAATGCGAGAAATTGACGAAACAATGTAATGACGGAGTCGACGACTACATACCGACCGGCGCAGACGAACGCGCTGTCGTTGATGCCGACAAGGTGTCCAAGGTTGGTATCGATGGTAGGCCAGCGTTCAAGCACTGTGAAGCCGCAGATTGTGAGAAATGCGATGGTGTAGAGGTGCCGGAGCATGGAAGCGCGTAAGTCGCCCTACTGATCCTTTCTCTCCACGAAGACCGATGATTTCTTCACTGCAGTTCAACCTGCCAAGTGGCCGACTGGAACAGAAGCCACAAACATCGATGCGAAGCGGGAACTCACCAAGAGCAGATACTGCCATCTCAATCAGCATATCGGTCAGAGCTCAACGACTTGTTGATGGAAAGTCTGCGGAGGATGGAAGACATTGAGGACATCAGCGAGGCGTTCCAAGGTATGGCGATGGAGGTCGCTGGAGTCGTGATGAGCTGCATGCCGCAGATGGAGGCTTGGACGAAAATGTCTCTTTCCGCATAATTATCACATCGCCCTTTCACCACTCTCACGCCTGGGTCTTACCTTTTCCTTCGGCCTGCATTCTCTGGCTTATCGTTCCGTTAATACGCGTACTGCTTTCATGTTTTCTTCCATGGTCACCCTGTTGTGCGAAGTTCCGCCTCCTTCATTTTGTTCTAACAAAAATAAGTATGACTTCGCCACGATTTTCAATCTATGTGTGTATGTTTTGTGCACGCGTTCTGGCATCAGATGCGGATCCACGGGACATGATTCCCGAGCAGGGTCGTGCAGAACATTGACATCAATCCAATGAGAGGACGCACCTGCCTCAGGGCGTGTCGAACGTCAGAAGTCGGGCTGTGAATTGCCCGCGTATCGGGAATCAATAAGAAGTGAAACATCTCGCTGTATACATCCCTCTGACTCGACTTCCGGCACTGTTTGCACCGATGGGTTTGGCAGATGAATCGATGAGCAAACGCTGGGTGTGTGGGGGCAGAAGTGTTCGGAATGTGCCTCGAGATCCGTGCAAGACCCACGGCACGCACAATCAGCATACATTGATATGCTGCGGATGCCCTGGACGTTGGCGGATGTCGGAGAAGGTTTGGGACTAGAAACTCCCGCTGTACAGGTTAGTGAACTCACGGGCGAATTTAACCCATTCAACTGTTCTGCAATATATTATTCCTGAAAATGTTGAGCAATAGGACGGGTATCTCGTATGGTGGATAACAAGTTATCGCTCTACGTAGTATTCCTCGTCTACGGCTTGCAAAAAGTCCAGCATCTGCACGGACCAGGTGAGTGTGGTGACAAAGAGACGAAATAATACCCACCAGCTGATGTCTCTTCTCAGCGAGTTCCTTGCCTGGCTCCGTCTTGAGTCTTTCCCGGATGTGCAAGAGCTTCTCGTGGAAGTGCTCTATCGCACACGAAGAATACGCTGAATCGTCATGTGGTATATGCAGCGGGCTGGAAGACATAACATCAGACGAGTGATCGCATTTTCCACACGAGGACATTAATTACCGATTCATCACCGTGCTATAAGCCGCACATCGAAGAATGCCTGGCATCGGTGAAGGGTCAGTGGCATGGCATCTCACACAGAAACCACAAAGCGTGTACACGCACCGAAGGCTCCTATCGCGTCCAGACGATCAGCATCCTGCACGCAATGCAACTCGATGCAATCGCGATGCCACTCCCCGAGCAAACCAGCTTCGCGCAACTTTTTTTCTGTGCTCCATGAGACGTTGTCTACGATTTTCGCAATCTCACGCGCGCGGCCGTCTTTCACGAGATCCACACCATGCGTTGAGGCAACAAAGTCAAAGAACGGACGGAAAAACGCGTACGGGTCTGCCGCCTCCGCTGCAGACACGTACTTCTTGTCCAGCACGTCGTGCAGAAGCGCGGAGAGCTCGACGGTGAGGAGATCGGGCTTTCTACCGACCTCAGACAAGGACAGCGCGCGCGCTAGGTGTAATGCAGTTTTCCTGACACGTTGGACTACATGTGATTGGATCACCTTCAGTGTATACACGACCTGTAGAATAGAGAGACTGACCGTGGTAAGCGTCGTGAGAGGGATCATATCTTGCCATGGTTTTTATCATGAGCTCGTCGGCTGCGCGAATTACTGCTTCATCCTCAGGTGTTGGATACATATTTTCTGACGAATGAACGGAGGGTAAATGGGGGAGAAATCGACAAGAAAGGTGAGCGAATGCGACGCGAACCATAACGCGTAACGCGTCTCATGATGCCACGTGCGCCCGCTAGTCTTGGTCAACTAGCGTATTTTTGGCGGTCTCCCACCTTACGGAAGTTGCCGCATCACGTGCAACCGTGATTCTGTGTACGCGTCGCGATGTCCAATGCATTTCTCCTCTTCCTGCAGGGAAGAACAGGTAGCTAGGCTAATGATGCTGTGTTTTTAGGACCTGAGTTACTACAAAACATACTTCTAGTACAGTTTGTAGCAAGGAAGGCTGGGAACAGGCCATGCTGCACAGTCTTGTAGTGAAATGGTCATCTGCACCTCTTCTCTTTATCAGTGCCTCCAGAGAACATTCCTGAAATAACAGGCAAGGATTCTGAAGGATATATCTTGAGCTCTTATGTTGAATATCAGCCATCCGGGCTGTCGTTGTCCTTCCAGCTTCTAAATTCGTGTGCACAGCTGCAGTTGTTATTTCCTTTTTGGGCGTAAGAGGGGAGGCCTGTAAATCGACGCGACTTGATGCAGACTATATACTAGATATGGATCGACTGTCATCCATAGCCATATATAGTCAGCAACGGAGACTAGCGCCCGCGTGTTTGCGATCCCTCCGCAAACCATCCCGCAACCTTGACCACATGGCTGTCTTGAACTCGAATTCATGTCGCCGAACACTCCTTTTGCTCACCGCCGTCGCTAGTCTCGCAGTGGGGACCACCGTCGTCCCAGACACGACAAAAGTTCGTCAAGTAATCTCGGTAAGTCCTGGCCTGCCTCGGGCAACGCACGTGTGACGTGTGAAGGTGTTCGCTCACGTCTTTTGCGTCCCACCAGGCCTCGGAGATCCAGAAATGCGCACCTATACAGCAACTCAGTGCCCTCAAGGTCGAACTCGAGGCGTTGCAATCTCCCGTTATGCGGCAGGTCTTCGCGTGGCTATTCCCCTTCGGTCCTGGGTGGAATTCTGGTGTGCCGCATTCCAACGCTTCAGACGAACGTGCCGCTGACGTCTGAACTTATTTTTCGCGCGGATGGCAACGCGGACCGCTAGTTCTAGGGACGTTCTACATCAGCTCGTCGGTATTGTTCATGGACTGCCGCGTACAGACGCGGCGTGGCTGACTCGCGCCTCTGTCTCAGAGTCCCAAATTTCATCCTTGCGTTTATTCCGGCACAGATCAACCCTAATACCCTGAATACCATGACGGCTTTCGCTGTAGGATCCCCTGGCTATATGTATTGCCGCGCAGAAGCTGAGGTCCTCGTTTTCCGTTTGTACGTAGACGGGAGGCCTTCTTTCCGACGTATTCCTGCATCTCGTTCCACACTCGTTCATGGGAGAGCACCAGGACAACAACGTTCATTTCGTCATGGTCGAAGAGAAGAGAAATATTCTGATCGGGTAATCCACCATCCCTCTACAGCGAGGACTACCATTAACATCTACTCTTGTGCAGCCTTGGTATTTTCGTAGGCTTCGCTTCCTTCTTTGTTATGGAGAAGACCCTACGTGTTCTGGGGAGTGAAGACGACCACTCCGGACACTCTCACAATCATTCCTACGGCGAAAAGTCAACAGGAAATGAGCCAGCTCGCTCATCGAGCGTGTCACTGTCCATGTCCGAGAGCGAAGTCAGAAATCGCAGCATGGATAAGTCAGACGCCGTCGCTCCCTCAAAATCCGCAGAGGAACCTGTACAAGCAGTTAAACAGTCATCTAAATTATCTGCGTACCTTAATTTATTTGGTGACTTTGTTCACAATATGTATGTTTCGAATTTTTTTTAATCTCTGCCGGACGCTGATACGTGCAACCGCCCATAATCGCAGCACAGATGGTCTCGCGTACGTCTTCCCTCTGTCTTATGATCCGATATCGTTATTGACCTGTTGCTCCGTCCAGTATGGCCGCGTCTTTCTATTCTTCCCCCCTCATTGGCGCCACGACCACGCTAGCCTGCTTCGCGCACGAAATTCCCCACGAGATTGCCGACTATTCCATACTCGTGCGGAGCGGCTTCACGAAGCGGCAGGCTATGCAGTCGCAATTTCTGACTGCTGTTGGGGCATTCGTGCGTCTGTTTTCTGCTCTATGCCTTTTGCGGCCAATTTCTTGGCTCTTCACCTTCTTTACCTACGTTCTGATGAAACACCCTACTGACGATTCCCTTGCGGTTAGGTCGGGTCAGTGTGTCCAAATTCTGGTGTGGCTGACAAGTGGCTAATCTACTTTGCAGTACATTCATGGGCGTCGGAATCCACAACCTGTCAGCTTCTGGCAACGTGGATGCTGAGCCGTCGGACCTTGGCGCTGCAATCCGACAAGCCGCCGCTGGGCTGCTGGGGACGACCGTCCAGTTAGCAGATCTCGTAAGCGGCTCCCTTGGAATATGCGACTCGTGATATGCAACGTGTTGCGATTCCGCAGGTGATACCCTTCGTCGCTGGTGGGTTCATGTATATCGGGGCTGTTGCTGTGCTCCCTACGTATGTTCCGACCCACTGTGTCGAGTCCACACTGCCGGCACTGATGCCGCGTGTCGTGTGATAGATTATTGGAAGAGAGCAAGAGCGGGAAGCAGGCACTGCGTGAGGCAAGCACGATTTCCCCATCAACGCCTTCGTGAATCTGTGGACTGATTGCAGCGGGCGCTGGCCTAGTTTGGGGCCATGGCCTTTGGTGTCTTGTGCATGTTTCTCGTTGCGTGAGTACCACCTTACGCTCAAACGCGTTAGATCGGATGCTGAGCGCTGTGCGGTTCTGCAGATGGAACGAGTAGTTCTGACGTAGACGTTGTTCTTGTGCCGTGTGAAGTGGCTGTGGCAATCTGTCATCGCGAGGCATCTGGTATGCTCTTCTTACTGTTGTTCATTTCGCTTGTATGACTGACACCGACGGTCCTATGAACTGCAGGATCCTCGGTAGATAGACGACTGGTGCTATGTATGAAGTAATGGGATCTTCGTGGGAGTTACATACAGAGTGCATCGAGATCTGCGAGAAGTACTGTACAGCGAGGCGCTTCGGGCAGATTTGAGATAATTGCGTCGAGCTAGGATCGATGGTTCAAGGCATGAAAATAGGATTGCTTCTAGGTGATTCTGGAGAGTGATGAGAGGAAGATTAGAGGTCGAGTTGTGAAATTTGAGGAGGAGACGGCATTGCGACGGCTGGTTGATCTAGGTACGGCGGGAGCGATGGGGCGAGTTGGCCGAGGAACGTGTGTGAAGCGATTGGCCTGCTCCCGTTGCCGCCACACGCCATGTCGCCTCCTTTCCCTCCGCGAAAAAACAATCACAAACTCAGCCCAGTCGGCCGTAACATATCATTGCTGTAATCACCTTTCCTACTTATTCGCCAACGAAGGTCGTGTGCCTCCTTCGTCTCCTCCCCCGACCTCTGTGAGCCCATCCAAATAGTGAGCTGCTCCCGCCGCACCGTCGCCGCTCCATTTCTCATTCTTTCCCCTACTCCTTTGCAGGCTGTCGCCGAACCGGGACCACACCAAGGGCGTACCTTACTCATCTGCCTAACCACACCGTCGCCTTGACGGATTACGTTCCCGAACGACGGCAATCTCGACTACGTATTTTTGTTTGAGACTCGGCTGTACGCGTCATCGTCGGTTTCGCAACGCCGCTCCGCAGACGTTCCTCCCCTCTTTCTCTTCTCGTCACCACTCTCGCCATGAGCAACAAAGGTCGGTCAACACCACGCGTCGTCTGTTGTGCTATTCCTATAGCACGCTCGCAAGGCAAAGTCCTTGTCATTACAAGTCGGAAGAGACCAGAGCATTGGGTTTGTGAGTGCCACCGTTGCCATTTTTTATTCCGGCTCCCGAGTCGTACGCACATCGTACTGACTAATTTCTGTTTGTCCGCCTTTGACGTGTCGCCAACGCATCAGTGCCAAAAGGAGGATGGGAGCCTACGGATGGGGTGCTGGAAGCAGCAGCCTCACGAGAAGCCTTGGAAGAAGGTCTCACCCTTTGTCCATCCCCTGTTCACCGTCCCCCTTCCTAACCCCTTCCTTCCCCCTCTCGCCCGTCTCCTCATGCCTTACCTGTGCATTTTCCTTGCAGCGGGCGTGCGCGGCAAGATCACTCGATTCGTGACAACGATCCCCTCAGCGTCGTCGACCTACCACTTCTACGAACTCGACGTCGTCGACCTCGACAAGGACTGGCTGGAGAGCAAGGAGCGGAGGCGGGAGTGGGTGGACTATGCCGAGGCCGTGAAGAGGGTGTCGTGGAAGGCGGAGCTAGCACAGGGGCTGTCGCTGTCCTCGCTGGCACCGACGCGGTGACCAGCGCGCTGCGCGCCAGGCCGGCCTGCGTCTGCACGGGTGGTGGACGACTTCCGCTCTCAGAATACTGCTTTACCGATCGCGCCTGCTCGAAGTCTCGACGGACACTACTCAGCGCGCTAATACGACCCCCACCCAAAGACATTCGCCTCGCCGCCACCGACCGACCCAACGCATTCGCATTGCTTATCATCAAATAGAGCTCTCCAACCCACATCATCGCTCTTTGTCATCCATACACCATCGATGCATATCTTAGCCACATCTCTACTTACTCATGCAGATACCTACCCTTGTGCGCACTCTCCTGATCGCCTCCACAGTCCCGATGTAGGCTTTCGTGGCTGACTGTCATGTATATTAGTTGTTCCGGTCGGTTACCCGACTCCTAGTTCTTCGTTTCTAGTATAGACCGCCGTTTCTTTAACAACAGCTAGAAAATCCGTAGGCCTGCAGTCCGCCTGTGTGAATTTGCGATGCGTATCATGATTCTGTGTCTGCTCTATCGATTCGTACCTGCTGATCATTTCTTTCCCCGTAGGCATATACATATCTCGTACGATTAAAATCCGAGTTAATGCATTGTGAACTACCCGCTGCGCACATGCGCGTGCGCTGCTTCTTATGATTCTGAGCTCTCGGAGCCGAACACCTCCCCAGCCGCGGTGCTGCAAACTCGATTTGACGTCGCGATTTCGCGAGCACCGCGCCCATCGCTCTGTGCACACGATTCATGACACGGAACGATGAGCGGCCCATTGTCAGCGACGCCGAACTCGGCTGGAAGAATATCTGCTTTACGCAGCTCTGATCACAGCCTGCACGCCTCGCACTGCAGAGCCGGTATGTACCGTACGCCGAGCGCAACTGCCCTAGCTGATTGTCCGAATGCTCCCGCTAAGCATCGGATTGCTCTCGCCAACGTCTGGCTTGTTCCGAGGGCGAGATTTCGGGCCTCCGGCTAACGTCGTCACCATCCGAGTCCTCTCGTACGAATTGTACCGCGTTACAGCGGAAGCCGTACCAACTCCAGCCAGATATCTTGAGGTACAACAGTGGAATTCACGTGCGTCCGAGTCTACGACGAGACCAAACTCCATCTGGAGGATAAAGCCTTACCCAGGTCTATCTGTTTTGTAGCTCTTTGCTCCACTCGCGTGCAAAAAGGGGCGAGTTTGCCCTACCTCTCAGACTGTTGCCTCACTGGCATGCGTCGCGCAGGGACCGCATGTACACTACTTCAGCGTCCGAAATTGGAGGATCCCTTTCGGTCGTTCTGTTACTTCAACTTCACTTCAATGTTCAATGTTGGAGTGGAAGTTGAAATATCAGAATGACAGGCAGGGACGAGTAGAGAGCAGAACGCTATTCAGAAGGGACGTGGTACAGGCTCAGTGCGTCAAATCAAGAAAGCAAGCAAGACATCTGTACGTGTTCAACCGGGTGCGGCCTCCAGCGGTAGTACAAGTCATGCCGCGATCTGGTGCATTTAGGTTTATTCTCGTAATATGCGTTTTTCGCTGGAGTTCAATGTCCCACCCTGACAGGATTTCCCCGCATCCACGGCAACGTCTGGGAAACACTCTGCCCCATCATGTGTCTGGAGCGGACCCGGAGAGCCTCCTGCCATTGACTCTGAGACCACCTTCTCAGACACGAATAACAAGGTAGGCTGCCTCAGGTCGAGCAGCGCTGATCCGCGCTCGTCGGCTTCGTCTCAGTTGCTGTGTCGAATGATGTACATACAGGGAAGCCCGGCTTGGAGTCCACCCCGCGACTTGGAAGAACATATGATAGACAGCGTCGTCAATTGACTGGCGTAGCCAGTCTCAGTGGCGATAGTGCGCTCTATCCAAGAAATTGGAAAGTGCTTACTACGCCGTAATATGCTGCTTTGCGAAGGTCTCCAACTGCAAGAAAGAGACACGTTGGATCATCTTCCCCTCGACTCTTTGACAGGCCAGCAGCGGTGGGGCAGGTTTACGAGCCACTTTGCAAGGCCAAGACGCCAATGTAGATCATCCTTACGGACTCGGCGCCGTTTTTCACAGTTTCATTCCTTGGCTGGGCACTTCCAGTGGCTCGCCAGATCATGTATGTTCAAGGGAGCCGGATGTAAGTATGCGCGTTCCGAGGATCACATTTAACGGCGTAGACCATTATTGCCTCCGCAGTCATCTACCGATGTCTTTCGTCCGCCGGTGTGTCGCTCGTGCCGAAAGCGCACACAGAAGCCACACATCAAATACCTTCCCAGTGTCTACAGACATGCGAACTTGCGAACATCGCAACCAGGCACCTCTGAAATACTTCCGAACATCTTCTCCTACAGGCACATAACTTCGGACACAATGTTAGGCAGCTGATAGCCCAAGTACTGTTCCAACCTTGAGGTGACCCAGTGAACAATGCACGTGTATAGTAGCTACGATTACTACGGTCCGTGCACAGCAAAACCAAGAGCAATTACGATCTATGGTAGGTGTTTTCAATGTGTAGTGTACTTTCCAAATATCTATTTGCTCCTGTGAGCGTTCCTCGAAGATAGATCATTCCAGTTTCCTCCGGCGGTATGCGACTTCGCACGGGAAGGGCGATACCATCATCGACTACAGAAGTATGTGTCAGGAAACGGGCATAGAAAGAGTAGATCGTATGAAGACGTACGCTATAATCGGGCTTGGGGAACTCTCCCTCCAGACGCAGCTCGAGGTGACGCACGAATGTCGAGATCAGGACGCCAATTTGGAGATAAGCAAACTATAGAAAGAATGCACATCAGCAAAAACTGCCCTGCCGCAACAAGAAGCCCAAACCATACCTGCTCGCCAATGCACCGATGACGGCCTGCACCGAAGGGCAAGTACGGGCTATCCGTGCCCTTACTCACAAGCCCAAAGCCAAAGTCGACCTTCGTGTCCTCGTCGTACGTCTTCTGCGCGTGCGCCGCGAAGCCATCCTGGTCGTACCACCGAGACGGGTCCCATGTATCCGCATCCTTCCAGACGCTTGGCTCCATCTGGCTGAGGCCAGGCGACGCGAGTACGATGTCACCCTTGGGGACCACGTACACCGAGTTCTCCGAAGGTGCGGCGAGTGACTGCGGGACCGGAATATCGCTGTGCGCCAAGCGCATGATACTGTGGATTGGCGTGTGTATGCGAAGCGTCTCGCGGATGACGGCGTCGAGGATCGGCAGGCTGCGTAGGTCGTCGTACGTCATGTCGCGGAAGCGTCCGTCGGGGGTCGCCAAGAGCTTCACTTGCTCTTGGTACAGTTGCTCACTTGAATCCACAAAAAGTGAGTTATAGACAGAACAAATTGCGATATGATGGTAACTCACGCAACGTCAGGGTTAGCAGCCAAGCGCAGGATCGCCCACGTGCCCGACGCGGAGCTGGTGTGCTGTCCGGCCATAAGAAGGGCTATCATAATGTGGGCTATCTCGTGATCCTTGAGTGCACGACCGCTACGATAATGCTGCTTGGCTAGGGAAGACATCACATCATCGGGCTAGCACGCGCAACGTCAGAGCGTGCACCGCACGCAGTGCAAGGTATGACATACATCCTCGCCAGTAGCTCTGCGATTGCGCAAAATCTGTTCATAGAACGTACTCATCTTCGCGTGTGCAGCATCCCTCTTGCGATAGCTAGGAAGAGGCAGGTTCTGGAACATCCAATGCAGCGGCGTGAAGCCGTTGTCCAGGTCGTGGAAAAGCTCGGCGAATCCCTTGTCCATGTTGTCCCGCACCTCCTTGCCCTGCAGCGTCCTCGAGGCAGTCAGAATGGTTATCTCCGCGAGGACTTTGTTGGGCTTGAACGCGCCCCACTCATTGATGTCATTCATCTGGTAAATTCGGAACTGTGGATCGGTACGGAAGTACTCCACAATCTCGTCTTCCACCATGCCGACGTACGAACGGAAGCGCTCCATTGTGAGGGAATACTTCACGAACTTCTTTTGTTCCATGAGCAACTCGTTGGGGCAGTCATAAACGACGTCCTTGCCGAAGACGGGAGTGGTCAAAGGCTAAATCGCGATTCGTGAAATGATGCCCAAATTGTGTAAACGTGTTCACGTACCCCGTAAACGTCTTCAGCGGCAAGGACTGTGTGCTTTCCACCGAGCACGAAGTTATTTCCTTGTGGACCGAGCGCGACTGTGACACGTTTGCCCAGGAGAATGAACGTGAAGACATTTCCATACTGAACGCGGTGTCAAAAGAGCGACGGGTGAGAAATAGTATGCAGACCTTTTCTCGACACTCTTTGAAGAAGCTGACGGGATCCTGGCCGTACGCAGCCGCAGAACCAAACCACGGTATCCAATGGAACACCACTTGGGGTTTCGAACCAGAGCTAGGTAGCTGGGGACATTCTGTGTTCAGCGCAAAATTCTGGTCGACGTCTATGAATACTCACCAATTGGTATAGAACGTTCAACACGACAAAGGCAATGGGGGTATATAAGAGACCAATGACCAAAAGGCGAGGCGTCGGAGGCAGGTAGTTTTGAGCCTGGGCGAGATAGCCCGCCAGAGGCTCTGCGAAGGTTGAGTTAAGGGACATGGCTACCGTCGACGTTGCTGCTCTAAGATGAAAGACGAGCAGTGGGAGCGTCGTGGAGTACAGGACAGCGCTGGGAAAAGTTGTTATACGCTCATCAAAACCGACATCGAACCATGCTCACCTACCATATATGGCAGCAGACCCAGGCCGGCAGTCTCCGCATTCCAGGTCCTGCCTCGTCCATTTATCTCTCCACCATGTCTCATCATTCACAGAAATCAACATTCGTGTCGCCACCTTCCACCGCGCAAAATTTATCTTCGTCTCACTCTCAGCTGATGGCCTTTCGGTGCGTCGGCTGCCCGGCTGAGTCCCGTCGAGACACTTCCAGAGCAAGGGTTTTTTCACATTCTTGTGACCTTGTTTCTCCTCGAGCTCACGGAAATAGAATCGTAAATATTTATCTCGAGTTTTCCAATGGCCTTCCTGATCCGAAGCTGGCTGTGCAGTTTGTCCATTCGTGGGCACAACTCGCTCGGGTGTTATGTCGGCCTGATGTCCACTCGGTGCGTGGGTTATTCACTACGATGCACGATGACATTTTCTCCATCGCTCCACTCTTCAGACTTATTGATATCTATGCCTCCGTTTATTTCCATGGCTCTTCTCATGCATGTTTATGTCATGCTCTAATAACCGGCGACGTCTGAAAAGCCCAAATACGTCCGAGTAGGCAATCAAACTCCGAAGGTTCCGTCGAGACGTAGATTCCAATGCATCGTGCTTCATGTGCCTTGAATTGGACTGAAGATATACGAGGTTGTGCTTGTGAAGATACTCCCAGCTTTATACCGCCACCATCTCATCGTTCTTAAACACCTGCTAAAAGCGGAAACCCTGGAAACGATTCGCCACGGCGTACGTCTCAGTTTAAAAAGTTTAGGCATCAGAGCGGCATGACTCGCAGTACTTGTGAGATACACAACGTAGCGATTCGTACATTATTTATATCTGCAGGATTTGGGGCCACAATACTGGCTACGTTCGTGAGCACACCCCACAGTTGAACGCATAACTGCCAAAATTCGGTGTGAAGTAGGAAAGGAGGGCCAATTAAAAAATGGCCGTGAACATATTTTATATTCGGTTTTGAAGCCCGATTCGTTACGTTTTCCAGAGTATGATAGAGGACTGCTATTTTTTTGGAATTTTAGATAGGCAAGTGACCGATGGTGAATGTGCCAGGGACTTATCAACCCAACCCGGAGTCAGGACAAGCCTGAGAGGTGCTGTTTCGGTAGCCATATACCTGGATCGTCGCCACTGGAGCATCTTGTTGGAATGCGTGATGGGTAGTCAATGTACTTATTCACGGCCGTAGAAAGGAAAAAGGAAAAAAAAACTGGAGTCATGGCTTGACACCTCAACATTGCGTGGACGCCGAGCCAAGGTTCCTCCGGCGATAAGCAATATGGCAAGGAAACGGCTGGACCATCATCGACTGTACAACATGGATGCAGTTAGCAGAGGTCCTGCATACATCCAAGTCTAACATACGGTGTAATCAGACTTGGGAAATGGTTCCTCCAGCCGGAATTCTATGTTGCGAATGAACGTCGTGATAATAGCTCCGACCTGAAGATAAGCAAACTGGGAAGGGATCCTGTGAGAATGAAGGAAAGTACTCTGGTTTCGACGGAGGCACACCTGCTCTCCGATACACCTATGGCGACCAGCACCGAAGGGCAAGTACGGACTTTCCGTACCCCTGCTGACGAGTCCAAAGCCGAAATCCACTTTGGACTCGTCATCGTAGCTCTTTTGCGCACGTACCGCAAAGCCATCCACATCGAGCCACCGTGATGGTTCCCACTTCACCCCATCCTTCCACAATGTAGGGTCGACTTGGCTGACTGCGGGTGAGGCCAGAACAATGTCGCCTTTGGGGACGACGTACACAGAATCTTCCGAAGGTGCAGCAAGGGACGGCGGCATGGGGAGGGCACTGCGGACCATACGGAAGATACTGTGGATGGGAGGATGTAGACGAAGGGTCTCACGGATGACGGCGTCTAAGATTGGCAAGCTGCGCATCTCGTCGTAAGTCATGTCGCGGAGACGTCTGTCGGGGGCGGAGAAGTGGTCCACTTGTTCTTGATAAAGTTTTTGGCTGTCAATTGCATCGGTCATGAGACGTGAACAAATAGATGGAGTTAGCTAAGAACTTACGCAACATCGGGATTGTCAGCCAGTCGTAGGAGGGTCCATGCACTTGAGGAAGAGCTGGTGTGCTGACCAGCCATCAGCAGGGCGATCATGATATGTGCGATTTCATAGTCCTCAAGGGGACGGCCATCACGATAGCTCTCCTTTGCAAGAGAAGACATCACATCCTCAGGCTATTCCAAGCTATGTCAGCAGACTATCTTGAATCCTTATAAGAGGACATTATGCGCACATCTTCACCAGTGACTCTGCGGTTTTGCAAGATCTGCTGGTAAAATTTAGTCATCTTGGCATTGGCAGCATCTCTCTTCCAATAACTGGGCAGAGGCAAATTCTGAAATATGAAATGCAGCGGTGTGAAGCCGTTGTCAAGGTCATGGAATAACTGCGCGAAGCCCTTGTCCATATTTTCCCGGATCTCTTTACCCTGCAGCGTCCTCGAAGCAGTCAGGATGGTAATCTCGCTTAGAACCTTGAGCAGGTTGAACGACCCCCACTCCTTGTTGTCGGTCTTCTGGAATACGCGGAACTCTGGATCGCTACGCATGAACTCCAAAACTTCGTCCTCCACCATGCCGACATAAGAACGGAAGTTGTCTATTGTAAGAGAGTACTTGACGAATTTCTTCTGCTCCATGAGCAGCTCATTGGGACAGTCATGAACGACGCCTTCGCCAAACACGGGCTTGGTCAAAGACTATTACGCTGCATCAATGACGCAGAACACGCAGAACACATGAAAAGATGTACGAACCGCGTATACATCTTCTGCGGCTAGGATCGTGTGTTTCCCGCCAAGCACAAAATCATTCCCCTTCGAACCAAGCGTAACGGTAACACGTCTACCGAGTAGGATGAACGTGAAAACATTGCCGTACTGAGCGCAAAATAAGTGCATGACGACTGCTCAAGAGCAGGATGCAAACCTTTTCCTGGCAATCCTGTAAAAACCTGACAGGGTCCCGACCGTACGCAGCTGATGAACCCAAGAGGGGGATCCAGTGAAAGACCATAGGCGGGAGTGTCCGATCGGCTGGTAACTGCAAATATTGGCCGTGACACTTTCAGCGCAGGGACTCTTGGTTCTAAAATTTGCACCTACGAGCTGACAAACGACGTTGAGTAAAACAATGATGGATGGGAAAGTTATCAGGGCTATCAGAGGAATGTAGCTTCGATATTCGATAAAGAGCGCGTCGAGCAACATGATTGTGGTTCACAAAACACGGGAAGGATTTGTTATAAGTGTGCGAGGCCAGCACCGAGATAACATAGAGAGTGCTGGGAAAACTGGAACAAATAGTGAAGCTCATCGAACCATGGAGGTCGAACCACTCCCTAAACGAATTCTGGTTCTGATGGCAGACTCTGTAGAGACCAAGGACGATGATCTTGCAAGGTACAATGTTGTTTCCTGAATTTCTTGTTCAAGTGCCTTCACAAAAATCGGATGGGGGAAATCCTCATACGCCACTCAGACGTAGCAGGCCGGGCGACAAGGGACACCGCAGGTTTGTGTTGTGTCTGTGTTGATGGCGTCTCTTGAGGAGAGACACCAGATGAGTCTTCCAATGGCGTCACGGCGTTCTGACAATTGTCGCACGGGGTCACTGGAGCGCTGAGTGAAGGATAGCAACGAAATAAATAACGCACATCGTATCATACAGTGGCCCGCCAATCACCGCGCGACTTTCCCTAGTATGCACTGCAAAATGACGAATCTTATATTTTGGCAGATGTCTCCCTAATCCATACTAGTAAAATTATAGTTTGCAACAACTGTCGTGTCGCCGTGCTCTCTGAGCCTATTCGATTCGCTGCAGAATTGTTAGCAGACCGTGGGATCTGAAAATACCAAAGACGCCATTCCGCTCAAGCTCGACGACGCTTACCATCGATATCCTCCGAGAGTCCAAGAAAATAGGTCGCAATAATTCATTGGCTTTGGAACAACGACGAAAATGCGGTCACCACATACACAACTCGGACAAACTGCATGAACATACTTTAGCGTTCTTGGACATTTGAAAAGCAGCATCACCTACCTGACAGTGTCACACAGGCATGTTTCCTCTGTGCAAAAAGTAGTGTGCTGAGTATTATCTGCAAATGCGTTTTGTATTGCTCACCTCCAGCAACTGAACAAAAGTTGTCAACTACTTAGTCGAGTTGATCCAGTCAGCGACTTCAACGCCTGCTAAATGTGGGAAGCTTACGTACTCGAGCGGGACCGGCGCCTAAGTTCCCTTCGAGCAAGAGTGGAAGCACAATACACCTCTAGCAAGCCATGTCTTCGTCACTCCCTACTCTAGCAGTCCTTGTACTTGTTCTCATTCTGATGGCATGTTCCTGGTTCTTCACACGAAAAGGACCAAACCAGACGTCAGGCGTCTTTGCTCATCCTCTAACGACCGACAGACTGATGTTGCCCAGGTTAATCCGGACGTGTTGTATGCTCGCGTTGACCTGTTGCTATCTCATGTGGATGATAGCGTACCTTGCTCAAGTACACCCCCTGGAGAGTGAGCATTTTGTGTCTATGTTGACGTTGACGCGAAACTCAGCTCTGTGTACGATGCAGGACCACGAAAGGCGTTGTTGCATGAGTGAGATGCAATAGCAGTCGGTTGAGAGCGCCTTCGTTTTGCATTCAGTATGTTGCGAGTCTATGTTCTGTTTTCTTGCACTGACCTGCCACTGCCAGTCATGCCTTGTAATATATCCGTTCATATTATACTATCGCATGGACTTGGTGTTCAAAGTGTCTATGACCATAACAATGTGGTAATTATGGAGAGGGCGTTGGACACCAGTCACTACAGATCGGGTCACTCCATGACACAAACCGATTCTCTTGCTCTGCCACCCCCTTCCATCCGTCTAAATTCTCCCAGCTAATATTTGACCGAACAGACCATCTACCTTGCTCGTCCTCCTGCGTCTCTTCCACCGCCCCTCCATCCTCTTTTTGGTCCAAGTGATCGTGTTCCGAGTTATTCGTCGCGTTTTCAATATTCTTCGTTGACTGATTCACCTCATGGTCAGATTCCGAGTGAGTATCTGTCAGAGAATCTTCCAGGTCGGAGGCACAAGAGCTACTGTCCTTTTTATCGTTCCGTTGTATAGACCAAAGACCGTTCGGCTCCCTCGCACCCTCCCGTCGGACGACCCAGTCTTCCAACGTCTGAGAGGGTACTTCACTCAGGTCCAAGCCCTCGCAGTTCTGCACGGACTCAATGAGGAGCTCAAACTGGCCTCCGCATGAAATTGCTATGTCGTTCTCGTGCCACAGCTCACCCGCCGTCATGGCAGACTCTCTATAATTGCTCATCCTGGCCTTCACTAGCTCGCCAATTTCGGGGAGGGGCACGAGTTGGCCGGCTTTGTCGTGCGCGAGATGATGATGGGTCACTAGCAAGTCGTGGTCCTCCCTTGCCTTGGCCTTCTCAAGAGCGGCGCTGCACTTCAAGGACCGCGCATGGGCGTGTCCCTTTCCCTCGCGCCTCGTGAACTGCGCGACTTGGCTCGCATAGCCAAGCACGTCGTCCCTGTCCCATTCGTCCACCTCGTCCGCCCTTCCAACCCCACTAACGTGAACTTCGTACCTCCACTCGTCCGCAACACTCTGACACCAACTGGTGAATTCTTCTACTGTCCATTCGAACTTGTGGTCGTCATGCCGGAAGACACGTGCGGTTCTCCCCGTTGGATCTGGGTATCCTCCACGCTCACTCTCCGGCGTATCTGGCGAGCAGAATCGTGCATTATAGGTGTACGACGGCGTCGTGAGGAGCAGCAGGCGCGGGTGGTACCCCCCGAGGACGATCGGTGCGAAGTCCTGCATCACGTCTTCCTGGAGGTGTTCGATACTGGCCACGTGCACGCATATGGAAGCGAATAATGAGCAAGAAGCGTAGCAAAAGTACGCGAAGGCACGTACACTTCTGTGGCAACGATGCATTCCACGCCGACAAACTCGGGATTGAACGCCTGCACCCCGCCCCTCCAGATCTTGGCCTCAAGGGGCTCCCAACGCGGCATGGGCTCCCATGAGGATAGGACAATGGGCGGAGGCGGAGACGTCATCGATATAGCGTCCTTGAGACTGTCCGGCGCAATATCGACTCCGTGAATCTTCGCTACGTGCAGAATCTCGTCAGGGTGAACGTCAGGAGCCACCGCCACGTTGGAGATCGGCTTCGGCCGCAGCCACGGCGCGGGATTGCACAGACAGGAGAGGAGCTCGCCACTCCCGCACCCCACGTCGAGAACCTGCGTGTGATCGGATCTCATCGTCGGGCTTCACCCATGTACAGCTACACTCACTTCAGTCACTTTCTCGCGTCGGAGGACGCTGAGTATCCATATCCGGCGCTGGAGGTACAGCCGCGGATCGAACGTCACTTCGAGCTGGACAGCAGTAGGTGGCGCTTGCTCTAACCGTACATTTGAGATTTCGATTGCAGCCGGTGACCCTTGTTCTACGATAGCAGCAAGGTTAGCAGCAGGTTTCGCCTGTTCCGACATCGGTGCAAGCAAAGGGATGGAAGAGATATGCAAGGATATCAACCTAGATGTCAGACATTATAGGATGCAAGAGCCTTAGCAGTGAGAACAAAGAGAGACATGTTCACGCAGTCACGGTCATGACTGCAACTCTGAAGCTGCAATCATGCGGACCGGCGCTTCTGTACAGATCGGATCTAGCTACCTTCGCGATAATAGTACGCTGTGCACAAGCAGAAACGCCATGTAATTACAATATTGGTGAGCACATTGAATTTTACAACAAGGATCTCGCGAAGAGACACGACTTGAAGGGAATGCAATCTAGTCCCAAACGAGTGAAGCCAGGATAAAGTACTGCAACATACGCATATGCAATAAACAAGTGGCCAGTGGTACACACACGGTCGACGACGAGCCGCGACATGCGCGAGCAGCCTGGGATATTCAGGGCGTCACAGATCATATCAAGCCCGCCGCCTGCAGATCCCTCCGTAACCTCAGGTCGGCTTCTGATATCTGCTCCCGTCGCAGGACGTTCTCGTTCTCGTTCGCGCTCGCGCCCTGGTCCACCAATCCGAATACGCGCTCGAGGTTGCGGCGGACCTCTGCATCGCGCTGCATCTGTTCCGGAGAGATCGGTGCAGCATTGGCAGACGCACGGATGGAGGACTCCCACCGCTTGACGCGGTAGAACCCGATGAGGGACCACAAAAGCAGGAACCACCCTGAGATGTGATTGTCAGCTTGAGCAGGTATAGAAAGACGCAGGATGCATACCAAGTGTCATCAAGAGGAGTGACAGCCAATCACGCGATGTGATGCCAAAGGCATCAGGGGACAGATTCATGTATGTGCCGTTCGATGGCATTATCCACGGCGAGTCCGCGGTTGGGCGCACGACGGACATAGGCATCCCTGCCGTCTCGTTCCAATACATCAGGTCCTGCCCCGTCATGCCCTCGTCGTTCGACGTGCTTCGCGAGTAGAACCCATACTGAATGAGCGTCAGGCCGAGTCCCGCGCGGGAACCGTACTTCGCCGCATGGCTCGTGTGCAGGAGATACGTGAGGATGAACCCCACGAACTGGAAGAAGTAAGAGATGAACATGGTCGCCACGAAGAAAATGACGGAGCCTGTGGGCAGGTCATCGACGATCATGTATGCACCGGGGTCGAGGCCGATAGGCGCATGGACAGTCGTCTCCCAGTAGGGAGGGACCGCGTCAGCTTGCGCCTCGACGTATGTCTGCAACGCAGAGGGCGATCGGTGAGTCTTGAGGTAGGAAATAACAACACAGCAACGCTTACGGGTGGTGTCTCCTTCTGCGCTTCCTCGGGAACGAGGAACACCTCTCCACTTTCGTTCGTCACTGGCACCGCTCTGCCAGGCTTGGCCATCACATTAGCGAACACCCCGTCATTCTCGGTGCCGCCCCCTCGTGGCGCCGGGTGGCTCGGCTCGGTAGGTATCCTAGAGTAGTGTTGCGGGAGTAGCACACCTACAGCTCTTCTAAAGAACGAAGGCCTGCTTGCATTGGGCCGCACAGGCGATGACGGCAGGCGGCCGTTGGAGTTGCCGAAGTCGTTCGGGAGGGCGAAGATGGACGAGTGTGGCGGTGATCCTGGTGGCGGATAGTCGTAATCGCGATCGCGCTCGAAGTCATATGTTCCAGGGATCGCGAGGAGCGCAGGAGCAGTGTGTTCTGTGGGCGACTGCGACGCGGGGTAGCCATGTGTCAGGGGAGTGGACTCGGTGTGATGCTCGTCGTCGTCGAATGCGTCGTCCATCTCGCGCTCTGCGTCCGGGCCCGAGCGGGGGTTAGGCAGAGGAGCATAGCGGGCAGGCATAGCGAGAGGACGACGAGGAGATGGGTACGGGGGGTACGGAACTAAGTAGATCAGGAGGAGAAAGGCATCAAGTTCAGGACTGCGCATTGACGCCCACGCTAATGTCGCTGCATGTGTCATACATCTCATGTCAGATTGTAGCATAGCAGCTGTGACATGTGACCCATCATCTATCATACTGAGTAACTGAACTGAGTAGGTCGCGTGCCAGACTAACTTGCTCAACCCACAGCACAAATCGTACACTAGGTCCTCCTGAGTCAAAAGAGGAACGTGTACATACACACGGAAGTACGAGTAGATGGCAGCATCAACTAAGCAGACCCTTCACGTATCTCAACAGATCTTTGCCCTACGGAGAAGACAAGGTTAAGAATGATGGTAAGGTATATGACAGAGAGGAACGTACACCACGAGCTTTCACCCCAGCAACCATAGCTTCGACGGGGTCCACCTCCATTTCCATCGCCTGCGAAACAGTATCGCTCTCATTTGTTTGTGCCCCGCTTGCCCGTCTTGCGGTAGTTGCTCTGTTGAGACCCAAGCGCTGCCTCCGCGCCATTCCATGACGCAGTACAACAGTCAACACCGCCCGCCATCCCTCAACAGCGCCTCCCTGCTCGCCAGGCAAGGATGTCGGCTTGTTCGGGAGGATACCAGTCGAAGCGGAATGCGCATGACTGGGTGTCGCCAGCTGCGCCGCCGCAAGGGAGGGCACCACGGTCGAGCGTACGACATACGGACAATACGGCCTGTGCTCCCGCAGGACGTCGAGTTGTCTCTTCGGCATCGCCACACTGGCTCCAGCAGCTCCCTCGTGGGCGGGTGTCTGCTCACTGTTCGCTTGCGATTTCAAGAATGACCACAGCCCGAGTCGGCGCTGGCACAGCGCACAATACAACAATGTCGTATCCGCGTCGTTCTTCAGCAAAATACTAGAAGGACTTCTCGGTACCGCCGAAGCGGTAGAAGGGAGCTGATCATTGTTCAGAGGCGCGTGTGATATGCTCGGCGTCGCTGTGCCCTCTCGGAGAGACGACACCGACGGGGATCGCGGAACGGCACGTACAGCGCTCGAAGGAGCGACGGAATTGGCACGCGAGATGGACGATACGCGCGTTCGTTCCGCAGGCGGTGCTGCGGGAGCGACAGACCACCCGAATAATGAGGCAATGACAGCAGTTTCCGAAGGCTCAGGCTGCGCGACCGGAACGCTCGACGCAGAGATGGACTCTGACTGAGACGGCTCAGAGTCGGACAGGGGTAAGGCAGGTCTCGAAACCGATGATATCGTCGAGAGCAGAGATTGCACCTGAACCGATGACTACCTTGCGTGAGCCCTACGGACTTACTATGAAGCGAACGAACATACCAAGGGATGCTTGATCATCACGTTTTGCAGGACTGGTTCCATAGCAATCGCCCGAGACTTGATTTCTCTTGCCATTGCCAGGGGTGCTTGCATATGAATTCGGTATATCGAAGCTACGCCAGTCATGAGCCAGCGGTGTAGATGTAGAGGCAGAGACGCTTACGATCACATTGCCTAACCTTCCACGGGCACCCGTCCTTATGCATGTCCACCAATTGAACACGCTGCTTCTCGACTAACGCGTTTGCTGCAAAGAGTTCCTCAGTATCACCTACCTTCAATCACCCCTGTATATATCCCTACATACCAGCATCGCGGTTCATGCCCTCCCTGCCTGCGAGGACCCACGAGACCCCACATATCCCACACAGCAGGCGGTCCTTGTCGCTGTTGACCCAGCCGCACTTTGCGGCGGCGACCGCGTCGATGGCGGGAGGTTTGTTCGAGTATGACGAGAGCTTGAACGTCGCAAGGCGCGCGAGGAACGAGCTCAGAGAGGACGGCCGGTATTCCGATGCCGAGTGCGAAGCAGGTATTGTTGGTGTTGACAAAAAGGCGTGGCTGAGCTTGAACGGGAGCGCTTTCCGTGTCCGGGTGGCAGTGCGAGAGAGTATGGCAGCGAGGTGCGGGGCAGTCTTTGACAACTTTTCTAGCTCGTCTGTAGGACCGGCACTGGAGCATCGAGGATTAAACTTGGAGGGGTGAAATTGGATAGTTAAAAACTTGCGGTTTCGGCTGTTTTGTGATACCATACTTTGCGAGAGTCGAGTATAATGAGCGAGCTAGACGTGGCTTCTTGGCTGGTGGGGGTAAATCTGCAGCAGAGGCGGAAGGCACCACCGCTTCGTCCAGGATATGGAGGGCATCTTCGAGTTTGCGCTGCAAGCCTCGTCAGAAAATGCTGATGGGAGACTTTGTGAAGGTAACGGACTTTGAACGACTTCTCCTGCAGGGTTGAAGGTGCAGCTGCAGTCGAGGTGGAGGCAGTTGTCTGGGACATGCTTGGAGTCGTAGTGGTGGATGGAGCGTGGCGTGGCGTAGCCGCTGAGCGCCCGCACAGCGAGCACAAATAAGCGCCCCAATGATGCGATCACGCGACGAGTTTTATCTGAATTCCCCTGAAGGAAGAAAAAACTCACAAGATGTATGTACATTTAATTATCCAACAGTAAAGACACACATCATTCCTGCAAAGAAGGCTAACCCGGCTCACCAACGGACCCACGAAGTCGCATCGCCATCCGCCTCCCAGTTATTCTCGCCCTTTCCCGCGTCTTTTTTGCCTCCATCGCCTCAGCCTGGACCGTCTTCAGGATACCCACGACAGTACGTGCCGCCGCCACATCATCCCGGAGGTAGAACGACTTGATGAACATCCTATACAAAGGCCGCACATGCCTCCTGAAGGAAAGCTCCCCCGTATTGAGTTTGGACATTTCGAAACCTTCAGGTGCCGGCCCAGCACCTGTCCCGAACGGTAAGACTCCATGAACGTCGAAACCACGACCACAAGGATACCCGTTGAGAACCAACCGGTCAAACAGGGCACGGAGCTTCCCACTGTCCACCTCATTCCCCCAGTGCATGAGCGCCTTCAACAGGATATTGACCGTCACGCGATCGGGCACGAAGTCTACCTTGGCAGTGAGCTCCGCCATGGTGTCCAGTACCTTACGCATCCGCCGCGCGTTGCGTCGCTTGCGGTGCAAAAGACTCGCGTGCACGATCATGTTGCCCATCACCGTCTGTGCGCGCGAAGGCTGATGCTCTCGCATCTCGCCGTACATCTGCTTGGCCTTGCGGAGGCGACCTGGGAGGGAGAGGAGATGCAGCGCATACTGTGCTCTGGGGCTTTTGTGTCCGCTCGCCCGAGTAATGAGACTGGGGATTTTCAGCGTTGATCCCTTCGAAGAAGGAAGTCTCTGGAAGCCAACCGCTCGTGCCAACGAAACTCCGAGGGAACGCCCAGAATGGCGCATCGCCATATGCGAGGCTATAGTCGTCGCCCCTCCCTGGGCATAACGCACCACAAGCATTCTCAGCGACGCCAACCTGTGATCTGGGTATAAAGTTATGCTAAGATCGAAGACTCGCTTTGCAAGGTGAAATTGCCGGCGATGGAGAAGCGTCCGGAGGAAAGTCGAAAGAAAGGCAATCGTGAAGAACGAACGATCGGAACGAATAATTCCCCTAAGGATGGTGACGGCTTGAGACAAGTTACCAGAGTTCAGCAGCACAAGCAATGCGCTCTCAACGCGTTGACGTAAACCTTTCGGCGGGACAGAATGCGAGAACAATGCCGACATGGCGCCGCCCACACCACTGATGAACTGGCGGGGTAAGGATTGGATGCCATGGCGGACCAGGATGGACAACATCGGACGAAGAACCCGCAGTTGCTGCTGAGACGACAGGCGAATGTCTGCAAAAATATCAAGCGCGAGAACCCCAAACCCTTGCTTTGCCATGTTGACAGCCAGAACGGTGAGAGTCTCCGCTGTAACATCTATTCCTGCACTTTGTGCCACGGTCTGCAGCTCCTGCGCCTTCTCTACGTCGATGTGGGAATAGCGCGATACGCACGCGCTGACAATCGTTGAGACTAACTGTGGATCACCGACATACTCCAAAACCAAATTGAGCGCAGGATTCATCCAGACACCGCAGGCCAGAGAACACGTCAAATGTTCCTGCGCCAGAGCTCGTATTCCCAGCCAAGTGGTAGGCTCGGAATCCTTCACTCGCCATAGACCCGAGCGCACGGAATATTCTTGGCAAGCAGAGCGTAGTGTCCGGTTCTCCAGGCGACCAGCGAGGCTCAAGAAGGATGCACATATCGCCCGAGCTACGACGGGCGGGTGTGAACTATCCGAGCGGACTGTGGACCAGTCTCTCCATAAGGTCTCGAGGACGCGGCTGACTCCCTGGGTCACTTCACCGTGGAAGGGTGGGGAAGCAAATCGTTCTGCAGTGCGAAAAAAGCGTTCTAAGGAAGCAAGGGCACAAACCACCTGCCAGTCGGCGACATCGGCGTTCTGAGACAGCTTTGACAGGTTTGGGGTGCTCTGGCCTCTCATACTACCTGGAGCACTTTGGGCAAGAGCCAGAAGGAATAAACAGCTCCAACGAACATCTGTGGAAAACCCGTTGCGAAGGTCAGGGGAGAGGACTGTCTGTGCCACAGAAACGGCCCAATCCGAGAGTTCACGGTGTAGAGAATCCGTAAAGTGGTAGGCTTTCTTGTCAGAGAAAATCGCGGTATTCAGAGCAGTTGTCAACTCGTGGATGTGAACGTCGCGAGCATGGTCGACACGTGAATCAGATCGGGAGGCTCGATTCACGCCGCAGCCGAGAGGTTCCCCTTGGAGCCGGTGCCACAATACAAGTAATGTTCTCTCCTTCAAAGTGGATGGCAATTCATGATCCGATCGCAACACTACCTGCCAGAGCAGGGCGAGCAACCGAGGGTGAAAGCGCTTATGCTGAGTGAGCAGATCACAAAGGCAGGACACAAGTTCGAGTATGCGCTCTGAGGTCGGGAACGATAATAACGCATGCAGATAGGGGACATGCACGTCAAAATGCGGCTGAACGAGGTATATCTTGCGGTAATGTTGCCCGGCCAAGCACAGAGCACGCTCGACAGAAAGCGAACACGCTGGCGAAGTCAAGTGAATGAGCACGAACATCATGTAGCAGCCAAGGACCACCCACAGCTCATGGCGTCCTCACCATCCGACGACGGCAGCTCCGCAAGATAAGCCCGCATTACCCAAAAACGATCGGAAGGGTTCAATGGCTGTCCCGAGGCGCGTTTGAGACCTGCTACCTGTTTCACCAATCCCCAATGGGGACGTCCACTGCCTATAACATGCCCCGCCAAGGGGTGCGCATAGACGGAGCGATAAAACTTTTCCGGGGTGGAAAGAGAAAGTGACCCGAACAGGCCGATAAGAGCGCTCAGATCGGCCGAGCTGAGCAAGGGCAGTTGGTCTTGGGCTTTGGCAGAAAAATAGAGCCTTCGAATATAGCTAAGATAGTGCCTGGCGGGCGCAATCGACGACGTTTTGGGTGGGGAGAGAAGGCGATGAAGTTGGACAGCAGACAAATCAGCGGGTTTGCCATCAGATGGAGGTGAGATGCCCTCCACATTCCCTGACAAGGAGGAATCTGCGTCCGAAGAACCAAGTGTACGTGAGTCGTGGTGTCCAACGACTTCCGTGCTAGTGGTCAAGATGTTGGAAGGCGTAGAAGCGTCTACCACGTTCGTCTCTTGAGATGGAGGATGGACTATGTGAGAAGAGCCTACTCCTTTACCGAGCATGGGCATGCTGGCCAAGTCCAGAGGCGCGGCACACGTGGGGCAAAGTACGATGCGAGAACTGCCACCTTTCCGATCGTCCGACCGCGACCTGCCGGAGACAAACTCTACATCGGTGTTATATTCCAAGGAGGACAAATCCGCCTGGAAGGATGTTACATGTGGTCGCGAGGATTTATCGCTCTTGTTATCTTCTGTATACCTGTCCAGCTTGAGCGAGGAATACGCGCGCGACAAAAATGGCCTGAACAACAAATTAGACACTAAACACGCGTGAGCGAATACAACTCACGCAGAAGAGGGTAAAGATCTAGCACGACTGCCTGCGACTCTGACGGTCGACAGGCACCATCGCCACATTCCATTGCATGGAAAGCTCTTCAGCAGCGCGTCACTGTCTCAAAATAACGCGCCTGGCCTGCCCGGCGACCACTACGCGTCAACAGCCACAAATACGTCTCTGCTCCTTCTTCAATGTGGATGAGGAACGGCCAGAGCGAGATGGCGGAAGAGTGTCAACTGTAGCAGTCGACACCGTCGGTGCGCGCCAGCGCCATGGCCACGTGGTTCTATTTGTTCGTATTTGAACCTCTCTCGGCAAGCCCCGACCGCTACCAAACTCAAAATCCAAAACTGGCACGCCACTGCATCCCGAAAAGTTGGCAGGCCGGCCACCGCGCAATTGCATACTACACGCCCAGTCGCCTTGAAAAATCCTTTGGCACGCCAGGTGAGGGAGCATCACTGAGGTTCGCATGAAACTGTTAGTGATAATGTGACTTGCAGCGGCAGAGGTCAATAGGGAGGCACTGATTCATCCACGACATTCACATTAATCCCGTCATGTGAGTTATCGCGCTCGCGAACGTGGTGGGACGGTTGTAACGAGCTGCATTCGCAGCTCGCAAAAGTACAATGGGTGCTACTCGCGCACAGAAGGAATTATACTTTATCAAACTCAAGGAGCTGATTGCCAAGTACTGTGAGTCTTCGGCCGGTCCTGTGTCTCATCTGTTTCTCATACTGTGCCTAGCTTCGATCTTCGTGGTCAATGTCGACAACGTCGGTTCCAACCAGATGCACCAGATCCGCGTCGCTCTCCGCGGTAAGGGTATCGTCGTGATGGGCAAGAACACCATGGTCCGCCGCGCACTCCGCTCCATCCTTAGCGAATACCCCCAGTTTGAGCGGCTTCTCCCCCACGTCAAAGGCAACATCGGTTTCGTCTTCACTTCTGGCGACCTCAAGGATGTGCGTGACCTCATCACCGCCAACAAGGTAGCCGCTCCCGCTCGTGCGGGCGCCCTTGCGCCCAAGGATGTCAGCATCCCTGCCGGAAACACCGGTATGGAGCCGGGCAAGACGTCCTTCTTCCAGGCTCTCGGTATCCCTACCAAGATCGCGCGTGGCACGATCGAAATCGTGTCCGACGTTAAGGTCGTTACCGCTGGCACACGTGTCGGCCCGTCCGAGGCGATGCTGCTGAACATGCTGAACATCTCGCCGTTCACGTACGGGATGACGGTCATCCAGATCTTCGATCAGGGCAACGTGTTCACGCCCGATGTGCTCGACGTCACCGACAAGGAGCTCATCGACCGCTTCCTCTCCGGCGTACAGACCATCGCGGCAATATCGCTTGCGCTGCATTATCCCACCCTCGTGTCTGTCATGCATTCCCTGGTCAACTCGTACAAGAACCTCATTGCTGTCTCCCTTGCCACGGATTACACCTTCGAGGGCGCAGAGAAGGTGAGTTTCTGCGGAGTCGTGTACACAAATCTTATCCGAAGATGTTTATTTACCCTTACACTGAAAATGCTGAGTGTCTCAAGGACGCATGCTGTTCGATATAGATTTCTGTTCTCTGATGGATTTCCATTTCACAATGTGTTATTCCCTTTGTTGTTCCGAACTTCGTAATTCACCGCTGATCTCTCCGACAGGCGAAAGAGTACCTCGCTAATCCCGACGCGTTCGCTGCTGCTGCCCCTGCGGCTGCCTCTGCGGAGGCTGCTCCCGCGGCGGAGGCGGCCCCTGCTAAGGAGGAGGAGAAGGAGGAAGAATCTGACGAGGACATGGTACGTGTCCACCTTGACAATGCAGCCAGTGCGAGCAGCGGGCTGAGGCAAAGTTGCAGGGTTTCGGTCTCTTCGATTAAGCTGTATCCACTCTGCGCACGTACATGCTACTCATGTCCTGTATCGTCTCACGCCCAAAATACGTCCTTATATTGTTTCTATATCTTTTGTGCGAGTCTCGGGGTTTGTCTGGTGCTCTACTCGGCGCTCTCTTTTGTGCGGCGGTACGGCCAAGGCACGGCTACTGGGGCACCTACCATGATTCCCGCAGAACTGTGCGGTAGAGGTGCAAAGATATACGGATGTGTGGACAGATGACCTGAGTGAGCACGAGCGCGACGGAACCATTGGGTGCTATCCGGTCTTGCATCGATCAGCTCTTATCGCGTCTTTTCTTACTAACGGACCGAGATGATCCCTACTTAAGAGTGCGGTGGCGACATCGAGTAGACAGGTGTCGAGGACACCGTTTGCTCGCATCCTACTAACCACACCCAAACCCTCCACCACCCCGCAATACATATCATGCCCGCCGTCACCCCCGGAACTGGAAAAGTGCTCGTCACAGGCGCGAACGGCTACATCGCGATCTGGGTCGTGCGTACGCTACTCGAGCAGGGCTACGCTGTGCGCGGCACCGTACGCTCCCACATCAAGGCGAAGCACCTGCACAAGACGTTCAAGTCTTATGGTGATAAGCTGGAGATCGTCATCGTCGAGGACATCACCAAGGTGAACCGCCGTGTCCCACCTCGGTGCCGCCGTCTTGTCCTTGACACTGAACTGGGTTGTAGGAAGGCGCGTTCGACGAGGCTGTTAAGGGCGTCGTCGCGATCGAGCACACCGCGTCGCCCTTCCACTTCAACGCCGTCGAGCCCGACGAGCTCATTGGTCCCGCGGTAAACGGCACGCTGAGCGTCCTGCAGAGCGCGCTCAAGTACGGCTCTGCAGTCAAGCGCATCGTCGTCACGTCCTCCTGCGCCGCCGTGCTCACCGTCTCACCGGAGCCGCACGTTTTCAGCGAGCTCGACTGGAACAACAAGTCCATCAAGGAGGTCGAGGAGCAAGGGCGCAACGCGCTCGGGGCGTCCAAGTACCGCGCCAGCAAAACGCTCGCGGAGCGGGCCGCATGGGATTTTGTCGCGAAGAACAAGGAGCAGCTCAGCTGGGACCTCGTCGTGCTGAACCCGCCGTACGTGTTCGGCCCGGTCTTGCACGCCGTCGGAGCGCACGAGCAACTCAACTCGTCCATGCACGAGTGGTTCTTGACCGTGTTTAAAGGCGCGAAGGACAATGCTGCGCTCGGTACCGGGTGTGTGTCACGCGCTGCTTCTGAGAGGTTGTGCTGAAGCGACTATCGCGCTATAGCTCAAGCTGGATCGATGTGCGCGACCTGGCAGATGCACACACGCTTGCACTGGTGAAGGCGGAAGCTGGCGGCGAGCGCATTATCGTGTCTGCCGGCGCATACAACTGGCAGGACTGGTGTGAGCGTGCTGTATCGTTTCACGTGTGTCTGCTGATCCGCCTCGGCAGTGAACGCCGCGCGCAAGTTTGAGCCATCCACTCCTGCAGGAAACGAGTCGTACAAGCCTGAGGAGGCCGTGTACGTCATCAAATACAACACGGCGAAGGCGGCCAAGTTGCTCGGACTGAAGTACCATACGATTGAAGAGAGCACGCGCGATATGATTGCAGACTTCAAGGTACGCGGATGGTTGAAGTAGATTACTGGCGTTGTACATGCACGACAGGCAGATTCATCGAAAGCAGGTTGAGTGTCGCAATTGTAGAAATAGATTCATCTCGTCAGACCACCGTTTACAGCAAGGTTCATGCGTTTGCATATGTATACTATGCCCCTTCCGCGCAGATCTGACAACGAGCACTGATCAGGTTTCTCGGAGGTGGTACCGGCCCACGAGTGTTGAAGTAGCCGAGCAACCGGTACCGCGGTTTGAAGGGCATATTCGCAAGCTTGCGATAGAGTGATTCATTCAAGTTTTTGTCGAGACAACTTTTAACATACAGAAGCTGCTATCCGATTTTTGGAGAAGAACCAGAGCGGAGAACTCACTTCCGGGAAATCCATAGTAGTGTTCAAATATAAGCTCCTACATTACTTTCTACACCACCTCACGCCCAAACTACAATTCATCGGACAAACTGATGGTAAAAACGAGCGTGCTGGAAAGGACTCTAGGGGGAATGCACGTATACATAACGTTCTTAATGCCTGTACGGCTTACACCGGCGCAGACAACAAGGGAAGGATCAAACGAGTGACTGCGACTTCCCGGTCGAAGAGTAGTCGTCGTCCTCGACCTGCGTGAACGGAGTCGGGCCCTTCCCGTCGTTGACATCCCTGGTGACGTGCTGGAAGATCTCGATGGGGCGCTGATAAAGGCAGGTCAAGGCATGATTCGACGATCCATTGGATAGAGATGGACAGGATGATAACGTACAGGTATCTGGGGCTCCGTCTGATTCTGGCGCCTGGAGTTCAGCTCAACCGAGTTCGAGTGGGGATCCTGGCTCGTGCTCTTGCCCCCGCCCTGCCGAAGTGTGCGCGCATTCAGGCTGTACGAAGCAGAATGTCAGTATCCCTCTGGACGCCATAATGCGGATGCGTACGTTGCGAGGAACGAGTTCGCGTAGACTAGAGGGGATTTTGAATAATGCTGCGACAACTTCTAATATGAAGTACGTACGCTTTCCCTGAACATGCACGAGTCCGACAAAGACGAGGCTGTTCTTGACGAAGACAAACTGATGTAGATTTGGGTCAACATTTGACATACGAGGAGTGTACTTGACCTACGGTGAGCACGATGCTGATCGAGACGAACCTGTGTAAAAACGTCAGCAGTCTGCTTGAAAATTTGAACCAAATTATACTCGCATTGTCAGGGCACCAGAATTGATGACGTAGGACTGCATACTTCGGATGAGTTGGTCCGTGCTGAAAAGATCAGGTATCAAGATGGAACAAGATGAAGAGTGAAAATTCCAGCACACCCTTGGAAACCTGTCCGGCTGCGCCGCAGATAATAAATGAGGATCACTGCGATGGCCAGGTCTGTCGCCGCCGCAAAACTGAGGCCGCAGGTGACTGTGAACTAAGAAATCGGCGAAGAGGAATGGGTCGTCTGGGTGAATCAATCATGAACCAAGATACAACGTACGAAGGAACCTTTGCGCTTGTCAAATTCTGCCCATGTGCTGGTCGTTAATCTATAGTTGGTCAAGAATTAGTAAGGATGTGCCCTAGCATCTACAGAGATACATACGTCAGAACGCCGGAGCCTCGATTTGAACAAGAAGCTCAGTGTCAAAGTCTCGTTTAGTATGGAATTGAACACCCGCACCCCAGCTCAAGCCTGTATAATGCAGGCAATGTGAGCATCCTAACGCGCGAAGGGGAAAATGCGACGTACCGACACGAGCGACCAGCAATACGCTCTACGAGGCACATTATTAGAAAAAATAGGTGAAGATATCAATATCACGAACTGGTATTGTGGTGACAATGATGGATTTGTGGCTCACTAGGCAGAATCAGACCAGTTGTCAATCACGATTGAGAAAAACAACGCACGAATCCATATACGACGGATGAAGAAGCTGCGAAATGCAAATCAGTGTCACGAACTGTATATCGGAACATTTCCGAATGTACCCTTGTACGAACGCCGCAACAATGACCTAAATTTCAAGGAACTTCGATTGCAAGGACCGACATATCACAGGAAGAAGTATGACATACCTCGCTAAACACTGAAGCCTACAGTAACTAAGATGAGTTAAAATAGTGTTACCATTACTGATGGGCTTACCCCAGTACTCCTGCGTTGTCCTGTGAGCACTCTGCTGAACGTAAATAGCAGACAATTCCTCACCAGATGATAAGGGATGCCTCAGCTACGTTTCCAAAACCGGTGATCACATAATGATATATCATATGCAGACAGAACGCCGTATGTAACGTTTCCAGTATCCTAAGACATGTCAACGAGCAGAGACGAAAGAACATAATTTTTGCTCACCATACGAATAGAACGGTCCACCTGATGATCCTGACGTCGTTCGGGAAATTCCACCAATAAAGGTATGACTGTGCTGTCGTGATTCCGTACAACCTAGATCGATGGTGGGTTCGCGCCCTCAACAAGACAGGCAGGTACTTACATTGCAGCGAGGGAAATCGCAATGAACAGGCCTCCGAAGAGGTCTTCCGCGACGCTGGCCACGTCTGCCGCTTCTGCTCCTGATGCCATTGTTGCAAGAGGATACCAAGGATGTCCACGAGATAAAACTACCGGGAGGACAGCGCTCAAACGACCCTTGGACGTTGTGGAGACATACACCAGGTTAATATTCCTCTGGGATAGAAGACTGGCGAAATCAAAGGTCGGACTGGGCTTGAAGGAAGAGGCAATTGTTTGGCGGCCGGAAGAAGTACTGGAAGAAGTACGGACTCTGTGTGATAGATGATCTGACCGAAATTTGCATATACCGTAGATAGCAAGGTAATTCAGTTTCCCCGATACCGTGGTCCGTTGCTAGACCTTCCGGAGCCAACACCCCGGTAGTGGAACGGCAGCTTACCTATGAAAATGTTTTCCGCGCAAGCGCGGCAGAGACACCAAATACTCGGCCTCCTCCATCTCTCAAGCAGCACGAGAATCAGGGCAGTTCCGCGATCATAGCCTGGCTGCGAACATATCCTGCAAAGACAACACCACTCGGTGGGCCCCTCAAGTCATGCACCTTACCAGCAGGCTTTGGCGGCGGCACAATAACTAGAGGATGTTGACTCGCGAGGGCGGAAAGTGACGAAATACGAGTCCTGCTCGGGGAGTAGGAGATCTAGTGCACCGGTTTCACATTTTCTGCTTGAGGTCAAAAGTTTCTCGGCCGGCTGCTGTTACCATAGGTTGCTACCTGATACCGTGCAATGTTAAAAATTGAAGCGCTCACAGATCTTCTACGGAAGTCTACGATGTTTGCGAACGATGGTGGCGCTGCTAAAAATTTGTCGGAAAAACCTATCGTGCCTAATAAGGCGACGGATTTTGACCTCCTTGCGAAGAAATTAGGGCATTTTGAGTGATTTTAGCACCATTTTTCTCCCGACAAGGCAGTTACAAGTCCCAAATAAGTAGATGTCAGGCAATGTCCGTTGCAAGGCACTTTTTTTTCCGACATTATTTACAGCGCTTTGCATAAGTAATTGCGTGAAAAAATTGCACTATTTGGCTGGCGCAAACAAAGCCATAAACGGAAGGAGGCAGGTCGAATCAAGAGTTCGCAACGAAAGTACCGTTTGTCATGCAAAAACCTCATAAGAAAAATGAGCGGGCCACATATGATGTTCAGAGGCCCTGGGACGGGCTGAAAAGTGTTGCGGACTCCAAACGACAAATGCCGAGGAGAGCCCTGAATGCCGCGGGTGGCTGGCAAACTCGACCTTCTCCATATGGGTTTATTTGCACGGGCCAAATAGCGGAAAAAAATCCGCGGGTTTCACGCAATATGCAAAGCGCTGTAAGCTTCTGTCTGACAGGACAACACACCAGAAGTTTGCTGCCACATGCAAAACTTATTCCTTCTGTCACTAGCCATCGAAAAATTCCTGTTCGTGAGGGTAATTTGATCTTCCGCCGCTCCTGATTTTTTACTGAGATCCAAAGTCTGAGTGGGTGGCCTAGGCGTCGAAGTCACCCTCATCAACAACTTTGTCGATCGGAACTCCACGCTGCTAAGGAGCTCGGAGGCAGTTTAGAGCTTGAGCATAACAACGCGAAGGCCAATACGCGGGCGCCGCCGTAGGCGCAGCGCGACTTTGCAATTTCTATTGCAAAGTTAGTGCAGAGTGGCATGTGCGCTCACACCCACTGACGCCGGTCTCGCGGTTGCGGCGTTGATTATCTCGGATGTCGGTGGTCTTTTACTCTCCCCATCGGACGCCGGTGCCAGTGTGTCCTGGACCGGTACCGTATACCTGGTGTTGCTCACCCTGCTCATTCCTATAACATATCGGCAGCTCGAGATTCTGCACTTATCCTCGCCAATTTATGCGTGGGCCTGCACGCGGGTGTACCCACGCATATAACCGTGGTACACCATAGGACTTTAATTTTCTCTGCGAGGGCCGCCTTTGCGGGAGATACTTGACAATTCTGTGCACACCCAACATGTATTATCATTTAATCCGTACAACCAAGACGAAGATCTCGACGCTACCTGGCACGGTGATCCTATTCACAATATCGGTAGATGAGTGCAGTGAGACTCGTGTACGGATTAAATCCTAGGACGTGGAAGAGGGGAATATAGCTGCGCACAAATAGATCAACAGCTGAGTGAATCACGAGCAGAACTACTCCGTGGGGATTCCGCGCAGCATTCAGGGTACGACGGTACCCATAAATAATTGACGAGACCATCTAAAGCAAACGAGTGTCATCGAAATAAGGAGGACGACATGTACAGAATTTGAGGAAGGTGGCACATACTCTGAACCACGACGATTTCCATGCGCAAGTAGCTGGAGTAACCGGATGGGTTGACTGGGCACTAGGACTTTGCTGTGGCTGAATGAGTCCTTGTTTGAGGTACTACTCCATCGTCATCCGCAAGACGTTGTACGTCTACAGCATCGTTGAGTAACAGAGCACGGCTTAACCGGTAGATACGCTTATCGCCTCGCCGCACCATGCTTCGAGCACCTGCCGGTGGACGCTCAGGTATGCATCGACAATCTCGGGAGTGATGTACTCGCGGAACTCGCTCGAAAGACTCATGATGAAAACGTCGGGTCGGGAGCCTTCATGAGCTGCTACAGGCGCGCGTATTCGTTGTCGTTGAACCACCTCCAAACGTCGGCGTGCCGGAGTGCAGCGAGGCGACGACGACGGGGTTTTCGTACTCGTCGTACGCCTGCCGCAGCGAGACGAGAGAGCGCATGAGCGGGTTCGTCGCATTCATGCGCTCTCACCCCTCGCGCCGCGGCAAGTCCTTGTGCCTTGACACGCGGCAAGGATCTCAGTGACGATACATAAGACGGGCGAAGAAAGACATACTCCGCGTTCGCCTCCACGCGCATCCCGCCACCGGCGATGCCCGCCTTCGCACGACGCATTTCTCCTCGAATCCGCCGTGCTTTGGGCCCCAACTGCATCTATGAACGTCTCAGAGAGGGCTTTTTAGGCAGCTGTTTTCCGAATAGGCTCCATCATCATTGCGATTGTCGATTGCACCATGGCAGATGCCCTGGAACACTGTAAACATGCACAAAAAGAATACAACCAGAGACGTGCTGCGCGTATAGCGCTGTCCTCTGTCGTTTTGAGTACCTCAGAGACGCAGTCACCCACCTTGACACTGGTCTTGCGGAGCTCCTCCGCTGCAGTGCGCTACTGCGGGTTTACCTTGAAAGCTCGACCTTAACTGCAACAAGCCTCAGCATCCGGCATCCAGCGCAATGGCAGCAGAGACGCTCCCTGGTCTGCTCGCACGCCGCGCGGGCGTGGTGCATGCGTTGGAGTTTTAGAATTTGTTGACATCGCTCTGAAGCTGCAAGTTATCCTGGAATTCGCGGTTATTCCAGCTCCTCCCGGGGGACCTCGAGAAACGTTTGGAACGGCAACTTGGGATCATCCTGGCGGTGCGAGGAGGAGTGGAACGCCGATGAGGGCGGGAGGCGGGACTCGGGACCTTAACCGTCTCCCGCAGTCTCTCGGCCGACTCTGGGTCGTCGGTGCTGTCACAGACAGTGAGCTAACAGTGAGCTAAGCAGCATACACGGTGAACTCGGATACAGGGGGTCCTTGTATGCTCCGTAACCCTGCCTTCTAATTTGCTTGTAATAGAGGAAGAAACATATTTTGACTCTAGTCGTGGAGTGGCGCGGCCCGTACATCGTCAGCAACTATAGTGGCAACGACGACGTGCCGCAGCGTCGCGGGCCGATTTTTGTCACAAATGTCATATTCTTTTGCGGCGAGGTTTGCAATTTGATGACATTCGCATCTATTCGCATGCGTCCTGTACCTGTACATAAGTATGACAGACGACTGTTGTACTAGAAGTTCAGAAGTAGAAGCTCGGAAGGACTGGACAAGGATTGCCGCCCACCTTCTGACTGCCATTCTGCAGATGTGAGTTAGTCGGGCATTGCCGGGCAACGTCATTTTTGTGCGACGCGTGATTGCATTGACTTGTTCCGGAGTACTTGGCTGCGCTCGACGGTAGTGTTATCATCAGCAAGAACGCGATACGTAGCGTTTCCACAGTGTACAGAGGACGTCTACAGGCCAACGGCGTGTAAGAAACGTCGCGCCGAGTCTCGACGGTATGTACTGTACGCACTCGTGCTTCCGGCTGCGCTTACATAGCTTACATGTGTTCCGGGTGGATAAAAGGTGCCATGGGACATTGCCTAGGTAGCCCTTAATAATCCCGTCCTCCCCCGCTCAAGAAGGGTTTATCTTGTAGTCTGCTTACAGGAGACATGGCCTGAGTAAGTCTAAACCCCCGTCGACATCCGATCTTGCTCGGTCAGCTCTTGTTGCGTTGTTTCTTACCAAACTTTTCTTACTTAAGGGGCGGAGATGACCCGTATTTTAAAGTGGTAGACAGACGTAGAGGTCGATCTCTGTTCGCATCGCATCAACCACATCCAAACCCTCCACCACCCCGCAATACGTATCATGCCCGCCATCACCCCCGGAACTGGAAAAGTGCTCGTCACGGGCGCGAACGGCTACATCGCGATATGGGTCGTGCGTAGGTTACTGGAACAGGGCTACGCCGTGCGCGGCACCGTGCGCTCCCATAGCAAGTCCAAGCACCTATATGAGACGTTCAAGTCCTACGGAAATAAGCTGGAGATCGTCATCGTTGAGGACATCACCAAGGTGAGCCCTTCCCGTCCCCTACTGCGCGCTGATACTGAACCTGGGCCGTAGGAAGGTGCGTTCGACGAGGCTGTTAAGGGCGTCGTCGCGATCGAGCACACCGCGTCGCCCTTCCACTTCAACGCCGCCGAGCCCAACGACGTCATCTTCCCTGCGGTGAGCGGCACGCTGAGCGTCCTGCAGAGCGCGCTCAAGAACGGCTCTGCAGTCAAGCGCGTCGTCGTCACGTCCTCCTGCGCCGCCGTGCTCACTGTCTTGCCGGAGCCGCATGTCTTCACCGAGCTCGACTGGAACAACAAGTCCGTCAAGGAGGTCGAGGAGAAGGGACGCAATGCGGCCGGCTCGGACAAGTACATGGCAAGCAAAACGCTCGCGGAGCGGGCTGCATGGGACTTTGTCGCAAAGAACAAGGCGCAGCTCAGCTGGGATCTCGTCGTGCTCAACCCGCCGTACGTGTTCGGTCCAATCCTGCACGCCATTGGACAGCGCGAACAGCTCAATACGTCCATGCACGAGTTGTTTTTCGCTGTGTTTGAGGGCGCGAAGGACAAGGCTACACTTGCTACTGGGTGCGTGTGGCACGGTGCTTCTTAGAAAGGGTTATGCTGAAGCGACGTTTCCGCTATAGGTCAAGTTGGGTCGACGTGCGCGACCTGGCAGACGCGCACGTGCTCGCACTGGTGAAGGCGGAAGCTGGCGGCGAGCGCATTATCATTTCTGGCGGCGCATACAACTGGCAGGACTGGGGTAAGTATGCCCGATCGTTTCTCGTGTGTCCGCTGCCTGACCAGCCACGACAGTAATCGCCGCGCGCAAGCTCGAACCATCCACACCGGCAGGAAACGAGTCGTACAAGCCTGAGGAGGCCGTGTATGTCACCAATTACAACACCGCGAAAGAGGTCAAGCTGCTCGGGTTGCAGTACCACACGCTTGAGGAGAGCACGCGCGATATGATTGCAGACTTCAAAGCACGCGGATGGCTGAAGTAGATCGTTCAATTGTACGTGAACGACAAGCAGACATCGGAAGAATAGGCAGTTTTTGCATAGACGTGTCGCAATTGTAGAAAATTCTCCTAGATTCATCACCTATGCATTGTTGGATCAGCGTTAAAGTTCTATGTGTGGCTCCAGATGGTCTTCACAACGGAGACTCCAGATGTCACTCATCTTGACATGCGAAAGTAGGTTGTCGCCAAGCTCGTCTGAAGGGGTGCCAAGCGTATGCTATTTCAACTCAAAGCTATGTACATAGGTGTCGCAAAAATCAAGGATTGTCGCTGCGAAAACAGCATATCGGTCTTATGGAGATATTTAATCTGGGCCCTTGAACAAGTTTGCTGAACTAAGTAGTGCAGCAGCAACGGCGGGAAGGTGCGAATGGAGCAAGGGCATCGCCTTAAACCTAATATCACCGCTGTCAGATCTCAGATTTCCGATTCCTCACCCATTATTGCAAGCTTGTACATGCATAGGGCTTCTCAATTCTTATGCTCGCTTTCCAGTTCGCGCGCTCTGCCTGGGGTAGGAAGATTAGCCAGAATTACCCGACTGATGCCAGTAGATCCAGATCTCAGCTACGTCCAGCGCGGTGAGCACAGCGCTGCACAGCGTCGGGGATATCACCGTTTCTTCGTGCAAAATCTTTGAAGATCACATTCTGGGAATTCTGTTCACTTCTCTCTTGAGCAGCAATCACTTTGGACAATGATAATATACAGTATTTATGAGTCGTAGCATGGTTCAGTGCGGCCTCAGCCTTGTCGGCCGTGCAGCGATCTCGGGATCTAATATTGGCCCATCACTCGGCTAATCCTGGCTAATCATCCTACCAGGCAAGGCGGGCGAGCTGAAAAACGAGCACAAGAATTGAGAAGCCCTATGGGCCACAATTATTATTTAAGTACTTACTCTATTGATTCAACGTCTCGGGTGTCCTAGCATTGAAAACACGTCGCAAGACCTCACCTCGAATGATGACTTGGCAGTCCATGCTGCTCTGTGCGGCACAGAAGGCTCGGGGTGCACATAGGCTCATGGTGCATCACCGCGCGCTCATGCGCGCTCGGGCGAGCCACCGATAGTAGTGGCTGTTCAAACATGGGACTCCGACTATATTCCCTTGGGCTTCCCTCCTGGTGAGGCACGTATAAAATGCCATGTTGCTGGCACGAAGTCTCCATCATCTCCTCAACCTCTGGTACGCGGTCACATGTTTGTGGTTCCGTTGACTCTCCTGTCGCTCTGCTCCTGCTTTGCCGCGATCTATGCCGCGGCCGATCACAACCCCATCTTCAAGAACACGACAGCTGTTGTGACGGTCAACACCACGAACGAGAGCCAGCTCGGGTTCACCAATTCGTGGGGGCTCATTGGAGAGTACACCGCGACCGTTTACATCCAGGGCCAGCCGTTCCAGGTTATTATTGACACTGGCAGCTCAGACCTATGGATCTACAACTCCCAAAATCTGACGCTGGACGGCCTCATTCCCACTGGGCACAGCAGGAGCGACACCTATGAGTGAGTAGAGCTCTCGCCTCGACGGCAGTGTGCACAATATTCATACTTCGCTCATGGTAGTGACGGGACTTATATTGATGGGCCGATCGTGCTCGCGAATATCTCCCTTGGCCAGTATACAGTGCAAGCACAGGCGTTCAGTTTGTATCTCAACCATTCCGGCGCTTTTTGGTACTTACCATGTTACTCCAGTCAACTCCGAATCCGCTGCTGCTGAATTTGGCAGTTCTGCCGACGGTATCCTGGGTGTCAGTTCGTACGTGTAGCAATCGACGTTCTGCCTTGCCTCCACTGATATTGTAATTTGGGTAGACCGTTCGTTTCCCCTATTCTAGAAGAACTATACAGCAATAGCCCAGACAATGGTTGGCCATTCCTGTCAAATGTAAGAACCTACGATTTCTCAGAATCACGAGATCCTATTGCTCAAACACGTTGTAGCTATTCAACAACAATCCCGACATGGAACCGTACATTACCTTATACCTTACACGTTCTTCTGTTGGCGTAGTTGACGGCGGTGCTCTCACGATCTGTAAGTTCGCTGATACACTCTTGGTGCGTATGCACTGACTGGGTCTGCGTAGCGGAGATTGTGACGAACTTTGAAGCGGTCCTTGAGGCACCTCCATTACCGGTATACTCTGACAATGCCTTCTCCACGTTCATGGATGGTGTTTACTTGGATGGGAAGTTTCTAACTGGCAACTCGTTTGGGTGCGTTTTGTATCTTTCATTTTGAGATGTACAGCGCTTACCCGGTGCTGTTCAGACCCAATGGCACTGGTGTTAATGCTAACCCTGGTCCCAATCAGACTATTGTCCTCCTTGATTCTGGTACTTCCCTGAGTGGGTGTTCACCTTGTCGATTAACTCACATAGTTGTCGGTGTGCTAACTGGTACATTGACAGTGATAGCTCCGCCGTACTATGTCGACGGGATCTACAAGGATATCCCAGGAGCGCAATGGATTCCTAGTATGAAGACTTATTCGGTGCCGTGTTCGACAAAGTTGAACATCAGTATGGTGTTTGGGTTCGTCTACATCTCAATCCCTATTCTTGCAGAACAAATTGTTTATCTGTCGACTCGCGATTCACAGTGAGAGCATCTACGCGGTTGACCCCCTCGACTCCACACATGTCGACGTCAGCGATGATGGTTCTTTCACGTGCATCGGTGCTATCAGTTACAGCAGTGCATCTGGTGGTGTCGGTATGTATCCCTTCTCCAAGTGTGGCGGCTCCAGCTGATCGCCCGGGTTCATTCGTACCATAGATTTCATCCTCGGCAGCTCGTTCCTGCGGAATGTCTACACGCTCTTTCACTGGGGAAACTGGACCGAGAACCGCACGAACCAGCCCTACATGCAGCTACTCTCTGTGCGTCCGGCGCTCAAGTGCACCATCTATTACTGACCGCTTTCCCAGCTCACGGACCCGGACAAGGCCTGGGCGAACTTCGACACGCTCAACTTGGAGCGGATCGGGCAGATTCAGCAGCAGCAGATCCAGGATAACCAGAACTACACGTACCCGAAGACCGTCTCGCAGAGCGTCACGTACTCGCTCACCTCCCCCTCCCTCTCCGCGACCCATTCGGCGGGTGCGTCCAGCACCTCGGGCCCTTCTGCAAGCACCCTAAGCCCGTCGACGGCGAGCACTACCACCCCCGCTGCGGCTGCGAAGCTCGACGCGGCACTCGCTGAGGCGTCCGGCGGCGTGTCGTCGTCATCGACGGTCGATCTCGGTGGGCTCACACGTAACTCGTACATCATTATGGGCCTCATCGCGGGCGTGCTCGTGCTCCTTCTCGGCGTCCTGAGCAAGCTTGTCAGCGACGGCCGGAACCAGCAGTACCGCGCGGTGCCGAACGTCGTACGTCCGCCGATGCATTTCAGCGACAAGCCTTACGAGCCTGAAAGTGAGACGTTCGTGACGCCGTATGACGATCCGGCCAGGCCACATTGAGCATCCCGGTGGTGATGGTTGTGGGCGTCTGGCGGGTGGTGGCCGTTCGTATATGCTTGATTCTTCTTATTTATCATTTTTTCGCTTACGCTCACTCGTTGCATACGCCGATATTTTAGTAGGTAGCTCGTGCTCATGGACTTTTTTCATTTATACATACTAGCTTGAAATTGCATTGTTTCATTGTGTCCGTGCACCCATTCGTCTCGCAATCTTCTATGACAATTCCTTTTGTAAGAAGACGGTTTACAGAAAACTACCGAAGCACCAAGATACAAGGGAGGCTCAGTTTGGTCTCTACAGAGAGTTTCTCAACTTACTTAAATACCGTATTTGTCACAAATTTTAGGAAATGCTTGTAACTCGGAGCGAGGAGCAGAGGGGGTGACAATATCAGGCATCAGCAAAATCCAACTTTTTCTTGCAGAGCTATTTTGACTTTTTGGTCTTACAACCCTTATTTAAAGCAATAAGTCTTCAAATAAGTATCAATAAGTCTGATTTCAGACACTCATGTAATATGCATTAGGCCCTTTTTGACCTTATATCCTTAAATAAGGATCATAAGTCCATTTAAGTCATTTAAGTACCCTTTTAAGTAAAAGTTGGGTTTTGCAGGCGTACATGTTGTTTTAATGCATAATATAGTGAAGACTGTAAGCCAAGCGTGATGCAACCTTTCCAGCAGTCATAGAGCGGAGCATGCATGCATAGCGCAGCGACTCAGCTATGCATAGGGATGCATAGAGGATGCACAGCGGATGCATAGTGGTCGGCATGGGACGCCGCGCGCCCCCTTACCTTTTCCGTCAGTCTTATTCTTAGTTCAATCCTTCCCTTCCATCCCGACTTGGCACTATACCCGCCCGCAGCACCGCCACCCGCCCCACTTCCTCTTTGGCTGCATTGATCCCTTTTTTGCTCAGAACCCTATCTCGACTGGATCTCCTGGATCTGCGGACATGGCCCTTATCTTACCTAGATCTGCGATATGATGTCGGCCTTCTCCCTTACATGTAGCATCTGGATGGGTCCCTACTTACCTACCTACTGAAGAGACCGCCGCACTGCCCACGGTTCACTTGCACTTTGCCATCTGGGATTCATCGACTCGGAGTTCTGTATGTAGCCCTCTCGTAATTCAAATTGAGTAGTTGCAGGACCATACACCCGAATATATTCAAGGAGATTTTTGTCGAGCGGCAGTGTCTTTACCCAAGCTAGGAATTTATAGGAATGTGATTGTCATGCACTCTGTGCTGTATGTTCAATGCCGCCAATTCCTTTGTGCATCACACTGTGCAGTGGTGCACCATCACGCTTGATGCTTGATGCTTGATGCTGTGCGCTGCGCAGTCATTCACGATGCATAATGATGCATAGTGAACGCCACATGGTGTGCACCCTGAGTTGTCCCGTTCAGCGTAGTGCCTTCCGTTATGTATCTCACTGTTGTATGTTAAGGCTGCAAACATAAATGCATTATTTACAACCTAATTACTACAGTAACAAGATATCACAAGCACGAGTACCAAGAAACGGGCACACAAGATAGACTACGTAGCGAGCACCGACACAAGACAGAATATCAAGAAAGCGAAGAAGATAGAGAAATATGACCCCAAGAATGTAAGCATGATGAATGATGAGTGACCAAGAAGTCCAAGAAAATGAATATAAGACGCGATCATAATTCACCGCACATACATATCAGCACAAGACAAACCTCATCGTTTCTTTCGCTTCGGCCCATTGGCAGTGTCCCCCGATTGCCCTTCATTCTCTTTTACTGTTGACTTCCTCTTCGTCATCTTGGACCCATTTTTTGCAGCTGACAGGCCAAACCTTCTCACCTGAGCAGCAGTCAGCTGCCATATCGAGTCCGCCGTCGGAGGGACCTTGTGCGCATGAGATGGGCAAACCAATGCTGAGGTAGGAGGTGTCTCTCCAGTTCCAGGTGGATCGGACATGGCGCTGTCCTCAGTTGGTTGCGGTGGAGGGAGAGGCTCGCCTGGCTGAAGAGCCGCAGTATTGCTGTGGGACTGGACGTTACCTGAGCTATTGGGCGTAGTGACCTCCGGAATCATGCATGCACTTGAAGGAACCATGTTGTCGGGCCCAGCAACCATAGCGGGAGGGATGATCTGTGCAGACCCGGACCCAGACTGCTCGGTAACAGACAAGGATGTTGAGATGGAGGAGTGTACCATGATCGTCGAGACATCAGCCTGATAGGGAACGGATGCGCTGGTAATACCAGAGGCTGAACCGGCAGGGATCACAGGTGGAATTATATGTACAGGGACCCCATCTGGACATACAGCAGCGGCATTGTTTCTAGACATGGCAGGCGCGACAATGGCCACGGAGACTGGATCAGCATCGACAATGCTGGTGGCCGGCAGGTTTTGCTGGAAGGGAATTCCAGGCTCGAGTTGGACAGGCCAGCGTGAAAAGGGTGTTTGACCCCAGTTGTTTGACGGCTCGGGCAGCCGGAGCCGAGCAACATCGTGAATGTCGCACACCGTCGAAGAGGCCGCTGACGTGCCGACACCCAGATTGAGGTCATTGATAGCCCAATCTGTCATATCAGGCGTCCACGATGCAGGGTTGAAGTTCAGCCAGGGAATCTGTTCGCCTTCAAGATCCGACATTGATGGCCATGGGACACCCCAACCATGTGGCGGAAGTTCAAGGGTGCTGTTTAAGTCAGCAGGCACATACCCCGAGTTGTTGGTCATGTCGAATAAGGATGGACCAACGGGGTTTGCCACATGAATAAAGGCGCCTTGTGACATTGAGGACGAGGGCGAAAGCAGTAAAGAATGCAGCAATGGTGAAGAATGCTGCAGTGAAGAAGAGGGGCATGGTGAAGAAGGGGGTAGTGATGAAGACAGTGGTAATGGTGAAGACGGCGGCAATGGCGAAGAAGGCGGCAATGATACGGAAGGCAGCATGGGCGACGATAATTGCGGCGTCAGGGGCTTGGCCATCAACTGTGAGGAGGAAGCTCATGGTGGGTAGTGTATGGCATGGGTATTGCCAACCCACATGGGTTGTAAGTATGGGTATCCATGGGTATGGGTGTGGGTCAGCAGTAAGTAACTCATGGAAACCCATGGGCCATCTTATGGGTTTGTTATAAAGATAGGGTTCCAGAAGTGTGGTGGTGGCATAACTGTACAGTACCTTTATTAGGTAATTCAAACCTGGTATCACACACAGCCATCTCATCACTTCAAAAGCATGGCAGGTGACAGTGCAAAGACTTGCATACTGCTATTGTACTATGACTCCCACACTGCAACCCATGGGATACCCATGATGGGTCTTGACCCATACAGACCCATAGCTGACCCATACCCAACCCATGGAAAACCCATACCCATGTGATGGGTATGGGTTTTCTGTGGGTATGGGTGTGGGTATACCTTATCAGACCCATGGAATACCCATGCTAGACACTAGTGGTGGGGATGGAGAAGCCCAATTGGTCTGTGGGAATGAACCATTAGCGCTGTCAATAAGGTAAAGCCCATTCAGATGTGGTAGAACTGTCACCGGGGACTGGATTGGTAGAAGAGGATAGGGCACCCACATCTTCGGTTGATGCCATAGTAATATCTACAGCTGATGATGGCCCGGCGGCATCACTAGCTGTGATTGTCATGCTCACATCCGGCTGAGAGAGAACTTCGAGTGCACGCTGCAATCGAATTTCTGGGGCTGTGCAAGGTTGCTTCAATGTCAGAGAAGTAAAATAAACATATGTTTTGAGACTTACAGAATACGGTCTTCAGATGCTCGATGAACACATTCATGAACTGGGCCATGACGCCTGGTTGGACGTCACCAAAAGTGTGACTGGTCTCGTTGGTTCCAAAATGCATCCTGTAGGAAGTTATGCATAGCATATGCATAACGTATACATCAGCTGACATGAACACAGGGATAAAGGAGACAGGTACACACGCAAAGGTAATGATGTCCCCACCCTCCTCAGGACAAGGTCCTCCAGCGACTAGCATGATGTGCAAACCCGAGTCTTCCGCCATCTTGTTCAACACTTGTTTGAAGACAATTGGCATGTCGTCAATTGCACTACATCTTCGGTCAGTACATAAATTCTCGATGGTCTGAAAAAATAACTCACTCTTGGTACTGGCAGGGACTGATCTCCGCACCACCATCATTGTAATTCCCATCGCTGCCCGCAGCTTTCTTCCTGGCCTCAACTGCATCCAAGACTTTTTGTTTCACCCATTCTTCCTCCGCTTCGAAACACTTGACAGTGACACGGTTAACGAGGTTCAACGCTTCACTGTGCGATGGTTTCTCAGATTGTTTTGCTGCCTCAACATGAGTCTTGATTCTCTCTGCGTAGAACATCCGTGAGTATTCCTCATGGACTTTGAGAAGGCGATGCTTGGGTTTGGCTGCCAAGCTGGTCAGTGTCACAGGCGTGGCTCGTACTACCTTACGACCATTTTTCGGCCGATGCCAGTTGAACCAAGTTTTTATTTGCTGTATTATACTTCAGAGTGTGCTCTTTCGTACGAATAATACTTACTTACATGTTGTCGCTTCTTCATGGCTTCATGGAGTGCTGTTCATTGTTCATCTGACAGTGCGCGCCCTTGACCATGTCTGGCCCAAACAGCTTCTCGCATTCAGGGAATGTTCTGAAATACTCCGCGTACAAAGGAGGCCAGAATTTTGGTATATCATGGCGTTTTTGGTGCTCCAGAAAAGACGGTCGCCGGAACAAAAGGAATTCAGTCTCGGTCTCAGTTGCCCAAGGCTTAGCTGGCATGGTAGGAGGTTTAGAAAAGAGGGCGGCAGACATACCATTTTTGTGCTAATAACATCTACCTCACCATGAGCGCGCCGATATGCCTCAGCCAATGAACACGTGCATACGCCACCATGTGCAGCAACCTGTCATTTGTGCGTAAGTGGTAAGGAAGTGTCCTGTTAGGTCAGGATGCATAATGGGTCGTGGGACTCATGGCATGACGTTCGTTCACTTCCTGCCTTAAAGCTCAGACAGGACCTTGAGCAGGTGTCCGATCCCACTCAACCTTGAACCCCCACCATCGCTCCTCTTCTCCCCCTGCACCATGATCGCTCACCAGAACGTGAGGCCCGGAGTCACACCATCGATTCCGGCCCTTACGTTCTCGATCGAGGACTTGTTCCAAGCCCTCACGCTGATAACTGGCCGCGACTTTGGTAGGTACCTCATTGATATATGAAGCACTCAGACTCACCAGCTATTGTAGATGAAGCTTGGCACCTCGTCGTGCTGCAGCTTGTTGCAAATGAAGCTGCTGCTGGTGAGTAACTGCATGCACTAAGGCACCAGGACTCACCATGCTCCAGCAGACACAGATGCTGCTGCTATCATGACCACGCCAGTCACAGCCCCCATCATTGCTGCTCCCACTGCAGCCACCATTGCAGCCCCGGCCGCAGCAGCTGTCGTTGCTGCTCCTGCTGCTGCTCCCCCCATCATTCCGGCTGCAGCCCTCATCGTCGCCGCTCCTGTTGCAGCTGCTGTTATCGCCGCTCCAGCCGCCGCCCCTATTGTTGCCCCTCCAGTGGCTGCTGCAGTCGCCGCTGCTCCTGTCATCAATGCTCCCGTGGCTGCCCCCATCACTGCTCCTCTGATTGTCACCCCTGTCATTGCAGCTCCAGCTGCCCCGGTCGCAGTTATTCTCAACGCTGCTCCAGTTGCTGCTCCGGCAGTTGCTGCTGGCCCCACGGCTCCTGCTGCCACTGGTGGTGGCAACGCACCTCTGCCGAACAATACTCAGGATGTCCTGAGAGCTGCCATCCAGGCAGCTCTCGCTCAGGCTAACCAGCCAGTGCCAGTGCTTCCAGGCAGATGGTATGTGGTCACTCGGGGACGTGGAGCGATCGGTGTGTTCCAAGGCTGGTAAGTCGCTTTTGCCGGTGCGAAGTAATCATTGTACTTACCTGAAAAACTGTCACTGGAAGGCACAGCATATCACCTCTTGTGTCTGGCATGCCCACGGCCGTCTGTGAGCACGTCGCCAGTTGGGATGTCAGCTTCCAGCAGTTCCGTGAGGCAGTCGCTGCAGACAACGTCCAACTGTTGCCGTGAACTTGCCATTATTGCGTATCAGGCCAATGCGCGACGCGCTGTATTAGCTTGCAACATTTCTTGGTAGTTCCATATCACAGTGCATGTAAATGTAAATGTCAAAATTGGTTGTCCCACATACTGTTAGTGGGATAGCGTCGCATCGCATGCCTCTCGTCTCACAGCAGAGAACGTTTTAGTGTGCCCACACTCCCACACAGTCAAGACGAACCAGTGGATTGTACTCTGTGCACTGTCGAACTTACCTGTGCGAACCCATGGGCTGTCGCCCGAAATACCTGACCAAAGCAGCTGCAAGGCAAGGGCACTGTGATGCCAGGCAAAGGTACAATGCTACTAAATTGTGAGATATCCCAGTATGTTCGAATGCACAAAGAAATAATGGACAACACAGGGAGGAAAAAACCCGGACGGAGCAGAATCGGAGAGCATACACATGGCGCAAAGGAGAATTCCTGAGCCCATTCTATCCTCCCCCCTCGATTACACTGCCAACAAACCTCCTCGAATATGCACGCCAGACATCGCCTATCTCAGCAAGTGAGGAATATACACCCGACCTTGGCCTTTGGACGTCACCATATGTGTTCAACCCAACTGGGCTGTACACCAACGTGGGGGAGAGTCCAGTTGCTGAGGGAGAGGACGCAGAACTGTCGAAGACACTTGGGTTTCGGCAGTTTGAATTGCTGGTCGAAGCAGGTTGGGAGAGGTCAATGATATGGGAGGGCAAGAAGACAATACCAAGTCAAATAGCCATGATGGAGAAGGAGATTGTGGCATGAATGGCCGCATGGGTTGAGCTGCGGGATGGAAACTGGCAGGACAGGAAGAGTGCCATTGGGTGAGAAGTCGCGCTGAGCTGGGGAGCCAAAATAATATGTACTCTGGCGAATGAGATCCAGGTTATCAAGAGGGGAAAGAGGAGTACGATAGAGTGTATGCCGAGGGCAGACTGCCCTGGCAATGTATGAACTATTGAACGCGGCATGACTCCAATATTGACTTGGCCTCCCTTTGACGTGCTTGGCTGTTCAAAGTACTGGTGCTCACTTCGATTTGGAGCATTTCACCTTGCAATGCACTTAGGGCTCAACAATAGTTGGTCAGCTTATGTGTCATATTCAGCTCTATGTATCTACACCCACAATGAGCTTCGTTCAGAGCCAGAGGATGCGTTTCTTGGAATGTGCAGGCCTTCAGCAGGATCGTTATTCGCACTCTGATTGGCCGAGGGCCTACTGCTGATAACTCGGGTTGTATTGGGTGCCCTCTGGATGCGCTCATGTGCGATGGATCTGAATGGAGTCTGAAATCCAAAGCATCCCTCTATAAAAGCCAGGCTCATCAAACAAACACTTTCTCCCATCTTTTCCCCCACTTCCATGTCCTTTCCTCCTCCTACTGGCCTCGTTGCTTGCCCTTCTGTCTCTGCGTATGTACCTTCACATGCTCCAGTACCCTCTTCCTCATTGTTTTTACCCATCTTGCCAGGCCGCCGAGAAGGAGATGCAGCAGACCAATATCGCACTTGCCCAAAGCTCATCGATTCTGTGGGTGATAATGAGGGAAGCTCAGGCTCCTTCCTCTGCGGTGGCGAGTAACTTGCATTTGTGGGCCCCTCTCCGGAATGGTGGAGTCACCTGGTGATGGGGAACGTGATCAGGTTTGGGTTCTGGGCTTGTGGGGTAGGCTGATTGTCGCTGTGTGTTGTTGTATAATTGTATGTGTTTGTCGTCATCAGTGATCATTGTTATCTGCTCATTGTTGGTCGGGGTTTGGGTTTTGGGCTTGCGAGGTAGGCTGTCGCTGTGTGTCATATATTGTTTGTCGTTCATCATTTGTGCTTGTCATTGTTGGTGATCATTGTTGCCTGTTCATTGCGCGACGGTCCATGTGTTGTCATATTCGAGGTACGGACTTACGTAGATGTTGTCATGCTGAAGTTGTGGTATCATCGGAGGGTGGTAGGGGGTTTATTTATGGGGATTTGGCGCACGGGCTTCGTTTGTGGCATAATAAACTTTTTGTACTGTCTCGATTATTGCCGATTTCAGAAGTCTTGTCGCGCGGCCAAATATACACAAATTTCCGCCTGGGTGACCTCCAACTTTGAACGCAGATATCTCTTCAACGGCAGGGCCGTTTCTCTCGATTCTTGCATTTTCGGACTCTCCTGGTCAGTGCGCAGGGCATGGTATCAAGAAATATCTCGTCTCTCTGCTATCTCTGTTCGCTGTTTTTGGCAGCTTCCTTCTGGCTCAGAAGTGAGTTTGTCATCATTGGATGGGTCGGAGAACATCGGAAGGTGGTGGAGACACTTTGGTAGTGTGGTAGGCAGGGCAGGGATATGCATTTGTGGCCTGAGAGAGTCTGGATTGTATGTGATTTATCTTGGACTGCATAGCACATATTGTGGGGTTGCACAACTCATGCTACTGTCAAAGATTCTCATATATTTTATGTACAGAACATATATAGCACTCATGTATGGATCAGGAATGAAGGATGACAGTTCTGAAGATGGGGAATAGTGGATTCAAGGGCCTGAGTATCATACCAACTGCAGCACAACCCCTACCATCCTGAGTGCCTTCTACCATCTGCTGCTTGCTTAAAACCATCCAGATATCAACATAAAACATGTAAGATATGAAAAATGCAAACTAGGGAATGTTTTTGAACATCTGGCAATGGGCTCCTAGTGCTGTGATCACAGATTGAATCCCGCAGTGAGAATAAGGACACGCATGCCTTCAAATTGCATACCATGCCCACTCTATGATCCTAAGAAGTCCTTTCAGAACAATTTCTCCAGGACTGGGACTGTCTGCTGCACGGGAAGTCAGTTCTGAGCTAGTGCGATGACCACCAGATCTGCGAGTATTGAACAGTCCGAATATGTATGTTTCTTGATACCATGCCCTGCGCGCTGACTAGGAGAGTCCGAAAATGCAAGAATCAAGAGAAATGGCCCTGCCGTTGAAAAGATATCTGTGTTCAAAGTTGGAGGTCACCCAGGCGGAAATTTGTGTATATTTGACCGTGCAACAAGACTTCTGAAATCGGCAATAACAGAATTCAACTTGAGAATGAATGGACTGCTTTTGCTGTTTGTGTTTGCTGTTTACGTTCAACGGGCGTCTATTTCGAGGATGTTATTATTTTCTAGTCATTCTAATGCCTATGTGCACTGTCAACCCTCTTATGCATCATCCTTTGCTTCTGTGTTGTGTGTACTGACAGTTGATGAAGTGCCACAGTTCGCACCCACTTCGTTGGTATGTCGTGAAAGCATTGCTCGTGCGGTCAACCCCATTGGCTGAACATATTGTATGTTAAAGTTCTCCCATCTCGTCCTGTGGCAAACACCAGTCCTTTGGTGTGGGATGCAAGTGAAATATTCTCAACTACCAGTGGTGTGTATGACCCGCATTTGTCCTGCACCGTCGCTCATGCCAAAATAGCAGCGACAAGGCATATTTCGTGCCCAAATCTCACACGAAGTAGTGTCAATGTTGCAACCACATGGTCACGACATCGACATCGACAAATTCTGGGCATTCCATAGCTGGTTTTGGCCTATCGCACTATGTGTGTGGGCGTTGGCACAGTTCCCTCTCCCAACCTCAATGTTCCATTCAGCAAAATGCGCTCGATGTAGTGGTGCTCGCATCGAGGTCTACAGGTCTCTGCAGCCTGACCAAGCTGAAGCTTCGGAACAACACAGGTTCAAACCATCCACTATTCTCCAGCATCACACTACCTATTCCTTTCGTGCCAATGGCAAGGTCTCGATGTGGACTTCCTTCCTGGACACCGTAGATGTTGCTAGGAATGCAACATCTCCATTGATCTTTTCAGTTGGGGACGAGATGCTCTTAGACTCTGCAAACAACGCAGACAATGAATACCTGGAAGGTTGGCAAGATAGGTATGCTGATCTAGACATTGAGTACATACACCAAATCGAACAAGACGACATGGAAGGCCGGTCTCGGAAGCGTACAGCTGCAGTAAGGATCTGGCTCCTTACCGCGGATTGATAACATTATACTCAACGGCATGGTAGGATAACCCGCTGCTGCAGTGGATCCCCGACATTGATGAGTGGCTAGCAGAGTTGATCTGTTTGGAGGGGCAATGCGGGCATACCACCGAGCTTTGTCCTGTTTGCCAGACTGATCAAGCCACAGTGTGCTGTGAGGATTGTCAGGATTTGAGACTCTACCATACTAGATGTACAGTGGAGAAGCACGCTTGCAGTCCTTACCACCAGCTGAAGGTGTGCAGTTAATTCTGTTCGTCCTTTGATTGAGTTCTAATCACCATGTAAGGCTTGGACCGGTGTTCATTTTCGTCGAGAGACACTCAAACAGCTAGGGCTGCGTGTGCAGCTCAGGCATGATCCCGGGGTGCCATGCGCCAATCCTGTCCGCGCTTTTGGCGACGATTTCGTTGTTGTCAATCTCTCCGGGATTCACGAAGTAGGCCTGGACTTTTGTGGATGCGAGACGGTGCAGTCTCACCCTGTCCAATTACTCCGTGCTCGCATGTTTCCTGCAACATCCGTGGATCCCAAGACTGCTGCAACATTCCACCTCCTGGAGACATTTCATCTCATATCTGCACAGTCAAAGATCTCGGGATATGAGTTTTACACAGCGCTCGCCTGACGCACTGATAATACAGGCGTAAATCCACCCAAGGTCAGCTTTAGTGCATGTTGCATGAAACTTGAGTTGATGTCCACTAATCGCAGGATCGATATCCTGCTTTCATGCGGATGATGCGGGAATGGCGACATCTCAAGATGCTCAAGCACGCCGGACGTGGTCATGACCCTGGAGGTGCTGCAAGCACTCTTCCCGGGAGTTGTGTGGTACTCTGCCCAGCCTGTCCCCATCCGGGGAAGAATTTACACGCAGACTGGGCCATAGCACCGAAGGATAAGAGGTAAGTACACACAAAGCTTGTCATTTCCACATTGAACAAATGTTGTGTAGCTGGCTCTATAGGCTGTTCCTATGTATTGACGCCAACTTCTGCCTCAAGCGCAAGAAAGTCTCATCTGATAAGGTGGATCCAGGCCTCAACCATGGCTACACATACTTCGTGGAGGAGAAGTCTTACAAAGACCACCTTCACATGTATGACAAGGTGTTCCCCGACAACATCAGTACATGCAACAATCATGACGCGCTGAAACTCGCTAGCATGAAGGGAGCCCATCAAGGTACGGCTGCCAGCGGTGTTGGGACTGTGGATTGCGCACGCCATGACATGAAGCATCCGTACTCGGTTGGTGATTTGCAGAAGGGAGAGCGGTGAGTAAACAGGTTCCTACAGTGCAACTGCCCTGACGTGGATTACACAGGTACATGAACATGACTACCTATTCTGGTCTACAGTCGGTCAGCACAGTCAATATGGAACAAATGATATTGTCGTATCGTACGACATCGTCTGTCAGTGGTCAAAAAACATCTGGAATCGCTTTAAACACTACGGCCTGCCATCTGGACTCATCAACCACGATTTTACATTTGTTATTCCCAAGTTCCATCTTCTCACACATCAAGAATCATGCTGAGTCGCCTGCTCTTTCAACCTCCTCCCGTGGGTCGCTCGGACTGATAGTGAAGGAGTCGAGCGAGAACACGCATCACACAATCTGTATGCCTCAAGTACGAAGGAGATGGGCCCTGGCTCTCGTCGCGATATTTTAGACGATGCGTTTGGCGACTATAACTGGCGCAAGATATGTAACACTGGTAAGTAAATAGTTAGTCACTTCAAAATATTGAATACTAACCATGTACCCTCAGCGCGCACGTTTCTGGCGAAGGTCAAGACTGTGGTACAGGAGCATTGTGAACATATTGCCGTGTTTCAAGACTTCGATTCTGTTATGATGGCAGAATCATCAGCCGAAGGGTGGAAGGACATGATTGAAGCCTGGGAGATCGATTCTATGGCTCCAAATCCATTTGTGGTCACTCGGCCTAGTTAGTCTGAGAGTCCCCGCTGCATTGTACATACACTGACTTCCGACATCTACAGCTATAACACTTGCCGGTGCACGTCTCCAGCTGGCTGAGGAGGAAGCAGCCAATATCAATGAAGGATGGGGTGTTATGGTACATGAGGAGGTATCTGCAAGTATGATGATCAACAATGGTCTAGATCTAGAAGAATGGCAGTAAGTGTTGAACCGTTGCATAGGATGTTAGTTTTACTGACGGCGATGGCTTCAGACAGCGTCTCCGAGTTGATGTGGCAGCTCTCAGTCAACATGCAACCGAGCTCCAATGCACGAAGATACAGGAGAGGCACAATGTGCTTCAGCACAGGATCGAGAAATGGTATGGGGTTCAACGACTGTATATGCCGGGTGTCGATGTACTGCGCACACGCACGGCTGCATCTCGGGAAACACCTTTCATGGCCCACGACATGCCGCTGCTTTTGCCATTCACCGTCCAAGGACAAATGGCTTGTGACTCTGCTTTGATGGATGTCGAATGGCGCCTTCGCTACGCACTTGCGAACGACATCCTCAATAATCTCCGTCGTCACCTGCAACTCCGCTCTCACATGTTTATATACAAGGATCGCTTCGTGCGTGGCCAGCAAGAGAACACACGTGCGAGGACCACTATTCAATCTGTCGAGGACACAGTTAATGCGGACACCACTCACTATTGTACTACCTTTACGGCCCTTGTAGCATTGGCTGTACCTCTTGCCAAGAGTGGTTGGCAAGCCGAGTTGCATCCGCTCAATCCGGCGGATGTGCGTGGGATGACGGAGGTGTTTCTGAGGAGAGCGAAGGTACCAGGACTCTGTCCTGGGTCTGGATGGCTCCAGGAGCAGGCGATAGCGTGGTAGGAGATACACAGGATGGTACATGCAACAGTTTGTCTCTTCAAATATGACTCAAATAATTGTCTGTAGCTCTTCGGATAGAATGGTGCAAGGCCCGAGCTCGAGCTCATCAGTGGACAGAGGAATGTCAGCTACTCGAAGAAGAGATGCGACATGTCTTAGCATTTCAAGACTGGATGGCCTCTTGGTGGCTGGACCAGGCGGAAATGAACACGGAGCAATCGCCGGAACACGACGAGGGCTGCATTGCATATGCACATCGGCAGGCGGATATTCGTTGGCGCATGCGCAGTGTTTGTCAACAAGCATGGGCAGATGTGCCAGCGTGGCTGAGCCTAGGAGAAGAGGTGGACTGAGTGGGTTTGTTCTTCTTGACTTCTGAGTTTAGGCGAAGAACAACTTAGATTACGGTTGAACGTTGAACGTTCGAACTTCGTGTTATGCAATCATGATTGAATGTCCAATACATGGCATGTATTATACAAGATGGACGATAACTTGACAAAATTGCAAGTACATGATGCATCATGCACTACGTTGCGATGCATCTTGAAGGACTGCGGATAATAGACTACGGAATGCATAACGGATTGTGCGGATGCATAATGCATCATGCACCTGCACCACGACAGGGTCGGAGCAGGCTCCGCGTTATGCATCGCACATGGTAAGGCAGGATAACGTGGGTGCTGAAAAACAGACAGTGAATCGAATGCAGCAGAAACTATATTTCTCAGACCGAGATGGAGAGGCGGAGATAAATGTATTCGGAAGATGTTTTGGTGAAAAACATAAGGTGTCAGCATGCAGTGGGAATTGAGAGTCTTTGGCAGTGTGATGCATAGTGGATGGCTGTGCTAGACAGATGTCACTAATGGAAGACTACCAAAGACACCACGCATAATGAAGAACGTGAGGGAGGCGTAATGCATCGCACTGTGGCAGTGTGCAATGCATAACGCAGTGTGATGCATAGTGGAAGACTGCAAAGGAAGAACGTGATGTGTTATGCATCGCACTGTGGCAGTGTGTGATGCATAGTGGAAGACTGCAAAGGAATAATGTGATGCATTATGCATCACGCTGTGGCGGTACGCAATGCATAATAGCAATACTGACGAAACATACCTGAGCTGCAATAAATATTTCTCGTGCGACCGAAGGAGGATCGGGGGATGAGGGGTGAGCCAGATCGGTTTGCGTCGAGGCAGAGTGTTCGAGTCAGATCATCGAGGTCTGACGCACTGGAGAAGCGGCGATCACCTGATTTTTGGATATCCAGTGGTCAGGAGGCCTGGAGCGGCTAGGAGGTGCCCGACAGGAGAAGGAGAGAGGTACGAGGAGCTGAATTGGTACAGGCAGTGCAGTATGGAGCCCGAGAAACTTCGAAACCTGACCCAGTAGAACGGATAGACATACAGAGGGTACTGGGAAACAGATCCACCTGTGAATGGATAACCTGTGGTCGGAGCAGTGAACGCTACCAGGAAGTGCCAGAACCCGAGCAGGGGCCCAGAAGTCTAGGAGAGGAGCAAGATGCAGCACCGCAGATCCCGATCGACACCACGAAGGGTGGGTGACATAAAGAAGCACAAAAAGCCTTTGATCCTTCAATAAGAGCATCATGAGAGATCCACCTAAGACACAAGAGATCTGGAAGGAATCTTGAGGGCGCACCCCAAGCGCTGTCGTCCAAATTGAGGGATAAGGCGGGGGAGGGTGTGATGCATAATGGTTGGTACTGATGCATAGTGGATGCATTGTGAGGAACTCCGGAATGGGGTGTGTCTACATGAGGGATAGGCCTAAACGCCCACACTACAGTTATAAGGGTTCATGCATTACGATCGGCATACAACTATAGTCTATTATGCATCCTTCTGCCAGCTACTGGTGAGTTTTGCTGATGGGCGTGGACTGCCCAGGAAAGTCTGGCTGCAGCACGAGAGCTAAATGAGAAAAAGTATTGTTCAAACACACTAGTCTCCCGAAGGCCGGCAGCTGCAGAGGGTACTATCGTGGACCCGGATATGCCAAATGTCCCAGAAGTGCCAAATTTTTTCCTGCGGCTCTATTCTCTTACCTGATCACTTCAAAATTGCAGAGGTAGAAGCCTGTGTGCCTACTCTTGATGCTCTAAATTTTTGGTAAGTATGTGTGGCCCGCTCGGATCCCAAAAAATTCGCAATCACAGGACTGTACTTGGCTGGTGCCACACAGCGGCATCTCTCTACGATGGTCAACATTGCTCTAAAAAATACAGAAAAATCACCTGTTGTATTCTACGTGCCATATCAACATCATATGGGGTGCCAGAGACTATCGTGTCAGGTGTTGTGTGGTGGGACCAGAAGTGCCAAACTTTTGGCATATCCGGGTCAACGATAGTAGACACTCTGCTTCTGTTCTTCCCCCGGGTTGGGCAGTCATGCATCACTGAAACCCGAGAATTATTATATAAGATCATATGGATTGTCCAATAAGTCCGAAATTCTCAGGCTAATATGACAGTATATAATCAAGGTGGACAATTAGGCTCGAAAACAATGGTGTATAATGTTTCGGATTTTCAGTCGAGTTGGCGACTGTGTGCAAATAATATGAAGTAGACAATATTCGCTGCATTCGCATGAACTGAGATAGTCTCCTGGAGGCAAACCAATATTGACCTTGCTGAGGTGGCGAGGACGGTCAGAATAAAGGTCTGCTTTCGAACGCGCCCCTCAAACCGTAGTACAGCAATTCAACATGCTGAGCGGATGCCGAAGCCCCGGCCGCAGTGCCGACCGTGAGTTCCTGATTGAAAGAGATCCAACGTGAGATGTACAGTACCGACGCTGCCCTTCGTGCCGACGAGTCCACGCAAACTGTGCACTTGCGGCATGTTTCCGAGTCAATTTCAAAATAATTCTGTTGAGGATGCGCCTTCTTATGATACACCGCAAGCTATATCGTCCATTCTCTCGTCTTCCGCGGACTCAACGTATACCGCACCTCCTACTTTGTTAGTACTTCAGTCTGTGTCTGCATCCAATACTCCCTACCATTTCCCTAGTCCAACCCTTAGCCAATGTTTGCACTCGGAAAGTCCTACCTTCTATGGCCCGACAGTTGGTTTTGGTGCTGCATCTTTCGCCACGTCTGCCTTCCCATCCCCTGTTTCAGTACTCCCCATCTCCTGCTTCCCTACTCCTCATGTCCATCCCGCAGAGTCCGCATCCACATCATAGGCCGATCCTGCAGACCCCTGCGACTCCAACTAGACCACGATGAATGCGACGGTCGCGCCAGACACAGGCCGGCGCGCGTCGTGTTACACCAGATCTATGGGACGCGTTTTGGAGATCATTGTGCTTATGTAACTCCGAAATTGTGTACTACGGTTCAGACCCTTCCTCTGCCAGATTGAAGGTCCTGTCACGCCGGTCACGCATGGCATTACAGTCCATTTACAGTCCCTCCTGCCTAATCTGTCCACGCGCGTCACGCGAGTGCGAGTCCCCGGCCAGCCTCGGTGAATGGATAAAACAATGCGACAGAACATGCGCACGCCGTGCACGAAGGTTGGTGAGCCGCGATGCAGTAGATAAGGCCTCGGCAGGGCAGTGTGAGTGTAGAGAAATATATACGCAGTAAACTAGGTACAGAATAAATTAATAGAATCATGAATTAAACATATGGGCGGCATTGCTGGCAGGAGGTAGCACCGGGGCTTGATGGGGACTTGGAGCTCGCTGAGGGGACGTAAATTTGAGGACTGTAAATCTGTCGGTCAGCCGCGCGTTCATGGGGGGCCGCGGCGCGGTTCCCCGCGAGATTCAGCCCCCACTCCAGCTTGCTTCGGGTCGCCAGATTTACAGTCCTGATGGGCGCGTTTACAGTCCAGCGGGGCGCTTGTGGGGCCTCCCCCTTTGGGCGACGCCAGGGCGCCTGTCTTGGCTCCCCGACCCTCTCTACTGAACACGCCCCTCCTTCCTGGCCCTCCCTTGCCCGAAAAAAGGGCGGATATATTCGACGTGTGCACTGCGCGCCCTCCCGCTGCAGTTTCTCTGCCTGTTCCTCCCACGCTGCTCCCTCTTGTGCCCCCCTTGTGCCCCGCCCTTTGCGCCCTTGGTCTTACAGCCTCCGGTTCACGGGGTCCTTCTCGGCACCGTTCGGCTCGTTCGGCTCGCGCGTGATGCTCATGGGCTTAGGCGCCGGTGGACTGTCAATTTGGCGGCCGTCAGCCTTTCTTCGAACGAAAGCAGACTAGAACTGAGATGCTAGTACATGGCCAGAATAGGCAGACCCCAGAAAATCATTACACGAAAAGGGTCGTAGCGGCCCGAATATAGGCCCAAATCCAGCCCCCGCCTGTTACCGTTTCGGGGATTTTCAAGCGCAGAGGAATTTGACCCGGTTTGAGTTGTCCGAACGGCCCCGGACTTGCAGGGCTGTCTTGGTGCCGTGAACGGGTCGATTCCTGGGCTGTAAGAGGGTGGCTGCGGTGTTTTCCCCCAACCAGGCATTGGTGCTTCGACAGCGGCATCAGCTAGGCACTGGGTTGTGGGATACTGACCCAGTGCCTATTCGACCCCCGTCTGATCCTGGTACTATGACTCTGCAGACATATGTATAGGCCAGGCTGGTTGGCAGTAGTACTCTCGAAATTAATATTAGAGTAAACTCTACTTTCTGGACAAACAAGATGAATGATATTTATTATTACTGCCAGCAAATAAATTGCATTGAGAGCCCGAGGCAGCGACATGGATGTGCAAGTCGCGATACACCAGAAAGTCTCTAAGTCAATTCAAATTCCGCAGGTCGTCTGCGGGCTCTGCTTCGTGCATTCATGTCTCGTTCCCTCCTCCATTGGCTCACGCTCCTCACTACCCAGATCCTTCGTCTCCAATGTCCACCCAATTCCAGCCACCAACATTCTCATCCTTGTCGTCGTGTCACCACCACCCGCGTCTCCCGCATTCATTTAGATTTCCTTCCTAGTTGTCGGCGCCAGTGCATCACGGCACATTACGTGCCACCTACATTCGCGTTGAGAGGTGCTGATCATGCGTCGCACGATAGGTTAACATTTTTGTTTTTTGTGCCAATTCTGATATGCAGATTTTTTAGGATTTGGTTCACAGCTCGGGGCATTCACAAGTGCGGCACAGCGCAGGAGGGTTAGCGGGAGGAGCAATATTTGCTTCCCGCCACTGCTGTCCTCCCTTCCAAAGCCCTCTGCCTGTCATGCCTGTCAAGTGGGCCTTGAACAAGCTACGCCGCCACGCCGCGTCATCACGACGCAGCGTGCGGGCGTCGTGCTCTCGCGCTCCCGCTACCGCCATCCTCTCTTTCTAAGCCCCTCTGCCCGCCGTGCCCGATCAACAGTGTGCCAAACGACACACGCCGCGTCATCACAACGCGGCATGCGGGTGTTGTACTCTCGTGTCGGTGTGGGCATCCTGCTCTTGCCTTTCTGCCACTACCGTCCTCCCATCCCAAGACCCTCCATCCGCCGTGCCCAACCTAAAGCATGCTGCATCATCGCGAAGCGGCATGTGGGTGTTGTACTCTCCCATAGCATACATGTAGCATACAAAAATGCAATAAATTTGTGCTATACCATTTTGTTTTGTACGAAAATGGGATTTTGGCTGGATTGATCATTTGTGACCCTGACTGAAGCATCGGACTGACCCTTCCCTCAGCCAGTTTCTGGGCTGCCACGGCCCCATAATTGCATGTGAATTGAGGGCTGTTTTGGTGTCTGACCGCCAGCCCTGGAATGGGGTCGCACTCGGGCTGTCATGGGCCTATCTATGCAGCTGAATTGACAACATGTCCAAGCACTGTATAAGGCTATTTTTTAAATACCGTAAAATCATTACACGAAAAGGGTAGTAATCGTGCCGGGCACGGGCTGTTGCGGCGACTCCGCTCTCAGGCCCCATTCTGGTGCCGCAGATGTCTGGCCGTGTAGGAGGCTCAATCATCCAACCCTAACCCACGTCAACGGTGTCAGGACTCAAAACGGTTATTAAAGAATGCAATCAACACAAGCGAAATCGGTTTGCATATTAGGCCTGTACTATTAATGCCAAATGAGAAGAGGAAGAGCGATGAAAGGGACAAAGCAAGACAGAGATTTCGTTCGGTAAGACTCGGAGCATCGAGTGATATATTTGCCGCAGTGAGCTCTGATCTTCGATTTTATAGGACGGCACTCCCATCTGGGGGCAGCGATCCATCGACGGTCCTGGTGTGTGGGTGACCTGCATCAAGGGTAAAGAAAAGCAGGTTGTAAGGGAGCTGTATAACCTCTTTGAATCCGTGAGGATAATCAGCAGGTGCTCCAAACTGGCAATTTACAAATTACACTAGCTCGCATCAGAATTATGGCCAGATGGATCCTCGTCGAGAGCCCAAGATAAAGAAGACCCCGACGAGTCGGATGATGACGACGGTGATATCGAGAAACAAATTGCCAGGGAAATTGCTTCGATGAAGCGACCGAGGAAGCAGCAAAGATTCAGTATGTGCGTCAATGCGATCCATTCACCCTTCACTTACGAAATCCCATAGCTAATTGTCAGACAAATACACCATGCGGCAAGTCCTTCGTCATTGAGCTCTCAATCAGTTCATAGCTTCTGAAATTGTGATCTCAGTGGTCTTCATATCGTGCAAACCACCAGTCGACCCCGTTAAGCTAGTGGTGAAGCATATTCAAAATGTTTTTGAAACTGGGGTAACGCAAACTCGGTGAGTCTCAACGCGCGGAGTATAGCCCTTCCCACTCTGAGTTGTCTGTAGTTATGCGCAACGGTTCACTCCGGTAGCTGGAAGCTGCCCTGTCAATTTGCCTGAGATACAATCCCTTTGCACTCGCATTTTCAAGCCATTCTTTGCCGTAGATCCGGATCAGCAATACAAAGTGAGTGCGGGTTGTCCGCTTGTTTTCCCGCTCACAAAAATCCCAGTACAAGATCGAGCTCAGGCTGCGCAACCATAGCACGCTTTCACGGACGACGATTATCCAAGAAATCGCTAAATGTGTTCCTGAAGGGCACAAAGTGGATCTTGACAATGCAGAAGTCTTCATTCTTGTCGAAGTGTTCAAGGTGCGTTGCATTCTTGATCCGTTGTAGGCCAGATGTTCATGATACCTCGGACATCGATTTAGAACGTTTGCGGGATCAGTATCGTGAAAGACTACTATCGTTTGCAGAAATTCAACGTGATGGAGATCTCAAACGCGAGGAACAATTCGCAGGAAGGTGTCAAGGGGCGTGTTGCGGATAAAGTAACCGCCGCTTCTGATGAAGACATAGGAGACACAAACGAATCATGAATGAAAGAGTCTCCTCGCGTTCGAATGGTTACTTCGCTTCAACTTGAGTCGCACGGTCAAAGGGATCACCGCTACGTCGCAATCCTTACCCGCAGATCCTATCTATAGATGCCGACTCATCATCTAACGGTGCTGAGAGCGATTATCGCGTCCTGCTCGTCATTATCGCCTGCATTATTGCAGCCATTGCCATCAGCTGCCTGCCCCGAGGTGACCATGTGAACTAGCTCTCACATGAAAAATCAGCCGCGATGATCACGCGTTGGCATCCACAACTGATCGACGTACTCACGTTTATGAGCGTTGAGAGAGTGAGCGCTTGAGCCCCACGTCCAGTGCGTCAGCTACGGAAAGAAACGGGCTATCGCGAAGATCGCCTGCTTCGTTTCGAACGAGACAGCAGCGTACCATATCACCCGGAATCTCAACATTGGTCCCGCCTTCCTCAGTCACTTGGTCGAACACGAACGCGTCATGGAGTTTTTGATGGAGGAAGCGGAAGGCGGGATACGCCAGAATTGACAACTTGGCAGCTTGCACAGAGGCCATCAAACGATTGGTCTCGTTCATTGAGACACGATCAGATAGAAATTCATTACCGGTGTGCGCCTCATCGACTCTGAGAATGCGAAGAAACTTGAAGGGACATGACAAACGAAGTCGGGCAAAAACCTGTTGGATGAGATTCGGGAATCGGTAGTCAGGGCATGGCGATGTCGGACGGCAAATGAACGGAAGTCGTATATTAGTACTGTTCGGAAATACCGTACCGGATAAAATAATTCGAACGTATACCGGTGCAGGGAACCTAGTCCGGTGAATTGAGTGTGTAGTGCGGCAATGACACTCTTGCTGTCAGTAGTGCTATGAAGTGCGAGATCCCAGTACTTGGACCCTCCTGAGTACGGCGTGTGTCGGAGATCTGGCTTGCAGTCAAAAGGAATTTCCGTTACCGATAACAGAACTTCATTTCGACTGGAAGACCTTGGATTAGCTCTAGTACGACTAGAGTTGACCATGCGGCTGCTCAGAGCCAAGTGTGGCGATTCGCCGATGAAGATGAGGACAAAATTCCCCACATGCCGCCAACCGCGTCACCTAGCCACTGGGCGGTAATGAGCAGGGTAACAAGTTCGATAATCTTGCGAGGCATGAGTGCGTTGTCGAGGTCCGGCTGCGCAGCTATATTCAGCAATGTTGATGTAGGATTCAATCAGGAGGTGACATAGGCAAGTCACTGTCCTTCAGCAAACGATTTGAATTAGAGGCAGGCCCGGGTACAAGACACACAAGAGTACGCTGCACATCCAAATTTCTTGTCAGCTATAAGTACCTGTGACACCGAAAGTCCGGCATCGCGTACCAGTTACTGCACTAGTTCTTATTGCAGACGTCTACAAACTTTTACGACGTCTGACGATCGGATAGGGCGTGCATGTTGTATGTGGTTGCACCGTGAGCGTTGGACGCGTATAGGCGCCGGCTAGCCGTAAACGCATCGCGTGGCGTCTGACTCTCTACCACTCAGACAACGTATAGACTCTTACAGTACTCTCGCTGCAGTCTTCCAATTCGTACGCATTACGTATTCCACCAATAGTTCTCAGCGGCGCTTATAGACCAACATGGCCGACCTCGTCGACTTTATGCTCGACCTGATGCGCCGTCTCCCGCCCACCCATGTGGAGGAGAACGTGGCATCGCTCGTAGCGATGTGCCCGGACTACGCGGACGACCTCCTCGGGAGCGTCGACCAGCCGCTGAAGGTGATGACCGATCGCGCCACGGGGAAGGAATACCTCATCTGCGATTATAATCGAGACGGGGAAAGCTACCGGTACGTCTCTTTTTGTGTCTGCGGTATATATTGGAGGTGCAACACCTACGCGGAATTGAGGGATGCTGTGTGGAGCATGCATGTTGACTCACACTTGATCAGCCGTTCACTCTTGGACATTCTAGGTCACCATGGTCGAATGAGTACGACCCACCACTAGAGGACGGGACCGTGCCCTCGCTGAGGCTTCGCAAGCTCGAGATCACCGCGAACGAGGCATTTGACACGTATCGTGAAATGTGCGTTCGGATTTTCATCATTCGGCCACACTCTTGACTTTGGTATTTACGTCTTAGGTACTATGAAGGAGGCGTGTCCTCCGTGTTCTTATGGGACTTAGATGATGGAGGGTTCGCGGGCGTAGTCCTGCTAAAGAAGAGTATGTCCTCCCCTCCACAAACCACGTCTACATACATTATCTTACCTCCCCGGCCCAGTCTTGAATGCTGCATCCCCAACCGAACCCTCCGGCTCCTGGGATTCCATTCACGTCTTTGAGGCAGCTGAGCGGGGGCGCCAAGCGCACTACAAGCTCACGTCGACAATAATGCTGCAATTAGTCGACCGGTCCACCGCGTCTGGCACCGTGAAGAACGAGAAAGGAGTGGCAGAGGATGCGAAACGGGAGGGGGAGGTCGTGCTGAGCGGGAGCATGACTCGTCAGGTCTGTTCGTCCTTGATCTACAGCGCCGGCCTTGGCTTCGGCATCGATCATACTGACGCATCGTACCGCCCGCAGACAGAACAAGACTTTCCTCTCCAAGACCAATCCTCGCACATCTCCAACACCGGGCGCATGATCGAGGAGATGGAGATCAAGATGCGAAATCTACTCCAGGAGGTGCGCGCGCATCCACTTCGTCACCGCCAGCCCCTGGGTCTCATCGTGACATCTGTTGCACACAGGTGTACTTCGGCAAGACGCGCGATGTCGTGTTCGACCTGCGCAGCGTCGACGACCTTGAAAAGGCGCGCCGGCAGCGCGAGCTGCAGAAGGAACTCGTCGGGTTCATAAAGCGGTGATACTGTTACCGCGGCATGTACAGCGGCTGTGACAGAGGAACACAAAGAAGTACTCCTCCGGATGTCGTGTATATTTTTACCTGGAAATTCAAACGGCTTATCGATATCGCGGACGGACTCGTTTGGAACGTGCCCTGTGCGCTGGTGCGCAGCCGTCATCTTCCTGCATAGCCTGCTCCCACGGGGAAGCTCGAGGCGATGACACGCCCACAGCTGTGCTGTCTATCATGGATAGAAGTCATTGTGATCCGACAGCTTCAACGTGGTATATATTATACGAACAACGAGGGTGATACAACAGTATGTAGATGACAGATTCGCCAATCTAATCGTGGGACGAACATCAAACCTCGAAAACATTACATGTATGCGAGCGATTATACGGACTTTATCCGAGACAACAGGGAGACGACGAACACGGGTCAAGAAAGCTGGTACAATCTCTGCAGTACATGGGCATAGTACACTAGTACCGAGGAGACAACTAGGAAGACGGGACGGAAACATGAACAGAAAACAGGTTGCATGTAGTACAAACAATGCATGGGGGAGGATGACAACAGCGCTCGCTCGACCGGCGGGCAATTAGGGTATGCGGCTGTAGTGTGTACGAATACAGTGTTCCAGTGTAAGAGAACCATTAGGTCATGATTCATGGCAACGGCGAAAGGGGTTCGAGCGCTCGGAGCTGATCAGACGAGCGCGGCCGACTTCAAATAGTCGCGGAAGATAGAATCGCGGACGTTCGTGATGATGCTCTGCGTCGCTTTTGTGTCCTGGAAACAGAATTAGTCAAGACGGTGGAAGGAGGTATTACAAACACACGTACGACGACACTGGTCAAGTGGGTATAGAGCACACGGTTGTTCTCATTGTTACGCGTGTGTACCTGAGTGAAGTGCGCGACGAAGTAATTGACTACGGGCTCGAACTCGTTGGGCCGATCACCGTAAGATGTAATGCTGTTATGACGAATGAGAGGCCCGTCAAGAATATCAGCAATGCGGTGAAACGTACTATTTGCTGACTCTCGTGCCCTTCCCAAGCTTCTCTCTGAGAACGTCTGTCTTGTCTATGGGGAACAGCGTGAGAAGTAGGTAAGCTTTAATGAATGGCAGAAACCATACTCAGGAATAGCACTAGATGAGCATTCTTCAAGAGGCGGTTAGAACAGATCTGGCGAAAGAGCTGCAGAGAGTCGTCAACTCTGTTCGTGCGGGGATCTTCGGCAAGATACTATGAGTGTGACAAAGTGTTAATATGGGAAGCAGACGGTAGAATAGTGTCGTTAACCCACCTGATCGAAGGCGCTGACTGGTGCCATGAAAATGATCGCAGTGCTTGAGATAACCCATCAGTATCGAGCAAGCCCACAGCGATCATCAACGTACGCGTCATCGAAGTAGGGAACCCATGTGTGCCTCTGGCCTCGTGCGCCTCCAACGTCAAAGAGGTGCCAAGTGACGTTTCGTCCGTGTAACGGGACGTCAAAAACGTGCTCCGCAACGCCCATTGTCTGAATACGGGCATGAAGAATATCATCTATAGTAGCATGAGATACAACCTAACCACAACAGCAATTGGCGACAAACCTGTGGTCGGCACGTAGCCAGTGGAGGATACTCTGTCAATGCTTTTAAAGAAACTGACAGATGTTAAAATCAGCTTGCTAGTAAATGAACCGTGCACAAACCCCGAGACTTACTACTCCGCCCACTCTTCCAATCTGACCTTTCTCTTGTCACGCAGTCTCTTGACAGCCGGCAAGCTCCAAAGCTCCTTCACGTCATCTTTGCAGGAACTGAGGACTGATGCTACTTCCTCCGCCAATTGATCCTTCTCTTCCACTATCGAATGAGTGATACTGACATCATCACGGTCGTCCCGCGACTTGTCGATGGAACCGCGTCCTCCAGAGAAACTGAACCGGCCTTTCCTGCGATCCCTCGACTTTCCCAAACTGAAACCAAGGCCACGCGCTTGCCAACCAGAGCGAACGTACACGCTCCCCTTCCCAGAGCCTGAGACAGCGATACCACCGGAAAGACGATTAGCGAGCGAGGACTCGACGGACGTAAGAGGTGAAAGGCGAAGACGGAGAGTCGCAACCTGGTTCTCCGAATTGGAGGCAGAAAGCGACGATACTGGGTTATCCAACAGATGACCGTCGTGCGAATCCGGGCTGGGACTGGGACTGGAGGGAGGAGGACCGAAACGCATCCGACTCTCCGGAGAGCCAGAGACTTTCTCTGAAGCCATGTCATCCTCATCTTCGCCGTCTCCATATACTTCGAGTGCATCTAGGATGCGGAGAACAGGCTTGACGATATTGTAGAAGATGACGATACGCCAAGAGAGACGTTCATCCTCCAGGGACGTGGGATTGTACATGAGTTGGAACTGTTTCTGCAGAGTGGACTTGCCGGATTCCGCCTGGCCAAGCAGAAGAAGCTGGGGAGTGGTAGCGTACACGTCAGCAGCTACATCTTCGGGAGTGTAAGGCGCATGTATGCACCTTGACATCCTGCTTGCTCTTCTTGTACCTCTCTCTCTCCTGCTTGAGCTCCTCGTCGATACTGTCGCTGATCCTCTTGGCCTCCGCCTCTCTCATAAGCCTCGCAGCACGATCTACGTCGCTCTCCGTCGCGGGCGGGCGGAGAAGTATGGCAAGCGGATCACCCGACTCCGTAGTCGCCATGCTATGCACCGATGGGGGTCTCGATGCGGTGATCATGCTCGTGGATGAGCTAGGGGAGGAGGGGGAGATGGGGAGAGGCGGTAGTGATGGTGGTGGGAGAAGGAGAAGAGGGAAGGGCGCCTTATGGTGAAGAGAGAAGCATGCCGGGCAGTGATCGTAGCACACATCCCGCAGCGTACTTCGTTCCGGCCTCGGTGGCTGCCCGCCGGCCAATCTCCCGGTCCACCCGGAGCATCTCGCCCAATCACAGTCACTTCTTCGGGACGGCGCTGGGCCGTGCCGGCGGCAAGACCGGAGACGTGTCTTGATCGACACCGCCAAGTCTGACAGCTCTCTCTCCCGCGCCACCACGCAAGTTTCAGCTTACACAGGCCCGCACCGTTTGCATTTCGCAAGATGGTACGCACCTTGACGCTGTCAAAAAATCTGATTGATCCTTCTGAACCTCTCTAGTCAGTCACACTCCATACTTCTCTTGGGGACATCAAAGTACGGCGCTCATTATCCTATGACGCGATAGCTCATCGCAATCGCCCTATGTTCTCAGGTTGAGATCTTCTGCGAAGCAGTGCCCAAGGCCGCAGAGGTGCCTTTTTCCCCTGCACAGTGCATGCACGAACACTAACTTGCGGTGTCCTGCTACAGAACTTCCTCGCCCTATGTGCGTCTAACTATTACGACAACTGCCTCTGGCACCGGAACATCAAGGGCTTCATGATCCAAACGGGCGATCCTTCTGGCTCAGGGAAGGGCGGCCAGAGCATCTGGAGCCGACCATTCGCAGACGAGATCCGGTCGACACTCAAGGTATTGCACGGCCTTCTTTCCTTTTCGCCTTCGCGCCATCACATCAGGCATCACATCTCAGTCCTTGGAAACTGACCCGCCCACGTTAGTTCAACAATCGTGGCATCCTCGCCATGGCCAACTCTGGTCCGGACACCAACAAGTCCCAATTCTTCATCACCTACGCAAAACAGCCGCACCTGGATGGGAAGTACACCATTTTTGGCAAGGTGCGAGCCGATAGTGCTCCTCTGCGGCTGTATCAAGTGCTCTCCTGCTCATTGATGATGCTGTATTGCAGGTTATTGACGGCGCAGACACCACATTGGACGCCATGGAACGGGTCCCTGTGAACGCAAAAAATCGGCCATTGAACGAAATAAGGCTAACCCACGTGAGTCGCAGTCCCGTCGCCGGTGCCTCGCATACCGAGTCATACCGAGTTTGGGGCATTTGTATGATGTACTACGATGCTGTGCTTGAGTGCAACATGTGGCAGGAGGAGAAGTTCACGTCGTGTTCCTGGCCGTTTGTTACCGTCCGAACTCCTGACTGAAAATAATTACCTTCGCAGGTGACAATCCACGCCAATCCGATCGCAGATGCTCAGCTGACGAGCCGTTGGCTATAACTTCTACACTGTCATTTTATATTTTATCCTTCAACGGTGCATTATATGACGTGTTCGCAGTCGAGCAGCGGATGGAGTACTTCGCTTGGGTTAACTGACAAAGGCTCATGATATGCGGCAGGATGTCTTGATACGCTTATCGTTTACATGATTTATCGTGCATCCATAGAACGTAAAGTTTGCCTTACCGTGTTGTTGTCTGATGAATTATCACTGCGTTACGCGTCATTCCCGAGGACTGAATAGTATCCCGCCACTACTACTGCGATAGCCGCAATATCCTTGGTCAGACAACACTGCTCCTGGATTTGCTCGCGAATGTAATATTCGCCTCGTCGTTGAAGTTGGTTACACGACGGGCAATGGCCTCGGACAATCTATCAATGGAGGCGGATTGCAGAGATGGAATTGTCTTAATGAACATCAACTGTGCCTCGCACTGCACGGGTGGACAAAGGTTTAACTGCAAGGACTAGTTACTCGGAGGACAGTAAAACCGTCCTCCGATTGCCTTCCATATATGGCAATTAGCCTGACAGGCTGGTGTCTCAGGCCAAACCTGTTGTCAGAAAAACTACCTTCGAGTGCACATCAAGAAGAAAGATGCTTTAAAGACAATTCCCTCTCTGCTATCCGCTTGCTGAGGCTGGTGGTAAGCCACCGTTGCCTGTCGTGTTAGTAGTTAGATATTGATCGACCCAGTAGATCTTAAAGATCAATGTCCGATCTACTGTGAATGACGTCGGTGTCGATGGCACCAAAGTTAACCGCATAATCTTGCCTGAAAGTTGTCTGCGTAAGTGTTGGATGGAAGCACTGTAGAAGTGTACGGCGTGCCAAAGAAACTCCAAGATGAAAAATGCAATAAGTAATTTTGGATATCAACAGGAAAGGACAGAATCAAGCACAATAAAGACCCTAATATTATGACTTTTCCGAGAAATGTTTACTCTGACGCACGCTCGGAGGTCAATGCACCTAAGAGCTCGCACCGTCGAAGCTGATCAAGCCCCAGATCGACACCCTGTTATCCTGACCGCCCGCAGCGAGCCAGCGGGTCCGCTCCGCCTTCTCCTCACCGCTCATCTCATCTTCGTTGTCCTCATCCACGCCCAACAGTGGGACTTCGCCCTGCCGGGGCTCCTGACTCGCAAAAGCGACCGCCGTACAGCTTTTCTTGTGATAATCCAGCGTGCCGAGTGGTTTCATGCTTTTCGTTGAGAATAGTCGGACCCTATAAGCGGGGTAAGACCAGGTGTGGAGAAGGGGAATATGCACATACTTTCCGTCCCATCCCCCGACCGCGCATACCCGCCCGTCGTCACGTATTGCGATTGAACTGTTCCCTGGATTTTTTGTTCTGTGAATTACACAAGCCGATTGCACCATTTCCGGCATGTCAGCGTTCTTGTAAATGGAAAAATCAGCACAGTAAACTTCGGTCAAGAGCGTAGCAGGCTCACCTGCAGGTCATAACGGCCTATAAGGTGATCTGCTGAAACAGTCAGAGCAAGCGTGTTGTCCTTCGACACCGTCATCGCCATCACTGCATGGCGGCGTGCTCGAATAAGGAGTACCGGACCAGAAATGCGCATACACCCACCTGTTTCAACGTGCAATTTCACTTCCCACACCCTCTCCCAGCCAATACCCTCAATCGACGTCTCCTTGTCCGTCCTAATATATTCCCACATGGCCACGCTTCCATTCTCGTAGGCGCACAACAGTCGCAGTTGCGTCTGGTCGGAGATACTGGGATGCGCAACCTCGAATAGGTGCATCGACATGATGATACCTGCGTGCCGTCATAGACTTCGATGCTGACGAAATCGAAGTCTAACCATACCTGTAGAATTCTGTCCGCGCCCATCTGGAGAGACAGGCAGGCCGCTCTTTCCAACCGCAGCATGCAGTCTTTGCTGGGAAGGTAATGTCCATACATCCGCCTGTAAATTTTCAGCACAAAGAACGAGAATAACGGAAGAATAATGTACTCACTAATGAAGACTCCACTAGGTTAGGGAGCGCGAGAAGGGCCTTCGGTTCCCCGTCTGCGTCAGCACTGGACAAAGGCCAGAGAGAGAATCGACAATAATTTAGCGCATTTACGTCCATTGAATAGCACAGTTTTGGCGTGAGGAGATCTGGCGCGACAGCGGAATCCCCGACTGCAGTAGCCGGCTCCTGCGCGCATATCCACACATGCAATTTATTATCCCGCCCATGGCTGTTCCAACAAACGCATGTACGAAATTCAGACAGGGTAGAAGGGCGCCGTATGCACATGTACGGACGTGATGACATGCTGCGCCCACTCTTCTATCCCGAGCAGGCCATCGGTGTGTGCCTGCCACAATGCCAGAGATCTGAGCGTCCGCGTCGACGTGATCACGACAGATCCTGCCAGGTCCCCAGAGTAGAGCCGCTCATTGTCATCGGAGAAGTACACGACGTTGACTTGTGCAGTGTGGGCCCGAAGAAGATGTAACGGAGGTGGTGGTGGTCTCGCAGACATGATGCAATAAGCTCCCTGACTCCGAACGGTCTCGCTTCGATCGAGCGGTCTGTCGCCCTGCGGCGCATGAAACAACTGGCAACATCTTCGCCATTTGTTACAGTACGCTAGACACTCTACATGGTATCGACCAGACTGTAGGACAATCTGTACATAGCTAGAGCACCGCACAGACTAAAGGCTGATAAGGGGACAAGCCGCAAGCGACATCTTCTCATACAATGAGAGGAAGAGATAAATATAACATCAGAGAATAATGAAGTGCATGTTTTGGCTGGCTGGTAGAAATGGACGGATGAACGGAATCACAGCTCCGACGAATGAACGAGAACAACTAAGAATACATGCGTGGATCGTCACTGGGACAGCTCGAGCACATGTCAGATCCCATCGAGGTCAGCTCTAGGGCGAACAAGGGAGGGCAAGGAGCTGGAGTAAGTGAAGGGGTATGTGGGAGTCAATGTCGTAAGACGCGGCTTTTGTCGAGTAGACGTGCGAGTGAAGCGGGGGGTGTAGAGATGAGATGAAGGTGAAAAGCGTGTGTCGCAGGACCCACATCGCCACTGTCGCAAATTGCAAGTAAATGCGGCGTTCATTATGAGAAGTTGGACCACGAGATGACGTCCTCTCTGGAACCGGGTCCCTCCATGACTACGGTGACGCCCAAACTGCTCGTCCGTATCGGGCGCTCAGCCCGCAGGCCCTTGACGGGCTTCAGGAAGCACCAGGCTGGTACTGCCCCAAGCTCCGCTTCACCCTTCTTCATCAGGCTGTCCCTCCCCACGATGCACCATCCATCATCGTAGCTCTGAATAACCGACAGGCGCTCGCCCAGCGAGACGACGAGTTCATCTGGAAGTGCAGGATTGAAAAGCTGTCGGACTTTGCGTTTGTGAGTGGCGTCAGATGAGGCGAAGGAGGCGACGGAGGTAGGGCGAGAGGACATGATACTGGTACGGTACGAACTTGAATCGATGGTGAGGAAAGAGGCAGTTGAAGCTGGGCGCATTGAATTACGACCACCGTCTGCACCAGCGGCGAAAGGAGCGAACGGACGCGGAAGCGTCCCCTCGGTAGCGTGATGGCGAATGATCTCATCACGGCTTGCACCCGCACGGAGAACCACTTTCTCTGGCATGACAATGCTAGGGGTCAGCCGATTCCTGGAGAACGTGGCTCCTTGAATTTCGAGACTGTGGCGCGAAATTAACTGAGAAGTCTACAAAGGCATCATTGAGATATACGCACTCTGGAAAAACTCCCTTCTCCTCATCCTCTCTTACCAACCCTCTAACAGCAAGGAAGGATGCCCCAATAGCATCCTCCCGCTTTGCCGCAGACCTTCTGCGGTAGGTGTAGATACTCAGCCAAATGGCGCATCCAGCGACAAGTACGGCGGCTACTACAATCCCAGCTATCATCGTGGGGGACAGCGTGCTTGAATTCGAACCATCACGAGCGAACAGCTGGAAAGACGGCGACATTCTTCTGAACAGGATTTTGGGTGTATGTGACGCGTGTGGAGAACGAGGTTGAAAAGAACGTCGATACAAAAGAATGAAAACGAGCTATAAATTAGCTCTTGCGGACTTGAGTGTACGTGTTACGCCACTTTGACCAACGGTGAGCTCGGAAGGCTCTGCGAACCGTTGGGTATACGGTAGTATGGGAGGGGAGGGAAAGAGTTAAGATGGAGCCGTTGCAAACATGGTAGATAAGTTGGCATCGCTACGGCTATTCCGGGATGGGAGGTCAATGTGAGAAGGACCCTAGACAGTCCACGTGGCACCCACCTCAGATCGCATTGCGAACGAGAACACCTATGGCTTCACACGAGCATGGAGAAGCCCAAGAACGACATTAAAATTTACCATTCTCTTACCGCTTTCTTTGGAGATGGCGTTGTTAATGTTAAGATGTTTCCGAGGCGGTCGGGGTCTTCCAGCGGATATTATACTGCCTCCATAAGGAAAGCGTAGAAGTGCGAGTGCCTGACTCAGGCTGACTGTACGAAGCAATATTGACGATGATGGTGAAAATCTGTGTATTTTTACTGCAAGCAGGCGATCAAGCGCGCCAAGGAACAGTCTCTAACGTAGGTAAATACGTGCTGGTAAGGGGTTGGCGAAAAGAAAAAATGTCCTTGCTGCCATGAAAGCAGCGGTGTCTCATGAGACGAAGCAATATTGACAAGTACTGGGGAAGGCACCCGCGTTAGCACAATAGTCGGATCAGTATCTCCAGGGACTGATTTGGAGGTAATGCTGGACTGGGTATGTTTTGGGAGGACAGCGTCGTGTGATGATTGGTCTACTTAGTTCGCAGTGTTTCGAACATTGGTTGACTGTGATGCACAGACCGACATCTTTCATGCCCATGCTCTAGTATTTACAGGAACGTGAAAACGACGGCAGTCATTCACGTCAATAATGTCGTCGACCTGCTCTGAATAGAGCCATCAATCTGGATTCTGTCCACAAATTGGTATTTCCCCATGGCTCAGCAGTTTTTAAAATGTGTGGCGGTCCCGTACGTGATTGAGGCAGTTGGTCAGCCAATAAATAAAGAAGAAAGGAGCAAGGGGTAAGGATAATACAGTAAGAATGAATAGAATCGACGATCAAGAAGGCTGCGAACGGGAATGGCGATGCCAGAGCGCTGGGATATAGGAGATGGAAGCGGATAAGTAGGTATAAAGCACAGCAGCGCGACAGGAAGATGTACGCGTGAGCGAAAGGCGTACCCCAACTCACGATCAACAGTGAGCAGGTACGCAAACAAGAGCTGCGAACGAAAGGGTGGGCGATGACACCGAACGGCTCACGGAGAGGATCGGTTGCCCGCAGGGGGCATGGGGAACTTCCGCACAGTCGCGATATCGGTTTCTTCGTCATCGAGACCTGTCAACGATGACACTCCGGATATGGTCGACGCCTGCATCGACACGACGCGCAAGCGTTCCTCCACTTCCTCCTGTGTCATTTCTAGTGCTGCGATGAGTGATCTCATCGCATGGTCGCCGAACAAGTTAGCGCTGGATCCGCTCGCGACAGAATCGTGTTGGACGTGGATAGCGGCTGGTGGCGCAATACGAGATACAGGGATCTCGTGCACGTCGATGAAGGGATTAGAAGCGCGGAACGACTGGCTCCGACCGATGGTGGAATGGCTGGTGTTACGACTATGGCCTTGGCTCACACTGCGAGTACGACTCGTACGGCTGTTGCTGCGACTGCGCGTCAGTGTGCGTGATCTCTGCATTTCCTGGGCGTTAAAGAACGGATTGGCGACGACACTACGTCTCTCCTCGTGGACGTCCATGAACGGATTCTGGACCTCCCGGGGTCCAGCCATGTCGTCTTTCCCCATTGTCAGAACTTCGGCCGACTCCCATTTGTGGACAGGAGATGATGTGGTGGGCGGAGTCATCTTCGCCATCACCATCGTGGGTGACATAGTCCCAGAGTCCGCCCGCATGGAATGGAGAGACAAGAACGATTCGTCCGCAGCCGTTGAGCCGCCCCATGAGACACCACTATCCTGCCGCTCAGTGAATGGACGCGGGGGCTGCTGAAGTGCAAGCTCAGCCGCAAGACTGGGGTGATATTTCGAGAATTCGAACGGGGGAAGATCATAGCCGTGGTCCTCGTCAGAGATGGTTTTTGCGGTGCGAGTCGTATAAATGCTAGGCGATTTCTTGAACATGGAGAAGTTCTTCTCCGTCATCTCCGTATCACGACGGACATCCCGCTTGCCTGGCATTCCCTCCCATTTGTCCTCGTTATCCCCGTTCAACCTCTTCCATGTGGAATCCCGATTGCGGGGTTGGTCTGCATTACCGCGTGTGCTACCGAGGGACGAAGGATCGCCGCGGGATTTCTCCCGGTTGTGGCGCTTGCAGCAGAAGACACAGAGAAATAGGAGTAGTGTGAGACCTGCAAATGCGCCAACGCAAGCCCCAATGACGGTACCAATAGGTATGTTGGAGCCGGACGAGGCCGAAGAAGCAGAGGCAGGGGAAGAAGTGGCGAGGTTGACGGACGATGTTGAGGAAGGCGTAGATGTTACGACCGGGATCGACGATCCGTCAAGCGGGGGGGCAGAATAAGTAGCTGCAGATGCGGATGTGTCTATCATTAGACCTGTCGCAGTGATACTCTGCTGGCTCTGCGTGGCTACTCCACCTATACCAGGAATTCCGGAAGGTGCAGCTGGGCCCTCTTGACGCTTCCAAAAATGACGGCGTGGAACACGCATATCGACGAAAAGCGAGCGAAAGAGAAAACGATTGTTGGATGCAAAGAGCGACGACTAGAAGAGAGTACACCTGCGCGAGGCAGAGACAAAATAACAAGAGAGGCACAGAACGGAGCGCTACGATCGAATCATATCTCGTGAGATGGATGTTCTAACAAAAACGTTGTGCTCACTTTCGACGCCCGGACGATGGCACTGCCGTGCCTTTGCGCCCTCGTCTTGGTGAACGACGGTGAGGAAGAGGGAGTCAATGGGAGGTGTTCCCAGCAGCCATCTTGAAACGGGATATTGCCGTCGGCCCACCTGCATCGCAACCGTGACGGCGCAACCGGTGGGCGCCTGCCCATAAAAGGCAATTCCCCAGCCCCAATACTCAACTCCCACTTCGATCACGCGGTGTGTCGTTCGGCCAGTGAACAACAGAAAATTCGCTTATCGCCCTCTGGTATGCTGAATAATCCAGCTTAACATTTTGTCTGGTAAGTTTATGTGGTTCCGTAGGAGTCGAACTCGATCCACCGGTCAATCCGACGTAAATGGAACTCTACTCTTCCGTTTTTGCCATAGATGTGAAGATAATCACCTATGCCGGCTCTTCGGGCATCTTCTCGCACTTGTCGTAGGGCGCAGTAATTCCCTTACGGATTAATAGCGAAGCGTCCGTCAGAATCATTCAGAGCCTGTCACCGTTATGTCAATTCCATGCTTGCTTATCGGAGATACTGTCACCAAACACGTACACCGTCTGTCCCTATCTCACCAGGTTAAGTACATCTTTATAGACATGCTTTGCTGAGGCCCCAGCAGGACAGCATCATTCAACCTGGCAATAAGTAAGTTCCATCATACGAGCATTCATGTTTGTTTGCACAGCTCATGCCAGAGTACTAGCTACCTTGAAGGCTATGTTATGACTGATACGTTACCGGTAAGAAGTGTGCATATTCGTACAACTTATCATGGATTCACCCTGTCTCAGAGTCATAGAACCAGCTCGGAGAATCACCCAATCTGTTTCAGCGACCTCCCCGATCATGCAATTGACCGACGTGGTGACGTTCTCTCTCTTCCATGTTCTTCCCATGCGGCTAGTACCTGCCGTCCTAGAAACAGAGCTGCGAAACGTCCTCATTGTGAACGGTCCCAATTGGCCCAGCGAAATCCCGTGTTCGGGTGTGCTGGAGTTCAACTGGGTTATCCACCATCCGCTCTTGAGCTTGTGACACATGCGCAGCACTAATGTATGGAGGTGCCAACCTACCAGCGGTACCTATGGGCAGGTACGTTTTAGTCTTCCTCAGCGTGCTTTCGTATGACGGTGTCGCTCATCGGCGACTCACCGACATCATCATGCACGGTGCTGTATGCTTTACGCACAGCCAGTCATGATCCGTGAACCTTCCATGAACCCGAATGGAGCAATCTTGGAGCGGGAGCAAATTTGGACACACTATTCCCTGATATTCACGTCCTCGTACTGACGCTTCCAGACCTGGATGGCACCGTTTGTCTGTTGTGATGCAGGCACACTGCCTGCTCTGAACGCGATTACCGGTAAGCACCTCTCTGATACGTGGATTAACATGTCAACTGTTTTTATGATCAGGAACTGAGTACGCAATGAACAGGTTCCATCTGATATCGATAGCAAGGGTTATTTCTATTACAGTGCCGTGTACTGTATGCCGTTAGGCTCGAAACCAGCTGCCTTGTATATAATATGTACTTACGGGGTGATAGTCATGGCAGTATAGTGCCAATCCTCTCTCCCAGTTCCTCTGCATTTGGCGCATTATAGACTGGGCACGAGTCTAGGAAATAATGGTCTCGTTGTTTTTCCTTCAACTGTTAGCTGGTTGATACTCATGTTATCGCGCAAGTTGAAGCCAGTGAAATTAGTGTTTTTGCAGACCTCGCCGATTCGTCGGCACACGCGACAATACTGAAGGCGTATGTACCTTCCAAAATAGGGAATTACTTACCTATTTCCGGAGGTATCAGCTGCTTTCTCATTGCCACTAAGCCAGATCGAAGTTTCAGTGATTGAATCATACTGTGAAGCCTCCCCGAACGCATCGGGCCCCAGGTTAACCGTAAACCTGATTATGACTAGTACTCTGAGGATCTTTAAGCTGGGATCAACTTAAAGGGAGTGTTGTACTGCAGCCGGAATTCGACGGCATCGATGCGCTCGTTTATCGTGTGTCATCATGCCCGGGAACTTGGTTGTTCAGCGCTCAGCATTTATAACTGCTGCCAGGCTGTCGCTCTCCGTAAACCCTTACCCACCAGCAGTACACTCGATAGATGTCCTCTACTACCTTCAAAATGGCGGAATACCGTCAGCTCGGGAAGTCTGGTCTTCGCGTTTCCGTGCCCATCGTCAGTGGTTTGCCCTTGTCGTAGATTCTCCTGACATCCAGCATGACTGTAGCTTGGGGCTATGAGCTTTGGCTCTTCGGAATGGGCGGTGAGTGACCTCGTCTGTTGCTCCTGATATATCTGACCTATGACTCGCAGCCCTGGGTAATCAATGAGGATAGGGCAATCCCTCTGTTGAAGGCTGCTTGGGATCGCGGTGTCACCACCATCGATACAGCCAATATGTACTCTAACGGCGAATCTGAACGTGTGATCGCCAAGTTCATCGCACAGGTCCGTTCTCCTCGATGAACTACTTCTGACGGGTCTTCCTGATGGGGCATCCTACAGTACAACATTCCCCGCGAGGAACTGATTATTGCCACCAAGTGTCACGGCCTCGTCGTCAAAGATGTCGGCGTCCGCGCATTCCTCCACCCCGAGTTGAGCTCTCAGCCGCAATACATAAATCAGTCCGGCCTCTCGCGCGCCGCGATCTTCAAGCAGGTCGAAGCGTCTCTCAAGCGCCTAAACACTACATACATCGACCTCCTCCAGATTCACCGTTTTGACGAGACTGTGCCCGCAGAGGAGACGATGAAGGCGCTACACGACCTCGTGGAGAGCGGCAAGGTCAGGTATATCGGAGCGAGCTCCATGAGGTGCTGGCAGTTCGCTCTGATGAACGAGGTGGCGGATAAGCGGGGGTGGACCAAATTCGTCAGCATGCAGGATGAGTACTCTCTGCTGTACCGCGAGGAGGTGGGTTCTCGTCTGCACTTCCGTCATCCGACACGGTCTCTGACGCACCTCAGGAACGTGAAATGATCGCGTACTGCAACTTCAATGGCATTGGGCTGATCCCCTGGGCTCCCCTCGCGGCGGGTGCGCTCGCGCGACCGTTGGGTTCTGAAACTACCCGCTCAGACTCTGTCAAGGGAACGATGCTCGAGAATAAGGTCAAGGAGTCCGACAAGGTCATCATCTCTCGCGTGGAGGAACTCGCCAAGAAGAAGGGCGTCGCGATGGCGCAAATCGGGTTGGCGTGGATTCAGACGAAGGTGAGCAGCCCAATTGTGGGCTGTAGCTCTGTTTCGCGCTTGGAGGAGGCGATCGTGAAGGGCGTGGACCTCACTCCGGAGGAAATTGCATACCTTGAGGAGCCGTACGTTGACGTTGACGTATCCTTGCCTGATCGAACACTGATCACTCGCGCAGATACGAGCCAAGACCTGTCCGTGGTCACGCCTGAAAGATCTCTGTCTGGGTGGTCTATTGGTCCAGTATATTGATGTCACATCGTTGACTTGTGTAGCAGTAAATTGAGACTGTCGTATCAGTGTAACCAGTGTAACCAGTGTTCTGAAATACTGCTTTATGCTGACTGGCCTATTGCACATAGGTTTCGAACCTTCCATTTCAAAAGTTGTAGCAGATGCCTCACAGCATAAATACTTTCCGAGCGGAATCGCGTGCTTAACGCGTGACGAGTTATCCAGCGTCGTGACTGTCGTGTCTGGTGACTCTGCCCGGCGTCTGATCTCCCGCGCGAGGTACCGACCCAGGTTCCCCGTACTCTTTCATACCTGCGGCTGCTCTGTTCAACTGACGGATTACTCCTGCAGTCATCACTCTGGTTCTGGATGGCTTTACTTCGTTGTAATTTCCGCTTGTTCGCGCGTTCGTCGCGTCCTTCACTACTCTATGGAAGTCAGCGATACAACTCTGTTGTATACCACCCACCGAGGGGGATGCCTCCTCCACTGCGAGGTATCAAAGTTCTCGATTTATCACGTGTTCTTGCTGGACCTACAGCAACGATGCTGCTCGGAGATCTCGGTGCAGACATAATCAAGGTGGAAGAAGTATCCCGAGGGGACGACACCAGTATGTTTTCCCCTCTGCGATTTTCTCCTCATTCACCACAAAAGACGTCTTCCAGGGTCATGGTATCCACCGTCTGCTCCGACATCCCCAAAGGCCTCCTCGAGTTCGTCCGATCTTCCTCCGGAGTCAGCTTACTTCCTTGCCGTCAATCGCAACAAGCGATCTATCACGGTGAACTTCAAAACCGCCGAAGGGTTAGAGATTCTGCGGAAGCTCATCCAACAGTCCGACGTTCTGGTGGAGAACTACATACCCGGGAAATTGGATAAAATTGGTCTTGGCTGGGAGGATTGCAAGAAGATTAACCCGAAGCTCATCTATGCCAGTATCACCGGTAGATGTTCCGGACTTGCTTTCCCATGGATACCTTGATGACTCGTAGGATATGGACAGAGTGGACCTTACCGGGAGTCTGCTGGGTATGATGTGATCATTGAAGCTGAGGCGGGCTTTATGCACATGTTCGTTGTTCCTCTGTGATCCTTCTGAATAATAAGCTAATGCTGAAGTGCACAGCACAGGGGAAGCCGACGGTCCTCCTTGTAAGGTAGGTGTAGCGGTGACGGATGTTGCTACAGGGCTATATGCCCACGGTGCCATTATGGCTGCAATTATATCTAGACAGCAGACAGGTGAAGGCGTTTGGATAGACTGCAATCTCTTTGAGACGCAGGTGCGGTTTCATAGAATGCCGGGGTTCAAAGCTGAATGATTTATGCAGATAGCTGGCCTTGCAAATATTGCATCTAATTATTTGATAGCTGGTCAAGAGGCTTCCAGACAGGGTACAGCACACCCCTCCATCGTTCCTTACCAGGGTTTCCCCTGTAAGGATGGATTTTTGATGATTGGGGCTGGTAACGACAAACAGGTGAGTTGTCTTCAACCTCTGTTGCGGAATTGTCATATTGACTGACCGTAAATCTTCTAGTTCAAACTTCTCGCAGAAAATATTCTGAAGAGACCTGACCTTGCATCAAATCCTAAATTCTCCACCAATCAGGCTCGAGTGCTCAATCGATCTGAACTAGTTGGCGTCATTCAGAAAGCTCTCCTTGAGCATAGCCAGCAGTACTGGATAGAACAATTCTCCGGTCTTGGGTAAGCTTTGAGTCTGTGTGGTTGGTATTTATCTACAATTCACCTGTTAAGGATACCATTCGGGCCAATCAATGATATCAAACACACTTTCCAGCATCCTCAAGCAATTGCAAGAAAGATGGTCGTAGAGGTTGAGGTAAATTGTTACTAGCGTGCAGTTAGGTGTCGCTCGCTAAGCATTTTTCAGCATTCTCGTGCTGGAAATATCAAACTGGTTGCACCTGCTGTGTCCTATAACGGACAGCGATTGCCAGTTTCTCGCCCTCCCCCAGTCTTATCCGAGCATACCGTCGAGGTAGGTACACCTTCGACGAAGTCTCGCCCCTATGACAATTGCCTTTCTTAGGTCCTGCAGCAGCTCGGATACAGTGACGACGAAGTAGCCAACATGAAAAGGAGACACATCATTTAGTGTGCATATGCATGTATTCACGCGGCTCACTATCTGCGTCAGTACCTCGACATTCAACAGTGACAAGTGTTCTCCTTTTCCCTGTCGGCTGGAACACGGATCCCCGTCCGTAATGGGTATTCATGTTAAGATGATGTTAAGACCGGCCTTATTGATACAAGTAAGATGCTAATGTACATGATACTGGACTTTTGTCCTACATAAATTCTGTAATGTTGATAATTTTGAAGCTCAGATCTTCACTGACTCCGGACGGGCAATCATGTTGTCAATCTCGGGCCTCACACTAGCGAGCATATCTCTGGTCCCCTTGACGGGCTTCCACCCGATGGCGCGAGACCGTTCAGCACGGCAGCGCGAGTTTGTGCCCAGGTCGGCAGACTGTATCCAGCCGATAAAATATCAGCACCGTCACGAAGAGCACACACCACCGTGTTGTCTTACCCCGCCAAAATATTTGTCCAGCTCTGCCTTCGAAAAGGTCGTCGGCTCGTCTGACTTCGCCATACCCAGGTCAACAAGGGCAGCACCGATTGCCTTTCCAATATCATACAGCTGGTGTTCGCCGTTCTCGGCGAAGTAGAAACCCTCGCGGCCATGGCCTATGGGTTTCCCGGACATCACCGCGTCGAACACCACAATATACAGGTCCGCGACTAAAACAGAACGCCGCAACGTATTAACGAGGCTTGGGAACCTTGGAGGGCTTAGCTGTGGTCCACAAACCTTCGTCGATATGCACGTTGGGCCAGATATTCTTGCCCTCGCCCACCATACCGCCGCGGCCACGATCCAGGCTCGCCTTGATCAGCAGAGGAATTTGCACCGAGTGTGGGTTCATAATTCCCGCGTTTACCAGGGAGCCGGAAGCCAAACCGTAGATGTCAGACGGCAGAATGATGTAGGACTTGATGGTCCCTTCGGCAGCAATGCTCAGTGTACGCGTATCGGGCATATATCGGGCACCGAGCTGATAACGAGGATCGAAGCGCACCTTTGGCGTCTGCGTTAACGATGCTGAGGTCCACATTTCGGTGCATTTGCGTGGGGGAAAGCGTCTCGATCTGGTCGGGATCGGAGTCATAGTAGATAGTGGACATGGGGTACATCCCGGCAGCATTATCAGTGACAATGCCTGTGCAAAATCGTAAAAATGGTTGCATCGTCTCTTCTCTATGTTACAAACCTGTTCCTGACTGTGACAGGGGACCATAGAAGGGAGTGCCAATAAAGACAGCCGACCATTATAAGTGCAGAACGTACAGTGTGGATCAAAGTGGGAATTTCACCAGCCTCGGTATGCCTTTTCTGCATTCCCCGCAGGATTGCTCGCGCAGCGCCTAGGTCATCTGCATCTGCCTACATACCTCGCCAACGGCCGGAGGTAAGTGATTGCGCCCTGATCTGAAAACAATAAGCTCACGCAGTTGAAAACGATACTGGCTTTGCTGGCCAAAGCTTCCAGTTTTTCGGTATCACCGAATGAACCAATGACGGTGTGAACCCCAAATGCCTCGAGCTTCTTGGCCTTCTCTTCGGAACGTACGAGCACAGTTATATCAAAGTTGGATGCGTTGGGGTGCTTCATCAGGCGAGTGAGTACAGAGCCTCCAATATAACCTGCATCAATAGATATGATGCTGTTATCAGTATTTTCGACAGCTGGCAACCAACAAACCACATACCTGTCGCGCCTATCAGGAGGATGGACGTCTTGTGAGACATGGCGGTGCAATGTCCGATAGCAAGACCTGGAGAGGGGTAGCGTCCGCGGATGGCCGCCATTTACCACACCCTAAGCCATGGCGTTTGCGATGATGTCAGTCACTCTTGGTGGCGCAAGTGACCCCTGTAGCAAAGATCCAATCTTTGGATCTAGGATGCAGATTCGTGTTTGTTTGACGAATACAACTTTTTCTAACGGCCGGGGACGCATTAATTATTGGCTTGGCAATGGTTGGCCAACCTGTAAGAAAACATTAATTGTTCGGTGAGGAGCCACAGCCATGCATGCATATAATACGAGCACTATGGGGACTGGCAACATGGTTCGGGCTGATGACCTCAACGCGAAACCTTTGTGTTGTCGTTTCGCGCCGACATACCGTTTCCTGCGGAGAGATCGGGGAGATTACGATGGGCGGCCGACAATTTCTAAGATCTAGACCTCATAATTGGTATTGCCGGAAAGTTGGTTCAAGGCAGCCTTGGCAAGGCCAAACCACCTATACTTATTCAATTATTGCTGATTTCAGAAGTCGTGTCGCGAGGCCGAACGCAGATATCTCCTCAACGGCTGGGCCGTTTCTCTCGATTCTTGCATTTTCGGACTCTCCTCATTCAGCGCGTAGGGCATAGTACCAAGAAATCCGGCCTATCACGGTGATGTCTGTTTGCTGTTCTCGGTTGGCTCCTTCAGGCTCAGAAGTCACTTTGTTGTCGTTGGGTGGGCCGGAGAGTACCGGAAAAGGTTGGAGACACTTGAGTGGCATGCTAAGCAGGACAGGGATGTGGAGTTGTGGTTCAAAGGGATCTAGCCCGTATGTTATTCATCTCAGTCTGCATAGAGCATATTACAGGGTCACAGAATACATGCTGCCACTAAAGATTTTGTGTGCGGAACACATGCAGTACTCATGTATACATCAAGTTAACACCGGATACCAGTTGTACTAAAGACAGAGAAATATGATTTGAAGGGGCCCGAGTGTTGTACTGGCTGCGGCATCTCCCCATCATCCTCAAAGCCTTTCACTGCTTGCTGCTTGCTTAGGAACATTCAGACATCAATATAAAACTTTAAAAAAAATGAAAAATACAGCCTGCGGTTGGTTTCGGCCATCTGGCAAGTGGGCTGTGATCACAAGTTGGATCCTACAGAGAGAATCAGGACATTCTTACTTTAGTATTGTACCCCATGTCCTCTCTATGATACTAAGAAGTCCTCTCGGAGCAACTCCTCCAGCACTGGAACTGTCTGCTGCACGGGAAGTTGGTTCTGAGCTAGCGCGACCACCACCACAGCAGCGAGTATTGAATGGTCCGAATATGTACATTTCTTGATACCATGCCCTGCGCGCTGACGAGGAGAGTCCGAAAATGCAAGGATCGAGAGAAACAGCCCAGTTGCTGAGGAAATATTGTGTTCGAAGTTAGAGGTTTGTGTATATTTGGCCCCACGACTGACTTCTGAAATCAGCAATATCGTTACCCAGTGTTACAGCCTGTAATCAGGTCTAGTTGTGCAATTTCGCAATCTCATACCATTCCGCTGCACTAAAAATTGGGAAAAAATATGTAGTGGATTTGCATGATCCCAGATACCTCGATTGCACAACTTGGAGGTAAAACACGGAGAGCAAGTCGGTGAATTGCAAGTCTGGAGTGATTCAGGCGTGACAGCGAAGCGTGGCAATTCAAGCACCGACAAGAGGGAGGACAAGGGAGCGGCATGTCGGCAGGCATGACGATCTGTGATCGATTCGGCGCTCTTGCATGCAAACGAGTCTCTTCGGTGCGTTCGGTCTCGTGTTCACACAACACTAGGAAAAAACTTGGGAGTTACACAGAAGGTGCTTCATATGTCCTGTATTCAGCATGAAGAGGTTTGAGGCAAGACGGGCTCGATTTGATGAAGCGATGACAGAATCATGATTGCATTACGGGGGTAACGATATACTTTCCCTACTTCGATCGCGTCGGCAGGTGCCTTACTTTAAACCAGCGTCTCGGCTAGATCAGAGTTTTTGGCGGTTGCTCGCGCTCTGCTCTGTGGACGCGGGTTTCTCTCATTATGCTTGGAATGGTTTGAAAGCTAATCACTCCCCGTACAACACTGGGACCTTCTCTATGGAGAATGCATGCACAATCTTGCATACAAAGCATTGAGATATTTTTGGCACACCTTTTACATAATACCGGAGATCACGACGAGTGCCAAGGCGAGAGTAGGGAAAGTAAGGAGGGACATAATTGAACAGGGCATATTGATATATGGTTGATGAAGTCGTCTTGAGATCTCAAGTTTACTGAGGGGAGATCATGATTCATGATAATCGAAAATGCGCTGCATATCTTTCACGAAGTGAGCTTCTGCTCTCTTCGTTTGTTGAATAAATTGATGCATGTGAGTTCGCACCTCTCTACATTTCACCGTCATCGCGGCCCATCAGTGATTCGTTCGCAAGAGCGCAAGGAGTTTTCCTAGATGATCTAGAGCCCGAAAGCTTAATTAAGAAGACACATAAGAGGATGGGACGCCCGGCTTGCTAATGACTAGTGACGGGACCTGAAGGCCTGACTCCTGAGGCCTCACCATAACCTGCCTGCTACGCCATACTAAGCTACGTACCCAGGACGCAACGTCGACCACACGGCTGGGGAGGAGGTGAGTAATACAGTCTGGCACAGGTTTCCGGGCTTATCGTAACGGCGGGTGCCAGCTTCACCTTCACACGTTAGTTCCGACTTTCGCAATGAAATTTTTGTCTGACATGCCCCCGACGTTAGTCGATTCTTTGCGAAAAGCTTCGTTCTTTTCCTCTCGCAGTCTGCAGGAAACCCTGCGAACTGTCTGACTCACGTTCTCTAATTTCCCCAGAAACGGCAAGCGAGGTACATGAATTCCTCGCTTCCGCGCGCTCAACTCATACGTATATAGCCATTCCAGGATCGCCCGCCGTGTCTCGCGCCGGCTTCACCATGAATCCTTCTCAGTGGTCCCATGGCCAGTTGCCACCACCTCAGTCTCACCAGCTGCAGCTCGAGCAGGAGTATGACATCGACCCTGCTCAATTCCAAGTCCTCCAGACCGATGGAATGCAGCGCTATGAACGTCGCCAGGCACAAGCGCAAAATATGGCGTATCCTACATACGCACAGTCGTATCCTCCCGAGAATTCACAGCATGCTTATGGGTATACAGATCCCAGTCTAAACGTCCAACAGTCTCAGAACTTGGATGCTTTGTATGGGGCTAATGTCCAGTATCCTGCGTCGAGTGAGACTCAGACTACCTACCAGCAGCAATACCAGCCAACAAGCAACGCCTACCTTAGCCCGTACAGCAACGCTGTTCATACGTACACCTCTTCGTATGATTCTCATGCTCCACAGAGTACAGATGTGCACATCGGTCAGAGCCAATCTAACTCAAGGGACCACCTCGCGCCGATAAGCACATTCCAAACGGTGCGCCGCACGAGTTCGCAACAGTCGCTCTACGTATCACCCTCAAGTACCTTATCGATGACGCCGTATTCATCGCATTCGTCTTCCGCGGAGCCGAGCATTGATATGCAGGCGGGCGGGTTGTTCAAGGATGATCCGTCTTACCATCCACAAATCCCACCGCCTACTTTGGAGCAAGCATTGGGTGCACATGCGATGAAGAGAGCACGAGGACTCATAGACGATTTCCATGACAGCGATGATGCCGGAGTGGAGGCCGAGGGGCAAGTAGAGGGGCCGCACACAAAGGCAGACGTGAAACCAAAGTTGTGAGTGATCTGTTACTCCACAGATCCTTGCCCATATCGACGTATGGCCATAGACCGGGCGCGTGCAAACGATGCAAGGGCCTCAAGGTACATATGCCATTACTATTTCCCGAGTTATGGGTGATATAACCGTTATACAGGTCAGATGCGAGTTCATCACCGATCCCGATACTTGCAAGCGATGTAAGAACGGGGGGCACGAATGCGTGATCCCAGGACGGAAGAAGCGTAAACCGCCGCCGTGAGCGACCCCTCGTGTCCCTTCTGTGTCTCATTTCTCATGTCGTCGGCCTTCAGCAAACGGGAGTATCTTTTAAATCAAATTCGTGACCAAGCCGAGCAAATCAAAGTCCTAATTCAGCAACTAGATGAAGCGAATCGTATGGTGGCGAAACGACGCTCTCTGGCCAACTCTGGTTCTCCACTCCAGTCTACAGACCGAACCTCATCGCTCTCTATCAGCCCCGGCGAACTGACCTCCCCAGACATAGTAACACCGAAGGAGGAGGATGAAGTCGCTCCGCAAGAAGTGCAGGACTGGATCTCTAAGGCCCGCGAGTCTATTGAAGCCTTCGGAGGATTCATTAACATGGGTGGGCCCAGCGTCACACGCGAGATGCTCGGCGATGAAGGAAGCGACGGTAGTGAGGACAGCTCAGCAGAGTTCGACGTCTCGGCTGACGGCGCCGATGCAGAAGAGACTGCATTCGATGTGGGAGCAGACGGTGAGGGAGAAACATTCCAGAGCTTCCCTATTCCTGAAGGTATGGAGGGGCACATCGTTGGCAACGAGAGCTTCACGAGTGACGATAACGGAGGTGTCGCCGGACGTGGCCGTGGCCGTCTGCGCAACAACTTCTCACGTGAATCGACTGAGAGTGCCCCGGATACTACGCATAGCGGCAAGAGAGGCGGCGGGGCGACGAAATTGGCCATACTTCCGAGCGAGTCTGTTCCGTTCGGCCTGATGGCAAATCTCGCTCTCAGAAAGAAGGGCAAGCGGCGCTCTAGCCGGGATAGGGATGCCGTCGGTGCGGAGGACAGCCAAACTGAGGTTGGATTGGCGAATGACAATTACTTCAGACCGAGTATGACGTTATTTTCTGTCGGGGGCAGCTGCACTGACACATTAACCTTGACAGGTGCCGCTCCTGAACGTCCAATTATCCAAGAAGCGCACCAGCCTCCGCATATTCTTAGGAATGGTTTAGTCAGTCCCGCTGAGGTAGAGAGGTTGTTCGCCATGTGAGGCTTTTCTCTCGACAAAATAATTCACCATCCATTGCTTACCACCATGCCTCAGATACTTCGACTACATGAACCTCTCTGTGTCTCTCTTAGATCCAGTACTCTACACTGCGCAGAAGACATACTGGCGCAGTCCCTTCTTGTTCACAGTCAGTGAGTAAAGCTGATTCTTCTATCATCTGTTATTTCTTTATTGTTCATTCTACTACTACTTCTAGTCTGTGCGATTGCTTCTAGGCACTACAATATGCGTCCTGAGTTGTACCAACAAGCTATGAAGTATGCACGCCTCGCCGCAGGCACAGCTCTGATCGGTGGTCAAAAGAGCGTAGAAGTTGTCGAGGCATATATCCTCTTGGCTTTGTATCCCGTGCCTGTACGGAGATGGGAAGAAGACCGATGCTGGTTATATCTAGGCCTGGCTATCCGGTACGTTATGTGTTCTTGTTCTTATGAAATAAGTAACTTCTTGTGCCGTTATAGAGTAGCAACGGATCTGAATCTACATCATCCAAACACTCCGAGTCCTGACAATGAAATGCACGCTCGCGAGATGCTAAACCGTACACGTGTGTGGCTGAATTGCTTCAATCTCGACCGATCCACCAGCTCGCAGTACGGGAAGTCATCGATCATTTCTAACTCAGATTACACCGCGAATCACTCCGAGTATTGGTGGAAGTGTTCGCCATTCAACATGGACGGTTTCGACATTCAGCTCTGTTGTTACAATGCGGAACTCAAAGTTATGGCGGATTTCCGTTCGCGTATTTACAGCGATCCGACGCATCCCACCGGGCTGAATAAGGTGTGTACCATGTACGACAAATTCTGGCTGTTCTGATCCAGTGCGATTAGAAATTGGACTTCACGAAGATTGCGAGCGATTTCGACGATCATCTCTCCCGTCTTTGGGAAACGTGGATTGCTCGTGTCCGTGAATGCCAGACGGATGACCCTCAGTGTCATTTCCGAACAGGGCTTTTGAAACTTGCATACAGCTATGCTCGTCTTACAGTGCTCGCGGTTGGATTTCAACATGGCAAGGTCACGAGCAGTAACGAGGTTCCCTTCCTGTGGCGAGTTAGTAATTGATAAATGTTACACCAAAAGCGAAACTGATTGTGGTGTTGTTGTAGTGTCTGCGTGCTGCTACCGACGTTGTCAACGCGGTTGTTGATGATATCGGAATACCTAGTCAAAGTTAGTGAACTTCACTGAGTCTACCCTATTTTTCTCATATTTTTCAGAGGTCTATCTACGTCACGGGCCTGAAGCCCAGAGTGTATTCGTGACCTTCGCTTCTGCCTTCCTGGTTAAGGTGCGTGGTTTCTTGTCACTTACACCACTGTCTCGTCATTTGACGACATGTCAATCAGCTCTTGCAACCTAAATACACTGCATTTATCACCAGAGAGCAGCGGATTGAGATACGCGACCACGTTCAGCGAGTCATTGATCTCCTGGGCTCGCCAGAAGTGGGCATTGACGATCGGCACGGTCCCAAACTATACTCGCTTTTCCTGAAGGGTCTGCTGGCGACTCCTATGGCGAGGATAGACCATTCACCAGGATCTATCAACCGTGATACTTTTGCAGCGCGACGAGTAGCGCAAAAGTACCAGAAGAATCAATTGTCTTCGTCGTCATCGTCACAATCAGACTTCGGACAGTCTGCTTCACCACCCCCGAGTTCCGGTTCAAGCCTGAATACAAACTCTCCTCAACAGAACCCACTGTCAGTGGGTCCATACGGGCCACAGACGCAACCCGGACCTACAGTGTTCCAGTCTCAGTACCCAACTATATCTCAGATGAGCACACCCGAATTCCTTGCACCTCCCTTACCTTTCGACCATGAAATGATACAATCCATGCAATCGCTCACTGACCCCAACATTTGGCCGGATATTGCTTTACCTGGTAAGTGATATATGGTGTTGAAGGTCTCAATTCTTATATCTTCGCGCTACAGGCTTCAACTGGATGGGTATGCAAACCGACTCTGGTGTCCAAGGGGTAAACGTGGTGGTGTGAGGGTCTCTATCTCATATACTTAATCTTGCTATCGCGCTGCATATCTCAATGTCTTGCACACTCATCTCGCTGGATGTGTTCTTGTAGTATCCCGTTCGCATCGTCTTCCTTGACTGTGGCCGCATTCGTCACCGCAGTAACTTACGCATCCCGTTGTTTTGTACCATCATCCCATTGTCATGAATGTATACATAAATAAAACAGGAGAAAGAGACACCGGCGAGCGACACGTCAGCCTCATAAAATTTGACAGATTCTAGATTGCCTGAACTACTGAGTGGTAACCATAATATCAACAGCCCGAGTAACCGCTGTGATTTCCCCCAATATCCAAGAGCGCAGGTGAAAAATCAGAAGCTGGGTGAAGAGGGGCCATGTCGGAGAGGGCATCCCTCATTCTAAGGTTAAATTCAGTCTTTATCCTCGAGTTCAAGTTTTGTACCGCGCTGTCGCGTGCCTCTTCATCCACTACGTATCTCAGGAGCTCGCGGCTGGCAATTCTCCTCATTATCCTCTTGCGATGTTACCACGTCGTCACATTTCACGAGTTCGTCAGTAGTTATCGTCTACATTGAAAGCATATCTAAATGAGTCCGAGTCGTCTATGGTCCTTGTGCCTTCAGAGATGCCTTTTCTATTTCTAATGCAGATATATCACTCCTCTCACACATACCCCGGAAAATACCATCTGGTCTGTTGTAGAGATTGAGTGGTGTGTCAAATTCCTGGGGTAAAGTTCAGCAATGTTCCATCATTTACGACGGAGTACTTACGGCGATTGTACCAGCGTCCAGCACCAGAATTCTGTCGTAAGATATGATGGTCCGCAGACGGTCTAAGGATACCTATCAAATTGAGCCCTTCGGATCGAGAACAGCAATACTGACGTGCTATGCACAACAATGTCTTATGACTGAACTGCGTTTGAATTGTGTGTTGAATCTTTGAGTCTGTCCCGAGGTCAACGGATGCGCTAATATACACTGCCTGTGAACTTCAGGTCGCTGAAATGGGTGGAGGACTGACGTTGCTTCATCGAGCACTATTACGAAGTTAGGTCTTTCCTCTGATGTCGTCACTAGGGAGGATTAACTCACCGACCACCTGGCTGTCTTTCACCAGAGCACGAGCCAAACTCAACAAGCTGCGCTCCCCTACGCTCAGGTTAGCTCCCTCCGCCTCGATGACGGTGTCAAGATTGAACCGAGAGGTAGGGGTATGAGCCCCGTCGGATGTGAATTCTCCCTTCATCGGAGGTTCCACCAGAAAGGATCGATGGAGCGCATCCCACAATTGAGCGTCACTCTGAGGATCTTATGAGACGTAGCCGGGCATCGTCAGCCAAGACTCACATAGACATTGAACGGATCTAGATTAGATCGTATCGTGCCTGTAGACTAGAATCAGCTTGTTGCTTTCACATAACGCTGAAAATGCAATCTTACCGCTGAACAGCAACGGCTAAAGCGAAGGTAGGTAGGTAGGTATATTACCGGTACGGGACGCAGTCAGGAATAACTTTGTTAGCTTCACAAAACCAAAAATTCAGGTCAAGAGAACACACGTCTTGAGGGATGATCGCGATCTTGGACCGAAGATCTCTCAACCCGATTGTGGAGATGTCAACCCTGAGTCGAATGGTATGAGCGGACCTCAATTAGAGCAGACGTTGAACCTTACCCATCGACCGTGATTGAACCCGACGTGAGTTCCACGATGCGATACAGAGCCATCATCAGTGTTGATTTCCCAGCACCCGTCCTGAACGAATCTTCGGCATCTCCGCAGAAGGTTTTGTATATCACTTACCTTCCAACTACCCCGATTTTCTCCCCACCTCTAATATCCAACGACAAACCCTTCAGCACGAACGGTAGCCCAGGTCTATATCTCATGACAACTTCGTTAAACTGGATAGCGCCCCGCGCTGGCCAAACTGCGGGAGGTCTGCGATCTGGAATTTCATGCGGCAACTCTTGCTCGATTAGGTCACCCCGACTGTACTGGACAACTGAGAGGTGGGTCAGCGAGGGACGCGTATACATCACGAACTTTCATACCGCGTTCGACCGAGCTCATGTACGTCTTGGTAACGAAAAATTACCGGTGAGCAGCAACACTAGGGCACAGCTACCATCAGCACTCACCTCGACTTCAGCGGACTGACATCAAAGGTTAGCCGGCAACAAGAGCAAAGCCAGAACGATGATCTCACCTGTCGGGTAAGCATTCCGCATAGTTGGACAAGAGCAGCTAATACGCGGGAGAGATCGGTTATCGATCGCATCGCTTACATAGGATTCTGTATTGCTTACTGGAGTATGTGAGGACGAGACCGATAGCTGCTGAATTTCGGCCTGAGACATCACCCACAGCGAGCAACGCGACCTACACATGCATGAGATTCGCGTGGCCAAAGGGACAAAAGAAATCTCACAATGCAAATCATCAAACCACCTAACATGTCTATCCGGATCGATAGCCATCTATGGAGGAAGGTTATATCCAATCAATGTGAAACAAGGGCAAAGCTACCTCTGATTTGTGATAGTCAAAATAGCGGCTCGATCTTCGAGGTCGATGTAGTACTCATTGTCGCAGAGAAAACGGCGAATTTCACCATAGCTACGGATGGTTGGCAAACCGGACAGAGACTCCGCAAAATGAGCGTAGAGGATAGATCGCAGCATTGCATCTAGTGAAAATCAGTCCCATCCTTGATGGCTGTGACTAGAATGCTGCGTACCTATCCTCTTGATTTCCGTAGCGCTAGCTTGATAAAAGTTCGCGAAGTAGCTGTACATACAGGCAATTGCCCCAGCGGCAATAACTAGATGTGCAGTGAGCACATGAATTCTCGACATCTTAACGTTCTTAACGTGAACTTACCGAAGTAGTACTCTAATACCGCTATGATCAACACGCTACCGATCACGTTAGCGATAGTCAAAACAACTGTTGAAGAGTCAGGCATCTTAGTACAACATCAAAGGTAGAGGACTCACGCAGTCTCATTGAAACTTAAGATACCCGTCATGAATTAGACTCGATCACACGGCAAGCACCAGCCCCACATACCAGGCAACTGATTGTCAATATCTGTCGACGCTCCTCAGTGAGTGCACTAACAGAGGTATCAAGAATACTGACTCTCTATGTCCTTGCCAAAGATGCTCAGGATACGGCCTGTCGGCTGCGGAAGTAGCTTCAAACTCCGTATGGTAGAATATGCTGGAATGTACTCACCGTCGTGTCAAAGAATGACATCGGCGCGAAAAAGATGTTTCGAATCGAGTCACGGTGGAGATTCTGGGAAACATAAAATCCCATAATATCCATCGTTACACCGCTGTACATAATACACATTTAGGCACTTAGGGGATCTGAGGTGACGGAAAGCACGCACACTGCGAATGTAAACAGAGCCTGGGATACCCCGAGACATGCATAAAGGGTCTGATAGAAGGAGTTTGATCGATTCCAGGTGCTGTATGGTTTGTCATGAGCCAGATGCAAACCCCAAGATCACCGGGATACGTACTCTCCCTCCCACCAAATCAACGTGTAAGTATTCATAATTTGACTGCCTTGCATGAGTACCATACAACTCAGCAGGATTGGTGTCATCCAATAACCCGCAGCTTTCAGATACTCCTTGTATACTAGCAGGTCGTGAAATGGAGTAATCGAGGAAGATAGTGAAGGACGCACCTCTCCAGGACACGGATCCAGTTGTCCGCTTCTCGGGAACAATGAGACGACCTTCCAGTTTCCCTGAGCCTGCGGCGGTGCGCTTGGCAGATCGAGCCTTGATCTCAACCTCGTCGATGACCATTGGAGGCTTGCCCTGTAGACCATCCATCGCAGCCTCTTCCGCGTCTACCTCTTTCTCATGTTGTGCCTGGCCTCCAAACTCCTTGTTCAAACGAGAGAATTCCATCTGGTTGTTGATGAGTTCGTCATATGTCCCATGTTCTTCGATCCGCCCGTTCTATTCAAATCTCCATGTGATCAGATAGTGGATCATGATGAGATCCAAGGAGACTCGCCTCTAACGTGTAGATGTAATCACACTGAGACAAGAAATGGAGTGCGTGGGTAACAAGTATGACAGTCTTGCCACGGTCGCGAAGTGCGCCGAGAATAGCGTCAGCGAACAAGGCCTTGCCGACGTGTGCATCGACTGAACACAATGGGTCACACGATAGAGAAATGCTGGAGACATGGTAAACATACCGGCAGATAGTGGATCGTCGAAGATCACTATGTCGGCATCATAGTACAGAGCCCTCGCGATATTGACCTGTATTCAAAGCTGACACCCATTGTACGAGCATTCACTGAGCTTTGCTTACACGTTGCTTCTGTCCGCCGCTCAAGTTGATACCTTTCTCTCCAATCTATCAAATCAAACTGAGGATGTCAGACCTAAAATTGCCCAACTGTCCTTTTACCTCGGTAAGATCTCCATCTGGCAGGACTTGCAAATCAGGAAGGAGAGAAGCACATTCGATAGCTTTCCAGTACTGTAGGAGGGAATGAACGTGAACGGAAATGCCACAATAAGATGACGATCATATTCACCTTCTCTTCATTGAAGGGCTGACCGAAAAGCACGTTCTCTTTCTGATCAGGATGTTAGAAGTCGAGCTAAGTCAAAGAGGGATATAGGTGCATACCAAGGTAGCATTCTGAATCCATGCCGTCTGAGAGCAATAAGCGACACGTCCTCCGAAAGACACGTGTCCCTTGACTTGGCGCATTTCGCCGATGAAGCCCTGAAGTAAGCTCGACTACGCATGCAGTCAATTAACGATCAGAGATAACCAACTACGGAGAGCGAACCTTCCCACTGCGCAACGCGTGAAATCTTCGATCTCACTTCCGCACGCAAAAAAAAACAGTTGGACGCACCTTCCAACGGAGCCGACGACGGCCACAAGACTTCCACGCTTCACAGATATGTTGATGTTCTTCACTTGGAAAGGAGTGGCAGTTACAGCGGCTGACGAATCTGCAGACTTGGTTGTCTCCCCCTCCTCGTCGAAGAAGGTTTCTTCCCATTCGAACGTAGCGTCTTTGACTACCAATGCGAGCTCCTGCTCAGGGTCAACGATGAACGCGTCACCTGTAGCGAGTTCCGCATGGAATACACCATTAAGTCGGGAAAGCGCATTCTGTGCGTCCGTTGTTGCTGAAAGAGCGCGGGGAAGGAACATCAGAGGTTGGCGAAGTAGCTAGGACAACTGTGAGATTAGCGTGATCGACGTTGTCATCGCTTATGCCGACATTACCTGGAACAGAGACAGCGAAGAGAAGATGACGGCGACATTAAATCCACTCTTAGTCGACGTATATGTCACGAAGGACAAGGTCGCAGCCAGTACCGGGACTGAATATGCCGACGCGATGCTATGTACAAAAGTGTTCAAGAATATGAGTTTCGTCATACAGATGCGTGATGAGATACTTACTTGGCGGATCGCGCAAACTGGATCTTCCTGATACCATGCAGTTCGATCTTACGCATATCGTAAATGCCTGCAGCGCTGCCAGGTCAACGGTGGACTTTAGTATCGTTGGGGACATACGTTTTAAGAACGGCAGCTCGTAAGAGAAATACTTCACCACCCGCATGGCGCCTTTGAGGTCGCTGTGAGCGACCTCTCATAGTGTCCAGTAGATATCACTTACCAAGTACTTCGAGGATGACCTTCGCTCGCTTGTCCGTCCACAACAGAGTCCGCTTGCCCACGTTGAACTGATACGACATGACTCGCTCTTGTATAGGCACAAGCAAGAGGAAAAGTGAGAAGCCTGCGAGGGCGGACGGCCCTAACTGGAGTAGCGTTCATTGAGTTTGAGCTTTCTGCTGGGAGAAACTGGACGCACCTCAACCAGGAGAATGATCAGGCAGACCATCACTTGGATCGGTGCAGTCCATGCTTATGCAAAACATCAACACATTTTTTACTCTCATGGAGAAAGATCCCCACCTGCGTGCTATAACACGATCATGCGGTGTTATACAGCAGGAGAATAAACGGTGGGAATAGACCACTCACAAACCATTGAGCACAGGCGTCAACTCTGCTGACCTGTTAGACAGTTAAATCGAGCGAGTTTCTGGCATCGATCTTTGAGCGTACATCAGTAGAGATATGGGTCACCAGCTTCGCGTTGGGCAGACTCATGCGAGCTTTGCCAGTGAGGGAGACACCTCGTTTGTAAATCGAGGAGATGAGGGCCGCTCTGGCCAACATGCCTGTTGTCATCGATCGCCAGAAAAACTGGACATTTATGAAGACCCAGTGCCCATCGCGGAATTCCGATAAGACGTACCTGGTGTTGGCCAACGCTAGACGCAACTGTCGTGCAAAATAGGCCAATTGCCATACCAACTCCTCGACCGATATTCGGGGACGGCAATCCCTCGGCCTTGGCGGCTGTCCGTTCTTCACTGAATTTGATAATTTCCTAGCACCACCCTCGGTGTATGCTCGACAATGTAAGGTCTAATGACTCACCCGTACTAGAATTGGACCCATCATTTGCGAAGTGTCGCCAAAAACCTGTTAGGTGAGTCGCCATGTGAGGATTGCACTTGTAAGCGCCGCTGCGACCAACCTTGAACGCCCCGCCCAACCAAAAGCTGGCACCGAAGACATCATTAAGCGCCCACGCAATACTTGCCTGTTTCTTGCCATCCACATATCGCCAGTGCTGCTCGAGTTCCTCACGCCTCTTCGTATAATGACCGCTGAGGAATGCTTGGATATTCCATCGTAGGAGATTCATTAATCCAGGTCTTAGATCGCCATGGGCAAGTTTCGTGTTCCATTCGTTAGCTGCCTGAAGACGGCGCGCCCACGCAACATCCAATTTCTCGCCTAGATACCCTGCTTCCATCTCTTCGCCCAGCTTCCAGAGATCAGTGGCTTGCAGCGTTCGTTGATAGCCCAATAACTGGTCCTCTTGAATATTCAGATGACGTAATGATATGCGCTCGCTCACCATGATGGAATTGATCCATGTATAAGACAGTACAGAAAGGAAAGACGCATTTACCAAGGGGCTAATCTGTTATTGTGTAAATGGTCAATACTACGGGATTCCATGGAGAGAAACTTACAGCTGCATCGGCCAAAGACTTCGGTGGAGGCGGTGGAGGATCTTTCGGAAGCCTAAGAAGGGTCAATAGAGCATAAGCATGGAAAAGTTATGCGGTCACCATAGCTGCCACCATCTCCTCCTGAATTTCAGGTGCTCGAGCCCGGTATCAAGCTCAAGCCTACGCGACCCTCCACGGTCCTCGTGTCGCGTCTGCGGGGGATTCTTCTCCAAGACCTCGGTGACCTCTTCGACGGTCGAGTCAAGCGTCTCAGCCTTGATGTCCTGCTTCTCCATCCGTTCGGAACTCCTCAGATGGGATGCACTTGCTCAGCGACAGAACAGACAGATGCGGTTGATACCAGGGAATCCTGGAGAGGGTTCGGAGGAACATGAGGCCTGGTCTTGCTTTATATTTGCTCTGTGCGTTTTGCGATAACATGGTGCGGCATCGTACGCGGCATCGCATGTACACTGGCACCTCAGCGCCGAGTCAAGCCGATGCGGAGAAGGGACGGCATGTTGGTATTCTCACAAAAAGGAACTCAGGCACGTCTAGCAATCTTTCTTCGACCCCAGCCCTATCTATTACGTGGCGTTACAGGAAGTCGACCCCTCGAATTACGAGTAATCTCACCAGTGCTGCAGAGTTTCAGTAGTGAATCCGATACGGAGAAATCAAGACGAGAAACGCAGCTTTCATTGATCACAGCTGAGAACCAGACATGAATTAGAACAGAGTTGCGCGAGCGGCTAGCATCATGGCGTCTCGGCAATTCGGCAACTCGGCCCTGGCCAACGCGATCACGTGAAAGGTGTCTAAAATTAGTACGCACGAAAAACTATCGTCGAGAATCACTCGCGGACACATACCCACAGCTGTGTAGATTCAACTTTCAGGCAGAATATATTCTCGTACTTCAGACTGATGATAACAAACATTGGGGGTATGTCTCAGTCGTGTGCGAAATAAAGTAGGTCGAACGTATACCTCATCACCAACTCCCAGGCATGGAAACTGTGGAGACAAGCGCTTCCTCCCTTGGGCCTTCAACAGTAATAGATGGGCGTTGTTTGTCTTCGGGCAGGTTCAACTCCATATCCAGCCTCCGCGCAAGCTCGAAGTCGCTCTCCTCCTGCCCAGCAAGCTGTTTCTCCCTCTCCTCCTCCTCCTCCCGCTCGATCTCCATAGCCAACATCTTATCACGGTCTTCCTGGCTTGGCGTCCTGACGTGATGGCTCGCTGGCGCTTTACCAGGGTGGAGACGCAGGGGAGCCACGCTCGGCTGCACGTGGTGCGTTGGCGCCTGTACTCCGGCTGGCTCGTCGGGGAAAGGGCCAGGCATGGGCATGGAAAAAGGAGACTCCGATGGATCGGAGGAAGAATGAATAGCCGGCGCAGATGCATGCATGTCTGGATATCTTCCGTTGCCCGAGCGTAAAGACGGTGGGGGCACGTATGTCCCGGAGGCCGGTGGGGGGGATGCAAGGCTGGGTACTCCTGCATGCACAGGACGAGGCGGGGATGTGGGAAACCTTGAATGTGCAACTTGTTCCACAAGATGTTGTGCCGGAGGACAGTATGCGGTAGGTGGAGGTACAAACAACGTAGATTCAGTAATGTAAGGTTGAGAGGCAGGTATATGAGTGCGAAGTGGATATCCAGGAGCCACCATTAGCGGAGTGAACATATCGGCTTGCGGGCGAGATGATCCGACACTTAAAGGAACGGTGCCATGAGGGGGAGACGGCGATGGGCGGATTTGAGCGGGGAGCGCCTCAGGCCTTGGACGATGAGAGGCTTGAGTAGCAACCTTGGGGTTACCAGGTCGGAGAATAGCAGGGATGCGATCGGGAGTAAGCTCTTGTGGCAACGGCGGAAGTGGAAGTTCTTCATACCGTCTCTCGGGTGAAGAGTGGCTCGACGAGGGGGGTGGGGCCAAGTGTGTTCTTGTGGGTGACGTAGGTATCGAGGGGAAGTGCTGTGAGTCAGGACGAGCTAAATTGGGCGGATTTCGGGAGGGGGACAACGACTTCGGTGGTGTCCTGGGCGGCATCTTCTGCGGTGAATGCTGCGTGGGATACAGGTACGCCTGCGTGGGACGTGCTAATCTTTCCGACGGCGGAAGTTTGGAGGCGCGACGCTGCAAGTGGGGAGGACCAGCGGTGAAGAACGTCATCTCGAGGTAGACCTCGCCCCGATATATTCCATCGAGGTCCAGCTTCACCCAATCTACGGAACCACAGCAGTCAGCAAGAGCAAGGGAGGCAGGCTGAGATTCCGACCATCAAATTCGCCTTTCTGCAGGGTCTCTGAGATGTCCACCGTTCCCTTTCCTAAACACTCGACTGTCCGAGGTTCCTTGGACCAGCAAGAGACCTCCATCGTTCTCTGCCGCTCGGAGGGGTCCTCGTGGATATGGAAACGTAGCTCCTCGTCCCATACAGGATGCTGCCCGCCCTTGACATCGATCTTCGTTGCGTGTGTCTTGTCGGCGATGGTAACCTGGGCGTAAACATCCTGTTTGTAGAGCGTATGCTTGTCACGCAGGTTCCGCGCCTTCAGGACCACCACCACCAGGACGCCGAGCTCTCCGCTCATCTTATGTTTCTACGTAGGCTGCCGTGAGAGGATGTGGTAGAGAGATTGGTCAATGAAGGCCTTCTATGATGAACATGAGCCGCATCGTCATCATTCATATATGGCCTCTCATGATCAGTGGCTGTGGCTGTGGAGCCGCTGTCTTAGTAGTCAGCATGATCAGCGCAACCGCCAAGCAGCTCGAATGCGCTGGAACGTTCAAGTTGCAGGATGAAGCTTTGAAGAACAAAACGTTGCTATATCGCAACGTGAGCAGTGCGTATGCATAAAGTTCACCTTAAGCACTGTGAAGGCTCAGGAAGGTGAGAGTCATCCATTTGCCGGGTGAAAAAAGCCAATCACCCGGAATCCGAGTGATGTTCGGGTACGGGTGATCTTCACCATGCTGAAAATCATCCATTAAATGGGTGAATTGCTTCATATTCAGAGTGAACATCACCCGGCGGTTGCCCGGAATGTAGTACTCGGAGAACGGGTGATTCTGCTCTACATAGATCACCTGCCGAACGGGCCCGGGGGAGTGTCAACCAAACGGCGAGTGATTTTACTGGTGATTTTCACCCAGTTTGGCATCCAAGCTTGAAAGAATTCAGTAGCCGCCGTCACCCGCGTGTCCCCCAGGCCGAGAGACATGTAGTACGCCCAAGGCTTCCTCGCAACAAGACTCCCCGCGGTTGGAGTTATCGTAAAACATACTATTACTGCATAGACATATAACCTGGCATACTGATACATTGGATATAACTACCACAGCGGGTTCCATACTAAGAGCAAGCAACATCGACGTGAGAGAGGGGATGCAGAGATCTAGATGACGGAAGGTCGTGAGTGAACGTTAGCCTCTTTACCACTAGCCATAATAGAACAACTATAAGTAAGATGAGAAGAACAATAAAAGCAAGAAAAAGTCGATCGCCGATGCACGGCTACGCCACCTCTGAGTCCTCAGCGGGAAGCGGAGGAGGGATCCCTCCCATGATCTCGCCATGCACCCGCATTCGATACAAGCAGGTGAAGTCGTCTCTTCCCCAATTGCTGTTGATCAGCAGCACGACGACGCCGAAGTCAATGCCCGACTCCCGCACGTCCTCCGGAACGGCGAAAGTCTGGATGTTGTTGGGGGAGTAGATGTTGTAGGTGAAGTTGGCGATACGCATGTACTTGGGCGACTTGGGCAATGTCGACGGATATACTTCTTCTGGCTCTTCGACGTAGGGCTGTCCAGAAAGCTCTGCCTGAGCTCGCGCCTCGTCGCGCCTCACCTTCCTTTGATCCCGCCACCCATGCATCCTAGCAATGTTCTCCTTGCCTTCGACGAGTCCCCACACCTCCATCTGCCTCGGAGCTGAGCGCATGTCCGTGGCGACCTCCTTCGCGACGTGGTCGATAGTTATATCGGAGATATACACAGGTGCGGCAAGCGCAACAGCGAGCTGGCCATGGGAACCAGGGAAGGGCCAGCAGTGTCCAGCGTGGAGCTCGTGGTGAAGCGCAGTGACGGGCGGGCGACCGATGGCGAACCCATTGCCACCAGTGATAAGGCCGAGCATTTGACCAGCCCAACCAGACGGGGTGATCTCCATTGTGTCACTAGTGAGCGAAGGGACGATCCTCGCTCCGGCGGAATGAAGCGCGTGGTCGGGGCGCGCCAAGGCATCCTTCGACAGACGCGAAACAGCGGAGTCGACGAGGTGACCAATGAGGGAAGTCATGTCTTGGCCGTCAGCCGATTTAATTGTCACCGCAGAGCCAGCTGCGTTCCCGGAAGCCAACTTTTGCCACCAAGCAGCACCAGATGCGCCGCCAACTTTGATCGTGCTCTTCCCGAGATCGAGAGCCTCCTTCACACCACTCTCCACGGTTCCCACACGTTCCTCTAGGGCGCGCAACTTCGCTCTTGCCTCCTCGTCATTAGATGGACCTGCGCTTACGCGAGAATCTGCCTCCCTCTGCGCCTGGATCTGAGCATGCAAGGCTTGAACTTCTAACTTCACAGCCTTCAGTCCTTCGTTGGTCGTCAACCTAGACTTTGCCTCCGCATCAACAGCATGAATGGTCTCTTTCTGTACATGAGACTCGAGAGCGCCCAAGCGACCGGCCAGTTCAGATTGAGCGCGCATGTCGCCCTCAATCATCGTTCGAGAACGCTGCGTATCAAGAGATAAGGTGGCAAGGGCAGTCTCGAGGCGCTGAAGGCGGTCGGAGAGTTCGCCGATATTAGAAGCAGGGACATCGGGTGCGTGATACGGTTGTCGAGAAGAGGGGAGAAGAGGTAGAGAGCTGAGATCCAGATAGCCGTGGTTGAGTCCATACCACGCGGCATAGATGGTCAGTCCGACGATGGCATACTTCGTCATTTGTACGAAGGGGGCGCGATCAAGATTGGATGCGAATTGAATAGGCTTGTAGATCAGAACGTCCATTGTTATCCCCAGCACCCTGCCGCACAGCTGCGCCAAAATGGAGAGAACACCGAGTAACAGCTGCATCAGGCTGGATGCTAACCGGAATACTACATGGACGCTTCTGCCAAGTACGGCACCGATCGAGAACGGTGGGCGGGTCACGTCGGTGCTATGCAGTGCTTCTAGCCTATCGTTTCCTTCATCCAGAGTCTCCAACGCTTGTTCGATGTCTGTATCCAGGTTGCTGGAATCACCCAGGGGGACCACCGACGTGTGACGGGATGGCGGCTGCATGGACGTTCGTGGAGGAACAGACGCTCGACCTGAGGGTAGTGGCCGTGGCAGTGGTGTTGTACTGTGCTGCGAACGCTGATATGAACCGATCAACACACCAGTGGCAATGGAGGACAATCCAGCGCGCTCCTACCTGTTCGCTAACATGCTCTTCTTCATCACTGCTCTCGTCCTCATCTCCCTCTTCGGCTGCTCCATTCGTCCTCCCAGCTCCTTTCTTCTTTCTTCTCTTCTTATCATATCCAGCTACAGGTAGTGTGGTAAGGGGAGGCCCACCTATACCGGCACTCTTCCTCTTCTTCCTCCGTACCCGCTTTCCATCGTCGTCCTCGAGGTCTTCGTCCGATTCCTCCAGGTCTGACATAGTAGGACGATACGCCTTATTATCCACGGATATGCGGTTGCGTTTATGATTCCCGTTTACTTTGCGAGAAACCGGTTTCTGAACAGCAGCCTGATACTCGCGCTCCTCTGCAGAGTAGTCATAGCTTGATTGCTCGTGGCTGCCATTTCCATTTATCGAGACTTCTGCCTCAGGTTCCTGAGAACGCTGCCGCATGAAATAGGCTACAGGTGGGAGCCGTTTCGATAGCTCTACGACTTGCTCGAGGGGGCTCTTGGCACGACTACTGTCCTCTTCACCCTCGGAGTCGGGGACAACTCGTATCGAAGCTGATTTTGACATCGGTTTCTGGACGCGGGCAGCACCTGTGCGACTAGGTGGGGCAGCTAGGCGGCGACTGACGATCGATTGCGTTTCCTTCTCATAGTCTACGGAAGTACTGCGGGGAAGAGCTGGTTTGCGAGCACCGGACGTCCAGGAGTCGTTTGGGTTAGTGGGAGGCATGTCGTCAGTGGATGTAGCAGCCTGGTGAAACGCACTAGCGATGTTGACCGAAGTATCCTTAACACTCCACTTTTCGGGATGCGGGGCAGACACGACGGTTCGTGGTTCGTGGGTCGTGCTAGGACGTGGCTGCTGTGACTGCGGTAGCTGCTGAGGCTCTTGCTTCTGCTCGCGTTGCTTGAGACGCGCGAAACGGACTAACGCAGGTTGGTCCGAGTCGTCTGGGTTCTCACCCGGGAGGGTAGAGTGCGACGACTTTGGGGGAGATCGCGTGGAAGATGTAGGAGCTCTGTTCTGTTATCAGATGACGTTCTATGATCATATATTGAATACGCACCCGTATGAATAGGAAGTAGGTATCACGCGTCTGGGGGGGGAGTTGGGTGGTCGGGACTTGTTTGGATTTGGTTTGTTTAAAAAGGTATGATGATCGAGACGTCTGCCTTGACCAAGAGGTGTGCTCGAGAATGACATGTACTGCGTATTCACAGCTCAATCAAAACACGGAGGATGCGTCCAAGGTGCGGACGCTGAGGAGCAGGATGTGGTGCGGGAGAGGTGCGGTGAGTGTTGACGATAGCGGATCACAGTGCTTGAAAAAAACATGCAATATTTCTGGAGGTTATCAAGGAGTATGCCGCGCGAATAACGCGTGGAGAAGGAGCAGCAAATTCGTGTGCGACGTTGAGCGGGTAAATGCGTTGCGACCCCGTGGTCACGGTGGCGCCAACTCTCTGTTGGCGTCTGTTTGGCTGCTGCTACAATACAATTTCGCGGACAATGCCCGACCCGCTTTTCGCTACAAGCGTATGTCCTTGTTTCCAATGGCAACCACAAGGATAACCCATGCCGTTCAGTACCACTATACAAACCTCCCCCTCATCGTACAAATTTCGTGCAGCTCTCGCATACTGGTTTGAATGCTCAGTCGAGTACGTACGTGATCAGAGGTTCGAAAATTTGTCCGTCGCCTGTACAGACATTAGAATAAGAACTCGTGAAAAAGAAGCGAGGATACCTCTACCAGCAGCTTGGCGATCCCTGGTTCGCGAGCTGAATGCCCTGCATCTGAAACTATCTGCAGTTCAATTTCAGGCCACACCTGTAGTAAAAGTCAGTGTCAATGGCCCTTCATGTTCCAGTGACAAGAGGTCAGCCTGACCTTCTTCAGGGCGTAGGCCGTCGTTGCCTGTATTGGTTGAGTTTAACCACAATTGTAAAACGTTCAGGACATGCTTACCGGGCATACTACATCATATCTCCCCTGCACGACGAGAGTAGGGATATGACGGCTGATATATGGATGAGAACGACCTGAAACCTGAATATATGACAATGATATTCACATCTTGTCAATTTCTTGTGTCTCCAAAAGCTGGCCATCTCTCATGAAACCCTAATAAATTCCAGTTGCATCGATCGCCGAGGAAGCAAGAAAGGGAAGCCCATGCCTCGTTGATGAAATAGTGATTCTCTATTCTAGCAAAAGCGCTGACCATCATATCGGTGTCAGAGGTCGTAGGACAACGATATCTGCAGAGTTTACTTACTTGGCCCAAGTGTCGTTCTCAACCTGCGCAAGTTGCTTTGGGTCGACATACAGTTTAGAGGTGGCCATCCTGTGCATTGTTGAGTCCCACGCTCGACGAATACGAACAACGTGGGACTGTGCTCACTCCCATTTAGACCATGCCTTAGCAGCATTAAGCCTCACTTCCTCGTCTACCGAGTTGAGCCGGGCATGATAAGCAAGAATCATGTCGTGACGCTCAGCCTGGGGAATGGGGGCGAGGTAATCTTCCCTTCATGGCCCGGCGGCTAGTCAACGGCCGTAGTACACAAACAGTAGATCATGAAATATACCATGCATCGGGGAACAAATGCGAAGTACCATCTTGGTAGAAGAACCTCAATTCACTGAGGAGAGTATTTTAACAGATACTGGGATCAAGGCATGTACTACATACCTCTTTCGGAGGGTGAAGATACCACTGCATGACGGTCAGCGGGTTATCGAACAGAAAATGGCCGTGCACATAATTTACCGAAGTATAAGGCTCTTAACACGATTGGGATGTGCCTGGTTAGGGAATATATGAAGTGCTGTCCGGCGAAATATCATGGCATCGAACCTGAGCATATGCCAGTGAAAGCGAAGATCCCTACAGAAAGATCGCTGTGAGCATAACACAACTTTAAAAACGTAACGGCGTGTTTACCCAGGAGCCTCCGAAAACGTGCCATTTGTCGATATTGAGTAGCTCGCGAATTCTTTCAATGTCCTTGACAAGGTCCCATGTGGTGTTCTCCTCCGTAACAGCAGATCTTGGTTGCATCACATCATCATGTTTAGGAGAGCCGACCTGGGTCAACGGCTGCTTATTATCAGATACTCACGGTGTGGACTTTCCTGCGCCTCTTTGGTCAAAGAGAACAATCTGCAGACACAACGCGTTGTTGGCCAATGCAGAGAAAAATATGGTTCATTCATCATCGCACCTTGTATTTTGCTGGGTTGAAGAACGAACGATCCTTGGCGTCCGTCCCAGAGCCGGGACCACCTAACAGAAAGGAATCGAACTTGGATCAAGCTTCCTACTCACCCTGGCACGCACCGTGAAGGAAGACGACTGAGGCGCATATTAGTATTCACGAACAATTCATCTGCCGCATGACTCAGCCTACCTGGAGACCCCTCCTTGTTTCCGCTCACTTCGTAGCTGGATTAAATATCATCATGCGTCAAGCAGTGCAATACGCTAAGCGACTCGGAGAGCACGCACTAGAGGGTATGTACCTCCGACACTTTGAGCCTCCCGGTCTCGTATGGCTCGATAGGAGGATACATCTTGGAGGTTGCTGGGCTCTCAGATAGTTGGTGGGATATGTAGCAACAGAAAACAAAGCAGAGACTCGAATGCGGAAGATCGTATGCAATCTATGCCTTCCGAGTCCTTACCTAGAACGCCGGCGGATCTGTGGGATACATCTCATCTTGACGCGAGGTCGATGGAGATCGCCTTGTCATTAAGAGACTCGGAAGTTGTAGTACGTGATATATCATGCATCATACTTACTCCCGCAGATTGCTAGTGACCGCGAAAATAAAAATACCCATTCGGAAATTCCCAGTCATCACAGCTTTCAGTGGTAGAAGTATCGTCGTAAAGCGTTTACAAAAGGGCGTATCTGCACGATGGTCGTCATGTCATCAAGCCTTCACCTCCGGCACTTCCTCCTCCTCAAGATTTATTGACTGGAAATGACGCGGAGAGATGCCACGTTCGAACAGTGTATCGATCCTGCGATGCGCGGTTCACCCGCATTCAACGGAGGTCGGATAGCGAAGTGTACTCACTGATCTACGGTGAGGCCCTTGGTCTCAGGGATATAGAACCACGCCCAAATCGTGCCGAATGCAGCGAGACCCCCGAAAATGAAACCGACCTTGCCACCCAAGTTGGCCTCGTCGGGGTTCACGCTGTCGGAGGTCAGTATGGTGAGAGATAAATACTACTGTAGACTGCAGTCACTAACAGGTAGGGGATGACAATGTTTGCCACCATGCCGCACATTGAATTGGTCAAAATACCAAGACCAATGGTCTTAGACCTAAGTTTCGCACTAGAGACTTCAGCGAAGATAACGTAGCCGAGAGGACCACTGCACAGAGATAGTCAGAAACTGCGGACATATGAGCCGTACTATTAGACGCACATGCCCGTCTGATAGATGAAGTTATACACCAGAGTCTACCGATGGAAGTGATTCATTCGTCAGAGTTTTTGGACAAATGTCAGGAAACTCACGAAGATAGACATAGCCCACTTAGCGCCCTGTGAGGTAGGAATAGACAGGAACCCAATGAGGAAGAGTACGACTGTACACGCGAGCATGGTCCAGTTAAAGATGAAACGACGTCCATATCGGTTGACGGTATAAAACGTAAGCAAGTTACCGACGACCTGCAAAATTCATACTTCTGGTGAGTGAAATGATAGTACAGAAACTTAGTGCAAATACATACTCCGAGAGCAGTGACGCCGACACCCAGCTGGAATGCCTTACTATCCGCGAAACCTGCTAATTCAAAGAAGTACGTGCTGAAACCGAGCACAAAGACGACACCGGCTGCCTGTTGGAGCACAAACACCATGGATGCAATGACGGTACGCCTGAGATTGACACCTAGAAGTCTGGTTAGTATCTGTGCTCTCGAGACATGACAAGTGTCATGGACCTCTGAAGCAATCCATGTACGTCGAATTCGCAGCATACGTCTCCTCAAGCTCGATCGTCTCACAGATCTGATGCAATTGCAGATCGATATCGGTGCTGTCACCAGCTAGCCGGATGATCACCTTGCGTGCATCTTCCACACGGCCCTTGCGCACAAGCCACCAAGGTGACTCTGGAGCGAAAGGAAGACCAGCCAGAAGAATGGCAGGGAAGATCCATTGCAACGCACTGTGGGACGGAACGTAAGAGAAAGCATCAAAAACTGGAAAGCTTGCGGAACATACAAAGGCAACCTGTAAGCGTAGGCACTCGAGAAGTTGCCAGTACCCTCAATGACACCATTGGACATGCTGTTAGGCACGGTTACAAGGGATATCTTATAAGCATTTGTTCCGCTCACAATTGACCAACTATTTGGAGTGCAATGATGTTAGATGCTACTCTCGTCACTGACCCACAAGATCCGCACTCACGATCAATCCACAAGTTGACTGACGCAGTAGTGATGCCACGAAGTGCCAAAGGAGACACTTCCGCACTATAAGCACTGGCACCTGATACATACATGCCTATGGAAAACCCAAAATCAATGATAATCGTCTCTGAGGTGCACGAGACTTACCTAGCGCATAGCCATTGATGAGTTTGCCTGCAAGGAGCATTCCATTCTTGTGCGGAGGGGTGAAGAATTGAATGAAGATTCCGGTAATGGACACTAAGCAGCAAAGAACGACGGCACCACGGCGTCTACGATGGACGAATGGAGAGATGAATAACGGTATCAATGAGTAAGAAGCGCCGAGTCTCACCCAAATTTATCGGATATGTAACCGAGTGAAAGACCGCCGAACATACCCCCAATAGAACTGATACTGTTAAATGCGCTCTGCCATCTAGCAGCCAGGACCCATCCACCATCCGCCTCATATCCGAAGTCCCGTCGGAAAGATGGAACTGACAAAAGACCTCCACCAACCTGCAAGTCCAGACCTCGAACTCACCAGTGACCAGCAACATTCAGTACATTCTCACCTGTGAATCATAACCCCAGAGCAAGGCACCCATGCACATGAATATACTCCAGAAGAATGCCCGCCAGTAGGTACGGATGGCTTGTAGGGGCGTTAGGGCACGTTCTGTCGCCGCTGCCTGGGCCAACGCGGTCAGATTCCCATATTGTTTCCCTTTCTCAAAGCTTGCTGCATCTTCAAAACGACTGGGATCTCCTTCGGCTTTCTCAAGGACTGCGGCAGAAGACATGTTGGAGCCAGAAAACGCTGGTATCGAGCCCGTGGGTTAGGCTGGGGAAAGAAGTCTGAGAAATCATTTGCGGGACTCTTAACCCGCATCCTTTATACGCGCTTGCGGAACTAGGATGCCAGTCGGATTCTATAAATGTGGCGTCTATTCGTATGATGCTCGACCGCGCCGCTGCGCCATGCGATGAGTTCCTGAGGAACGGTGTTGCCGTAGGATGTGCGCGCATACAGGTCACAAGGGACACCTTCATTCTCAGCGGTTCCCGGTCCCGTACAGTTGCAGTAAATATAGCACCCAACCCGAACAAATCAGGATAATCAGAGAAGTCACGATGGTTAGATGGCGCGCCTTTAGGTAGCATTTCACTCATCATGAAACCAATCGCCGTGCAATCGCCTACAATGTGTAGAGCATTGATGACCTCCAAATCGAGTGCTTGAAGGCAGACAACTAGTTGTCTGACAATTCTGTCCACTGGCCGCTTGAGAATATGGAAGTTGCATTGTCTGATGTTGTGGACATCATGGCACATGCTGCATCAAAGTTAACCAGGATGAAATGCGAGAGCTTGCCCTGAACTCTACGAGACGTGACAGGCTGGATCTTGCTACATGCTTGAGCACGATGGATGCGGTTGAAGTAGGCCGGAAGAACTCTGCGTCGACTCGGAGGGCGACCCACCATTTTTACGCACGTCGCGTGCACACATCCGACGTCTTTCGTACTGCCAGTGGCTATAACGAAGGCCAGCCTAGTACTTGTAAGAAGATCTGTTTGCGGCCCGGTGAAACATGCGAAGATAATGCAAATCACTTTCGGATGCTTAATATTACGGTACCGAGAGTTGTCGCCTATGAAGATTCGGTACTCAGGTGACCAAGGGAAGTGTTCCGGGGAAAGTGTGCATAGCGGACAAGTAGATGGTGGTATCCATTTCTAATTCGCATGGTGGGCCAGTGCGAATCGCTGGAAATCCCAGCATCGGGCGGCGCCATCAAGGATAATAGCACACAACCAACAGAAGTACAGGAGGAGTGGCGATCGTCAAGCGATTGTTCAACAGTAAATATCGGAGAAGATTCCTGAGATCTAGGAGAGCATCAGAATTTCAACAACAACGTACCTACATCAAAATATTTGTGTTATGCAACCAATATCCAGCAGACCATGACACCGAAGACACCGCTTCAGGGCATACCAATGCAGTTCAAGGCTAGCCCTGTGGTCAGTTGTGTTGCAAGCGTGATAGAGCGGCGACACAAAGGACGATGAGATTAGGGATTGGCATACGATGGAAGATAAATCGAGATATGCGTCCGCCACCAAGTTTCCCCCAAGTTGCCCGACTGCACTCGAATCTGCCGGTTATCAGAGAACGCCAAAATCTCATACTAGGAGTGAACACTGGTCAACATTTTGGAATCTTGGAGTAGTAGTGAGAACTTACTGTGTACTCTGGACTTACCAAATACCAAAACTGCAGCTTGGCCTATCTATTGCACAAGCAGCAACAGACGGTGCAGCGGCGACGATAAAATTATCCCCCAATGTAGCGTGAGCGCACAAAATTTACTGCGGGTAACTAGGACCCCCGCGAATCAACTCAGAGCTCCGATCCCGGCGACGACATTTCTCGGGGGTGGCCGACCACCTAGTTTCGGGGGTTTGCACACAACCTGGCGGCGGGTCGGCCGTTTTCGAGGGTATGTGGGATCGAACATTCGGCCACCTAGAATTACGTTCGACAGCCTGCGGAACAAAAATTTCGCTTCCTGCGCAAACCCAAGCTTTTGTGAGCCAAATTACTAGAACTTTCCTCCCAAACCACCACATATGGCTAAACTTTAGGCCCATCCTCCGAAACCTGAGCCAACCTCAGTTTTCGGGGGTTCTAACCTCAGGTTGGAGGGTCACATTTCGGGGGTGTTTTGCACGCAACTTTCGACGTCTTTTTCGCCATTTTCGGGGGTCGGAGATCTAACATTTTGCCTCCGGCGGCCCATTTTTCGGGGATGGGTGCATCGGAGCTCTCAGTGGATTCGCGGGGGTCCTGGGTAACTCCGTCGGCAATCTTCGAGATGATGATGCCAGCTTCAATAGCTACACCACCAGACGAGCCGGGTACCGGGCGGATACCGGGTCCGAAAAGGTTTGGCCGGTACTTAGCCTGTAACCGCTGATTACATACCGTGCATCTAATGGGTAACTATAATCAACTAACCATTCGTTACATGGACTAAGATACCTGTCATTTACCTGCCGTAGATACTTTGTAGTGACCCACTAATTATCCTCTATGTAACTGGCAGTTACCGCCTGGTGGCAGGGGACAACTACCGGGCAGGCAACCGGACTTGGGTACCTGACGGGTACCCAGAGCTGGTTATCCACTGGGTATCCAGCGGATACCCAGCGGATAACTGTGCAGCAGCATGCCAGCAAGTACTTGTCTACATAGTGCTATATACAAACAAATTACTGTCTATGTACTGGTGATAATGAGCAAGTACCATCGCGGGCACTCTCTGAGGGATCCATCCCGCTGCAGCCTGTCGCTGTCCACGTCGCTGTTGCCGTCGGCCGCCGGCATCGCTATCGGCCCAAGCACTCCTTGCAATGTTTCTGCGGGGGTGAAAAAAAGTACTTTTGAGATCTTGGGATTCCAAGAAGATTAATACTCACTAGCAAGCTAAATAAGTGTGATATAGAAGAGAAAACTCGAGTGCGCAAGAAACTGGAATGAGTCGGGAGAGTTGAGAAGTTGAGCTCATCCCGCCATTTGTTGGGCCTTGTTTGGCTTGTTCAAACACACGGGCGTCTTTGACTTCGCGATTTCTGACTGCTCACTCTCATGCTCATTTGACGCATTGTCTCGCGACATCCCTTCCTTGCGACACCCAATTTTGTGCTTCTGATTTTCACACATCTATGAAGCGACTCCATTGACACGCAAACACCCAAGGGAGCAACACTAGTATCCACAAGACTTCGTGCGAGGCATGCCATATCACATTAATTGGTGAGTTGCTAAATCCTTACTACAGCGGCATTTCTCTTAGCACAAAACTCATAGCATGCAGCGGCAAGGCTACTTACTAGCTTCTGTACCTACTCCCGCTGCGCACCCTGCGCTACCCTCTCACCTCCCGCCACCTTCTGCCGACGTGCTATTCCTCTCACTTGCGTTCCAGCCCTATCCTCTTCCGACATTCTAATTTACATGCTATGTATTCCTCTACAGTACTGTAGTGTAGCAATGTTGTGCAATTGTATGTGATATAACCTGCCTCTTGTGATCACATCCAGGTCACACGATAGATACTTGCGAGGTGCTCAGCGGGTACCGACACGGTATCCAGCTCCAGATACCCACTGGGTATCCAGAGCCAGCTACCGGTCAGGTACATCAGCAAAAGTCGAATTTTCCTTTCCCTCCTTGATCATCTTAATTAAGAGATTAAGGCACACATAAGACGGTCAATTCAATAAGAACCTGGTCTCTTAATAAAGGAGATCTCCATTCTTGATTTCCATGGAATCGTACTTAAGAGTCTTAACCTTACTTCGTCGGGGAGACACGAAGAGCATTAAGAAGAGATAAAGAACAAACCGCTCCGCGGAGTCTTGTCGCCTTAATGTTCTTAGGAATGGCATTTACGGATTGATCGTGGCAGTAGCTTTCTTAATCATCCTTTTTGGACTTGCATTAAAGCGGCTTAAGAAGCCGAAAAGGATGTAATTAACGGGGATGCGGTGAAAACAGATGTAGCAAGAACCTGTCAAGCAGAAACTAGAAATGGTCTGTAAGACAACTAAGGCAGTACATGACACTCAATGCCAGGTGCCGAATGGAAAGAGTATTAAGGAAGTCAGGTAATAACAAGTCTATAATGACAACGGAGAGAAGAACAATGCACAAACAATGTGATACCAACACCAGAAGTATAAAGCAACTTGAAATGAAAATGAGGCTCTGACGTTGGTTGGATTCAGCAGTGTGCATTAGCAATTGGGGATGAAAGATCGCACGCACCTAGTCTGAATCGGACCCCGCGTCCACAAGATTTGCGCGATTGTTACTAGACGTCTCCTCGCTCGCAATGCTGACTACGTGAGGGTTAGGTGTACTGTTTGCAATGTTGCGCGCCAGTCTGACGAGCTTCGCCATCCTCTTTACAGGCAAATTCTGGGCAGAAACTGCATATGCTCGTGTCTGCGAGCCATATGTTGCGTCACCGAAGTTTGTGGAATAGTTGGACTTCTTTCCCGTCGATGGATTCAGCTTTAGCGGTATCGTGGGTGGGCCATCATCATGCAGTAGGATATCACCAGTCATCCAGAGAATGAGAATGCGTTCCACCTGAGAACCAAATATGGTAGAAGAGCGCACTATGAAATGAAAGAAAACTTACAGCTGCAGCGGACAGTCCAACTGCACCGACAATTCCTATATTCTGATCATCCTCATACAATCCCGGAACATTGATCGCATTCTTGATATATGTGTAATGCCACGCAAGCGTCTCTAAGATAGGTGGAGAGCGAAAAAGACCCGTGAGTTTCTGTTAAGATACTACTGTGAGTGGCGGTATATCGCGCAGTGAGCCACCTACGATTGTATCCTCAAAAGCAAAGCAGTTGTTTGTAAGCACAGTCGTCGCAAAAATTTGACGTTCATGAGGTGAACACTTCAGATCCTCCATCTGCTTGAAGAAATTTTCGACGTGCGTGAGTGCACTACTGCCGAACCCTGCACGATATTCGCTCATGCGTTGATCCGCCTAAATGGCTGTTCAACATGCAATTGTGGAGGTGAAATGACAATAGAACACACCAAAGAAAAAACCGGACCGTCCTTTTTCACAGTGTATTTGACCTCCGGAGACTGATAGACAGTGTCCCAGATTAACTGGAGGACTCTGACAATCTCGGCATCATCGAAGTTCCAAGGATCCTCAAGACTACCAACATATCGTGCGAATGTCGGGATGAACGTACCGCGCCAACGATTGCCTGATACGGCACCATGTGGAAGGTCAGCATTTGTGAAATTGGGCTTGGACGTCTTGCTCTCAGGTGCAGCCACCTTGATCTTGGGCTTCAGATCATGCTTTAATTCTTCACCATCGCTATCGACAACCATGGCTTCAACGAGCGCTCGAGCCTTCCCTTTGGTCACCTTTTCCTTCTTCACGAGACGCTGAGCATCAGAGTCAACGTCTTCAATTTTCACCATAGACTATGTGGACAATGTGCGTCTTCAATCACTCGGGAGCGGTTGACTGTGCAGCATAGGAATTTACCGTCTGAGTAGTCCGCATCCTTCGCGGCTTTGGGGTAGGTTCGTCAGATAGTTCAATGACATCAGCGTTCGTGTCCTTCATTTTAACCAAATCCTGGATACGTACCATTTCGGTGAGTACACTGAGTACACAAGGAAAGTGAGACTGACATTATTGGTTACACGATTCCCTGGGCCCTTTATTGGGCTTGAGAGAGCAGCAAATCGCTCAATCCCTTCGTCCTCGTTGCCAAGATAGCCATGAAGATTAATTGCATTTAGTTCGTGCTTGCTCTTGGGCTCAGGAGAGTGCGATAACTCTTTTTCAAATGATATAGGAGGTTTTGAACGAGCGACTGCACTTGTAGAAGAACGCGCGTGACTCAGTGCTTTTGGCTGAGTGCCCCAGGTGGAAAGGTTTGTCGCCCAGTTCTTGACAGTACCAGTGGTGGGTTCTCTGAGATCAAACGAAGTAAGTGCCCGTGATACAGATGATAAGGGTGATCTCACGAATTCTTCTGTGATGAAATTCTTTCGCCAGATGCCGGTAGATCAGTCCTACGTCGTCCACGGCTCACCTCCTGCTTGACAGGAGTCTTGTCGTCATCACCTTCTGACCTTGAACTGTCATCAGATGGTTCTGCTGCAGCAGGCCTGGCTGGCTGCTGTCGTATGTCTTTGATCATCGTTCTCATCTTGAAGTTCGCTTTTTTCGCCTTCTTCTTCGGCCGGTCATTCTCGCTTACCCCAGATTCTAAGTCGGTAAGAAGAGAACCTTTATCATCTGACTCGCTGATCTTGCTGCCTTCATCATCGACTTCCGAAGATGGTTCTACCATACAGTGGTTCAGTGAGTCCCTATCAGATTGACATTCGGAACTTACCGTGATAAGGTCATTTTACAGTGCGAGCCTTGACGCGGGTCACTTCGATGTCAATATCTTTCATTGCCATCTTGTCTTCGAGATTTGCAATACTCTTGTGGCTTTTCTGTGCCTTTGCAGCCTTCTCCTCGGCCTGTTTCTCCTTCGCAGCTAACCTGGCCCGTGCTTGCTCCTTCTTTACAGCCTCTCTCTCACGTACCTGCTTCTCCTTCACAGCTACCTTCTGGCGAACCAGCTCCTCCTTTGCAGCCTCCCTTTCGAGCCTCTGTTTCTCCTTTGCAGCCTCCCTTTCGAGCCTCTGCTGCTCCTTTGCAGCCTCCCTCTGAAGCTTCTGTCGTTCCTTTTCTTCCGCCTTTACCTGTTTCTCTTGTTCCCTGGTTGCTTGCACATCTGCAGCTGAGCGACGCTGAGGTACCTCGATGCCTTGAGGTTGCTTCATGGCATTAGATGAACGAGTAGTACGTGGCATGATGTGCAGGGAGGACGAAGGGAGTATGTGAGTGTCTCGTTCTGGTTGCCACGCTGGCAAGCGTCTAATGACGGAGGCTATTCAGGATTTGTACAGTTCGATGCTCCGTCCAATTACTGTTTGTACAAATTTTGTATTGGACATCAAATTCCGTAGTTGATTCTATTATCTCGCTATTATTTGAATACTAATCAGCCTTACCATCGGCCGCGAGACGCAAAGTGCGAAGTCCCTTCCACCGTGACAGAACTCAGATTTAAACCATGGCTCGGCATCCACATGCACCTCTTTGGTATCCCTGCATGCAACTGGGCTGCCATCGTTGGTTTAAGAATAAGGCGGGACGTACAAAACACATCCGGACCCACCACGAACATCTTGTCGCCGAGAGGCCTGAATCACTGTCCCGCAGTGAAGACTTCTCCGAAGGAAAGTGTTTATGGACCAGTGCACCTACTGTAGTAAACTGACTTGCAGAATACAGACTATGAGAAGCCGCAGGAAGATGACACAGACCTATTCAGCTTGAACGGCGAGATGCACGTTGATAAAATGATGGATCTGTTCGAGGGATGTGATTCTGACTCAAGTATGCATGTTTCGGACGAAGAGCCGGACATCTCGGTTGGGTACCAAGAGGCCTATGCCTATAGTGATGGCGAAGACATGCATGACTTCGAAAGCGATGAAGACGAAGATGTTGATGAGTATGAGGAGCCACCGACTCGAAGTCCAAGCCCGGCACCTTCTACGGACAGTGCAAGATCCTATCGTGAAGCTGGTGTAACTACGGAATATCATTTATATATTGACGGTCAGTGGTATTGTTCAATACCATCTTGTCTTATGTGTGAGGTTGACGATAGCACTTTGATGCCTGAAGGAAAGCCTTGTGATGCTGACGGAAAGTATCTACCTAAAGATGCCCCTCCTGCGGCCCGTCCTACTCCTGCCACTGATGACTGGACACCGTATCAAACTCAAGTAGAGTTTGAACTCGCCGAGTTTCTTTATACTCGTGAGCAGATGTCAGCGGGTAATATCGATCAGCTTCTCGACCTATGGGCTGCAACTCTTCTTCCACATGGCGATGAACCTCCATTTGCAGATGCGAAGGACCTCTATGAGACGATTCATGCGACGAAGCATGGCGATGTCCGGTGGCAGTCATTCAACATGAGTTACCAGGGCGAGTTGCCTGCAGGTAATGTTCCACCCTGGATGACAGCTGAATACGATGTCTGGTTCCGAGACCCACATACCGTCGCACAAAACATGCTAGCCAATCCGGACTTTGACAGCGAGATGGATTATGGCCCACTACGTGAGTTCAATGATGGCGAGCGCCAGTTGAAGAATTTCATGGGAGGAGACTGGGCATGGAAACAGGCAGTAAGTCCGCAGTATGCCCTCCACATTGAGTAATATGTTTAATTCCAGTGGATATACAGGATATAATCTCCAAGGACCCTGATACACATGGTGCTGCCTTTGTTCCTATCGTGCTCGGCAGCGATAAAACAACGGTGTCTGTTGCAACTGGACAGAACGAGTACTACCCGCTATATATGGGCATCGGCAATACTCATAATCATGTAAGGCGGGCGCATCGCAATGCAATTGTATTGATCGGCTTCCTCGCAATACCGAAAAGTAAGTCTCAAGCTTCTATAATGTTGTTCAACATCTATTGACACTTAGCGAAGCCGATCGGAAGTATGCTGATGACGTGAAGTTTCGCAAGTTTCGTCGTCAACTTTTCCATTCCTCTCTCGCCAGAATTCTAGAGTCACTGAAGCCGGGTATGACAACACCGGAGGTTACACGTTGCGCCGATGGTCATTTTAGACGGGTCATCTATGGGCTCGGGCCGTATATTGCAGACTATCCGGAACAAGCACTCTTAGCGTGCATCGTTCAAGGCTGGTGCCCAAAGTATGGGCCATGTTTACAATGTGTTCGAGACCTTACTAACTATGTCACTTGATTGACAGGTGCACTGCGAAGAACACAGATCTTGATGGTGACGGTGCCGGACGTCGTTCGTCTCAGCATACAGAATTACTTGTTGAAAACCTCGAGCTAGGTATCCTATGGGATGAGTATGGCCTTGTCGGTGATATTGTGGTAAGTGTTGCACGACCTTTATAATGCGTGGAACGGCATGAGTGCAGACTCCAGCTGCTTTGAGACTTTTTTCTTGTACTCGAGAAGGCACCATCCGTGCCGCGCAGGTACGAAATGACGCTCTTCAGTGCAGGCACGGACCCTGCCATGGCGCAGTCGGATGGTGCACGCATGGAGCATGCGGATGCCGTCCACCATCTTGGCATGGACAATGCGCAGCCCGTCGATGCACTCCCCGCCGTGCTGTGCATGCTTTGACCACATGTACCTCGACGTGCCCACGTCCACATCATCCAGGCATGGCGAGCTTTGAATGTGCATCCAGATCTGTTATACTCCTTCCGTGGATAGACTGATGTATAAACTCCTCAACAGCCCTTTACCAACGATTTTCCTCGCGCCGACATCCATGAACTCCTCTCGCCCGATCTTCTGCATCAGCTGATCAAAGGGACCTTCAAGGACCATCTCGTTGACTGGGTTGAACAATATCTCATTGTTACTCATGGGAAGAGAAGAGCTAAGGAGATCTTAGCAGATATTGATCTCCGGTATGTCTAAGGCTCCTGTTTTTTTTCCCTGGAGATTGATCCCGTATCTAGGATTGCTGCTGTTCCGGCATTCTCCGGGCTGCGACGATTTCATGAAGGACGTGGTTTCAAGCAGTGGACCGGAGATGATTCGAAGGCTCTTATGAAGGTGAACATGGAGCCGTCTCACGATTTCTGAAGTCTCGCAGCATTTTTACTGTTTTCAACTTTTACAGGTCTATCTCCCTGCAATCTCGGGTCATGTTCCCCAAGATATGGTCCGCGCCATCCGCGCGTTTCTTGAGTTTTGTTATATTGCACGGCACAATGTGATTACGAGCCAGGACCTTGAGAATTTGGAAGATGCCTTGAGCCGTTTTCATCAATATCGAACTGTTTTCGAGAAAGCAGGGGTCAAAGTCAGTGGTTTCTCACTCCCTAGACAACATTCACTCCGGCACTACAAATTTCTCATATGGGAATTTGCTGCTCCTAATGGGCTCTGCTCATCAATCACCGAAGCAAAGCATATTAAAGCGGTCAAAGAACCCTGGAGACGATCAAGCCGCAATGAAGCTTTGGGTCAGATGCTCCTGACCAACCAGGCACTAGATAAGCTTTCTGCATCTCGCGTTGATTTTGCAAGCCGTGGCATGCTTGATGTCCCAGCTCTAGCCGCATCATACCTTTCACTACGTGAGTGCGAATTGATCCTTCTAAGTTTCGGCCCCGAGATTCACATAGCCTCTAACAGATCCCATTGATGATGCACCGGATGACACTGCAAATGAGAAATCTGCAAACGCAGGTGAGGATGGAATTCCATTTCCAGGACCAACCGTAGAAGGCTATGTGACAATGGCGGTTACAAAACGTGAGTTTACAGAGTGGTGTACGAACGTCCAGACTCTGACCAATGCACACAGAGCGGAAGCACTCTCGAAACCTCCATTATCTTGCCGTGGAAGTGAATCAACCAGACTTACCGACCCTGGTTAGGCGTTATCTATACAGGCAACTCAATCCATATAGTGCACTCCCGATATGCGACATACCACTTGATCTTTGTCCAGTTTTCAATGCAAAACCCAAGGTCTATGTCCATTACTCTGCGGCTGCAGTCTACTATGCTCCAAGTGATCCGTCTGGCATTGGAGGAATGCGCCAAGAACACATCCGAGCAACGCCAACTTGGCGTAGGAAGCATCCGCGCTTCGACTGTATATTTGTGAAGTCAGCACCTAGAAATGATCGGATTATCGTAAGCGCTGTTGACCCTTGTATTGCCCGTGTTCTCCTTTTCTTCTCATTCACGTACGATGGAAAACGACATCAATGTGCACTCGTCCGATGGTTCGAATGCATTGGTGATCAAGCTGACGATGCCACTGGAATGTGGATGGTGAAGCCTGCCGTAACTGCGGAAGGATCACCTTCCACTGCTGTCATTCGTCTCGACTACATCCTCCGCTCGGCACATCTAATTCCGGTCTTTGGCGAAGGAACTATTCCTCTGAACTTGCACGAACATCATTCTCTCGACGCTTTCCACACATTCTATGTCAACAAGTTTGCCGACCATCACGCTTTCGAGCTATTGAGTTGAGTGTTATCCAGGTTGCTGGGGTGAGCTACATTCCATCTGCTACAAAAGCCGTCCTTCAACAATCTTACACCATTTTCCAGGCGGGCCTCCAGTTTCCTCGTTGCTTCGGCCCGCGGTATCAGAGGTAACCGTGGACATGGTGCTAGAAATTGCAGGAGAGGGAGTTCCGGGACGAACTGGCGGCACTGTGCGACTTCCTTTGTCCGCGCTACATTGACATCGGGACTACGTGGTAGGCACACTGCGACCTTGTGGAGCTCCGGTATGTGCAATGCGATCTTGGAGTGCTCGACGTGTGACGGGGGTTTAGATTTGCATACGACCGATTTACTGCATTCGCAATATAATTATTCGTTATCACGGACCCGGCTAACAGGCAGTGGCATGGTTCCGTGAATTATCTTCAAAATCTTTGACAAAACGAGATGAAGGAGGAATATATATGCACAAAGCAATATAGTGTACCTCAACTTCCTGACGCCTCCGAAAGATGCAATACAAAGACCGTTTCCGTGGTGTTACTCCAGCGGTGTTACTCCCTCTATGTCCCGCAGGCCAAGCTCACCTAGTGTAAGGTTGAGTAAGATATTGAACTCAGTACATGTCGTGTCCGTGCGATTTGTATTGTCTGCAAAGTGTATAGCACACCAGATGGTCAATCGTGATAGCTACACATTTAAATTGGGACTTACTATGTGTCACTTCGACGTCGCCGACTCTGTGAAAGGAAGGACATGAGAGAAAGCGAGGAACACACAGGGTTTGAAAACATGATGACAGTGAGTTGCAGCGCTTGCTGCAGCTACACGAGCACAGCAGGTGTCGAAGACCACGTGTTGTAAACAGGCATAGAAGCCACGAAACTGGAGTGAAGCTATCAGAGCCTTGAGAAACGTCGGAAAAAGCGGTTTGGGCCTGCCGAACCTTGACGACTCAGTGGTCCAACTGGGCCGATGACCGAATAGACGTGCATATATCGCGGCAGCTGCACAGATTCGGAGAGGCCATGCTCATGTTTTGTCGACCTATCTTGGCGGACTGCGAAGCTTGGACCACAGCCAGTTGAACAGGATGTCGCAGAATGAAACTCTTCATCAGCGGCATTGGTGAGGACCCTAGTCAGCCATAAACGAGAAACATGAACCACGCACCTTCCCCCCCAGGCTAGTATTCACTTGGGACCACCCTGGGCACATACCGTGACAACGGCGTACCGTGGACATGAGGCGGAGGAGTCTCGGAGGCACGTCACATCGGCGCGTGATCGTGACAGACGCGAGAGGCCACGGTCCGGCTACTCCGAGTCACCAACTCGAACGTGCTCACCCCCCCAAGTTCCAACACCCCTGCTGCACTCGCCATACCCGCGCAACGACCTAATTACAGAGATTTCGAGTTACAGTCCAACAATGTCCTAGATATCAAATTACCCGGAAGTCCGTAAATGACTACGGATTGCCAGAGGTCCCTGGGCCAACTCCGAGGCCGAAAGGTATGCATGATACTGCTCCTGCTATTGCACTAACAGAACATCCTGCGATACTCCTCGCAACGTCACCCCTACCCACTCGAGGGGTTAGCTGGCTCACCCGCGAGAGGTGCAGACACTATAATTCGTGGCTCGCGTCTCGCTCCGAATCGGCCTCCAAAGCCACGACGCCGACTATGGCTATGATGACACCACCCTGATCCCCTCAGTGAATCCGCGAGGACCTCGATTTCCCACTTCTGCAGCTACACCCTCGCCGCTATCACCCTGCTCTCCAAGCCTGCGCCCAAGCACGAGCCCAAACGTTCCGTCTTCCTCCCTGCCAAGACGCAGCAGCCGGAGGCCTCGCGTCGCCACCGTCCACCGTTACTCCTGCCCCGCCCCGTGCCCTCGCCGCCATCCACCGAAGAAGCCCGTCGTGCACCCGCACACTGTAGGCTACCCGTACCCTGCCCCGCTCTCGCTCGATGAGCTCCCACTGCCGGACCGCGAGGGCAAACCCGGCCAGGTGCTCTTCCGGCTCAAGACAACGGGCGGCACGCGCGAGCCCTTGAAGAAGAATCCCGCGACGGCCTGCCTTACTGGATGGCTTATACAGTACTTGTTGCGAAACGCTTGCCCATTCTATATATGAAGTCCATTAAAATTGAACAGATCTGTATCACCGAAAGGTGCGGGTTATGGTTTCTCTGCTGTCAATATAACAGGTGACAGCTCCATCCACGCAGTGTCCCAAGACCATAGGCCAGGCAACGGATGAAGGCTCCTGACTACGTCTACCGCCAGACCTCGTGGACAGCAGCCCCTCCATCGCAGTCTCGGTTCAAAATTTGTGCACAGCCATGAAGGATCCTACTGTGGAGCATGTGCGCACCATAGACAGGTCGAGCCCCAAAGACCAGGATAGCAGTGGCCCTCCAGCGGTGGCAAAACGCCAGGTGCGCGACAAGCCGCAAGAGCGTGAGCGTGACCAGTCTAACTCTATTCCAAAGATGAGAGATTGTGCGCAGATGGTGTCCTCGCAGCTGCCAGTGCACGACTCCGACTCCACATTCTCGCCATCATCCACTCCCTTCCCCGGGCCCGGTTACAACCCGTGGGATTTCATACCGACGGCGGCGGGGCACCCTAACATGGGAGGTGGGTCGGCAATGAGCATCCACTCGAGCCTGAGCCACGAGTCCATACACCTCCCGCCGCCGCCGTTGGCGATGCGTGGCCGTGGACTGCGGCGGCGCGATCAGACGGTGAACTTGCGGCAGTAGGGTGGGCGTGACGTGTGACACGTGAAGCCCCGCTGCATGTGGAGAGCACGCAGCCACGCGAGATGAGCCCTGAGCCATCCTCGGGTGAGGAGACTGCGGGCGAGGAGCATTTCATGGACCAGTACGTCAGAGAGGGTGAGGAAGTGGACTGGGTGCATGTCCGGGGTCATGAGAATGCGCACGGCAACAGCAACGGGAATGGAAATGGAAATGAGATCGAAAACGGGGAGGTCGCTGACAATCCCGATGACGAAAGTGACTAGGTGGACGAGGATGAGGATGGCGAAGAGGAGGATCTGCTGGACTTGGAATTCCATCCTACCTTTGTCAGTAACCTGCAGAAGAGGCGGCGCAGGTGGGAGACCCGCTGGGATACAGTCATGCAATCAGTAAGTTCTCTCAAACTCAGTGATACATCGGGTGATCTAACCACGTACTCCGCTTCATAGTTCCAGTCTCTAGACCGCGAGATGGACACTACCTTGATCCTCCTGGCCTCTCCTGCGCACTCCTCAAAGCTGTGTGACCCCGCACTACTCAACTCTTCGAAACTGACGGCGATACGCACGTCGAAGTTCAACCACCTCGCCTCACAGCGGCGCATCGCACACTCACAGTGGATCTCTCTCTTCGACCAGCTGCATCTGTCTTCTCCATCGATCCGCGGATCTCCTGGGAGTCATCTCGTGACTATCCCTACTGATGACTGGATCTTCTTCTACGGGTGGGTTACTCAATGAGAAGCATTTGGCAAGCCATTAAGCTCCCAAGCAGTGGTGCGGAGTAAGCTTGCAGGAATGATTGCTCGGGCGGAGAGCGTGCAGAATTGGCTGGAGAACATCACCTACCAGATGTGCAATACGGTGCGAGATCTTTACTTTGTCTGTACACTAAATATTTATTTTTTCACGTCGCAGGGCTATAAGGAGCAGGCAAATATGCTGGCAGGGTAAGTCCAGGGCTTGATTGGCCTTGAGATGGCCGCTCGCATTTGTTGAGGCTGATTTTTCTCTGCAAACAGTTCGCCTTTCTGAAAATGTACAGCACGCGATGTGCACAGGAGACCGCCACTGACACAGATCTTCGGTGGGCGGGGAGTCACTCAATCGGGAATGGGCCACATGGTTGCGCATGTACGTATGCTCCTCCTCTTATAGAAGGGAGAGAAGTTTATTGTCGAGCATTTCAGTACCATCAAACAATTGCGTTCGATGCTATTCTTGGAGGAGGTAAGTATACCTTGTCGTGTTACTCTCTTCCTGTGCTGACCATCAGTGGACATTTAGCCGAGGATGTGTTGGCAGATCTAGGAGTTCGACAGGCGATGAGGAGCATGCCGAAGGATGCGAGATTATAAGTGGTCTCGGTGGTTTAATATCAGTGTAGACTTGTGGGCAGTTGTGTATGGAGGTTATGGCCCGCCGGGCGTCTCTAGACCTTCGGTAATGTCATAGTACCTCTTCACCGTCAATAAAATTTAAAGATTGTGTTAATACCTCTGGAATGGTATCATTCACCCTTTACGGTTTTCCCTCCATCGGTGCGGAGTGAGAAACAATACCGGCGATCGATTGCGACATACTTTTCACGGACATCGTACGCGTGCACCACACTGGTCAGTGGTAAGGTATGTAAGCTTGTGCTGACTCGTCCGCAGCTAGAAATTCCGTACAAGAGCGCAGCCCACCGTTTCATCTGCAGAGAAGATGCTGCAGACCAAGACATATCCGATCTCTGCACTTCCGCTGCCTCCATCGACCCGTATCCTCACGCGTAATCTCACCCCGGATCCACAAACACCCTCAGTGTCGAGTTTCTATGACACACTCTCCAGGACGCCCAGCCTGCAATGCAAGGCGTGGTTGCTCGCCCCACACGCACATTTCTCGCTGGTCGTACCGTGCCCCCAGCCATTTCCCTACCGGATCCCGCTGCCGGAGAATGGAGAGCCCATCGCCGACCGGGCAGCCTACGTCGAAAAATGGCTCGCAGATCGCGAGGCCCTGCACGAGCGGCCTACAGCAGCTTCTCCGACTAGCGGTCTGCAGAAATTCTACAAGAGAAAAAGGCACAGCCCCGCGTGCTCATCAGGCTCTCGGAGACAGGTCTGCGGGACTGCGTGCCCCACTTGAAAGTCAGCGATGTTTTCGCGACACTCGGATCCCCGTCGCTGGCGCGAGCTTCCACTGATCCCAACCCTGAGACCGCAAAGCCCTCGTCCGTGTCGGAAGAGGACACTGCAGCCCGCGAGGAGCTTATCGATGTCCTTAGTGGATATGCAGTTTTACTTTCCACTGACGGCGACCCTGAGACGCACTGGGCGCCTTGGTCCCTATGCTACAGTGGCCATCAGTTTGGTGTCTGGGCCGGCCAGCTGGGCGATGGAAGGGCGATCTCAGTCCGTTGAGTATCCATACGCGGTATCAGACTCATAGTTGTGATCGCAGTGTCTACGCCACATCCCTCTGATCCTGACTTGATTTACGAGCTTCAGTTGAAGGGCGCAGGTCGTACGCCCTTCTCGCGCAACGGAGATGGGCTGGCCGTAGTTAGATCCTCTATTCGCGAGTATCTATGTTCAGAAGGTGCATATTTACTCTACTGCTGTATTCATTTATTTTTTCTCACATCCGCTTTTCAACATAGCCATGCATGCACTCTCTATACCCACCACCTGCTCACTCTCGCTGATTTCTCTCTCCGAGCTCCCAGTTGCCCGCGAGTGCATGGAAAGTGCATGCGTGCTCACCCGCATGGCACCTTCATTCATCCGTATAGTCTCCTTTGAAGCCTTAAATCCTCTCGAGGGCACTTCCGTCTTCAGAATAGGTCAACAGGACACGCACTGGGAAGGCCTACGTGTGCTGGGGGAGTGGGTCGTCCACCGGGTGCTCAAGTTCGAGGGCCTGCAGTGGAGGGGAGAGGGCGTCGAACATGGTGATCCGTGGGGCACCAAGCTGGTACTCGAGGTCGTGAGGAGGAATGCAAAGATGGTTGCTGCCTGGCAGGCCTATGGATTCATGCACGGTGTTATCAACGCGGATAAGTGGGTACGCTGTTCGTACTTGTCCTCGCTGTTGTCTGATGTTGTGGAGTAGTGTCTCCGTCCTTGGCCTGACAATCAGTTATGGTGAGATGCTTTTTTGACTATCAATGATTTTAGAGGATGAACGACAGTTCCGGTCGGTAGGACCTTTCGTGTTCATGGATGTCTTCGACCCATTCCACATTTGCAATCATACCGATGATGAAGGAAGGTACTCATACAAGGTTTGCATCGCAATCTGCTGCACCTCCTACATACTCTAATCTCTCTATCATTCAGCTCCAGCCATTCATGATGTCAGTGAAAGCTTGGGCCCTTCATTTTTGCGAGTGTACTGAACTATCATCGTCTGCAGCATTTATGCTCTCCGCGTGCTTCTGACAGCCCTTTCCCCAATAATCGGAGCAGAGGCAGAACTCCACAGGGCAGTCTTCGCCGGATGGGCGGAGGATGCCTCACCCGACAAGCTCGCTGAATGGCGCAAGAAAGGCTCCGAGCTCGTCAAAGACGAGATGGAACGCATCGCACAGGACATCTGCTCCGCCGAGTATGGCAGGCTCATGCACAAGGCAAGCAGAGTGGTCCGCTTTCCAGCGTGTGGATGTAGACTGAGTGGGTTTCTCTGTGCTTGCAGCGTCTAGCGCTGCGCCGCTTTGATGCCACCGACGAGCTGAGGCTCGCACATCCGTTGTTCAATCTCATGTCGGAACATGAACACGATTTCCACTCTACCTTCAGGCAGCCCGCCTTCTTCTGCCCGACTATGGCGGAAGGAAGCTTTGACTCTGCTACTGGCCCAGCCCTCGGCGAATACATCTCTGGCATACTCTCATCGGCGTCTGAGCAGCAACGGCTGGACTGAGACAAGGCTGTGAGCGACTGGTGCGCGTGGTTAGAAATTTATGCAGCTCGTATTGAGAGCGAACGTGATGAGTGGATAGCTGCTTCTCCAGATGCCAATGGTGCAAACAGTGCTATCGAAGTCCCGTTCGATAAGGAGAGGGAGAAAGCAGCCCTGGCAGCAAACCCGCATTTCGTGCTGCGGCAGTGGGTGCTCGAGGAGGTCATCAAGAAGGTAGAAGAAGATGCTGAGAGCGGAAAGAAGATCCTAATAAAGGTCATGCAGGTACGATGATATTCCTTTCGACAAATGTTCTTCCTGGCTGACGAGGTCGCGCGATGGTTCTAGATGTGCTGTAGTGCGTTCGAACTATGGGGTGCCGAGAGTTTTGAGGGTGATGTTGATACATTGGATGTGGGAGACTCGCGGGAGGACAACCTGCGGCGTGCACTGGAGGCCGCAGAAGTTCTTGACCACCTATGATTGACACGATTTTCCTCACGAAGAAACAGGTGACGCGAGATATTTGTCTGCTCGTGTGCTCCTTTGCACAGGTGCGCTAGACGAGGATGGTCAATTTCCATTGCATGACACCCAGGCCCTTGCTGTTCCAAATGCCACAATGCCTGTCCCGTCAAGAAGTGCATTCAGCCACCGCATCTTTCGGTACTGATCATCCTGACAGGCATCAGTGCATTCTCGCAACATACTTCGTCCCGGCTTTTGTGCTTGAAGACACGAAGATAGCGGACACTCCACAACCACTTGTGCCAGCACTTCCGACCACCGTTGCATAGAACGACAGGTCTCTTCATGCGATTTCGTTGGGCAGACCACCTGTAAGGTCTATTTGAGCTCTGTACCATTTACAAGCTGTACTTCGCATCCTTCCTGGGCCGTGACGCGTGACACGCCCCGAGCTCCGTCGGCGTCAAAGACTATCCGTATCGCATTCTCCAACCGCTGAATTGGCAACCATACCAGTTTTACCAACTCCCACATTATACATCAGTGTGATGTAGCTGTCGCAACCATACCGTATCATGTCGTGTTGGGAAGCTAACCCTAGAGACCTGTGCACTTGTCTGCGGGTGGGACTGGGCACTCTCAAGCTCTCGTTTCTGCTTTTTATATCTCGACACCGGCCGTGCTTGACTCCTTCGAGAATGCGCAGAAGGCTCTGAAGGACCTGGGAAGATGTCTGTTGTTACAAGCTCCCTGCGTGCTCTGTACAGTTTAGTGACCAGCCTAAAAAAGGTTTACACATCCAGCAGTCTTAACCAGAGCAAGATCCCCTTCTCGTACAATTCTGAAGACGGTATGTTCCCGAAAGGACACATAGCCACCTCTTTTACTGATATTTTCATCTGCAGGTTCAAATCTCCGCAAGCTTGACGTGCGCACTCTGCGATTTGATCTTCACTCCTCCTATTCATTGGGACAAGACAACAAACTTCCCAGAGACCGCCACCTATGCAGTTAACTTCGGTCCGGGAGGCTTGAGCGGCATTGGCCCGCTCACGGTGCGCAACCTCGATGGTCGTGGTGATTATTGGCGATGATAAGACGAAAGGTGTCGTCGAGATGTATGACGCTCAGAACGTGAAGCGAGAGGAATGGTGGAGTAAGCGGTTCATGCATGGTTTGGTGAAGACAAGGTGTGTAGATCAGCGTAACTACGAACATCGATATTTATGCTATTTCTTCCAGTGATGGATCCATTGATATTGACACTCCTTTCTCTCATCTCCTCGGCAAGCCCCCCATTATGGTGGCGGGAATGACTCCGACCACAGTCAAGGCCAGCTTCGTGAGCACCATTCTCGACGCCGGCTACCACGTGGAGCTTGCTGGTGGCGGGCACTACAATGTTGCAGCTCTCCGTGTGAAGGTCGCTGAAATCCAGCGTAAGATCCCAGCGGGTGTCGGCCTGACTTTGAACTCACTCTACATCAACCCTCGTCAATTCGGCTTCCAGTTCCCGCTTTGGCAGGAGATACGCCGCGAAGGCCTTCCCATTGAAGGCTTTTGTGTCACTGCTGGTATCCCCAGATGGAGAAGGAAGCGGAGATCATCGATGGCCTATGGACTGCTGGCATCAAGCACGTCTCTTTCAAGCCCGGTTCCGTTGACGGTATCCACCAGGTCGTCAACATTGCCGCCACGCATCCCGACTTCCCAATCATTCTTCAGTGGACAGGTGGACGTGCCGGTGGACACCACTCGTGCGAGGACTTCCACCAGCCCATCATCTTGACGTACAGCTCAATCCGCCAGCACATCAATATCTCCCTGGTCGGTGGCTCTGGGTTCGGCGGAGCCGATGATCTCTGGCCGTACCTCAGCGGAGATTGGTCCGTCCAGCAGTACGGTCTGCAGCCGATGCCCTTCGACGGGTTCCTATTTGCTAGTCGTGTCATGGTTGCGAAGGAGGCGCACACGAGCTCGTCAGTCAAAGACTTGATCGTTGCGGCGAAGGGTGTTGACGATGCGCAGTGGGAGGGCACTTACGCTAAGGAGACTGGCGGCATCCTGACCGTCCGCTCAGAGCTTGGTGAGCCCATCCACAAGATCGCCAACCGTGCCGTCAAGCTCTGGAAGGAGTTCGATAACACCGTCTTCAACCTTCCGAAGGAGAAGCGTGCAGCGTGGCTTGTGGAACATCGGTCAGAGGTCATCGCGAAGTTGAACAAGGATTTCTCGAAGCCATGGTTCGGATGGAAGAAGGACGGAAGTGTCACCGAAGACATCACTGACATGACCTACGAGGAGGTCGCTATGCGCATGGTGTGGTTGATGTACGTCGCGAAGGAAGAACGCTGGGTGGACCTGTCGTTGAGGAACCTCACTGGCGACTGGTTGCGCCGTGTCGAGGAGCACTTCGCCGGTGTGAACGGTGGCGGCGAGAAGTCGTCCATTTTGCAGTCCTTCAATTCTCTTGACAAGCCCCAAGCTGTTATTGAGGAGTTCTTCAAGACATATCCTTTGGCCACTGAGCAGCTCCTCGCTTCTGAGGACAAGGCCTACTTCCTCACCATTGTGCAGAGACCCGGACAGAAGCCGGTGCCGTTCATCCCTGTCCTTGACGCTAGCTTCGAGGTCTGGTTCAAGAAGGTAGGCTGTTGTGGAAGCACCTATATGCGGTAGCGACGCTGAATGTGTTTTCCAGGATTCTCTCTGGGCAGCTGAAGACATCGAGGCTGTTTTCGATCAAGATCCGCAGCGTGTCTGCATCCTCCAGGGTCCCGTGGCCGTCAAGCACTCTAAGGCGAAGGACGAGCCCATCAAGGAGATGCTCGACAACATCACCTTGCTACTGGTCAAGAAGCTCATTGATCGGTTGTACGGCAGCGACATCAGCAAGATCCCCACCGTCGATTATCTGAGCCCCGGTCCTTCGGCACTCGCAACCCCTCTCCACGTCGAGCGCAGCGTCTCCCGGAATACCATCACGTACAAGCTTGGTCAAATTCTCCCGGAGACATCATCGTGGTTGGAGACCCTCGCTGGTCCCGAGCTCTGCTGGGTGAGGGCGCTCCTCATGTCGCCCACCGTTGTGCAGGGTGTGTTATACATAGACAACCCCATCCGCTGCTTGTTCGCTCCTCACCAAGGGCAGAAGGTCGTCATCGAGACCGATGGTGTCTCCCCCATTGGCATCTCTGTGTATGGCGCAGCCCGATCGTACGGCGCGCACAAGAGCGATTTCAAGGCCGTGGACGTCAAGTACAATACTTATTCTCGCACCATCAATTTCACAGTGTACGAAGACTGCCGCGACGTCGCAATTCCTCTCAAGCTCCAGTTCGTCCACAAGCCTTCGATGGGCTTCGCGCTGATTCACGAGGTCACCACGGACCGCAACCACCGCATCAAGGAGTTTTACTGGAAGTTATGGCTGGGCCCCGAGGAGAACCTCCCGGAGATCGACCTTCACGCGACATTCACTAGCCCAGAGGTCACCATGGATGCGGACAAAATCGAGGTGTTCTGCAGTGTCATTGGCAACGACGGTGAGGCTTTCAAGACCGTCAGGGCTGAAAATGTCCAAGCTCCTATGGATTTCGCAATTGTGACTGGTTGGCAGGTAAAGTGCATTTGTGTCAGCTATTTGGAGTAGTTGTTGAAAACGTTTCAGGCGATCATCAAAGTGATCTTCCCTTCGACCATTGACGGTGATCTCCTCACGCTCGTCCATCTGTCGAATGGCTTCCGTCTTGTAGACGATGCTAAGCCTCTTCAGGCGAGCGATGTCTGCAAGATCGAGGCTCGCATTGTCTCCGTTATCAACAGTGATGCCGGGAAGACCGTCCGAGTCTTAAAGGCTTCGTTATCAGAGATGGCAAGCCCATCATCGAGGTTGTGTCTGCTTTCCTATACCGTGGTCGCTATTCCGGATATGACAACACGTTCGAGCTTCTCGAGGCTCCGTATTACTCTGTAGAGCTGGCGACCGAAGCCGACGTGGGAGTATTGCAGTCGAAGGAGTGGTTTGAGTGGGACGATCCGTCAAAACCACTTCACGCTGGGACGACGCTCGTTTTTCGTGTGAAGTCTGAGGTTACTTACCGCAACAAGACATGCTACAAGTCGGTATCGGTCTCCAGCGACATTTTTGTCCGCGACCAGATCAAACGTCTCATCAAGGTCGGTGCTGTTGATTTCCTGCGGGACGACAGCAGGGGCAACCGTATCTTGAGTGTCATGGCAAGCTGCAAGGTCTCTGGGCCCCTCTTCCAAATGATGGCTACACCATGATGAAGACGGGCACAGCCGTCTTCAACTCCTCGGCAACGAACGAGTCCTACTCCAAGGTATCTGGCGACTTCAACCCCATCCACGTCAACCCCTACTTCGCTGATTTGGCCGCTCTTCCCGCCACAATCACGCACGGCATGTGGTCGAGCGCGGCCACGAGGCGCTATGTTGAGACAGTTATCGCGCAAGGTCGTCCGGAGCGCGTTGTAGCGTAAGTCCGTGTGACATGATATCTTTAGCTCTCACTGATGGATGTGACAGATATGACGTCGCCTTCGTAGAAATAGTCATTCCTGGCGATGAGCTTCAGGCTCGATCTGTCTGGGATGCTGCCGATGCTCATCTAACCGCCGTCTATGGCTTCTCTATCGTCCAGATCATCAAGGACAACCCGAAGGAAAAGACCATCCACTTCGGTCAGACCATTCGACAGCGGTACATGGATATGACCTACGACACCATGGACAAGGACGGCAATGTGAAGACTCTCCCGCTATTCGGTGATATCAACGTGCGGACTCAGTGCTACACATTCAGTCATCCTTCTGGTCTCCTGTTTGCTACGCAGTTCGCTCAGATCGCGCTAGTCGTGACCGAACGTGCTGCTTTCGAGGACATGCGTTTGAAGGGCTTCGTGCAGAAGGACTCCGCATTCGCTGGACCTCTTTGGGGGAATATTCGGCGCTCGCGTCTATTGCTGACGTCCTCCCAGTCTCGTCGCTTGTCGACGTCGTCTTCTACCGTGGTATCACTATACAACGCGCTGTTGAGCGTGATGCTCACAACCGTTCCAACTATGCCGTGAACCCAAGCCGCATCTCGAAGACTTTCACGGATGCCGCGCTGCGGGAGGTTATTGACGATATCGCTCACCGCACACAGTGCTTGCACGAGATCGTCAACTACAACGTCGAGGTATGCCGTCCATAAAACTAATGAAACTACCCATAATTCTGTCAATTCATGCTTTGTTCCATTTCCAGGGTCAACAATATGTCTGTGCGGGTGAATTGGTCGCTCTGCAAACCATGACCAACGTCTTGAATTACCTAAAGATCGAGAAGGTTGACATTGCGAAGGTATGGCGGTCCTGTGATCAGTGATGCATGCGATTAACGATTGTTTAGTTGACAGTGAAATTCACCGTTGGGGAAATCATCAACTCCTGTTTTACACGTGCCAAGGATCAGCAGAAGGCGGAAGGCTACATCAAATTGGAGCGCGGGTTCGCAACGATCCCTCTCCCAGGGATTGATGTACCCTTCCATTCTCGCTACTTGTGGGCTGGTGTAATGCCATTCCGAGCCTGTACGTTGTCGTTCGAATGAAGCCTATGCTCTCGCTGATTGTCTTTGCAGACCTCTCTAAGAAGGTCAATGCGGCGCACCTGAATCCGGACACACTCATCGGCAAGTACGTGCCGAACCTGATCGCGAAGCCTTTCCAAGTCACGAAAGATTAGTCCAATTGATCTACGACCAGACGTTGTCACCGCGCCTCAACAAAGTCCTTCGTAAGTGGGATACAGAGAACTGGGGTTCGGCAGATCAACACCAGAAGCTAGCATATATCGCTCTAGTGGAGCTCTTGGCATACCAGTTCGTGTTCCCCGTCCAACGGATAGGAACTCAGGACATCCTCTTCAAACACTACGATTTCGAGCGCTTCATTGAGATCGGACCTTCACCATTGCTCACAGGTATGGTGACAGGACTCTGAAAGCAAAGTACGAGGTGCAAGATGATTCGGTCAGCCGCATCTGTGCGACCCTTTGTCATGCGAAGGACACCAAGAAGGTGTACTACCAGTTCGAGGATGAGGCGGAGGTGGCTACTGAGTGTGCTCCCGAAGCTGCTAGTCCCGCACCAGTAGCTGTTCCCGTTGCAGTTGCTGCTGCTCCGGTCTCGGCTGCGGCCGCTGTTAGTGTTGAAGACATTCCCCTAAAGGCGATCGAAATTCTCTCTGTGGTTGTAGCTCAAAGGCTCAAGAAGGTGGAGGAAATTCCGCTCTCGAAGTCGATTACGGACCTCATTGGTGGTAAGTCGACTTTACGAAATGAAATCGGTGATCTGCAGCTGGAGTTCATGTCTCCTGATATTATTTGTACATTCCTTGAGCATCTCTGTAGTTCAGTCAAAGCCCAACTACTTTTCGGACTTAAAAGGCTCTTGATCTGTCGTTACTGTTCTGATTGGCCTGGCAATCTCTGTATATGATATCTACTTCCTTATTCGCTTTCGGAAATATCCTTATCACCCGAAACTTCTTAATTAAGGTAGCTAATGCGGATAAACAAAAGTTGACTTTTGCTGATGTACCCACCGGGTACATTATGGATACTCCCGGTTTACTTGGTGGACAGCCATTATTGGTTACACTACAGTTAACTATATTATTTGCTCGGTAGGTACTGTGTCAAAACCCTCTGATGGGTAACCGACGGTTAACTACCAGGTAACCTCGGTCTTGGTTATCCGTCCGGTACCCGGCTCGTCTGGTGGTGTAAGTACTTACAGCCCGAATTACATCGCAATACAACGACAGCATTGACTCTGCACCACCGTTACGTTAAATAGTCCGAGAGGGTTTTCCAAAACGTTTCCATTCGGACGACGGTTTGCATGCTGAATGGAATCATGATCCGATGGGCCACGAAAGACAGTAGTGTAAGTGGACTGGCATACCGTATCAAAGATCAGTATGTTGAATTCAGGAGAAAGCCAAGCGTGATGAGTATGTCGGACGACTCGCCCCATCTACGTAATATTCCTCCTTGTGAGTGCCATCTATGGTGGTTGAAAACCATGCGGACTGCCACTGCATGAAGAAGTCGCCTGGAAACCGGATATATGCATCTCAGCTGGCTGTCTGGGACTCCATATAGTTCGTCTGACTTTGCGCCGTCTGTGCCAATCCCATTTCCCCTTCTGGTGCACAACTCCAACCTGCTAGTAGTATCCATTGGGTCGGCTGCTACGCCCTTCCAGTGGCATGCCACTGGCAGCAAACATCTCAGATAGAATGTGGACAACGCTGTGTCTTCGGCGATCTCTCTCCAATTCAGCTCAATCAGAAAATTTTTATATCGTGTCTTTCACGGTCTGGTGAAGTGCGCGTACTGTATGTCAGAGCTCGGCATCAAACCGCAACTCTACATTTTCCACATTTGGTAGGGAAGTGACTAAATACGAACGAGCCATATTCTCGTCCACCTGGTTAGACAGTACTAATCATTTCCTCGTTGAAGATTGACTTCACAGTTGGCCTTAGAATTAAATAACAACTCGTACACTTTCCTGGCCATCCGGGTAGGAAAGTTTCTATTATGGTTCTACAAGACAACAGGAGCAATATCTTCGGAACTGATCGACAAACTACTGATTTTACAACGAGTACAGGATTTCTGAAGTTCTATCCCGACAATACCTGCAGGTCGATCATAAATGATAAATCTGAGGCGAAATACTGTACAAACCTGATGATACACATTCACTGTGGTGCATTTTGCATGTATTTGGCCATCTCTGACCGAGGAACTTTGTTTCTGAAGATCTGCCCTATGAAGAACAAGGGCTCGACCAACTTCTCAAGCTCTTTCCTCGCCTTGCTCGGCACCATCTTACCGTTCTCATCTTGGACGTCCGCATACTCACTTAGCTCCAACTTCTCGTCGTACGCACGACGTAGCTCCAGGGCGATCGCCCAGAGATGACGACGTACACGCATGCCCGCCGAGCGGTGCACATGCGACAGGTACAGCATCCAATCGCCATCGTACGGTGACTCCTGTGCGTGCGCCATAGGCACGGGCGCCTGCCCATTCTTGGCGCGAAGCTCGGCCGCTCGCGCATATTCGTGCGGAAGTGGCACTGCCCACCCAAGGGCGAGCACACGGACTCGTGCATGCGGCTGGAGAGTAGTTAGAGCATGACGCCGCAGCAAACGACAGGTGGACAGAAGGAGCACAAAGGAGGCGTCCGAAAGGTAGGATAACAAGACGTGCAAGATGTCCACGGGTTGGGTAGTCAAAATATCGCTCGTAGCAATGGGCGAGGGCCCGAAATTGAGGCGTTCTGCGGCAACTGTGGGTCTGAACCTCGGGAACCTGCGGAGACGTTGTTAGAGTGCTCGCGAGATAAATTAGAAAGACACTAAAGCCGAGATGGATGACGTACACATCTGGTCGGTTCAGCATCCACCCAAGGTTGTTGGACATGAAGCCGTGCCAGTTGAACTCAATATTACGCTCTTCGTTATTGAGCGCCCAGAATGGGCGAAGGTCGACTTTGTGCCCGACGCCCTCATAATCTACGTCAGATAAACGACCACCTTGAGCTCCCATCATAGGGCGACCGAGAACCTTCTCAATCTGACAGAGGTCCGTGTACGCTTGAAGGGAGTCATCTTGGGCGTCGAACGTCGCCCGGACGATTGTGGCGCAAACAGTGTGGCACACCAAGATCTTCGAGGAGAACAGTCAGATGAACAAAGAGAAGTCCAGTCAGCACATCGACGCGTACAGTTCCGCCCGGTGACTCCCATTGGACGTTGAGCACCATCGGGATGGAAGGCATATTGCCGAACGAATTGTTATCTGTATCTTCGCCTGAGTAATCCACAGACAACAGGCAGCTGACAGACATGTTTCTTACCGAGCCACTCTAAATTGGTAACCGCGCCGGGCACCCAGCTCCCCATGGCCACACCCCATCGGAAGTAGTTGTACAACTTCTCGCTCAGAATGCCTGGCGGAGGTGGATGGGGATCCACCGAGATAGGACCAGGTGTGAAGGGGAGACGGCACAGGCTGCACGACATGTTGGTATCGTGACTATGTCAAGAGCCAAGGAAGTCCTTCGAGGGTGGCGGTGGATAAAAGGACGTCGCGGCAGGTTGGCGCTCTTTATAGACATACGGCACTACTCGAAGAGTCGTATCTCCCCTTATGGTGAATCTGGTACAAAGAAATCGATCAGAGGACTCCCCGCTCTCTGAGACTGGCACATCGTGAACCCATCCCGACAGTAACTTGCGGATACCTGTCAAGTCGACCACTGTCCTGAGGCTCGACGATCCAGCAGCACCGATCTTGTGATCGACGGTAATTGCGACTGTTGAACGTTGAGCACAAGATTTGGCCAAAGCGGTCGAGGAGACGCTAGGAGACGGTGCTTGGCCTCCATCGCTAATTGTAAGAGACTCAGAGATATGGTCAAGGCTGGCAGCCGCGGCGCTCCCGCCGTCGAGCTCGCTGTCGATGATCTAGCCGCAATCACGATGCGCGCTCGTGCGTTACGTAAGAGCACGTCGCTCCACGTCGCTCCATTGCCCTCAAGAATCATACACACTGGTCTCGTACCCCGACGTGAGCGAGTAACGCACCCCACCACCGCCCTCGCTCTGACGTCTGGGGCATTTCAACCATGACAAAATCCCCTTGCTCTTATCAGAGCCTTCGCCATCCATCATCCTGCCTTTTCGGGAAGGCACAGAGGCTCAATGTCGAGATTCATACTCAACTTTTGAGGGCATTGCTGGCGAGGAGGCCATGATCATGCAGAAATATAAAAGTGATGCAATATGAGTTCCCTCGCAAGACGAATAAGTAGGATTGAGACACCTCTGTGAGAAACTAAGGAAAGTAAGTGAGTCTGCAGTTAGTTCATGCTTTCTGCGGCCGCAATCACTGATATAATTCATTAAACTACATGTACGTTGTCAAGATAGTATTTATATGCTAATTACAGAGCACAACTGCTACAAAGTGGGTGTACGCGGTGATATCCCGAAAGTCAGAGGAAGTGTAGAGAATTGCCGATTTAGGCAGGACAATTGATGGCGCTCAAGTAATCTCGCTTAGGGCTGATAAGAGCGGGGATGTCACGGTTGAAATGCCCAGACGTCAGAGCGAGGGCGGTGGTGGGGTGCGTTACTCGCTCACGTCGGGGTACGAGACCAATATACACAATTTGAATCACCCAAGCAATGCAAACTTCAGACTGATCATGATATGCAACAAATTATATAAAGGACATACTTAAGTGTGCTCTCATAGATTGCATTGCCCTAGTAGATAGAGGATTACCGCCGACTCCCGAAACTCCCAAACATTGAGCCCACGGCTCTGAATGCCGCTGAAGTTCTTGGAGGTATCGCATCGCTTTCTTTGACGGGAGACAATTCTGTTGGGATGTTCAGACTTCCCTCACTCTGCAGCGGTACCGAGCTTAGAAAGCCGAATATCATAGCCAGAGATCGGAAACGTACCGTCGCGAGCGGATTCCAATCAAACTTCATCGGTGCGACCGTCGGGAACACGTTGAGCCTCCGCTTCTTGTTCTTAGGAGTGCCATCACCTATAACGACCGCCTCGTCCGAGCTGTCGTCCTGTCGAGGTTGCTTGCTCTGTGCCCGACCTGGTGGCTTCCGGCGGGCATCCTTCGAGGAAGGTTTCGCTGCGGTGGCAGCTTTGGCCTTCGGTCGTACCTTGTTCCTTGTGCCGCTATCCTCGTCCTCGTCCTCGTCGCCACTCTTTTTCTTATTCCGCTTCCTGGCTGGCTTGGGTTCCTCCACGTCCCCCTCTTCCAGAACCTCGGCCTTCCGCTTGCCCTTTCTGCCGGCTATGCGTTTATCCTCGACGATCTCAACCTCAACCTCAACCTCTTCCTCGTCCTCGTCTTTTCTGGGTTTCCTTTTGGTTTTACTTTTGCCTGTCCGTGAGTCTCCGTTCCCATTCTTGCTCTGAGGTTTCGGTTGCCTCTTGGTCTTCTTTGGAGGTTCGACTTCCTGAATCTCCTCATCGCTGTCGACGTCAAGGTTTCTGGCAAGTTTCGGCGATGTGGAATCAACCTTCTGAGCTTTGCGCGGCTTGGAACGGCTATTGCGTTTCGGCTGGGGTGAAGGAGAAGGCGCCACAACCACTTCTTCGACTTCATCCACTTCCTTCTCAGAGGTTGACGAGAGCTCGCGGACGGGTGGTGTACGCTTCGACTGCTTCATCTTGACAAGATTGATGAATCCTGTAAGATGACCGTACAGAGATCGTTGCGACGCTCACCTTCTTGACTGCCTTAGGACTTGATTCACGTGTAGAATGTAGTTCAACCGTAGCCTGCCTCGCTTCTGTCTTCGTCGTGCTCAGATGAACCTTCAGGGCCTTAATCTTTTTCTGCGCATCCTCCAGCTGCCCCCTTAGTTCCTCTGCTTCCGCTTCCAGTTTCTCTTCCTTTTCTTGAGCTTCCTCGAGTGCTATCTTCCATGTCACGTCAGCACAACAACCTAGTAATACCCACAAAGCAGCATGCACTAGTTCATCACGCTCACCTTCCACTCGTCCAATGCTTCCCGGTATTCTTCGTCTTTCTGCTTCCTCTTTTCTGTTGCAGTCTCAGCCGTGCCTTCCAACTCTTCCGCTCGTTCCTCGAGCTCCTTGACCTGCGTCTGCAGTGTCTCCACCTGCACCACAAGTCCCATGCGCTCACGGCGGAGAGCGTCCATTTCAGCGCCTTCACGGCTCTCAAGTTTGTGCCACTTCTCGAGCTGCCGGCGGAGCTCAACCACAGTTTGCTCGGCCTCACCGTGCTTCTTCTCCAGCTCCGCGTGCGTGGACTTGAGGCCATCTAGGTGGAGTGTTGTTCGCTCAAGCGTGGACTCAGTCTTCTTGGAAGAATCCACCAAGGCATTGTGCTCGGTCTTGAGCCGAGAAATGGCGTCCTACAGCGTAGAGTAGGACATAAATCCCTGTAGCAAACTTGTAGATAGGAGAGAATACATTCGAGAGGACGTACCTTAACATCAGCTTTCTCCTTAAGCGCGTCGGTCAAATCTTTTGCAGAGTCGCGAAGCTGTGCCGCAAGGCCTTCGCACCTTGCCTCCAAAGCGCCTGCCTTGCCATCCACCTCATCACTCAGCTTCTGTCTCTCCCTCTCGACAGCACGCTCCGCATCCCCAATCTCGGCCTCTAATGTCGCGACGCGTTCTTCCAGCTCCGTCTCGCGCAGTTGGAACGTGACGAGGCGGAAGTCGCGCTGCAGACGCGCGAGCCGCTCGCGGCGCACTTCCTCCCGTTCCTTGAGCACAGACACGCGCTCGCGGTCGAGCTCTACGGCGGTACGCAGGTGTGCGATGCGGTGTGCGGCCTGCAGTGTCTCGCAACCGTCGCGCCACTCCGCGCGCTCTGCCTTCCACCGCTTCTGCAACGCGGAGACCGCGTCCTGTGCCCGCACCTGCTCCTCGCCGAGGGCCGCCCGCAGCTTGGAGATTGTATGCTCGAGCGTGCGTGTTTGCGTAACGAGTTCTTCTATGTGGGCCTGTTTAGAGGCAATCATAGCTTCGAGAGGCGAGGAGGAGGTCGAGGAGCGCAGCGGAGTGGGTGCTCTGCGTGGCGCCGCCATGGATGGTTCGTCTTCTCTAGTGAGTACTTTAGAGTGAGATGAGAAATAATGATAGAAATGAACGGTTAGCAGGTAGAAAGTCGGGCTAAACGCTGTAATGCGGACGCATAGGGTCGGCGCCGGCCTCGATGCAAATCGCAGCGAGCATGCGGCTGAACACGACGCGCAGAGACGTCACGTGAGACGTTCTTCAATTACGGGCGCTTAGAGCTCCATCCCGAAGAGCAAAGCACCATGTCACCGAGCACGAAATCCTCGCGGGACATCAAAATCAATGTCCCTCGCCACAACTCTCAGAGGATTGGACCAGTTTTGACCTCACATATTGAGTCCCTTGCTCGTACGCAGCATGTTCGCGTCGATATACGGCAGACGGCAGACGAGCCAACAAGCCCATTGGCACAAGCTGTTGTATGCACTTTTGTATATGTTGATAGGAGCAAATATTGAATGGGTCCTGTCGCAGGAAAATGCATCGGACTGGAATTCTCTGCTCATGACTGCCCGTGCAGAACGGGGTCCCCAGTGGGACGTCGGCACCCAACTGTTCGTTCATATGTTCTGGATATCGGTTTTCTCCTGCTAACCTTCTTCTCTCTTGTCCCATTCTGCCACCCGCATGCCGCAGATTTGCAGTTGATGAGTACTCTGAACTCTACTATGACCCGTCTCTTTTGCTCGAATACCAGAAAGAAAGCCGGGAAGACGGGGACGAGCCGTCATCATCCAGCGATAATAAGCAATCGTCCGATCTACCCAGCTCTCCACAAATTCGCCGTACTCCCAGTCATGGCTCTCCACATACTTCGCAAATGCAATCTCAGCACCCTGGCCAATTTCACGGCGCGCCTCCACTCACCTCTCCCCGGCACCCGTATGCAAACCACGGAATGGGTTTCGCCAATATGGGTTCAGTTCCCCCCGCTCAGTTTTATGGCGCTGGTGGCGGGCACGACGGCTTGTCCGTGTCCCCCATGCGCATGGGAATGAACATGGGTGGAGCCAACATGGGCATGAACCTACCTCCTGGGATGGATCCCCTTTCGCCGGACGTGCGGCGGCGTGTGACGAGGGGCATGAGCGCCGACGAGTTTGGTGGCATGCATTAATATAGTGGAACCAGTGCGTCGATTTCTTATCATGGATCATACTGCTGTGCGGTCTCACCACTAAATTCTCAGAGCTGCGTGTTCAGTGTTTCCATTGGCATTGTGTATACAAGATCACTTGGTCCCGCTAGCGGATGTGCTTCATTTCTGGATTGTGGATGCTCTTGCATCTTGATTCGTGTAATTTGTTGCTTGTTTGTACTGATAAAAGTTTATACGACTGGAACACCATCTTTTTCGTGCAAGATCATGTCATAATGTCATTTCACTGGGCTTCCCACCCGCTCTAGCGTAAGTGTAGTATACACAACAGTCGTGAAAAGGTAACAACATCGAGCCACATATAAGCGATACAACCTGTAAGATATGGCCCAGGTGTCCAGTGCTGAAACCTGCAGCTTTTCCAAGAGCTCTGATCCGTCTGACCATTTGTCGTTGCTGGTGACGGCGTTCTCCTCTCCATCCAAGTGCAACGCCGCGTTACTTTTTCTTCTTCTTGCCTTTGCCAGTAGGTGCAGTTTCGCCTTCACTCTTCCCAGACGTAGCCCGCGAAATAGCGTCAGGAGTCGCAGCCACACCCTTCTTCCCCTTCTTTCCTTTCTTGACTGGTACTCCCCAGCCAAAGTCTTCGTCTTCCGCCTTTACCTCCTCCTCCGGTGCATCCTGCTTGGGCTCCTCACCTGCCGCGTCATCTGCACCCTCCTCAGCTGTCGGCTGAGATGTGCCGACTACTACTTCAGGCTGAATTGCACCGTCGTCTGCCGGCTGAGTTGTGCCCTCCTCCACCGGCTGGGTTGCACCTTCCTCCGTTATCGGCAGAATTTCTCCTGCTGGCGGTTCAGTCCAGTCGTCGATGGGCTGCTCAGTGGCCACTTCTGTTGGCTGAGCTACGTCTGCCGGAGGAACTGCTTCCGCTGGTTGGGCCGAATTTGCTTGCTGCGCCGCCTCCGCTAGCTGCGCCGCCTCCGCCTGTTGTGCTGCTGCCTCCTCCGCTTTCGCCTTAGCTATTTGCTCCGTCTCTTCCTGCAGTTTGACTGCCTCGGCTGCCGCAATCTTAGCAGCTTCCTCCTCGGCTTTCTTCTGCTGTTCCTCAGCCTTCGCCTCTTCTTCCAGTCTCCTCTTTTCTTCCTCCTTCTGCTTGGCAGATGGGACGCGAGATATCGCTGCAGGTGTTCCAGCCCCGTTCTTGCCCTTCTTGCCCTTCTTGCCCTTCGTGGTAACAGGGAGGCTCCCCCAATCATCATCCGCATTTTTCTTTGCCTCCTCTTCCTCTAGCCTCTTTCTCTCTTCCTCTGCAGCGGCGATTGTGGCCGCCTCTTCGTCCAGTCGTTTCTTCTCCGCAGCCGCCGCTTCTTCCTGCTGCATCCTCTGTGCCTCCTCCTCTTCCTGTCTCTTCCTCTCTGCTTGTGCAGCCTCCTCTTCTAGTCGCTTCTTCTCCGCCTCGGCGGCGGCGGCAGCCTCAGCCGCCTGTTCCGCTGCTGCTTGTTGCGCCGCAGCGGCGTCTACCGCAGCCTTCTCCTCTGCAGCCTTCCTCTCAGCAGCAGCCTTCTCGGCCGCCTCAGTTTCAGCCTCCCCGTTGTCCTCGGCTGCGTTCCACGCAGGCGTCTGGCCGAAGCCGAAGCTTGAACTGAGCCCAGACCCAAAGTTGCTCTTCAGGGCCAAACCGAGCCCACCAAACGTCGTCGACGACGGGCGGCTCGCGCCGCCTCCCCAGGATGAGCCCGACAGGAAGTTAGAGAACATGCCCGCGCTCGCGCTGGACCCGGGGTCCGGGCCTGGTGACGACAAGAGCTCTGAGAGGTTCCCGGCGCCGGTCGCGGGATCGCCAGGCTGTTGTAGGGGCTGCTGACCGCCGCCGAAGAACGAGGTACCGAACATTGGCGCACCCGTGTTACCTGAGGGTTCTTCGTCAAATGAGCTGGGCCCAAAGTCGGCCAGAGAGCCGGGAACCGTGTCACCAAACGTGCTGGGTCCGAGATCGGCAAGACCGTCGGGAAGCGCCGCTGGTGCGGGCACAGGTGTCTTTGCATGCGTCTCAGGAGCGAAGGAGTTACCGCCCCATGCTCCCCACGACTCAGCGGCAGGGGGTTCTGTAGTGGACTCAACGGGCGCGGGCTGCCATGCAAACTCTTCCCCCGCAGGAGTTGCCTCAATGACAGGCGTAGCCTCGACGACAGGGGTGACAGGCTTCTCTTCAGCAATTGGCTGTGGCTCGACTTTGGGCGTCGGGACGCGCGAGGTCTCCTTCGGTGTTGCAGTGCGAGAAGCGTCCTTCGGGGATGCGACACGAGACGCCTTCTTGGACGTGGGCACTTTTGAGAGCGACTTGGGTGTCGCGCCGCGAGACGTCTCTTTGGTAGTGGGTGCATTCGAGACCTCAGTCGGTGCCCGGGACACTTCGCGAGGCGTCGGCGGTTTAGACAGCTCCTTGGGCGTCGATAGCTTGGACTTCGGCGTCGGCGGCTTGGACGCTTCTTTAGGCGTAGGCGGAGCCGTCGGCTCTTTGGGTGTTTGAGGTACCGATATCTCTCTGACAGCAGGAACAGGAGGCGATATTTCTCTCGGAGTCGGCGGAGCCACGGACTCTCTGGCAGTCGGGGGAAGAGAGGGCTCCCGCGGTGTCGGCGCCTTCGAGATCTCCCTGGGAGTCACCACTTTGGACTCCCTGGCAGTAGGTACCTTGGACTCCCGAACGGTAGGCGCATGCGATACCTCCCGCACAGAGCCCGCTCTGGAGACCTCCCTCGGCGTCACAGCGGCGGACGGCTCGCGGGGCGTCGCGCGCGTTTCCTCGCGGACGGACGCGAGCCCACCGCGCATCGCGATCGAGTCACGCGGGGACGACGTGGGCGTCTGGTGCTTCGATGGCGCGGCGGACACGGAGGGCGGGCCCCAGACGGAGTTGAGGGCCTCGCCGAGGTGCGTGCTCCCGCTGCGGCCCGAGTCCGCGGAGCGGCCGGACACGTTTACTGAGCGGTCGACCTCACGCATCGCGGCGGGTGGCGTCTCGATCGCACGCGCCTTGCCCTTGTCGACGGAGCGCGACGTGGCGTGTCCGGACGAGAAGGAGCGCGAGAGCGAGCCGGCGCTTGGCAGTGGAGGCGAGGCGTGGACGGAGGGCGGGATGCTGCGTGAGCCAGTGATGGTGGGGTCGCGGGAGGGCGCGCGGGAGGCCTTCTCGGAGGGGTACCGGTCGGAGACGGAGGAGAGAACGGTGATGTTGTCTTCGGGGGATTCGTCTGGCTCGTCCTCCTCTGCGCGGTGGCCGCTCTCGTTGTATACGATCGATGCCGGCCCACTGTGGGGCAAGAGTTATAGGTCAGTGATATATACCAGGCAGAAAATAAAGTACGCACTATTTCGTCCTGCCCTGTTAAGTTGAACGGCATGAGTATAGGGCCAAACACGAGTGGGGAGAACGTACGTTGTCCAACCACTTGATCCTGGCCTTGAACTCTGTCAAGCCGAAGTGGATCTCAATGCTAAAGATGATCGTCCAGTACGTCTTCCCGCCCTTCCCCTGCTTCGACTGGGCACTTCCCGCGAGCGGCGACAGATCGGCACGCACGTAGCACAGCGTCGAGAAATTCTCTACAAATATTCATACTAGTGAGCTTGCCCAAGAATTTACGCGAGAGAAGGCGGCACATGCCTGCGTTCCTGATGATCCACTTGGGTACGACGTCGCCGCCCCGGAAGCACCAGATCTCGACCTCGAAGACCGAGAGCGTCGACAGGTTCGTGACCTCGGTGCAGTACTTGCGGCTGAACACCATCGACTCCTTCACCTTCACACCCTAAATATAACATACGACTTTAGCTCGCACGCGGCCAAATTGCACAAGCACTCACCCGCGAGAGAATGCAATCAAAGGCATCAGGAAGTAGAGTCGGGCCGGACGGAAGCTCGAACAGCCGGTGTTTGCGCGCGACGTGCTCCGGGTCATGAGCATCGAACTCGCGGAGGTACTCCACACCGTACATGAACTTGGACATGCGCGCCGAGACGTGATGGTCACAGTAGAAGCCGATCGCACCGTCCGCGACCGCCTTCGACCTACGCGCGGGTCAGACGATGCACGAGATGGGGAGGCAGAGAGATAAAGGGCGCACGTTTGGCTGTCCGGTCGGCTCACGGTGATGTGCATCCGCGCGAGGCGTTCTTGTAGTTGGCTGAAAAGCCAGGGGCTGGCGGCGAAGCCTCCGACGAGCCAGACAGACTGTTTCCTGCTGTCGGTAGATGTTAACGTGAGTGTGTGTGAGGACATACCTTGACGGCACCCCCAGACGCTGAGACCTGGTTCTCGATGGATAGCACCGCCGCCTCGATCGAGGGCTGAAACAGTGCCGCAACTTCCGTTCTACAAAGGCGCAACGGTTAGGCCAATAATGTGCCCCGTGCCAGGAAACTACCTACCCCTTGAGCCTCAGCTGACCACCTCGGATACCCGCAGATATATCCTTGTCCAGCGGCGAACCGAAGGGAACAAACTGCAGATCCTTGTCATCACGGAAGAGCCGTTTCGTCGTCTCGTCGAACCGCTTCGTGATGTGGTCGAGCGAGTCTGGCGATCCGTATTTAGACGTCTTCAGTTTGTCCTCGAAGAACGCGCGTGCACGCCGACTGACGAATACAGAGCCTGCAAAGACACCTGCGAAATTCAAATGAGTCTTAGGGTAGGGGAAAAAGGAGGGGAGGAAGAAACCGGACGTACAGTCTGGTGGGGCTATCTCTTCAATGACGAGTGGCACTGTGCCCCGAATCGCGTACGAGCTGATGTCAAGCGTGCCGCCTCCAGCGTCCGCGACAATGAACCCGTGCCCAGACGGGTTTTGCTGCGACGATCAGCAGCAGACCAGTACCGATGATTGTTGCACTCACTGATAGTACGTCCGCGGCGAGGCCATTCAACACGCACGCGTGTAGACTCGCCTCACCCTCCGTGACGAACCTGATTCGCGCCTTCCCTTCGTCGGTATCAGGAATGAGTCCGCCGTACACTGCTGCCCTGCGCATCTTGGTCTGCTGTGCGCCCTCCCAGCCGTTGGGGTGGCTGAGGACGAACTGGATGTCGTGCTCCACTGCGTGCCAGAGGGCGGGACCGTTCGCATGTGTGTCGATGATGAAGGAGCGCGTGCAGCGGAAGAGATATGAGAGGAAGTCGCCGAAGACGTCGACGGCGGTCTTGTGGGTGGGCAGCGAGGCAAGGCGCATGCCGTTCATCTTGAGCTTCATCGTCTTTGGCCGGAGACGAAGCTTGAAGCTGTAGATAATGATAGGTCGCAGTTCGGGGATGTGAAGAACAACTTACAGCTCTGCCTTGACCCAGCCTTCGTCCTCTGCGTTTGCGACGATGGAGGCACTTTCTGCCTCTGCGCCGGCCGCCTTCATGTTTCCGTGTCTATCATAGTACATTATGGAGGGTATCTTGGAGTTGCCCGCGACATGTTCCTGTCCGGGGAATCTGCGTCATAGGTGAATGAGTTATCTCCGGCAATGAAAGAGACATGCGCACCTGGTGACGCCATGAATCTTCGGGACTTCTCCTGGCTCAAGGATTGCGTATGAGACGCCGCTGAAGGTTGTTCCGATGTCTAGTGCAAGTACAAGACTCCGCGTGGACCCGCCGTAGGGCTTGCGAGTGCCCGAGGACGAGGACTTCATAGCGGGATATCAGGATCGAGTGCGCGGGATGGCTGAAGGAGATAAAGATAGTGAACAGGATCGAAATGGACCTGGGAATATATGCAGAGCGTCTAGGGGGGTATGAAAAATAAAACACGAGGCATGCTCTCGGGGGAGTCGTCTGCTGGGCAGAAGGCTCCAATGCGGGAGATGGGTTACGTAAGACACACGCCTGTACAACGCGTTTGTGGCGTGTATCGCTCTGCCAGTGGAGAAGGACGAGGCGTGTGTTGATCCTCGACGTCACTGCACAGCAAGTACTGCTCGTCTATCTGCGTTCTCGGTCCTTGATGTGCCGTTTCATCTTCATCTCGTACACCGACTTCTCCCACAGTACGACGTCAGAACCAAGTCAGAACGTCAGTTTTCTACAACGTGTACGACAGTGTGAGCAAACTTGAAGGTGGTGATCGAATAGCGGTCGTGGCAGTAGAAGAACAACTCGTACGCCAGAGCTGAGCTGAGCTGTTCCCATCGACAACCCAGGTCCTCGAGCACTCAGACAAACTCCTTCCCTACTGATTGATATTAACCCTCGCGCAGCGTAACTTCGTCGATGTCTTCTCTAAACAGCGTGTTTCCTCGCTCGTTCAGTAGCAGAGACCTGACCAGCTCGGCGCCTGATTTTTGAATCCACAACCTCGCCCCGGTCATCGCCCATGCTGCTGTGGGTCAGGCATCGAGGCCAGCGACGAGCAGCAACGATGTGGACTCTGCCTTCACGGTAAGTACGCAGCGTCTGGCGACAATGAGCGGAATTAAGATATTACGGCATCAGCACGGCGCCTGACTCGGATCTCCGACGCGTGGCCACCACGCCGCCATCGTGCACGAGTCAACGGTGACCACTCTCCACTCACGTCCGCCTTGCTTGATCCCCCAAGCCCTTACATATTGTGGTGCCTAGGTCTGTCTTGTTTCCTAGAATCCCTCTAACCCGACGAAACTGACCGAGATGCAGCTCAAGATCTCTGCGGACAGCACCGTCGAGTACTACACCGTCCGAGGCCCGCTCACCCACGCGCGACCGCGGATCCACTCAGGCGACCTCACCCCCGTCGCCGATCCCATCGCGAAGCTCACTCGAGAGTGCAGCGCGCTGCGCATCCGCCTCGCCACCGTGGAGCGCCTCGAGCGGCGCGGAAGCACCCCGTACGGCCCGTCCCCCATCTCCGCGCGCACCCCGCCCTCTGTCACCCTCGACCTGGCGCTCGACTCCGCCTACGCCCAGCGCAAGGCCGCGCGCACCCACATCCACGGCGAGGTCATGAAGCTCGCCGAGCGCTACAAGGTCCTCGAGCAGACCCTCCGCGAGATGCAGGAGACGCTCCGCATGAAGGACAGAGAGATCGACGCGCTCCGTAAGGAGCGCGACAGACTGCTTGCAGAGCGCGAGCTCAACCGCGAGAAGAGCCGCAGTCCCGCCCGCACGCCCCCGGCCCGGACAAACGGTGCGGACAGACATCAGCGGCATCGCGACCCCAGTCGGAGCAGGGGCCAAGTGCACAGGACAGAAGAGCCACCACCAGTACCTCTGGGACCGCGGATGTCGCTCGACGCAGAGCACGCGGCGCGTGCACGCAGTTTGGATGTATTCCTGACAAAGACAGACAATTGGTCCGGTGCGCAAGTTATCCAGGCGGTCGAAGACCTGAACGCAGAAATTTCCCAGTTCGCAGCATCCGCAACAGAGTCCTGTACGTTTACAAAACAGGGTAAGCCTCGTGCACAGGCGCTGGAAATGCTCAGAGACGGCGCGCCCTGGCTAGGCTCACCACTGATACGCGTGCTCGCGACGCGCGATCACACGCAGGATCCAATCATGGTGCAACTCGCGTTGCAGACGAGCATCGCAACATGTTGTGCGCGCTCGCTCTCCCTGTTTTGTGTCGGGTTCCCGTCCAAGCTTGATGCTCTGCTCTCGCGCGTCCTCGCACACCTCCAGGCGACCGGTATGTTCTCTTTCTCCGCATCTTTTCAGGCCTTGACCTGCTGCTGTTCATAATCCAGAGCCACAAGCTACGTCGTCGAGATGGCGGTCGCTCACGCATCGCGCCATCCGCGTGTTATACCCCGGCCTCGAAGAGTACGCCGTCACGGAACTGGTAACGACAATGCTCCGTTGGTCCGCCGCCGTCTTTGCGATCTCAGGCTCGGATGCCTCGTCTCCGTCGACTGCGCTGCACTCGTTGAGCAGCCAGTTGCGGCGCATCGCAGAGGCGGCGTACAAGCTCGCGCGGATCACGCGCGAGGAGATCCTCTCCACGAGCTTCGAGGTGGTGTTCGTCGAGAGCGGGGACGCGTACGAGGACGCGCGGATGACGAACAAGATGCGCGACTACGGCGAGGGCGTCGCGGGCGCGGAGGAGCTCGCCGCGCACTGTCCCGCCGCGAATGGGCGAGCGAGCCGCGAGAGCGGTAGGGTGCTCTGCACAACCGAGCTGGGGCTGCGCTGTGTGACGCGCAAGGATACCAGGACCTTTGCTGCGGAGGAGGTGGGTGCGGGCGAGCTGTTCGAGTCGAGGATGTTGTTGCTACCCAAGGTGGTGCTCGATTCTGCTATGGAGGCGATAGAGCGCGGATAGGGATTCGCCTTGTTCCTCATGGGTTTTGAATGCTCTTCTCGAGCCGCAGTCGCACGATTGATACCCCCGCAGCCATTCTTACATTATTGCGACTTGCACTTTGCGATGGGGACGATGATGGTCATGAACTGGTAAATATAATCGATACAGGACGTACATATTGTATTATAACACCATATCCTAATTTATTCTCTTCCAGATGACTCTTCGCCTGTTGGTACTCTCTTCGCCTGTTGGTACTCTCTTCGCCTGTTGGTACTCTCTTCGCCTGTTGGTACTTATTCCGATGGGATGTCGCGATCGAGTATTGATCCAGTAGCAGCGTAGCAGTGCGATGAGATGGACAGCTGATTGAGCAGCAGGTATGCAATGTGCACAGATATTAACGGGTGACCTGGTAGCACTGGCAGGGAACGGCCCAGCAGGAAATGATCCACAAACAACTCAGAAACGACTGAGGATCCAGCACACATCCAGCGATCGTCGGTCAATATAGTGCAGGTGAAAATTGACGTACTTACCGGGGAAACCATTCGCAGGCGTACCATCAGGTGCACTACATGGACCAGACAGTTCTGCGTGCTTTGAGTGGCATGAACTGATCCCTTTTTTCAATACAACTGGCGATACTCTCTGCGAATCCGTGAAACCGATAAAGGTTGAGTATCGAAGGTTGGAAGGAGCACCCGTAAGACACAGTAGTGCAAATGTGGCCGTAAGTTCATGCATATGTGCATAAGTATGCAATCGTGCAAGATGCTAGGGAGAACAGAATGTATTGTGCGGAAAACGCGTTCGAGATACAGCGATAGACGACGGTATACGAGATGTTGCCGAATCATGAAACTCCATTCAACGTGGAAGAAAGCGTCAACAGAGCGATTAAGTAGGCTATTTCACTCGAGGCCACCAACACAGTAAAGAGCATCGAGCCACGCCCCATCGTCGTGCGGAACGCCGACAGAGACGCAGAGATGCAGTGGTGGCCGCAATTATGAAGGCGACGTGTTTTTTGGCGTTTTTATGGCAGCGGGAGATGGTCACATGACGTACGCGTGCCGATCGGCGATCGCGTTTTTGACGAACTCAGCGAGGACCCGAGTCTGCGATCTCGCTGGCCCGGCACCTCGCTGTCTCTACACTTTCATCATCATCCCCGACTAGGTAGCGGACAGAACATTGGCGAGCGAGAAGTAGCATGGACATCTTTCGCTGGCTTATAGAATGGTTCGATCAGTATGTCAGGCCCTACCCACCTCCTGCGCTGGAGAACATGCGCTTGGGGCCTGACGGTCTTACAGAAAACGCGCTCATGGTCTGTTTTATTGCTCAAGATTCTGAGGTCTTAGAGAGGAAGAATTTTGACCGTGCTATTTGGCTCAGATCCAATTCTTCACTTGGCAGAGCAGGCATCCTACTATGAGCTGGTGGAAGCACTTTGAATCAGAAATACCCGGGCTGGCAGACATAGGTGTCACGCAGGTGTGGTTGCCACCGCCTCACAAGGCTATGCACAAAGTGAGACATTCAATGTTTTCGCGACAAGCTGAAGTTTATTGTCACGTAGCACGGACAAGGTTACGACGCGTATGACCTGGTACGAAACACGCGTATACCTCACGCGGCCAATCTGACGAGTCTTCAGTGGGATCTAGGCGAATTTTATCAGAAAGGAACCGTTCCTACAAGATGGGGGACCAAGGACGAACTGGTCCAGGCCGTTGCCACGGCAAATGCACACAAAATTGACGTCCTCATCGACGCTGTTCTGAATGTTTGTGTGCCCCCCCATTTTTCGTGTACTATCTATGACCTATGTTACAGCACAAACTTGGCGGAGATAGATGCGAGACTTTTAACGCTGTTCCAGTCGATCCGCAGAACCGGTTGAAGGAGCTCACTCCAGCGCGAGAGATCGAGGTATACCAAGGTTCACTGCTTTGCGCTGTTACACGGTTTACTTACACTGAACCTCTTTTTTGAAGGGATGGACTGCGTTTGACTTCACTGGACGAGGCGGCAAGGTATTCAGTTAATTAATATACCCGATTCCTCCGCATCCTAAGAATTTCTTACAGTACAGCAAACTCAAATGGACTCATGAGCACTTCACTGGTAAGCATATGATACTTCTTCATGAATGCGCAAGTTGCTAAAGACAGATTTCAGGCTTAGACTGGGACCACAGACGCCGTCTCAAAGGTGTATATCGCATTGTCAGTAACAAGCACAAGGGGTGGTCTCAGAATGTGGACAACGAGCTGGGAAACTACGACTATCTGCTGGGAATGGATGTACGTTACCCTTGTCCTGCCTCATGTCACGTCGCAGTTAAGTATTTTCAACCTCTGCAGATCGACCATCGGCATCCGGAAGTGCGCAAGGACCTTTTCGACTGGGGCAATTGGGTTCTCAAGGTTCGACTAATGCCCATTCAATTTTGCGGTGTCTTTTGCTCACAATACGACACAGACTACCGGTGCAAGCGGCTTTCGTCTTGATGCCATCAAGCACATGGACAGATGCTTTCTCCTCGATTTTGTGTGTCTGAACGATATTTCTCAAGCGTATCATCAACTGAATGGAATTCTCTCACCCAGCTCAAACATGTGCGCCATTGCACAGGTAGACCAAATCTATTCGCAGTGGCAGAGTATTGGTCCGGGGAGTAAGGTTCGACGTCTCTGGTTTTTACCGATGTCTGACACTAGCGCAGTGTTAACCTAATCAAGCCGTATATTCGCGCGTTCGAAGGCGTGGTGAGTAGAACGATGCTGCGGGCGCAATAGCGTTCACACGATCATCTGCAGGTGACGTTCTTCGACGTCCCGCTGCACTACAACTTCCACGAAGCGAGCAAAACCGGAGCTCGATATGACTTGGGAACTATCTTCGACAACACGGTCGTTAAGCTCCGCCCAGGGGATGCCATAACCTTTGTTGATAACCATGAGTACGTCGCTCATCTTGATGTTGCTAAGTGCTGGTGTGAAATAACCGCATTCACTTAGCACGGTACAGCTGCGATAGTACGTCATTAGTATACGTCTGACATGTTTCTGCACACAGCAAGTCGGGCAATCCCTTGAGAGCTGGGTAAGGGCACTGTTCCGCATCACACGGCCTTCTCATGTTGCTGACTACGTCCTCAGGTCGGGAGCAGTTTCAAACTTCAGGCTTATGCATTGATATTGTTGTGGGGCGAAGGCCACCCGTACGTGTATCTCTTTCCACGTCGTTGCAATCACAGTGATCAGTGAACTGCCACCGACTACTCCCGAAAGGTGCATCTTCTACGGCGATTTATACCCTAACGAGGAATGCTACGATGAGGTGGTCGCACAAGGGCTTAGACGCCTCATTGAAGCCCGGAAGAAGTTCGCATACGGCACAAAGATGGATTACTTCCACGACCGGAACTGCGTCGGCTTTGTGCGCATGGGCGACTCAATGCACAGAGGGTGCGCAGTGCTTGTCAGCAACTCGCATCACAGCCATGGGTAAGGCGCATACATGATTAGGCAGATGTATGGTTGTAGACCTGATGAATGGCGATGCCGACTAGGGCCCATACAATCCGTATGAATGTCGGAACAGTGAGTGAAACACACTGTTTGTTGGACGTCTCCACTGAATCCACGCAGGGCAATGGAGGATCGTCCTTCGGCTCCTTTATGGATCGATCTCGACGAGTCCAAATCTCGCCTGATGGGTGGGGATTATTCACATGCATTCCCGGGCACGTCGAAGTGTGGGTGCGAGACGACCATCTGACATTCGACTCAGACTCTCCGGATCGCAGTTCGTAGGAATGATCACTTTGCCAATCTTTCTCGCATTATGCCTAAGGTCCTTGGTATGTACAGTACACTTACTCTCACACTGTTAGTACATGTTAGATGGTAGTACAGTCGCTATTACGATACGGGTTATAGATCTTTCGTCCTGGTTTCATCGTCCGTAATTCGAGCAAGTTCGCAGGGGCGCTCTTCTCGCCGATACGCCAATCCACGACAGAGTCTCCGTCGCTTGAAACCTCGTCGATGTCACGCAATTGTGCCCCTCTCCATCCTGCGTCGCGCCATACTGACTCCCCGCGCGCCCTATCCATGGACATGATCGTCGCCGCTTCTTCGCCAGTCTGCATCAACTCTTGAGGCTGCTGTTCGCCGTCAAAGAGCGCAGCTGTCTCCTCGAGGGTGTGACCTGAGTCAAAGCCAATTGCTGTAAAAGGAATGATGCTGTTGGGTGACAGACGAACCTCTGGTTTCGACGATGTAGGTAAGGACGAAGACGAGCTCGACGATGAGCCAGCCGCAGTAGACGAGATACTGTGCAGTTTGTCAGTGTGCACGGCGAAGCAGAATGGACGAATATATCTAACATATTTCCAGCCCAATGCGTCAAGAGCCCACGGATTCACGAATTGATTGAACGCCGTAGTGAGCGACACGAGGAAGTTCTGGGAGAAATCTGGATGCCTGGAGATCTTTGACAGACGGAAACACGTACCATTACTGCGAAACCCTTCGCTCGAATACTGAAGGGTAGAATTTCCAGTGTGTACGAGATGAGCATCGGGGTGTACGCAATGTCATAGAAAAAGTAAAATAGGAAAACGAATGGTATAGTTGCTGTCGGGGTGCAGTTAGATCGTATCTAGACAGCATAGAGAAATAAGCACCTTTCGCAGCCGGAGAATTGTTCCTCATGTCCCAAAGAGCAGTAGTGAGCGTCCATATACCAAAGTCTGTTAAAAGGTCGATTAACTCGAGCATGTCACTTCGCACGTAGAGTTCACGTACTAATCAACATGCCGATGTTAGATATGATGAAGAGTGCTCTTCGACCTAGGCGATCGACTAGCAATGCGCCAGTCATGGCGGCAATCAAATTCCAAACCTGCGAACGTTCATTCAGATCACATCTTAGTCGAGACTGAGGAAACGGCGTAGGACTAACTTGCAGGCCACCGTTGATAGCTGCCTCTGTACCTGCATTGGTAATGCCCACGCCTTTCAGGACCAAGTTGATGTAGTAGGAAACTAAACCATTGCCGCTAAAAGTGGAGTTAGTATGTACAGACACGAAAGACAACAATGCAAGATATCCACCTCCATTGTGAAAATACCGCGAGAGCAACAACGATGAGCATGCGTTTCCTATTTCCTGGAGTGGCCAGTAGAGTAATGTATGAGGTGCTTTTCGCAGCTTCTTTCTCTAGCTTGAGAGCGTGCCGTATCTGCGCCATCTCAAACACAACCAACAGGTCTCGTTGGTCACCGGTTTCCATAGCATGAAAGCGCGCGAGGATGCGAGCAGCCTCTGATTCCTGGTATTTGAGTTCAGTATGCAAAGTATTACACCATGAGTGTTGCGCATACTCGGCCTCTAGCCACCAGGAAGCGAGGAGACTCAGGTACCAACCTACAGGCAACAATGAGTTCTTGGTCAAGTCAAAAATTGCAAGACAGCTGACCATGCCAGACAAAGCTGTATGACGGGCACGAGAGCCTGGACGAGAGTTGGCACCCGCCATGACCATGCTGATCCAACAGCTCCCTCAAGAGCGCCGAAGCATGTCCACGCCGCTTCTTTCGTGTCAATTTAGTTTTCACTTGCGGACAAAGATGAGGCTCACATATGATGCTACCGACGTACCATGACGCGTTGAAGATGGAAGTTAGTTTCCCGCGCTGCAGGGTGATCCAGCTCAGTATATGTCTGATCAGTGGAAAAACATAATCTCACTTGTGTAGGATATGCCAGCTCCGTGATGAGTAGAGGCGAGGCATTGAGCGAGAATGTTAGTCCAAAGCCGACTTACGAAGCCGGACGACATCACGTTGCATGAGGGACCGTCGAGACGACACGTTCGGAGCACACGCACTAAGTCCTCTGGCGCCAATAAACATCCCAATGGACATAGACGCGCTTTGGAGAGCCACACCGGCAAGCATGACCACAGAACCGATCAGCAACGTTGGTCGTCTTCCCAAGATGTCCGACGAGAAGGGGGTTAACGGTAGACCCTACGTCCTGGACGTCTCAGACATAGCAGTCTTGATTCGATGATAAAAAATACCTACAGCGATTGAACCGATGACTTGGGCGGCGCACATCAGACCTGAGAACAATAATATAACAGAGTGAAGTCGCTGTGTTGAGTGCAGCAGTGAAATCAACTCTTACCAAGTTTCTTTCCATCCGGATGCTTGAAGTATGTTTGCCAAGCGGGCAAAATCTGCAATCCTGCAACTTAGGGTGAGTCTCGATCGACATGGACGTCCGGAAGACGCGTACCATTCACCAACGACGAGTCGAAACCATTCATAGATGCACTGAGGAGAGGTATAAGCAAAAGAAAGTTGAGTACTCGTATGCCTAAGTCATGCGGAGATCGTGTTGCGTAAGACCACTTGAATGAATACAGCTTCAATGACATGTTGCTTACGAGGATTCTTCCACCAATACCCTCTGTAAACGAGATCCACAATCGTCCATTCTGGTGGCCTTACCATAGCGGACAATGATCGAAGAAGACTACGTGATGGGGGAACCGAGGGGGAACCATGGAGGGTAGCCACTATCCAACAGCGATCGCTATATATGCGAAAGAGACTAAGTTGAGTAAGTAAAGTCGCACGACACCACTAATCTTGACGCAACTGGCCCCGACAGCAGGACAGCATCTACTAGTTCGTCCGAGCGATGTGGGGAAACGCGGGGTAAGCACGGTAGCAGGCGATCGGGGAAATAACTTCGAGCATGCCGGGTGCGGAGAAAGGCCGGAACACCCCAGCCATTTAACCAACAACTAATCATGGGGACTCCGAAGAATCACTGAAACTTAGCACGTGGCATCGAGGCGCAAAGGTGCACATCCAAGTGGAAGTTGCATAGTTAAGAAACTAGGGCGTATGCTGCCACAAAAGGCTCAAGACATCCCGGGTGTCCTTCCTTTCTTTAAGCGAGGTAAACTAGTGCATTGCGAGACTGTTGTCGCTCACCGGCTAGCCTTGTGGTCCTCCACGAGGAAGTGTAACACATGTCAGATGGTTCATTCATTAACGAACGAACCTGTAAAGTGAATCAATTGCCGAGACTCTGCAGGTCGGGAAGAAGTCAACCTGTATATCAATCATGACGCTGACAGGTGAGACAATGTGCCAGTATCGTGGTATCCTTGTGGCGAATTGCGGAATCGCGTATCGGAATGTTGCTAGACCAGATAGTAATGCTTTTCACGTGGGACAGCAACATGGCAGAGAGCTGCATCTGAACTTAAGCTTCGTAATGCCTCATAGCAGAGCACGGAACAATGCTCAATCCACGGCACAAACACATCATGCGTGAGAGGAGGATGAGTGGGCAGTTAATGATACAACAGCGCCGCACCTGGCCAATGTACACTATAATCCAGAGCGAATGATATGTAGATCCCTAAGGAGACCGTCCGACGGGGATGACATACAACTTCAAGAATATCTGAGCATGAACAAAGTGTCAGTGGTCAAGAAACCTGAGGACAACCAAAAATAGTTACCTCGGTGATAGGCCACTATTCCACGTCTATCACGCGACTTGGGTGAAATGAACGCAGGTGCGAAGCCCGTAATGATCACTCGCCCACTGCCCCCTTGACGTTATGAGCGTTTCTCCCACAAGCTCCGGTGGGTGAACCCGCACAAAGGGTGGCGGGTCACCAAAGACTTCGGGTGTATAGAACAACTTATCCAGCCTTGCCGGGGGATACTCGCTAAGAGGTTGGTAACCCCATGTGAACCCATTATGGTCATTGGGGTGACCAGTATAAGCATCCAATAGTCCCGCGTCCAGGTGTATCCGGGCATCGCTTGGCGCAATCGCGTTCATGTCACCTCCAACGACCCCGCCGTCTACATCAGGTTGCTTCAACAGGCGGCTGATCAATGCGAGTTGTCCGGGTCGTACAGGCGTGCCCTGCGGAAGGGATTCAAGATGCGTGTTCGCGATGCGCATCACCAAGGGAGGTCCCCAGGAAGGATCAAGTAAATCGAGATCGACGAGCACTGCATTCCTGCGCATACTTGAGTTGCCGAACACGACGGAGATCGCCTTCCTCACCGGGACGGTAATTGAGACCAGCGTCACATTTCCATAGGTCGCACCGGCGGGCCATTCGCTCCTGCAAGCTGGTACAACTGTGAAATAACTCCGTACCCACTCGTGCGAGAGAAGTGCGTCGAAACCTCTCTCTGATACTTCCTGCAGTAGAATGCAGGGTGGGCTTGGTGGACAGAATGACGTAGATACAAGAACAAGGTGCTGAAGGTAATCGAGGATACAGTATATTCGTTCAGCTGCATTGGGTGCCATAAAATCGACGTTCCACGAGATGAGCTGTATGCTTGATGGTGGGGACCCGGCGGTCTCGCTCCTGTGCCAACGGTTGTCCACGCGCCAATATCGTTTGGGTGTCAGTGGTAAAGGACAATCATTCCATGGAACTGTACTCATTCTGGTTATAAGCTGAGCAGGGTTGGGCAAGTAGCTGAAGAGATGCTGTAGTCGTCGGCAGTCGCTTCCAAGTTATGCGGGCACCATGAGTGGCCGGCGCGTGACGTTGCGTTCGAGTCACAGAACATGTCACACTTTGCTTAGATAAGGTCACATGATGTCATCAAAGTGATCGCGCGAATATTCGACCGTGACTTTGCCATCAATTTGCCATTTCCTCAGACTTTCTAAGCAATTATTCAGCTTCCTCACCTTTAGGCCTCCCATCTGCTTTCAAAAACCGACTTTCTGACTGCAAGGCTATCCATTTATCGACGTACTATACTCTGGAAAATTTCCTCCCTTCCCATGGCCTCAGAACGTATGGAAGAAGATCACCTCGAAGAGGGCGCCGATGGCGAGGAAGAAGAGTTCATCGACCCAAACGATGTCTTCGTCGAGGTTGCAGATGATGATGATCTGCCGATGGACGAAGATGATGCAGAAGGCGAGGGTGCACCCCAGGTAGACGAGTCCGTAGTCTATGAAGACAATTCCATGCAGCATTTCCCGAATCACCACGCCTCCGTCTTCGCGATTTCCACACATCCTAGCGCTCCACTCGCTGCGTCAGGCGGCGAGGACGATCTCGGCTATCTTTGGGACTACACCACCGGGCAAGAGCTGGTAAAGCTCACGGGACACACCGATAGCGTGACTTCCACCGCGTTCAGCGCGGACGGTGAGATGATCTCGACTGGGGGCATGGACGGTAAGGTACGGGTATGGCGCCACGTAGGCAAGGAGAATTGGCGGACTTGGGAGTTCTTGACTGAGCTGCAGGGCCCCGATGAGGTCATGGTGTGTGTTGCTTTTTTCTGTCGCAAATATATTTCTCCTTGCAGACCTATGTTATGTGTGCACCACGTAGTGGCTGCGATGGCACCCCAAAGGCTCTATTCTCCTAGCAGGGTCGAACGACACGACAGTGTGGTTGTGGCAATGTGAGATCCCATCCACATCTGTCTTGTGATCGTCTCACGTATTTGCTCTGCACCCAGTACCCTCCGGAAACACTATGCAAGTGTTTGCAGGACACACAGCTCCCGTACAATGCGGAGACTTCACTCCTGATGGCAAACGCATAATTACGGCCGACGCTGAAGGTACCCTGATTTTTTGGGACCCGCGGAATCCTGCCCCGCTCTTCAAGCTCTCTCCCACAAACGCGCGCTTCGACCTCGATGGAATTACTTCTGTCGCGGTAAATCCTGCGTCGACGCTCGCTGTAGTCGGCGGTGCCTCCGGCGGCGTGCGGGTGGTGAGTTTGAGTAAGGGAGAAGTGGTGGGGGCGTTAGGCGGCCATAAGGAGGGAGAAAGCATAGAGGCAGTTGAATTTGTTGACCTCACTGGCGCTTTAGCAGGCGTTGTTACTGCTCCGCCGGCTGCTGGGGGCGTGGTCGCCACGGGTGGGACAGATGGGAAGGTGTGCATATGGGATCTGGGCACGATGCGATTGCGTGCAACATTAGAACATGAGGTACGTGTATCAGTTTTGTAGCAGTTCCATTGACCGGCCTTTTGACTCCGAGCTAACAGGATGCAGTCACGTCATTGTTACGCCTCCCTCCGCCCAAGGGACACCTCCTCGTATCCGGATCAGCAGATAAGACCTTGCGTACGTGGGACGCGCGGACGGGCACCCTCCTCCGGGAACATAAAGGACATCACGGACCTGTTCTTGGTGCTGCACTGGGACTCGGCGGTGGTGTGGTCGTCAGTGCAGGCGACGACGGTGTTTGTTTAGTTTTCCCAACAGAGTGACGGTGACGACATCGAAGAAGCAACACTTGTATTCCTACATCGTATATGTACAGGCCTACGTTCGGTCCAATACGATGGACAAACATTAGACATCGGGTTGTTTTCAAGCATCGTTCGGGTCAACACGGCGCCGCACGAGGTACACATAAAACGGTCCAGTTCATACGATCCGCTAACTCTGAGATTCAGTTACTGAGAAGGTTTTCAGGGCACCTGTCAGGAGTTGATGTCTCCGTCGGAGGTCAAGAGTCACCACGGAATATGAAAAACGCGCCGCGAATTCCACACGATGAAGCGGACGCAGCCCCAGGTCGCCGCAGTATGCCCACTCAAGCATCATTGCAAGCATCCTTGCATTGTCTTGTCGGGCATATTTCGGAGCAACTATCGCGAGTGTGCCGTCACGGTTGGCTTGAGTACGATTTTACGCTCCACCCACCACACGACGGGAGTACAACATGGGATTGGAGTCTTGCGTTTCGAAGCATGTCTGAGACTAAGTGACGTCGACCACGCGTTGTCCACGCGTCGAACGTTTCCTGGCATCATTTCATGTCATATCTGGTGTGCGAGAGGCTGAAATTCGCTGCTGGAAGACCACTCACCAGCTGTCTGCGTGCCGTTCCCAGTTGGATTATTTAATTCAGAGTTGCGGTGGAGGTGAATGCTTCGACGACGGACATTACAACCGAACAGGCGCCATGACTTCACCAGAAAAAATCATCCAGTGATGATGCATCATTCGGCGGGTCAGGTGCTTCGACTTTGGAGAAAAACATTCTGTTCAGCTCGTTCCAAACGAAGATAGGAGGTCTGGAAGTTTTCAGTGACCCTCGTGGTCAAAGTAGAGGCGAATGGAGGAGAAAGGGGTCGGGGCGAAGGTAGGGTCCAGGGATAGAGGATGCCTCGGCCTGAGAGCGGAGTCTAGTGCCGGATGCTACCGACGCCTATAAGACTCCTGTTCCCATCAACCTTCCCCCAGCTCTTTTCCTTCCCACCAGGCAACGCAGCTCGCTCGCCCTACGCCCTCAACCATGAAGTCCATCGCTTCGCTTGTGACTCTCGCTCTTTTCGCGACCGGCGTTGCTGCCCAGTCGACGTGTACGATTAACACTCCGTAAGGCGATGACCACTTCCGTCGTTCTGGGGTCCTCACCACGTCGTTACAGCGGGAGTGTTTCTGAGTGTATCCCGACGCTGCTCAGCTGGACTGGAGGCTCTAGTACGTGTATCCTTGTTGGTTCGTCGAGTCTCAAAATGCTAAATGTGGATATCCACAGGCCCTTACTACTTGGTACGTAAGCGTTGCCCGAATATTAAATCTAGATAAATAACGTGGTCACGTTTGTTTCGTTGAATATTACAGAGGTGAGAGAAGTTGTTACATTTCAAGTTATTGGTTTGACAGCCTTTCTAGCATCGAACCTGGTGCCAACCCTACTGGTGCTGCTCTGCAGTTGTATGGTCCCCTTACGGGTGATTCTTTCAGCTGGACCACGAACATCACCCAGGGTATGTCCTTCACCTATTACGCTCGTCTTGTGGTGCTGATTTTTCACAGGTACATATATCAGTTTGACTTTGCGTGATTCCACGGGTGCCGCCTGCCAATCTGCGCCGTTCTCGATTAACGCTGGCAGTGAGCTTATCACTTCTTCTGTACCTTCTGAGCGTTATGACGAGCCGTGACTTTTAGATGCTGACTGCTTGGCGGCAAGCGCATCCAGTAGTGCGTCTAGCGCAGCCAGCACGTCGGGCGCTTCGGCGACTTCATCGGGTGCTTCTAGTTCGGCTGCCTCCACCAGCGGAGCTGCGAGCTCTTCAGCTTCGAGCGCCAGCTCTGCCAGTGCATCCCACAGTAGTGCTGCGTCTCCAAGCGCCAGCTCTCACTCTGGTTCATCATCTTCGGGATCTTCCTCGTACGTTCTTGCGTCTCTTTTTTCGTTCTGAGGTTCGAGGTTGATCGGCTCCTTAGTGCGACTTCCTCCGCCCCTGCGGCCTCGCACACCAGTGGTGCAGGAGTGAACGAAGCTTCGTTGGGGCTTGCCGGTGTGGTTGGCGCTATCCTTGCGGCTGTCCTTGTCTAGAGATACAAGGTTGCCTCTCCAACGGTTCTGGACAAAAGCCCCTCGCTCTTCTCTGCCGCGTTTGAACGATTTCTGTGACAGTTTGCGTTGTGGCTCCATACCTTCATGGCTGATACACTATTCTCTGCACCCTCTATATCTGCGAAGTACTGTTCGATGACTTTGTAATTCTTCCAGTTCCGCTGTCGCTATCTACTGTTGCTACCTACAGGTGCGATGTGCTGCGATGTGTTGTGTGTTGTGTGTTGTGTTTCTTACGTACTTTCGAACTCTTCTTTGGGAGTAGAGACTGTCTGTTGTAGTATATACCAGAGACGGTTCTTACGATCCCTACGCCCTCGTTCTACAGTTGGCGAATGACAATTGCTTCTTTGTATTGGTCGTGTCTACTGATCCACTGCTACCGCGTATCTGGTGGGCGTGATGGTTGTTGGCCCTGCGAGTTGGTCTATAAGTCCTTTTTATATTAGGTATGGTTGGAACACGAGATGTCCCACAGTTGCGCGGGGCTATGGCTTCAGGTGCCTTCGACGCCCATGCAAGGTACACTGGCTGCCAGACCCTGCAGGAGTCCATCGGCATCGTTGGCCGTCCTCCTATGACAGTCCGCAGCCAGAGTGCCGCTCACATCGCGATCCAGATACCACACCAAATGCTCAACTTGGTGTTTCAGCCCGAGGGGGATCTTCATCCCGCGGTGCCGATCGCGGAAGACGGATGCTTGTGTCTTCAGGAGGTCCCAAGTAGCCGTGAGGGGCTGCCAAGTACCGGGACTTGCTGGTGCCGAATGTATATATCTTCATGCCGTAGAAGGAGACAGGAAATCATGCTCCCCGAGGACACATGGAGGGTAGTCTGGTGCGCCCTTGGGAGAAATGACGTTCGACAAGAGCATGAAAGAATACTACTGTACTGGTGGTCAATTGCCTAGCAGAAACCCAAATGGAAACCACTGTTCATCAACGTTTCAACCATAGCAATGCAGCGTAGAGTGCTTACTGCAAATTTCATCCAATGAGGACACTGTCGGGGTAGTAGGAACAGGACACAACACGCATCCGATTATATGGCAGCTTGAGTGGTTCCGCGATGTGCGCGGGACCATTTTGAAAAGCTGTGGGTGTGGCGTATTCCGTTCCAGGGGAGGGCGTCAAAGTACTTCCCTGTACGGCCAGCGCCAAACACGGATATCCTGAGGAACGAAGGTTGAAGCAGAGTGTCAGTCTGCCTTTGGGAGACTACGGCCAGCTGCAGGTTCGTTCTGCTAGCGCTTTAACCCCAGAATATCTAAAGCTGACTTGGATGCGCCGCTAGTCGTTGCCAATAAATGTCTCAGCCCTGGACATCTGGCACAGACAAATGTCGTTGAAGTGATGATCCTCAGAAGGACGGGAATGACCTCCTTGTCTACAGCGCCCTGAAGAAGTAGTGAGATCAAAATTTGACATACGCAGAATTCGCTGGCTAAAACTGGGCTCGCGGATCCGAGTCTCGACAGAACCTAAGTAAGTAGATGCACTAGGGCCTTGTCGATTTACAGGCTTCTCGGAGCGGATAAACATACTTACATGTCATCGCCCGTTCTGCAAGCGCACCTAGTTAGAGCTTAGTACTGTAGACGAGCGTACTCGAGAAGGTGGGCTTCAATGATGCATGTGGTATACGTCTGCGCCTGATGTTGAAAATTTTCGGAATGCACAGTCACAGTTTCATCAACTTTCCATGTGCTCATTCGTTCTTTCAGTGCTTCGGAGTCCGGACTTCTCTGCCCGCCGTACGTACGATCAATCTTATAAGCTTAGATCAGCCTGGTATTCACCACACGACTCGGAACATGCGACGCTGTGCAACGCTTCCATATGGTGTTGTACGATTCGCGCATTTCTCTTTCCACGTTCACCATGCACGCCGGCCTATGCTTCCATCGTGTGAGTAGTCAAGTGACGGGACTGAATGTATCAGCGCCGCAGCATCGACAACTGATGAATCTCGTTAGATGAACGCTGTGAATTCGAGAGGTCGGAGGACCTGTTACTCGGTTGCGTTTGTTACCATGTGCTCTGCGATGCCACACCGGGATTGCAGGGTATCTTAAAGGGCGCAAGTCTGGACATAAGCCCTCTGAGGACTACTCTTCTTCGCCGGCACCATGGTAGACATTGTAGCCCGCGAGCTTCCCACGTACAACTACGAGGAGAATACAACTACTGAGAAGAGCTCTTCGGCAGGCAGTCTGGACAAGAACGTGGTCGACATCGACATCTCTGGCGCGCAGAAGTCCAAGCAGGTCGAAGAATTCGAGGAGAGAATTGCCAACGACGAGGCGACAGATAACGAATATCGCGTTGAAGAAGCTTATGAGGTTGCGTTGAAGGTAGGAAGAATATGAGTGACTCGTTCCACCTCAATCTGAGAAATTTCATGCTCTTTCATGCAGGTTCTGTCTATCAGGGACGATCCTGAACTTCAGTCTATCACTTTCCGCAGCATCTTCCTTGGTCTTGGCTTCTCTGCTTTCGGGGCGTAAGTGAATTATGTCCTTGAACCTCACCGCTCACTTACCATCACTACATACAGAGTACTGGCACAGATCTATTACTTTAAACCGCAGACCCTGAATGTCTCAATATTGCTACTGCTTATCCTGTCGTTTTGGATCGGTAATGCCATGCACTTATTCCTCCCTTCAAGAGGGGTTTTCAGGTTCATCAACCCGGGTCCATTCAACAGTAGGTATCCTGTCTTGATTTCCTCACATACGTTCACTCTTCGTACAGTCAAGGAACACGTCGCGATCATCATCATGTCTTCTACTGCCGCTACTTCGGCTGTGGCTATACAAGTGATCTCAGTCCAGGAGCGTAAGTCATTTTTTGGATTGGCTGCAATGTAGACTATATTTGTTGACTGTCAGTCATCTTGCTCGTTGGCAGTGTATTACAACAACAAGATGGTCAGCAGATACGTGCAATCCGTGAACGGGAACCTACTGACCCGTCTTTGTCAGAACCCTGGCATTGCAATCTTCACTTTGATAGGATCGCAGCTGATAGGCTACGGTTACGCCGGTTTGTTGCAAGATGCGCTCGTCCGACCGACGAAATGTTTCTGGCCAACTACCAGTACGTTTCCCCACCCTTACGTCAAGCGCATCGTACTGGCGCTCACCACGCGTGACGTAGTATATACGGCCAACCTTTTCCAGGCCTTGCACTATGACAAACAGATGACGTCCAAGCGAGTACGCCTCTTCTGGATGGTATTCGCAGCGATGTTCTTGTGGGAGATTGTCCCTCAATGTGAGCAACACTGCCAATCAAGGCGTCGATCCTCGTTCTAAGTTATATCATCAATACTTTTTGTATCATCAGGGATCTTCCCACTTCTCACGGGATTCTCTATCTTCTGTCTGGCTGATAACAGTAGCTCGGTATTCAGAAATGTCTTCGGTGGCGCGAGCAACAATGAAGGCATGGGATTGCTCGCACTCTGCTTAGACTGGAACTTGATCACGAGTAGTTGCCTGTGGAGCCCGCTCTGGCTCCAGCTCAACCAGGACATTGGCATCATCTTGACATACGTCCTCATGTGCGCTGTTTACTACGGCAACTTGTGGAACGCACAGAATTTCCCCTTCATGAGTCAGGCAATCTTTGTGCGTGACAACTTCTTGCGATTCTGCTACCTTCCCCTGAGCTACGATGTTACGCAGGCGGAAGATGGAACTCAATACAATCAGACTGCGCTATTGACCGACGGAAAGTTTGATCCTGCGAAGTATGCGGAACTCGGTGTATGTTTTCCTGGCTATTTTCATCCCGCAATTGACTAATGCAAGCACTAAACGATATAGCCTGCATTCTTTTCTGCAACGAATGCCTTGTATCTCATTACATCGAACCTTTCGTTGGGTGCTGTTGTGTCTCATGTCTTCTTGTTCAACTGGGGAGACATAAAGCCTTTCATTTTGAGCCTGAATCCCTGGTACAAGAACATTGACACTTCTTTTAATCCTGTGAGTAGAACATCAGCGTACACTGGAATTTGAATCTCATGCACTGCCCAGCATTACGAGAAAATGTCAATCTACAAACAGATTCCACGGTGGTGGTACATCGTCATCTTGTTGGGGGCATATGGCATCGCTCAAGCTAGTGAGATTAAGGCCAATGATGCACTTCTGACTCCTACCTCATCTATTCTTCATCGCAGCCGATTATACTGGCCATTCAGGCCTTCCATGGTGGGCTGTTACAGTGCTATTGATAATCGGCTTCATTTTTTGTGCGTTGTATGCTACATTGTGTGCGACGATTGGTTTCCAGCAGTTCAACACATCGGGTAACGGTTTCTTCCAGATGATTACCGGTATGTTGTGTGCGTCCGGATCCTAGATGGATGACTGATCTGTATGTCGCAGCATATCTGGTCCCTGGTCGTCCTGTAGCCAATATGTATGGCGCGCTTTATGGACAACATCCGATGCAACAGGGTATCGCCTTTCTGTCGGATCTGAAGCTTGGTCAATATGTCAAACTTCCACCGCGGGTGACCTTCTGCGTGCAAATGATGGGTGAGCGCCAAGTCTGAGCTTTCTCTGTGCGTCACTTGAGTTGCCTTCGCGACATAGGAACTGTTATTGGAGCGCTTCTCAACTGTGAGTTCGTTTCGTAGCATCATATTGGGTTTAATCTGAAGAACATCTACGTGTAGATGTTATGATGCTATCAATCATCAACGCCAACAGACCTGCTTTGCTCTCCATTTCTGGAACTCGGTAAATCATTCAGCGTTTATTTATTCACGACACACCCAGTAATTGTTTTTTTCTCTAGTCTTTGGTCTGGACAAAATGCGCAGGCCTACAACTGTGAGTACTTCACTTGATATACTTCGCATGGTCCGCTGATGCACAGCACAATAGCTAATGCTATCTCTTGGGGTGCTCTCGGTCCCGAGATGTTCGGCGCGCATTCCACCTACAAGATGGTCCCGATCTCGTTGGCCATCGGCTTCATTTGCCCTTTCCCCATCTACCTTGCCGTGAGTTTCGCGGATTGTTGTCTCGCTTGCAGTAGTTGACTCGTCTTCAGTGCCGCCTGTGGCCCAAGGCCGGATTTGAGAACCTCAATGCATCTATCATTCTGCAGGTGTGTTCAAGGATTCTTTACATGGCGACTGAGAACTTACATGCGATGATTGCAGTACATCTCCAGCCTGAGCGTTGGCGTCAACACTCAAATCAAGTCAGTGTCAGACAGATTTCGTGTGAATTGACGAGCGCTGATGATGTTGTTAGTACCTTTATGGCCATCGGTATCTTCTCGCAGTGGTGGATGCGGACCCGGTACCCGCGTTGGTTCACCAAGTACAAGTGCGTAGAGTTTATCTGGCGTTACTCGCGGTGGCTCATATGGCGAACGATTTCAGCTACATCGTGGCAGCTGGGTTGGATGGTGGAACTCAAGTCATTGTATTCATCCTGAACTTCGTGAGGGGTACCCGCCTGTCCTCAGAAGCGCTTGTCTCACAGTATCTTTCCCCCCCGTTAGGCGATATTCGGCGCCGCAGGTAATGCTCACACCTTCCCTCAGTGGTGGGGCAATACCAACCGTATGTTTTATCCTCGTCCTATATCCTGCTTATTGAAGTTGGTCATCGCTCTGCAGAAGTCAGTCTGTCCGCTGATCGGTGCGCATTACCCCCTTCGTGATTTCCTGCACGGCGGCACTGGGAGTTTGGTATTCGTCTCAAGTTTGGCTCTGGGGTTATTGTAGCATCATTAATTTGTTCCTGGAAGATGTCGTAGCAGATTTCATTGTTATGTCTCGATATGACTCCTTACACTGGGGCACTGGCGAATCGTAATCGAAAATACAACAAAGACTGTGAATCGCTGAGTTGGTACATGGATAAATTCAATACAGATCCTCACTTGGCCCTACAGTACATGGTAAAAACTATGCAATGTAATGCTACAGATAGGATGACCGTCCTCGTATCAGCCGGAATTGTGACCATAATGTCGTACCTTAAACTTCGCAGCGGGTCGCGACCGGAATAGCTTGCTCTTCGTGTTGCTATGAGAAATCGTCCCAATTCTCTAGCGGTCGCTCCGATATGAGAGGTGACGTTTCCACCAGCTCAACAAGCTTGTCGACCACAGCACCTCGATGATCTCTTCCTTTCATCGCAAACAGCGTGGTCTTGTCTTCTGGTAGTAACCCTGTATGCACGAGCCGCACATCCTCCCCCTCAATCACTTGTACAAGTTTGCCCTTGTCGACCGTGCGAACCTCGATGAACTTGGAACAGAAGAGAAGAAGGTGTCTGCCACGGTGTGCATAGGAAGTCGCTTTGGATTCCCAACGGAGATAACCATACTTGCGGCAAGGGATGCCGTGCTTGTCGACGTAGCATCCAAGCTCTGCAAATAGTGCGCGTAAGTAGGCCATCATTCGCACGGGGTAGACCACGATGGACCAACCATCAAATACTACAAGTGTCTCGTCCCCACAAGGCACCAGTCCCAACACTTTCTTTCCGGAGGACCGGCTCTTCAGGATATCCAGTGTCAATGCGGCGTCTGCTCCCGCAAAATTGGGCATTACTGTTGGAGCCAGACTCGACGTGTTCAAACTAAGGTTTGCTAGTCAGTAGCATCACCGCAGAGGCAAAGAAGTGCTGACTTCGTGGGATCTAGGAGGGTGATGTTTCTGTCCGTGCACACGCCAACCTTCTGGTTCAGCGCTACGATGTTGTGAGGCTCCTTGGAGATGTAGACTGCCTTATCAGTGGTGGTATACACTTAATCAGCAACGCCTCTTCGACCTGTAGTGAATGAGAAAACATACATCGCCAAAGGGCCGAAACGAGAGGGATGGCAAGCCCACGCTGCTGGTACGAGGTACACCCGAGCTGTGCTCCAACGGGCGTACTACCTCCACTGCATTGACGCTGAATTGCAGGAACCACCTCGAGGTATAAAGCACTACCGACGGCGTCGCATCAGACATCGTCGCACACCGCTCGTTGTAGCTTACCCATGGTGCGACTCACTAACTGGTCGCCACGTCTGTACTCCATCTGACCAGCACGAAAGAACAATACCGTGCTATCAGGCGATACGCGCTCCAAGCTTGCATCTAGATTCTCTAGGGGAGAAGCCCCAGTTGCGACACGCACAAGGAGTTCAAGGGAATAGGAGAGCAAGCCGACGTCACAATGAACGATGAATTTGTTGAAGTCTGGGAGAGCTGCCATGCCTACGGTGTTCGGTTTGTCCAAGATTTTCTTGAAATCTACGGACAGTATCAGAACAGATGTAGCGGATAGCATGATAGATCAAGCATGCCTGCAACGCCACGCCGCGCAATGTACACACCCGAAGAGCATCCAACAGCGGTGTAGTTCTTACCGCCACTGACTATGTTGGAGATGGATATCCCATAAGCATGTACAACGAACAAAAGTTGGGATACACACCAAAAGGTACTGCAGAGAGTATTTTCCCGGTAAACACTCCATTTGTAGGGGTGAGTCTGAAGAAGCCGTCGCTCACGACTTGTGATGCAAACCACTTGGGGAAGGCACAGCACAGGTCCATTTTAGATGCCGTTATCTCTCCAATTGCTGTCAGGATCATCAGACATACCTTGTTCCCATCCTGCTTCGCCCTTCTTATAGCAACAGCATTGATTAGTGAGTCCCGCCATTCTTTGCGCTCTTCATTGTTTGTCGTATACAAAGTGTAGCTCTTTGAAGAAGCGTGGGATATAGTGAAGGGGTACATCTCGCGACTGTGTGAGCGGAAGCCCTCGAACAGTCTCCCTTCGTCCTGCTTCTCCTTGCGATTATCAGTTGGACCGTCGAACTTATCAAGCCGGAGATATTCTAGAGGTATTGGCTGGAACGAGCAGACGTCAAGATAACCCATTGAAATGATTCATCAGAAAATCAAGGACCGACCCGAGAGACAACACGGCGCTTGACTCTTCCATCCGAACGAGTCTCAGGTTTCAGTTGCAGTACTATGTGTGATGTTAGGACGTAAGTGACAGTAGCAAGAGCAAGTTCAACTGACAATAATTATCCAGTAAAGCTACGTGCAGGTCAGCCCAGTTGTAGCTCACTTCAGATCTATACTTTCGTGCCAGTGGACCAGAATGGACCAACGTCCGGTTGTCGCCATATAAATCCAAATCCTGACGGAAAGGTGAAGGCAATTCCAATGCGGAGTACGGCATTGCATACGTACGATTATCTCTCCTTTGTCATACATCAAGCTCTCGCATAAATTCCAGTACTTAACTTTGTCTTCTGCATCAGCAATTCCCGGCTGGATGCTGTCAAGTACGAGACTTAGCGTATCCATGATAAGAGGTAACTGCTCCGCGTCGGGGTGGTCTGCCATTGTGTGTTTACTCAATGTGTCCAACTGTAGTCTGAGGCGGGGAAGACGGGTGACAGGGCGCGTAATGAATGTGATGAGGTCGCGCTTGCGCGTGCGAGGATCCAGCGAGCACTGTTGTATGTAATCGTTATATCTCTGGTTGCGCCTCATCTCGTCCCGGTGACGAGCTTCAGCCAGAGGGTAGTGTTCGATGTATTCCTTGTACTCTTCCTGAAAATGCACGCAGGCTGTTTCATCATGTATCGCGGTCATACGATTGAAAGTAAGGAGGCTCACCATCAAGAATTATGTCTGCGAGGCTCTGAATCAGAGGGTGTTGTTCGCGTTGTCGAACGAACAGAGCATCCAGCATACGAGTGTGATGGGCAAGGATTTGGTCGAGATTGGAGAACACGCCTTTCACGAAATCTTTCGAACGAGATTTTGAGATCGTGGGAGTGTACCCGAGAGGCTCAATGAAGACCTGGTTGAACAAATAATGGCGGAGGGTCAGATGGTGTAGTATTTGATGAAGTATGCGGCGAGAACCTCCTTCAGAAGGTTGAGGTCTTTGACATAGTCTCTCTCGGACTTTATGATCTCGAAAAGGTTGGATTGTCGTTGAACCTCGATCTTTCCAAGGACTTCTCGTGCCTCCGCCGGAACGAGACGATACCATTCTTCATCGTTTTCTGGGAGATCGCCGGATTGAAAGCGGCGCAGACCCTCTTCAGATTCAAGGCTAACGCCACATAAGTGAAAGAAGCATAAACTTCAGAAGCAGGAACGCACGTCTGATTCGATAGTTCCTCCGAGAGAACGCTGGGTGACAGCTTGGAGGAAGATATGAAAATGAACGCGAGTGAAACCAGACGGACAACTTACATCTGGGCTACTGTCGATGGAGATGAAGGAAGGGGGTCTTGACCCGCTGTATAATGGAGAGAAATCGGGACTAAGTAAGTCTTCGCTCCTCGCGATACTGTGGGAGAGGAACGAGTTCGGGTGGACAGAAGAGCTTTGAGATGAGGATCGGAATAATTGCGGCTCAGGGAAAGCCATAGTGGTGGTATCGGGCTGAAAGGTGCTGGAGGCGCGACTGTGCGGTCGAGATGGAGCGTCAAGACTAATGCGAGGTGCTGAAGTGCCACTGCGCAGCAAGGAGGAGGTGAAAGAGTTTAGGTCTGCGTATGTATTCCGAGCATTCTGTGGCGGAGATTGCAGAAGATGGGACCAGGAGGAAGACGGGGACACATCGACGGCTGGAGGAACAGCACCGGGGGTTGGTATTCTAACGTGAGGATGCGGGCGACTTGCCATGATTCACTAGGGAAGATGACAAGTGCGACAGGGTTGTAGATGAGGATGCGAGAATAAGTAAGCCTGGATGAATGCAGCCGTATCGTACCCACTTGGCCTGCACAAGCGTGTTACAGTGGCTAGCTATAGACATTCACAGATGAGCGTTCAATATATAACATTACCAATTACCACGGAAGACTCACAAGCCTTTAGTTTCACTGAGAGCTGTATAGCCGTACACAGCAATTCCTTCGCAGCACGTGCACTCAGACGCGTCGCACAACCGGGCGCCGAATTTTCCTGGGCCAATATCAGAAGGCAGAATTGGCCCAAAATTATCTTTCTCACTGAGAACCGAGATTTCTCGGTGCCCAGAAAACCGTTGCAAATACACTCTATTAATGTTCAAGTCGAGTCCTCCCAAAAGCTGCTCGAACGAAGAAAATCTAGGGAGATGAAAGCACAAATATAAGCGGATTAAAATGTGCGGTCGATTCTGGCGATGGACTGACGTGGACACATACTAAATAAAATAATTATTTAGTAGGTAGAACGACGCACGAACATGGCAGACGAGAAGTAATTGAGAAAGGTACCGGTACACTCCCACCCACACCGTCGAAACGTTATAAGTAATATGATAAGTTTGTACCGTAGTAGGCTACATTTATATGAGACTTATGTAAGTGTAACTTATACCATTTCAGTCTTGCATCATCAAATACCCTAAATTTACCAATCTCCTCCCGAGTCGTGCTCTGGTGGCCCTCACACTAGTCTGCTTTCTAACGCGCCTCCTTGTCGAGAGGTCGGACAATTTAGGCGGAGCCTAAAGTTTGGTAGTTCTTTCTAATACGGAATCTTAAACCTTTGTGATACCACGTGATGCAGGTGGCGCTGTAAGTCCGCCGAAATTCACGAAAGTCTTCCTGAAGATCCTCTCCACCCTGGTTTGGGCACATCGCAGGCGAGATGAGGTGCTACAATGGATGGGTGATGGAATGGTAAATTTTGCTTGGGCGCGGGGCACAGAGAATAGAGGGATTCCTACGAGATTCAAACATGTAATGCCCTCTTGGACCAGTGCAAAGCAGATAAGACAGCAAAGTCTCCAAAATCAATCTCAATTAATATACCCATTGGAAAGTATTGTATACACATGCAGCACAGGACAACGGGTGCTTCTTGCGCTCGAAACGCGACGCGTTCAGCGCGATTTACAGACGCGTTGTGCCAGCACGTGATGTGCCGGGTCGGCAATCAAGACCTCCTAGTAAGAGCCCGTAATAGAAAGCAGACGTCAGACACGGATATCCGAGGTACGAGGTTGAAGCAGAGTGTCTACCATCTGCCCTCGGGAGACTGCCTCACACCTTCATCGAGTATACGTCGCACTCGCCCACAAGTTCCATAACATCCATCAAAAGTATCCGAGCAGAAAGGCACGCCACATTTTCAACGTGTTTGAGTTGTTGATTTACCCTTTTCCTATCGTATTCGCAGTTTTTCTCTTTCCGTTCCCTTTCCCCTTCCCTTCTTCGATTCTGGACCATCTAATTGCATCCTCATCTGGTCCTTCAACTCACTTCCAGGAAGCCATATCGTTCAACGAGGTACATTTTCGTCTCTAGCCTATTTTCTTCACGAACTCACCTTCAGAATGGTAGACATGCAGGCTGAACCTTCTGACGATGTCGACGATGATTCGCTTTTCGGGTCACCGCCTCCTTCGCTAGGCAGAGGTAGGTCACCGTCACCAACACCGCTAGCACTGCCTGGCGGTGCAAGTTCTGCACAAAACGTGGGGACCCTTGCACTTCCTGGTTCCCATCTTGTCGCTGAACTTCCAGTGTTCCACCTGCCAGCGTTATCGTCGAGCACACTCCGCTCTACGTCGCAGCCATCGCCTAGTGTGATACAGCCTCCAATATATCCGGCTACAAAGACGCGTCCCTCCTCGTCTGTGCCTGACCAGTCGTCCTGTGGACCTCGTCCAGCATCGCATGGCCAGCGTAAGCCACGACGGACAAGAGAGAAGTCCACAGCGTCTTCCCAAGCGTCGAGCACCCCGCGGCCGACACCTCCCCCAATCCCGCTACCAGGTCCTGACGAGCCTACTCCGCCGAACTTCCTGCGAAACCAACAGGCACTACTCGGCCTTGCAGGCCTTGTGGGTGGTGTGAACCCTGCACAGCTACAGCGGCAACCCCGAGGCTCTTCTTCTGGGAACCCCATCGTTGTCGAAGACGTCCAAGATGGACGTTCAGTCCTTTCTCGCATGTCAGCGGAGCAGCCTTCACTTTCGAGACGGCCGTACCTTTCCCCTGTCGATCCTACGCAGCTTCCGCAACCCCCAGGTGAAGACATTCTCACGACCCTTGTACGGCAAAAAAACATATTCCCTGTTGTTGAATCTCTCCTAAGGTTGCTCTCTTCCGGTGCGTCTCCCCCACATGCATCGCAATATCCCGTGCGTACGGGATGGGAGAAGACTCCACCGAATGCCCCTCCGTTGAAGCGCCGCAAACTCCGCACAGTACCTGCGGGTGCCGCCGACTGGGATGTCCCCTACCCATTTCAAGCCGGTCAAGGTCCAGCAGAATACCAGGCTCACTGGGAGCGCGAGCGCGCGCGCCAGCTTCTTGCAGATCTTGTGAGCGTCTTACAGAGCGCTACAAAGAAGGCTGCGATGAAGACGTACGTTCAGCAACATCAGACTGCCATTGACAAGAAGCGGCGATGGGACGAAGAAGAGAAGGTTTGGGGTCATTATAGGCCGGCGACACTGTCGTATGGCTTGGAGGGAGCGCAGCTACCGCGTCAGGGCCAGGCACAGTCGACAACGAAGACGACGTTTCGAACCAGAGATCCCGCTGTACGTGGAGGCGATGATGTCGCAGGACGGATCGGAGATGGTATACGACTGGAGGGCGCAGCTGCCTCTACGTCGCAGCCGATGACACCGTTCGACCAGCTGGTCGCATCCTTACTTTCTGCATCGCAACTGCCTCAACACTCGGGTGCCAGCGTGGACTCACAAGTGTCTTCTTCCGTCTCAGAAAATACCCCGCCGGACTTCGACGGTTGGATCTCACTACTCACGTCCGTTCCCCCGGGCGATCCAAACGGAATTGCAGTCAGTGCTTACCCCTATGATACCCAGAATCCCCTCCAGTCTGCTCTTGGTTCACTTCCTTCATCTTCGACATCTGTTCAGTCACAAATTCAACCGAGTCAGTCACAGCGTATACCGGATTTCCTCATCGACCCTGAACTTCTGGCCCTTCCATCTACCACAGTTATACCTTCCGCGTCGATTCCATCAGCGACAGAGACTCAGCAAAGCGCTGACCCGCCACCAACACCGGCGCTCACCAGTACCAACTCCCCTGTGACCTCAACGAGTTCCTTGCCAGACGCAAGTCCTTGCCCGCCTACACCAGAGTGGGCATGGGCGTTCGCAGAACCGGACGTTACGGAGGCGATGGCGGAGTCGTTTGCGGAGCTAGACATGGCGATGGCTCTAGATAGGGAAACGATTGGAAACGAGCAAGGTGGGTCACCGTCGTTCGCCGACATCATGCATTCGCTCGGCATTGACGTTGATGGTGGTATGTCTGGTGCAGGACCGGATCCCATAGCAGATAAGACTAGGATGGACGTTCTGGAAGATGTGGAGAAGTCGGTCTCTACAACGGCGCCCTTTCAGGGTATTTTACATCTCCCGAGCGCGAACCTTGTTCAGGACTCAACATCTTCCACGATTGCCATGCAACATCCCGCTTTGAATCCACAGCTTCCGGTATCTCAACAGTCGTCAACTTCACCATCTGCTCATACTCATGCTCACTCACCACCGTCTTCCACTTTGCATACGAACTTTCGCATGCTTACCCAACCTTCTTTGCCGTGCACACAGCCAAAGCTTACGTCGTCTTACTATCGGCCGTCTGTCATGGTCCCAGCAAGATCAACATCGACCTCCGCACCTCTAGATTCAAAGGCCGCGCGCTTGGCCCTTCTTGCGCGCGCACGCGCCCTACGCAGTGCGTTGGCGACTGAGGCGGAACGCGCAAAGGTGGAACTGTGGGAGACGACGGTGGAACAGGGTGTGCTAGGCAATCTTGTGAAGGGTGAGAGGTAGACAGAACAGTGTCCTATCGGTACATGGACGTACTTACCATTCAACGCTAGAGCTAAATGTGTGACCATATGGCCAATTCCTCACTGGCACGAACAACCACAGTGTCATATCTAATTCAGTCATCGTGGACGGTTTGTGCACGGTGCGGATTGAAGCTTAAAGGTGTAGCCATGCAGCGCACAGATATAAATATTGCACGATCGATTGTCCTGCACTTCAAGTTAATACATCGATGTGTGCTTCAAAGCGGCCCGGAGGCCTGAGGATTGTTTCGTCATCGACTCATTGTTCACGAAAATCCAATGCAACTCCTTCTTTGTACAGATTTGTACGCGCCATGCGATGTCCTCGAGGCAAATGAGTGGCACGGCTTCTTTCAACCACAGAGCCCTTCACGTCTGAACACTCACTGCCCACTGTGTACAGCGACCACACCAGCAATATGGCTGCCCCTCAAACCCGAATCATAGATCAACATGTTCTCGATGAGCACCATCCTTCAATCAACGTTCAAATACTGCTTGAATCCGTCCTGACGGCTGAGCTCATTGAGAGCTTGTTTGCCGGTGGAGCCACTACCACATCTGACCCCTCCAATCGTCGCGTCGGACTCGCGCCGGCGTATACGACGTCTGGAAATCTGACGGCTTTGGCGATTGGAACTGCGCGGAAGATCTTGGTCGTCCAGTTTCACGCGAAGCGCAGGGCGGAGACCAATAAGGCCGGACGCGAGCTCTTGCAGGCCGCAGTACTCTGCAATCCTGACTGCACAGTCTACACGTTCGACCTTGCTCCTCTCGCTGCTGCGATGTACTACGACCATCGTCTTCGTTTGGTTAATGCCGTTAATATCGGGAGTGCTTGCGCTGGAACAGGAGACGATTCCCCACTCGCGGCAATCCAGTTTGCAGTTGGCGACAAAGTTACTGTTATCAAAGAGAATGTCACTGGGTTGTTCAATGATCTAGTCTGGGACCAGAGACGCACCACTCACCTTGCATTGCGAGCATGGGTTGCACATTATGTATCTGGCATCAGCGATATGGAGGAAAAATTCCGAGAGGTGAAGAGAGTAAACACAAAGGACATGAATGATGTTGTGAGTGCATTGCATTCTTATTTTATGCCTGTTACTAATAAGCTGTGATTGATGATCAAGTTGCTTGAGCTCATCTCGCGGTTGGCACGTGGTGACCAGGAGATCACTACGAGAGAAGATGCAATGGTCAATCATGAATTCACTACCAATCGAGTTCGCCAGGACACTTCAAGTGTTAATGCAACTCGCTTCCAGACCAGATTTCGAAAGTCCAACGTAAGTCAGGATAAGTATTAGATCTACCTGCTTTCTGATGTCATGGTATAGGACATTCGTGCGACAGTTAAGGACAAGAATGGGGCTGAATATATCATTCCTGGCAAGGTACATGATGTCATGGGTCGCACAGCAGACATCAAGACTGCTGCCCTTCTGGATGGAAAGAGCATCACTTCTATGATCACCATTGATGGTAACCGGCCTACCTATGCTGGTAGGCAGAAGGCTGCTGCAATTCTTCATGTTCTTCAAGGAGAAGATGGTCTTTTCAAGAATCCCTTCCTGAACTATATGTTCTTGCCTTCAGACAGCTTTACTTGGCCTGAGACCTTTATTTCATCTCCAACAATCCCCTCTATCTCATTCACTCGGCCTCTTAATCCATCTCAGCAGGAAGCTGTGGAGCACATGCTCACAATGGCAAATGATCATTACATCACTGTGATCCAGGGACCACCTGGTACAGGGAAGACCACTGTAATAGCTGCTTTTGTCTGCTCTTCAGTGACTGCTGGTGTGGGTGGCATCTGGCTTGCTGCTCAGTCTAATGTTGCAGTCAAGAATATAGCAGAAAAACTTGCTGATGTTGGATTCATGGACTGGAAACTCCTTGTATCTGCTGATTTTGAATTAGGATGGTATGTTCATATCTCACCTGCATTTCTACTGTATTGACCATTGTTTAATATCAGGCATGACCATCTATATCACAAGATCTCTCGCAATGTTATTCGGTCTACTGAGTTCAAGAGTGCTCAAAAGCATCTCCAAGGCTGTTCTGTTGTCCTTTGCACCTTGGCCATGTTATCTAACCCTCGTGTGAAGAAGTTCTTATCCATTGTACCAATGACAACTCTTGTTATTGATGAAGCCAGTCAAATCACTGTGTCTGACTATATTCCTCCCTTGTCAAATTTTCCCACCATTAGAAAACTATGCTTCATTGGTGATGATAAACAATGTAAGTGTTTTCCTGTATATTTAGATCATTCTCATTGACTCCATTTTTTACAGTGCCTCCCTATGGGCAAGATGAAAATGAAGAACGCAAAAGTATATTTGAAGTTCCTCACCTACGTTCTTTAGCTCTCTTTCTGGATACCCAATGTATGTTCAATTGTATATCTCCAGACAATCTTAGTTAACTTCATCCTAGATCGAATGCCCCCACAAATTGGGGAATTTATCTCTGATGCAGTGTATGATGGACAACTGCAATCAAATCCACTTCATCCAGTCCCAATCTCTGATAAGCTCACTGCTTGCTACTTCATTGATGTTGATGGTGGCCGTGAAAGGCCCATGGGTACTAGCTGGCTTGTAAGTTATTCTCTCTTTCTTTATATAATGATTTGACACTCATATCTTATCTTGAGAATACTCTGGAACGTCAAGCAGTACTAAAAATTGCATCAAGACTTCAAACTGAGAATAAGAACTATCGTATTATTACTCCATATGATGCTCAGCGAAGTGCTCTGGAGGATGATATGAAGAAGGCTGGTATGCCATGGGAGGATAAGTGCTTCAATGTTGATTCCTTCCAAGGTACAATTGTCAATCTCTGTCATAGTGGTTTCATCATTCTGATCAACTTATTTCAGGCAATGAGGAGGACTACATTATTATCTCTCTTGTCCGATCTGCACAGTTAGGCTTCTTGACAGATGTCAGACGCACAAATGTCATGCTGAGTCGCTGCAAGAGAGGCATGTTTGTCTGCTCCAGCTGGAACTTTGTGTTTGGAATTGCTCTAAACTCTTTGGTTGGAAGAATGGCTTCACAGTTTGGAGATCATGCATGGATTGGCATGCGACACTTGGAAGAGGATAACTATCAGATTTGATCATTAACATGTAAATAGTTTCATAGTTGGATCTAGGATACATGACAGCAAACTGCCATCAGCATACAATGTATGGATTATATTGATCTGAGTTGCATATTGAGATTCAAAGATATAACCATAAAATGACAAATTGAGAGTTGCTAACTATAGATGTGCATAGAGATGTGCCATGCAAACAGCCTGCATCTCATCCAGAGACCCTGAAATCACATTCTTGAAGTGCTCTGTTGAGGTGAGTGGACATGAGTGCTTGGACTCAATCCCAAACTTGATAATATCAGTCCCTGCCAAGTCTAGGAAAATACCCAGTCATCCCTTAAGTCAGAATCACAAGGTCCAAGCTTACAGTTGATCCCATAGCCATCATTGTATGGTGCACCAAAGCTTGATAAGAGAATAAGATTATCACAGAGCCAACTGGACAACACATGCGAGACATACCCAGTCCCACGAAACTGGTGTCCAGTACTCAGCCCGCTCGTACTCAGCTTCCATGTCTGACTGCGCACGAACAGGTCATCCTCGAGGAGTGCATGGCTCTCCCCATCGAGGAGCATCTGCTGCAGCCCGAGTAGATGTCGATCGATTCCGCGCCCAGTAGCCGCCAAGCGAGTCAGATTCGTATGCGTCTGCACAGCGCGACTGAGCAGCCTGTGGCGGGTGTCGGACTATTTGCACCCGATACGATTAGCGCATTGACGGGGTGGACGAGCACAAGAGGCGTACCGAGGCTTCCGGGTCGACCATCGCCAGGACGAATGCACGGCTGTCGGTGGTGAGCGTCCGAATCGTCTCTGTGCGCCCGTTTTGAAAGAGACGTGTTAATGCGGTTTCGTACGTCGCTGTGAAGCTTCCGCGGGACCTGAACCATGCGAGTTGGAGCGCCATCTGAACATAGGCATCAGGTGCTAGCCGAGCTGTGAGGTCGCATGGTCGTTGAGGGGCAGAATGAACGGGTGCGATAAGGAAGGGACGGTAGCGAAGAGATGCTTCAGCGGGAGGACCGACAACGGAATGGAGAGACTGAACACACCGACATTCTTGATCCAATCCGCGCCATATCGGCCGTACCACAGGAACCCATCGTCCGAATCATCGACGATCTCCCGGGCTCTCTCTTCCGCAGCCACGCATTCCCGCTGAATGCGCTCATCGACAATCCAATCTAACCGCTCCCAGCCGTTCGCTGTCGCGTTGGCGTCCTCGGAGGCGAACGCACGCTCATCGAGAGCCTGCACGACAGCGTATTCCGCGACGATGCTCGGCACAAGCGCGTCGCACGGCGAGTGCTCGCCCATCGCACCCGCGCGCGTGTTCGACTCGACAATGAGCGTGAAGGGTTTGTCAAACCAGCGGTTGTGCGCAGGGTGCTCAGTGTGTGCAGAGCGCACATTGTGCAGGTGCGCTGTGACTTCAGATGCGGTGCACGTTGCGGGAAGCAAATTTGGCCGGTTGGGGGAGGAAGGGAGCACATAGGTGTAGGGGTCCAAGCTCAGGGCAAAGATCGATTGGCTGATTGCACGGAATACGTCGTGATTTATCGGAGATAAAGCCAGGAGATGACAGAGATTCTGCACAGGTATGCGTCAGTAATATTAGGCAAGTTACAGGATGTGAGCGAATTACCTCGGCCCAGATGTCTCTATCATCTGCGCTGAGCACGCCCACTGGTACCGCTCGCTCCCCACGAGCTAGTCTGTCCTCGACATCTGCAACTATGGCTCTTAGCTTACTCTCGATTTCGCCTGGCCTGATCGGTTGAAAGCTCTCGTCTAGGACTTCTAAGACATAGAACCAGTCATGCAATGCCACCAGCAGTGTACGTGCCTCGGGGATGGATGTCTTTGGGAGTGACGTAAATGTGTCGCACTGCGGTTGCGGTAGACGACATCTATTCCAGATTTTCGCTGTAGTTTCTTGAAGCCAAATTCCTGGGGGTACAATGAGCACACCAGAAGGAAGGAAGTAAACTGAAGGCGCGACTGTGTACCTGCTCGCGTGGTATTAGGGTGTAGCTCTTGTCTGATGTGGAATGAAGACGTATGAATAGAGCATGAGGGAGAATGCATTGAACTTACCGTTCTAAGCGGATTTTGAAGTCGAGTACTCGATAGACTAACCAAGCAGCTCTTCTAACTTGCCAATGGGTAGTTCCTGTCTTCGTAGCATCACACAGCCCAAGAATAACATCCTCTGGTATCGTAGGATCGTTGTGGAAGGCCAGCCACCAATTTGAATTGACGAGCAGCGGAGCCCGCCATTCGTGATATGCCTTTTTCAACCAGAAATTATCATCAAGCCAGTTATGTGGCGACACCCTGTCAAGAACTTATCCATTAATATGGTTGAATTCACAACTCAGCTTCCATCTTAGAGATCAACAACAGAGACGAGACTGACGAAGTAGGCGCTCTTGGCATATTTTACCGAGGCTGCTTTCAAAGTCTTCCGCCCATTTCAAACGGAGACTGTGAGCAGAATCATAGGAAGACCCTCCACTGGACGCATCCTCCAGAAGAAAAGGCTCTAGAGACCTGACATATTTCTCGAGAGTCTGGTGAAGATCGGGGACGGGTAGACGAGGAAGCGTAGGTTTTGAACCTGTACTAGACCTGGGTCGAGCCGTGCGGGTACCAGACGACGTAGCCATCGAGAGGCGTCGGGTCAATATCCGTGGACGCATCGCATCGCTAAGTACGTAGACATGATCACTGAGAAAAGACTCGGAACTGGGAGCACGTGAGTCGCGTTTCAATACTCAGCCACAGGCGCGTTCTCAATTCCAGGTGTGCAACTTCCCTTTACTGTCCCATATCTTCTTCAGCCTACTTGATTCTTTAATCAACTGCATCGTTTTTATCGATTATATCAAGGTCAAAGACGTCTTGGGTTCCTGATGGCCCCTCCAAATCAGCTCGTCCAGTGGCTCAGGCGTAACTATCCTAGACCTCAAATAGACCCTGTACGTAGACAATTCATAGCCTCAGCTCATTCCTGAAACCACCTTACTCTCTCTCCGTAGGAATGGCTTGATGGATGCTATGAATGGATCGAAGGTGAATTTCACCTCAACCCGGCCACTCAACTCGACGAAATCATCCAGCACGTCGAATCCCAGCTCCTTCAGTCCAATCTTTCAGATTCCATGGTTGCAGGGACGGGACTTCCGACGAACATCCCGCCCATCGACAAGACTATGATTACTGGACCTGCCGTCCTGGTTGAAATTATATCTATCACTGACGTCGGCCAGAGCGCCTTCACGTTGCAGAATGTCAGGCAGGCAAGGATAGATCGCGCAGACTTGGCAGGCCTAGCAGGTGACGGTGACGACGATGAGGGACCCATCCCAAAATATCCTCGCTCGATGTTACGGTTCCAGCTGAGCGATGGCTCAACCGTTCTGCAAGCTTTCGAATACCGGCGCTTACCCGAACTCGAGTTGGGCGAAACCCCCCTCGGATACAAGGTGCGTAACAGTTTTGTCTCTCTACTCCATTGGGAAATATCTATGGGTAATCATCCCCGATTCACGGGACCACCGCCAAGGCTATCAATCACTACCTTTGTTCTTTCCTTTGTTCTTTGGATCCTATCCGCGCTCTTTTACCGCGCTTATTGTCCCCTCGTAGATGCTCATTAAGGATGTTCGCGTCCGCCGAGGCCTTGCATACCTCGAGCCCAAGTGCGTCGTCATGAAGGGCGGTCAGAACGAAGAACGGAACGCGATGCAGGATCACGACTTCGCGCGATCCCTGCGTTTACGACTCGGGTGCGTTGTACTTGCTCGCTGTAACTTCTTCGTTCATCCTCACTAGTACACACTGATATCGATAGCCAACCAGACATCGAAGACGAAGACCAACCAGAACTGCCACCTGCAGCTCCATCTGCAGCCCCTGCACAGGTCAATCGTGCACCACCTGTGGCTCCTCCTGCTGCCCCAGCTCAAGTCAATCCGGCAGCACCACAAGCACCTACCCCAGCACGCGTCCCAGGGATAGCAGCAGCAGGTATCCGATCCCCCTTCCGCGAACTTTCCGAGCCACCATCACCCATGGCGGGCCCTTCGCGTCCATCCTACGACGATGACGAGGGGCAGCCACGCCGACGCAAGGTCCCCAGCCGTGCAGGGCGCAGTCCATCACTCGCGCCGCCCCCGCGTAACCGCCACGAGACGCAGTCGCACTACTTCACATCCGCGTCTGGCTCAGGCGCAGGCAGCTCCAGCAGCAAGGGCAAGAACGCAGAAATCCTCGCGCGGGAGCGGCTCTTCTCTCCGCACCGCCAGCCACCGGTCGTCGTCCCAGACAGCGACGACGAAGAGCCCGCGCCGAGCGCCACTGCTGTCGCGGGCCTGGGCCCATCTCACCAGCCACCGAGCCCCCGCACTGCGAGTTCGGACGACTTGTTCGACGAGATGTATGCGGACCCAGCGCTTTTTGAGCAGCTGGACCGTGTCGAGCGGGAGGCGATGGCGACACAGACAACGAGCACAACGGCTGCGAGGATTGCTACGGCACGAGCGATCGGTGCAGCCTCTACGGGGCCGTCCTCCATTTCTGCCTCGGGGTCGGGCTCCGGACCGTCAGGAAGCTCAAGTGCAGTCGAAAGTGGCTTGAGTGGTGTAGGGACTGGTTCGAATTCGAGTGGGAGTAATCGTGGTGGGGGTGCAGACGCGGGCGAAACGGAGAGAACTGCTGTGGACCGAGTCAACCTGGATATCGTCACCATCGACTCGGATGAAGAGGATAAGGAGAACGTGCCTGTGCCTACCCGTCATGTGCGCAGGCGGACAGCCAGGATGGCGGTGACCAGAGGCGATGTCATCGAGTTGTCGGATTGAATGTGTCTCAGCGAGGATTGTACGAAGAGTGCCAGGCTTGTTATACCCGGCAGATCTAGACGGGAGTGAGGAACTTGATGCCACTAATGTTCAGATATAAAGTTGTTCTATTTTCATGTTACCAACAATACAAAGCATGCGAAATGCGAAATGAAAGAACGTCCTATACAACCTGCAGGAGGCACCATGTGCGAGAAATGGTGGCGGGTGAGCTCTGCAGGCCATAAAATACGCAGAACGACGATAAGTGGGAGGGGCCATTCAGCCGAGCACGGCAACTTTGGTCTTCTTCTTCTTCTTGCTCGTGCTAGCGAAGGACCGCCAGCTATCTACACGATGATCTCTGTTTTCTGCAACATAACATTACTCAAAGCATGACGATCGAGCAATAGATGATGCGTACCTTCCCAATGCGCGTCTTCCTCCGCCTTGCGCTTCTTGGCGGAGACCTCTTCCTCTTTCTTGCGCGCCTCAAGGCCTTCGTTGGCAAGATTCATCTTGACCGCCCTATCCAGTGCCGAACATCAGTACGGTGAGACCCGCGACACATGCGGTTGGAACTAACTTTCTCCTACGCACTTCCTCATCTATGAGGAGTTCCTTGGCTTTTAAAAGGAACTGCTGGCGCCATGGCGGTGTCAGACCCTTGAGACGCGGGTCACTGTTTGGGATGCCGGTGGGGAGGGAAAGGGACTTCAGTAACGTCGCTCGTGCTTGGATGATGATAGCATCGAGTTCCTCGCGCTTGGTCTTGTCAGAAAGCTCGGACTCAGCCTAAGGCAGGATAATTGTCAGTGAATGATACTCAGCAGGGTTAGGAGCCGTGGCTCGAGGATTCGGGAGGGGGTAGGAGGGACCGGACGGACCTTCTTGAGGAGATCGAATGCATCTGGCGCACGAGCGTGGGGGGTCTTGTCAGGATGGATAACTGGATATCAGACAACGTACGAGGTGGCCATCAATACATGAACACAAGCGGCAGGACGGAACGCAACAACGGGCGTTGCGCTGCGCCGGGGGGTGGGTGCTCACACAGCGAGAGCTGGCGGTATTTCTTTTTGACGTCCTCAGGCGTAGCATCCTCGGTGATGTCGAGGATCTCATAGGGGCTGTTCCACACAGTGTGAGCTGGAAAGGAGTGGAGGGCCAGATACGAGAGCTTACTTCAGCTTGAAGGCCTTGAGGATGCGCTCTACCTCCATTTCGCGCTGGAATGCATTCGCCTCACGACTCAGCAATTTCTCGATGTCGACATCATTAGCTGAGGGTGCAGGAGTGGACGTGGACGAAGAGTTCGCCGTGGTAGAGGACGAAGAGGCTTGCTTGGACATGGCGGACGCTGGTCAAGACCGTCAAGTTGCAGATTCCCAGATAGCTCAACAGACGAAAACAAGTAGGTTTGTCTAGAGCCTTGACAATGGTCTGAGTTGAGTATAAGGTGAGAGAAGGGCCGTCTGTGCTGTGTGTCCCGGCTGGTGGTGAGAGGTCGGTTGAAGGAGAAAGCCGAGAATTCCTTGTTGCTGCAACGAGCGCTGCGGCGGCTACTGTAGTACACATGCACTCTCTTCGCCTGCAGTTCCTCCGCCCTCAATGCACCGCTAGCTTCCGTACAGCAGCGACAAATGTAAGTCGTACCGTTGGTTGTTCCGACGCGCGAATTGACGTAGAGATGTCAACAGGGAAGATTGCACCGAGCTGCAGCTCCACCGACGTTCACATTTTTTAGTGTCCCCCGTCGGGCGCAGATTCCAAGGAAGCAATGGCGGAGCATGTCCACAGAACCTCCGAAAGCTGGAAGTAGTATGGCTCGCCATTACGAAGCTCGGCAAGCAGCATACGCTGCGAGGAACCGAAGTCTGCTCATGTATACATCAGCTGTCGTGAGTGCAAATCGCCTTCCAAATCTCTCTTTTCTGACGATGCGAGTTTTCTCTTAGATAGTCTTTGCAGTTGGTGCAACGTATGCTGCAGTACCGCTTTACCGTATGTTCTGCGCGGCTACCGGGTTTGCTGGCACGCCCAAGGTCGGCATGGGCAAGTTCGAGGCCGAGCGCCTTGTCCCTGTAGAGCATGCGAAGCGCATAAAAGTGCACTTCAGCGCGAATACAGCGGATGCGCTTCCATGGAGATTTACGCCGCAGCAACAGTTCGTGAGCGTGCTGCCCGGCGAGACGAGTCTGGCGTTTTACAAGGCACGAAACAAGTCCACAAAAGATATCATTGGAATAGCAACGTACAATGTAACTCCAGACAGAGTGTGTATTATTGCGTTCGCCGTGTGTTGTGCGATCTGTCATGGTGGTTGCTGATGGTCCTCCCGATCTCAGATTGCACCTTACTTCTCCAAGGTAGAATGCTTCTGTTTCGAAGAGCAGAAACTGCTTGCTGGCGAAGAGGTGGATATGCCTTTACTGTTCTTCATTGACAAGGATGTTCTGGAAGATCCTGCTTGCCGGAACTTGGATGATGTGGTGTTGTCCTACACATTCTTCCGGTGAGTGTACTCTTAACTCTTCTGCCAATGTTCCTACCCCCTTTAATACTCATTATGTTTGCCAATATCTAGTGCACGAAGGAATGCACAAGGACACCTGGAACCTGACGCACCTGACGACGTCGTCCAAGCTTCGCAAGGATTTGGTGATTATGAGATGGCACCAAGAGTCGAGGATCGCAAACCTAGCACTGAATCATCCTAATCAATCTTGTTACATTTGTGTACTACCGCTCCGTGAAATACATGCCCCTCCTCAAACATCCAATCCCAAGTGTATCGGACGTGAACGCACGTGTCACGTGCCCGACGCGTCGAGAGGCAAACACGCGTCCCGGGTCAAGTCAAGGAACCAACCTCGACATCGCTGGCGCCGCCCTCGACATCGCCGGCATCGCCGTTGTCCATCTCTTCTGTGTCCGACTTGGCATGGACCCAACATCTTCTAGCGCACTCTCAGAGAAACGGGAACATTACCGCGCGCAAGTGGTGACCTCCCTCCAAGAGGACGCCGACCCACTCGCCGCCTACGATAGCTTTGTGAGATGGACGCAAGAGAATTATCCTGGGGCGGATGTTGCGCATTCTGGGCTGATCGAGCTGCTTGAGGAGGCGACAAGGCAGTTCAAGGACGACGCGGCATACAAGGGAGATTTGAGATATCTCAAGCTATGGTCGCTGTATGCCAGTCATGTCGAAGACCCGACCATCATTTACGCATTCATTCTAGCTAACGACATCGGTACCGTGTATGCACAGACGTACCAGGAGTACGCGAACGCGTTGGAGACTGCCGGCAGGTAGGCATTCTCTTCATTGTGTGTTGACCATTCTTACATGGTACCTATACAGACGAGCAGACGCCGATAATGTCTACCGGAAGGGTATCGACCGGCGTGCACGGCCGATAGAACCGCTCAAGAGGCGATACGAGGATTTCAAGAAACGTGCAGGTGCTCCCGTCCCTCATCGCGGAACCTCCACGTCCATTTGGAAGTCTGCACAACCAGAAACCCAAACCCTCCGCCGCAACCCGCTGAAGAACTATACACCCACACCGTCTATTCCTCCATCTTACACTCCACGAGCCTCTACTTCCCAACATGCGCATGACCGCTACGCACCCATGCTGGCCCCACCTGTCCCGGGCAAGCGCCCCGAGAAGCTGCGCTTCAATCTTTCCCTACTCTTCACCGAGGAAGGCACCGAATACAGTATGCAAGAGGCGCGTGCGCGCTCCATGGGCCTTCTAGGCAAGAAATGGGGACCGCCTCCCCCGCCGGAGGGCGCGCTGCTGCGCGTCAACTTCAACGACGACGGCGCCAAGAGCACGCGCACGCTTATGCGCAAGGGCTATGCTGCAGGGGAGCCGACGGTCACCCTTGCGACGAAGGAGGCCCTCGCGGATGTGTTTGGCATGTACAACTCACCAGAGAAGTCGATGCGCTTCGGCGCGGTAGCGGGCAGCAAGCATGCGCCTGTGCGCAGGATCGACGCTGTCACGCCCATGTCACTGCAGAGCCAGTTTCGAGCTGTGAGCAACGAGAATGCGATACATGCGAAGACACCGAGTGAGTGGGGGTGTCCCAATGGTGTTAGCAGTAGTCTGAGATGCGTTGTATGGCTGTAGCGGCGTTCCGGCCGTTTGTAGATGAGCCTCCGAGAAGGAAAGAAAACAACACACCAGCTCCCCCGTCGAAGGTGAGCATACGCAGTAGCGCCAATGCAATTTTGTACTCATGAACATCTAGTCGAAGGTGGCAATAGACCCAGAGCAGCCCAGTAAACTACCCGTGCTCACGCCCAACCTCAGACGAGCTTTGTCCATCAAAGAAAGCACGACACCGGCTGCTCCCGCACCCCAAACTGATGAGAATGCGCACCGCCAGAGACCACAGATCAGCCTCAAGCCTATCACCGATGAGGCGAAACCAGCCATGGTGTTCTCAACTGTGTTCACTCCGGTATCAGTGGTGCCCAAGGACAAGCCACCTGCACGATGGGACGTATTCACTGATGATCAAGCCCGAGCTAGCACCTCACCGATGGAAACCATAAGTGTTTTCAGCTCGTCGACTGCAAAGCCTAAGGTGCAGCCGCCTGTTCCTATCGTGCCATACATGGATGAGCCCCCCATGAAGGTGTTCAGTCGCCCTCAGTCCCGGGGTGAGAACCTCCCCCCGGCGCAAAGTAGCACCTTCAAGCCTTATGTGGATAGCGCCGAGTTGAGCAGACCCCCTGCCTCATCGTTTGCACGTCCAGTGCTCGGTGAACGTATGCCTCTTCGAGCGTTCACTCCTGAAGTGCATTCCACGTCGGATGACGATGAACAGATTGCCCAGGAGGTTTACACAGAGACCGACGACGACGAATATGAGGACGAGTATGAGGATCTGCCTGAGGAATATGATGACCCGCCTGAGGAATATGACCGCACGCCCGCCCAGATAGAAGAGGACAGCATGTACGAGGACCAGGATCCAAACGAGGCACCTTCGCATCGTGTCCCGCTCGGGGGGCGGTTCGGCCAGTTCAACGTCATGACGCCCATCACAGAGCGGACGTTCGAGTTCACCGTGAGTACGCGAGCATCGGGCACACCGAACGGCCTGATGGACGGGATGATGGCGCGTCGCGACGCCGTGGAGACTGCGGAACAGCTCGCAGCTGAGTTGCGCCAGGACGATCTGCGACAGGGAGAGGAGTACGACGAGGAGGAAGCGGTTGCCGTGCTTGAAGAAGAGACAGGCACTCTCAGTCTGTCGGATGCGCTCACTGCTGCGATGTCGTTCAGGCCGCCAAACCCTTGCAATCCATTTGACCCGCCGACAGTCACGAAGCTGCTATCGCTCATCTCGCCCGATCACGAGTTTCACGACTTACGGCAGCAGGATGCCCAGAAGCTGGACACAATGGAGAAGTTCGCCAAGAAGAAGTCAAGGCGGACAAGCGGGAACACGACGTCACGTATCCTCGAGGACGGCGAGACTTTGCAACTCAACCTCTTTGATCGTCAATTCGCCGTCGTGGACAAACTGGGAGAGGGAGGCTTTGGTGCAGTCTTCGGGGCCGTGGACCTTGACTTGGCTGCCCGCAAAGAGGAGGACGAAGGAGACGATGACAATGACGACGATGACGAGCTGGACAAGTGCAAGATCGCGCTGAAGGTCGTTAAGCCCCGCAATCTTTGGGAATTCCATGTTCTCCGCAGGATACACCGGACTCTACCGCCACATCTCAGACAATCCGTAGTTGTGCCACAGGCGTTGTACGCATTCCGTGACGAGAGTTTCCTCATCCTCGAACTGTGCAGACAGGGTACGCTCTTGGACATCGTCAACCGCGCTGGGCAGGCAGGCATCACACAGCAAGGGGCATGCCTGGACGAGCTACTGGTCATCTTCTTCGCCATCGAGCTCATGCGCCTCCTCGAGGGCATGCACAGGGCGGGATTTATCCACGGCGACGTCAAGATCGACAACTGCCTGCTGCGCCTGGAGGACGTACCAGGCCCGCCTTCGGCATGGACGAGCGAGTACCAGCCGTCGGGCGACGGCGGGTGGCGGCACAAGGGGATCAAGATGATCGACTTTGGGCGCACGATCGACACGCGGCTCTTTCCCGCGGGCCAGCGGTACGTCGCGGAGTGGCCGACAGACGCGCGGGACTGCCTTGAGATGCGCGAGGGCCGCCCGTGGACGTTCCAGCCGGACTACTTTGGGCTCGCGGGCATTATCTACTGCATGTTGTACGGCAAGTACATCGAGGCGGCCTCGGTCGTGTCCGCGTCCGACCCCGCGTCCGACGGGAAGCAGCGGTTCAGACTCGCGACGCCCTTCAAGCGCTACTGGCAGGTGAACTTGTGGACACGATTGTTTGACCTCCTGCTGAACTCAACCCTTGTGCATCCCGATGGGCATCTGCCCGTCTGTGACGAGCTGGCGGAGTTGCGGGTGGAGATGGAGACGTGGCTCCAGGCGAATTGCAATCGCGCGAGTAATAGCCTGAAAGGCCTGCTGAAGAAGATCGGTATAGCGATCCTAGGGGGAGGCCGATGACGACCCAGCGACAGAATGCAAAGTACACAACTGTAGCTCTTCGAACACCTCTTGCATACGCACTTACCCACACAATCACTTGTACGCCCATCCTGTGTTGACATTATCTTTGCGAGCGGGAAGAGCAGGGTCTCAGTCTCACCGCACACCGTGGATCGCATTTTTTTTTTTGTATTTTTTAATCCGTTTGCAATGCATCACAACAAATTGCAGCTAACAACATGACGAACCGAAGACAACACTACAACGGCGACGGTAGGTACACTGCACACGCCCGGCGCAGCACATGCAGCGAGCCCGACGCACGCACCTCCGCGTCACCCACTGCACGAGCAGGGCACGCGAGGCCGCACATAGGCTCGCGGTCGCGCGCAGCCTAAGCGTGGCCGCCCATCTGCACGGGCGGCGCCTGTGCTTGGTCGTAGCCGTGAGGTCCTGGCGGCGGCATCATCATCTGGTAAGGAACGGCGTGTTGGACTGTGAGATGCAGAAGCGTCAGCAGGATCTTCAAGGGCACAATCAACGGCGGGATACGCACGCTGCGGGCTTTGGTGGTAGTATGGGTGTGCGTGGGACGGGATGGGGGTGGGGGGCATGGATGGTCGTGGGCCGGCGCCGTTTGGAGGCGGATATGCGCCGGGTGGCGGTGGCGGCATGCCGTAGGCTGTCGATGCAACCACATCATGGGCCGTCAGCTGATAGCGTCACGAGTCAATGGATATACGTACGCTGCATCTGACCCATCGGGGTCGAAGGATACATGGCTGTAGCACGCAAGCGGCACCTCAGGTCACGCAAGGAGCATAGTTAGTCAAAGCGACCCACCATTTGGAGGGGGCATCGGATAGGCCATTGGCTGCATGAACGCGGGCGGGCCAGGAATATACGCGCCAGGCGGCGGGGGCCCCATACCAGGTATCATCTGCATCTGCATACAAGTGAGCACACAGTGGGGTAAGGGGAGGAGGAACAGACACACCTGTTGTGGGTAGCCATACGGCGGATATGCGTATACGTACCCGCGCGTAGCCGCCTGCGCGGCGGACTCTTCCTCGTACGTCGGCTGAGGCGGGGGCTGGGGCGGACCGGGGTGTTGCATGTGCGGCGACTGTGGCTGCGGCTGCATTTGTGGTGGGGGGAACAGCTGCATATAGCGCTTGCCGGTGTAGGGCCATGTCCACGCTACAAATAAATTCGGAAACCATTAAACCTCGTTCGAACGCCAGCTTGTAAGACATGAAAAATGATAGAAGAGACACAGGGGAAAGCGGAGAAAAGAAAATAGAAAGATAACAAAAGAAAGGCGGAGGTACGCACGGACTTGTTTCGCGTCGGGGACCTTGCCGTGCTTGAATGGGTTGAAGTCATCCTTGATATGGACCGGCGGGGTCTTCTTAATCGTGCGCGTGCCGAAGAACGGGTTCGGCGGGGCGGGGACCGGGGACACGCTGGACGCAGAGTCCGCGGGCTTAGTCTTCGGCGACGCCGAGGACGACGGGGTCCCGTTGAGACGCGGGGAACCGCCCTGCATCAGTACCGCAGGTCAGCACCAGCACATCTAATCTTCAACACAGACAAGGGGGAGAACACGCACGGGAGGCGAGAACTGCTTGACATTCGGCCGGAACGACGACGCGTTGACGTTCAGTCGGTTCGCCGCACCAGGCGAGAGTGGACTGTGCCCGCCCTGTTGCGCGGCAACGTTCGTATTCAGGCTCGCGCGCGCCGCGCCCTGAGTGGAAGATGATGTCGCGCTGTGACCAGCCGTCGACACGCGCTTGCCCCTGAACGGCGGGATCGATTGGATAACCATACTGATGCGGCCCTTGGGTGGCTCGCCGGGCTTGCTCGGCACGGTCGCGTTCTTCTGCGCTGCAGGTGGGATGGTACCGGATTTCGAGAGCGCCTGCCGCGTGAGCTCCGGCGCGACCTTCGCAGTAGCGGGGCCCGCCGCGGCCGCCGAAGGGACAGCGCGCGCCACGGTCGGGGAGGCCGTGGTGGTGAGTGTGGTAGCGCCGATGGCGCGGGCGTGCGACGACTCGGCGTCCTTGGTGGACTTTTCGCGGATCTGGCGCTGCTTATCTTCGTCCTTGGCAAGGATGGGCACCAGGTCGTCTGGGATGGGCTTGTTGAGCTGCGATGACGGCGATGTTAGTAGGGAAGAGCACGATGGTATGTCCGAAATGGAAGAGCGCACCTTGAAGTTCTGGCTGAACTTGACGAGATCAGCCAGGCGCTTGTCCATCTCGTTCTTCATGAGCGCCTGTTTCTTCTTCATAAGCCGATCCTTCTCGCTCGACACGAAGTCGCGGAAGGCGGGCACCGCATCTGCAGCGGGCTGCACCAGCAATCGCCGAAAGAATGGATCGTTAGCAATCAGAAGTGAGAAAGAGCGAAGATTAGGCGGCGCGACGCACCTGCGCAGAACCTGCCTCCTTCTCCGCAGCAGGCACGGCCGAACCATCCGGGGCATTCACCGCGACCTTAGGAATGTCTGGCGGGGACTTGGCGGTGCCATTAGTAGAAGGAAGAGGGCCCTTGCGTGCCCCAGGAGGAACATATGCGTTTGCGCTGCGGACGACAGCACCATACCTATGGAAATGCGCGTAAGTAGGGAATAGACGGTTCGAATAGAGAATAGACCTACTTGTCCTCTTCATTTGCGCCCTCGGCAACCCCCACGAAGTTCTGCGTTCGCTCTTCCGCGATGTGTGTGTTACTCGTCGAAGACTGACACGCAAACGATACGTTAGTAAATAAACGATCGATCGACGTCGAGCAACGCCGGCACTAATTTCGCAGCAACGACTGCGTTCATAAATACCCGAACAATATGCTACTAACTCTGCCTCCTCCGGCGCCCACAACAGCACACAAACACTCACCGACAGGATCTCGCTTGCGATCTTGGCAGCCTGTCGCTCGCGTTCTTTGAAATCTGGCGCGCTGCGATCGAGCCGCGTCGTATACGCCTCTTCGTCGAACTGCGCACGCACGCCAAAGAGCCGTTCGTTCACCGCGAATTGGTCCCAGCTTGCACCCTGTGAGCCCGAGCCAAATGTCTCGTCGTCCGTCGTGCGCGCAGGGGGAGCAGCAGAGTTGGATGTCGAAGCGGACGCGGAGGGGGCAGACGGGTCATCGGGGTGAGGTTGCCATGCCTGGAGCTCGCGCTCGCGACGGCCGGTCTTTTGGCTGATATCTGTGTCGGTCTTGAACGCTGGAAGACGGCATGAGTCGGCTGGACGCACACGAGCGATGACGTCAGAAGATACGCACTGTCACCGTTCGTGAGCTTCGCATCGGCAGGGCCAGAGGACCATTGATCGATGTTGGTCGCGGCAATGAAGAGTGTGTCGCGGAGGGGCGCACCGGGGACGGTGAGATCCTTGACGTCGCGGAGGGTGACACCGGTGGTGTCTCCCTCTGCATTGGTGGAAAGTACAGAACCTTCGTACCGGACGTTGGTCTTTGTGGAAAGGGTGATGGTGGTCCCGGTGAGACCAGAGAGCTGGGCGAGGACACGGTCGTCTTTATCTGGGCGGGTTGGAGCGGGCGACGGGGCACCGTTTGCATGGCCTAGGGGCGGGAATGCGGCGGGACTGGCGGACTGGGGCCCGTTGGGAAGGCGAACGGGGGTTGCACCTGGGGAGAAGGTGGGAGAGGCGCGAGGGCCGGGTGAGGACCAGGCTGGTGCGCGTACGCGGTTCGCTGGCTCTGGGGGGCCCTTCCGGTTTGGCTTGGGCTGTCTGGCGGTGGTGGCCATGGAAATCGTAGCAGAAGCGGGACGAGCAAGTGGATCAACGAAGGTAAAGAAACGGAGAAGTAGAAGGTGGGAGAGATAAGAAAGACGTAAACTCTGGCTAGTGGGCGACGACGTGGGCCGCTGAAGGGAAAGAGTTGGGAACGTAAGCGACGTCGAGGACGACTGGGACGACGACGAGGACGATGGAGGAAGTGGACGGAAGCTGAGGGCTTCGAGTGAGGAGAGCAATTCGCCGAACAACGCCTCTTCACTTTCTCTACTTCCACCCGGACCCCAATCACCCTGCTGTCTTCCATTAGTGTCTACTCCCCACTTCTAGGCCAAAAGAATACCGATTCCCGGCAGCTGACTGGGCCGTGCAGCACGCGAGGTGGCAGGAAGTGGTCCGTGCTCACTGCGCTGCCCGGGGGCTTTGCCACGTGTTGCTGTTCGAGGCTCTACTCAATTCCCTGCTGCATTCCTTCCACCCCTCTCTCGTCTCTCCTCCTTGATCTCCTCGACTGTTCACCCGGTCACCGACCGTGGCGGGGGCCTGTTTGGACAGCGCACTGGCCTCGCGCACTCCGGCAGCAGTATCAGGCGCAGCACGGACTTCGACGTTGCCTCTGACAATCTGTCTCGACGGTGATCATCACACCTTGAGGCCATTTGAGAACAGCTTCACTTGATGATCTTCACATTCACAGTGGGCCCCAGCAGCGACCACCTGCGAGGTTGCCAAATCTCCATGTCTGGCTGCCCATGCACTTGTTCGCGGGGACGAGCTTGTTCTGCACCGGTACCTGCAACGATCTGGCGTCTCATCTCTGCATCTGCATCATTTGGGTAACGAATCAAGCCCACAGCTGCAGTGTCAATGTTCTGTTTAGCACAGCACCCTCGCTTTTGGCAATCGCCTTATCAAGCCTCTCTTGAATACTCCGATCAATTTACCCGAGCCCGTCTCTGGAGAACCTTACTTTTGAAAAATTCAAACAGAGGCCGTAGCACATATCAGCAAGAGTGCACTTTCGCACCCCGGCGTCACACCACCAGATAAGAGACAGAGTCTCGCCAGCTTGTACGAGCGTTCGCTCGGCTTGCCCGTAGCAGTCACGTATGTTTCATATACGGCACGCAGCTCTACTTCTTACTTCACAATTCTACCCCGCGGCTCGCGACATGCACGGTGGGAAGAGAACGCAGCCCCCACGCGCGAATCATCGCCATCGAAACTGGCGCGAAGTTGCGCGAGCGCTACGTTGCAATTGCGACAGAAGCAGGTCGTGGAACAGCTCCCCACTTTCTCATAGGCCAGTTAACTTGTAACCAGCGCTCTCGCAGTTGCCCTTGCGTTCGGGCTGCGCTCCGTGCGCCAGCAATTCGGAAGACTCGCGGAGTGCGTTGGTCCTATCTCATCATATCGCGGTGATTTCGCAGCGCCAGATCCGCGAGCGTGGGCGGACAAGGAGATATCGGTGAATGTGCCCGCGCGGAAGTGCCGTGTACCACATGCAGCGCTGCGAGACTCTGCCGCTGCGGTGTAGTGTACTGTATGTTATGCGCGACGAATGCAATCTTAGTCTCACTGAGGCCTTTTTCGCCTCTGCTGATTGTCGTTATGAAGCCCGAAGCAGTGCTGAGCCGGACGTGGAATTTGATCCTGCCGATTCACGCAACAACTCGGGGGCGGAGCGGGGCAAGCTGGAACCTGGTACTGTAGATCTGAGGAATAAATAAGACAAGAAATGCTACATGTTAGATAGATGATGACACTGCAGTGCCCGGTATGATACTTACGACACTGAGACCGCGACCGGCGACGGCCATCTCACTCTCAACGCATCTTACTCTCAACGCATCTCACTCTCAACGCATCTCTCAACGGTCGCGCCAATGCTCAGCAGCTGAGTCGACGCATACATACCTTCCCGGGCGGCACCGCACAGGGCAATCATATTTAGAACCGCCCCGCAACGACGTCGTGCCAGCTGAGCCACTGCTGCTTCCGCGCATCCCACTCCGCGCCGAGCTGGCCGACGAGCGAGCCCGCGGCGACGCCGCGCACGAACGCGCGGCTCGTGCAAATGATCATGCTCTGCTTGCACCGCGAGAGCATCACGTTCGTGCGCCGGTCGTTGCTCAGGAACCCGACCTTCGCCGTGCGCACGACCGAGATGATGATGTTCTCCTCTTCGTTGCCTGCGGGCTATGCAGCACAATGTCAGCGGGGCAGCGGGGGGAACGGACGCACCTTGGAACGAGTCGACGTTGAAGCACCGGTTCTCCCAGGGTATCTGCGACTGCTTCAGGAGTCGCTCGAGCAGGTTGCGCTGCGGGTCATACGGCGTGATGATGCGGAACGCCTTCCCCTGCGCGTGCAGCCGCTTCGCGACGTGGACCGCCGCCTCGGCCTCGCGCTTATTCTGTGCGCCGCGGGACAGGCACCGTCAGTACATGTGGTGCGAGTGGCGAGATGTGAATGGCGCACCACCCAGCTATAGCCATCCTGCTGTTCCTGCCCGTCGTGCACGTCGACAAGACGGCACGCGCCGTGAGAGGTGATGCCGTGCGAGGTCTTCAGGCGTCCGCCGTAGACGCGGTTCGAGATGAATGAACCGATGGCCCCGGGCATACGGTCTACAAGTATCAGGCTCGTTCGTGGATGCTGTATGCAAACCGAGGACACATACATTGCGTGTCCAAAAAGACAGCGTCCTTGCGCAGATGTTCCATCTCGAATATGCTTGGAAGGTCGCCGAGATCGTCTTGGCCATACGGGGCCACTAATATCGAGCAGGTTCCCGAGATGGAGTGCACAATAGAACACGGAGGACTCACGCTGCTTGTTATCACCGATGAACACCAGCTTCTTAATGCCACTTCCGAACTTGCTCAGCAAGGGCATATAGCCGCCGAGCTCGATCTGGCTCGCTTCGTCGATGATGACGGTCTCGACGGGCACGAGGCGCGTGAAGCCGGCAGTCATCAAGCGAGGGTGGCTGAACATACTCAGCGTGCACAGGATAACCTTCGAATCAAGAAGCAGGCGCGATGTGCCCACCACGTTGTCTGCAAAGTCATCTGAACGTATGACATTGTGTTCGATCTGCTTGTATAGATGTTCGTGCCTACGAACGCAACTCAGAAAAGCTGCACAGGGAGACACTGGAGAGGTCTCACCAATCGAAGTGGAAGTCCCAGGATACCAACAGCTTGAAGTCGAGAAAACCGACGTCTGCGAGCTTCTCGGCAATGTTCTTGACGGCGACATTAGACTGTGCCACTAGCCAAATGCCAGCACAGCGGTCGGTCGGCGGATTAGTGGCACAGGCAGCGATAACGGTGGTCTTCCCTGTGCCAGGCGGACCGTGCACAAGGCAGATCATATCCTGGTCGTGCGTAGAGTTGATGCGTACTACCGCTTCCGCCTGTGACCTGTTCAGCTCGCGTTTGTCTAGAGTAATAACTGGGATAGTTTGCTTCGCGCGCTTGACCGTCTTCGATCTGGGGAAAAACATCTTCGTGACAAGGGGCAGCTGGAACAAGCTTGACGTTCCTTGAAGGATAGATAAGGTTGCGCGTGTGCGTTCTTCTTCAGCAGGAGTGGGGTCTTCTCTGCCGATCGTGTATATGGACTGGATCTTAGCAGTCGCAGCGACAGCTGAGTTCACGGCGATGGTGGCAGACTTTCCGTTGACGCTGACGGCACGGCCATTAGATGGCGCAAGAGACACGCCCTTCGAGGACATCTTTACTACAAGTGTCTGGACGACATCACAGAGTCAATGCGGGTGACAGCAACGAGGGTGGATTCGCGTGGAGCGACAACATACCTGGTTGGTGGATGTTCTGATGTGTGTCTTGAAGCGCGTACACTCCACGTTGAGCGCACCACTCTTCTGGCTGAACTCCGCTTTGACGTCGTTCTTCACTTTGGTCGGCTTCAGCGCATACAGCCGATCCGCGTCGCGCATGAACTTCGACAGAAGAGTGAGAATCTGCAGCGAAACATCAGCAACCAGTGTCCACAAACACCGACAACAGAACTTCGGTCTTACCTGTTCATCGAAGTCGAGCGTGTTGATCCCAGGGACTTGCAGCAAGTTCTTAGCCAAAGAGCCAATAGAAGCTGCTTGACGAGAAGCCCAGGCACGTAGAGACACATTAGGGGCATCTCCAGAGTCGTACCCTGCTCCAATGAAAGCCTTCAAGACTTCGTGCTTCCGCAGCGTCGTCTCGCCTCCCAACACTCTGAGTAAGGTGTCGATGGACTGACGGCCCGTCTTCTTGGGCAGGACAGACTGTAGGTCAATAGCCTGAGTCACTTTGAGCCCGTAGTCCTGGAACAACGCTGTGGCCAAGCGATGCATATCGAAGGCCACCTTGCAATAATCGGAATGGCACAGGATCTTCCTGCGCAGTACCTCGCGCCCGCGCAGAGGTGCCTGGTGGCCGTTGGTGGTGCTCTTCCCGCGAGACTTGGACTTCTGTCTGTTCTTGGAGAATCGAACATGAAGTACGCGAGACGCTGTAGCAAACGCTATAGAGACAAGGACGCCCTTCGCACCGTAGGCAGCAGCGACGCCAATGACACCCCCCGCAGCGGTGAGGAGGAAGGCATTGACGACGACGTCGGTGACTTCGGCCTCGTTCAACGCCGCCACATCCACGGGAGGATGTGGCTTGATGAAGAGCTTCTGATCCAGAGTGAACGCCTGGTCCACCATCGCGGAAGTAGAGCGGGGAGTCCTGAATGTTCCCAAGAGAAGACAGAGGGTTTATATGTGGGCCAACGCGTGCCTCGTCGCGTGTAGCGCGGTAGGTAGAGCCTATAAACGGGCATGGGTGAAACGCCGGGGTGGTGGGCCACCGCGACTCCCAGCCGCTTTCCGACTGTCTATTCCGGTTTTCACGCAAGTATAACAACGAGGATCTTCATCGAACACGAATGAAGGGAAAACAGAAGACAGAACGACAGCATGGTTGAAAACCTAGTTGTCAATATCCATAAGTATTGATCCAGCGCCCCCGGATGCGGCAAGGCTCGCGGCATTCCTGCAGTCCTTGATGTTCTTCAGTTCAGCGTGCATGGAACTCCAACTGGAACGATAGACCTCCTGGCACGATGTGCACTTGTTTCCGCAGACATTTTCAGACGTTGCACATGTGCCGAGGCGTTTCTGCATGGCGTACGCGGCAAGTTTGGTGACTACTTATGACACGGAGCGCCCGACGCGGTTGTCACAATGCGTGTGACCAATGACCGAGTGTGATGGGCGCTTACTCCCGCCGTTGTCCTCCGTTCCTCCAGCATGGCTACTCCAATAATTGTCGGCGTCGGCGCCATCGCTGCAGCCGTCGCTGGAAGACAGCTCCTTCGCAGCGGGATTATGGGCGGTAAGGGTGCCGCAGAGCAGTGGGTGAAGGGTGGTTTCAAGGCCAAGATGGATCGCAAGGAGGCTATTGCGATCCTGGGTCTCAAGTGCGTCTCTGGTTCTTCGTACGGTGCTGAATTTCTCATACATCTGTGCGGTGCCTTTTTATTTCAGAGACAATCCCCAGCTCAAAAGCAGAATAAAAGACGCCCACCGCCATATTATGATTGCAAACCACCCTGACAGAGGAGGTTCGCCTTACCTTGCCAGCAAAATTAACGAGGCAAAGGAGCTGCTAGACAAGACGGATCGGAGATGAGGTCATTGCTGTAGGTATGTCTGTATTGGCTAGCTTTGCGTTGTTAGATTCAGTCGTGCTCAACTTGTACCCGACAGACTTCCTGGACCTTGATGTATTCATACCATTTACTGTATTATATTCCTAATCCCAGCACTGCTCATTGTCATCTCGCTTCCTCATGCATATGTCCCTGCTTGTTCACACCTGCATCAGTTGTTTATAGCAACATCCAACCGACTTGGCGCATTCTACCATACAAGACCCGGCTTTTGCTGTCACACCAAGCCCAAGTTCCCACTGATATTATCATCTAGTCTGCAAATGAATCTCCCCCCATACCTGTTCGAGATTCTCTAGGACAGCTTTCACCAATGGTCTGCTGACTAAGCACAATCACCGATTTTCATCTCCCCCATGTCCTCAACTGACTTGCCACCATCCGTGCTTGGGACCAAGGAGCAGTAAGTGGGGTCGGGTTACATCCTCTCTCATAGGTTTAGTTCATTTCTCGACAGTTGGGACGATGTGTACTCGTCCGAACTGGCGAATTTCGAGGAAATAGGCGATGAAGGCGAGATATGGTTAGCCCTCCCCTTCTCAGGCTTCTCTTTGGTTGAATGATTTCGCCATTCAGGTTTGGTGAAGATAGCGTGGAGAATATGGTCGACTGGGCACTGGAGAACCTCCCGCCTAGTCAGGGCGACTCCCCGTTCATCCTCGAAATCGGCTCGGGGAACGGGAACCTCCTCTTCGCGCTATACGACGCGGGTTATGCGCCGGACAGGATGTGCGGCATCGATTACAGCGCGGACGCTGTGCGGCTCGCCCGGGCGATTGGGAAGTCCCGACCGTCAGAGGATGACCGCGGCGAGTTGAAGCCGGACGCGATCGCGTTCAGTACTTGTGACTTTCTTGCGGAAGACGTCCCTGCATTGCAGAGCTTGGTGCCCAGCCGCAGTTATTTGTGGGACCTCGTGCTGGACAAGGGCACCTTTGACGCGGTCGCGTTGGCGGGGAGGAGTGAAGGTGGAGCGGCGCCTGCTGACAGCTATCCGTGCAGAGTCACAAGGGTCGTGAAGCCTGGAGGCTACTTTCTCATCACATGTAAGCAAGATCAATACTGCTCTAATTTCATGCGCCTGACCTTACGATTCCCACTCGAAAGCTTGTAATTTCACCGAAGAGGAACTGAGAACAAAATTCGCCAACGCGGAGACTGGGCTTACTTATCAGTGGGTAATGCTTTCCATATAGTGCTTCCAACATAACCTCGATACTGCACAGCTCTCGAATAGCTTTCCCCACACTTTCTTTCGGTGGGAAGAGTGGAAATGTGTATTCGAGTGTTGCGTTCCGCAAAGCGGCATGATGCGGTACTTTCTGAGATGACTTCGCTTGCCAATTCGTATCGTTCAGAGACGGCGTGGGTGAGGCAGTATCGCCAGATAGTGCATCACGTCAAGATCATAGGCTAGTGACCGCATCCAACCCCGTTCGCAGTGTATCTCTCGCAACCTGACTAGCCCACCTAATGAAACCGTTTTCCTCCTTCCCGGTATCCCTGAACGCCTCGCCCATGAAATACACCAACCCGACGACGAGCGCCTGCGTTCGCGTCACCTTGATGAAGACCTCCTCGAGGGCGCCGCGGTTCCGACTTGTGAGGAAGTCCCGCGCATCAGAACTGGGCAGCGGCGTAGAGACCTGGGAGCTGACAAAGAGCTGTGTCAACAGCTCTTTGAGGAAGGTGTGTGTCTGAGGTTTGAGCGATGTAAAGTCGACGGGCTGGTCGCAGAAATGTGAATGATTAGAAGACCGTGCAAACTTCGGAGTGAGGACGCACTTTGAGAATTGCGAGCGTGCAGCAGTCCTTTGCAATCCACCACGCGTACGCCTTTGCGATGTTGGTCTTCCGTGTGGTCGAGACGCTTTTCACGTCGAAGCCCGACGATTCGTCGCCGAGGTTCTTGATGATTTCCGCCCCGCCGACGTTCGTCTCTCCGAGATCTCGCAGGAAGTCCCATAGGCAGAACTGCAGCGTTATCCTGTGTGAATGAGATGTCCGGCAGAGCTGCTGCCCGATCAGGGTGTAGTACGGGTTGTATGATTTCTCCTGCGAGACGGGCCGTCAGATTGGAAAGGGTCAGTGAAAGCGGGTGACATACGTTTCCACAACAGTGCAGCAAAACGCGGATGATCTCCCGTTGTTGAACCTCGGTGAGCTTCAGCTGCGATAACCGCTCACACGCATCCACATAATCCTATTGAGGGCGAATCAGTAACACAAACAGATGGACACCGTGGCAGACACTACCTCGCTGCTCATGAGAACTACGAAAATGCCCCGCCTGATGTCCGTGTTCATACCTTGCTTCCGCGCCAGCTTTAGCAGCGCGTTCTCGCTGGGCGCATCTGCTTCCGCCGTGCCCGTGTCCTTCTCCGCCTGGCTCTCCTTGTGCTCGACTAGCGGGTCCCCACCCCACGCAGCGCCAACGAGCCACCACTTGCCCTTGCTCTCGGCAGAGCGCAGATCCTCAAGCGACACGCGCAGAGGCTCGTGAGCAAGTACTGCAGTACACGTTTACATGCTAGTCAACACTGATATGACAGGAAAGCACTCACCGTGCCGCTTCTTGCTCAGCCCGGCAAGGAATTTCTTCATCCGCTCGACAGCTTCACCCCCAGCAGACTGGCCCGCGTCTCGCTTGACCTTGTTGTTCTTGAGGTTGCTCAGGGTCTCGACCATGAAGCGCGTGCGCGAACTGTGACTTCGTCAGAATGAGGTGGAGGAGAAATGTTACGGAGCGCACCTCATGGCATTCGCCTGCGCGGGGAGCTTGTTGTGTACAATCTGGATGATGCTCTTCAGCGCCGAGGGGTCGTCCTGCCTGAGCTGCTGCCCAGAATCTAGTCGCGCTAATCGTCAGCATCTAGTATCTGCGTGGTCAAAAAGAATGTCGACAGACTGCGTGTGACTTTCAGTAGGAGCTCCACCTTGAACTCTGTCAGTTCACCGTCGAGTAGCCCGCGGATGATGTCGTACACCAGCACGCAGGAGATGACCTGGAAGTTATACAGCTCAGAGACGAGGACGATGAGGTTGGAACACTCTTTCCCCAGCGGCTCTCCGTCTGCGCCTGCAGCGGATGGTCCGTCGTTTGAGGCAGGAATTGTGCGAGAGGGATCTTGTAGGTTGGTGAATTGGCGCTCGTACGTTGTGATCACATTCTGGATGAAATACGCCGCTATCGAGTTTAGTGAGCACATACAGATATATACAGCGATACAGTATGTGTACGAACCGAACTCGACACCGACGAGCTTGTGCAGGCTAGACACGAAGGCGGCGTGTAGGACCACGTAGGAGTCGAGTAAAATTGAGTGTGCGGATATTCCATCAATGATAAGCGTTGTCAGAGTAGACGTGACGTCTGGTAGCGGAATTCATTGATAATTCCCAGTGGGAGAGGCGGACTCGTACCGTGCCTCCGATGGTCCCGGTATATTTCCTCGACGCCATCGACGATTGACGCGATATTCTGTTCAGTCATCCTAGATGACCGCGTCAGTGAGAAATTGGGAAACACAAGTATAATATGATCCCAACCTATTCAATAGACCTTTCAGTTGCCGAATCAGCTTCAGCTGAGTTTCTGAATCTTGCGGGGTTTCCTGCGTTCGGACCCGTAGATGTGGAGGGATATAACGTGTCTCTGAAAGCTCCGTGTCAGTAATCTAATAAAGATATGAAAAGGCAACATACCAGATGAATTGGGAGCAGAGATAGCTGGAGCATCGGAAGGAGACTGTGTGTGTATTGTGGACGTTTTGGAGTCTCCAAATCCTTGCCATTCAGCATCTTCTTCGTCTAGACGTAAGATGCCCTCCCCAGGCCCCTCCTCAGGCCCTGAGGCTTCACCTCGTTCTCTCATGTCTCCATCCTCCTCGTCTTCGTCTCCACTGTCTGGACCCTCTTCGTTTTCATCCTCGTCTTCTTCACTGTCGTCTTCTTCATCAGATATCATATCTCCAGACTGACCGACTAGAGCTGAGGTTGGGTTGTCAAAAGTGTCGAGATCTCTCAGCAAATCTGCGGGAAGAGTTAGTCGGGCAAATAATACTTCTGGTGAAAAGTACCGTCTAGCCCATCGTCCCCACCCTTGCCGTACTTTGTCGTACGCTTTCCGCCCTTGGACCATCCGAGCTTCGACTCCAGATAGGCAATATACGCGTCCTCTTCTTCCTCCCGTTGAGAACCGGGTGGGACGCCAAGGGTAGACTTCTTGGCGGGACGCGTCGCGAGCTTCTCTAGCGCAGTCTTCGGTTTCCGCAGCGTCGATTTTACTTCCGCAGGCTCATTGTTAGAGTATTTTACCTTAGCATGATTTTGAGCTGAGTGTTGGGTAGATACGGATTGTGCAGGCTGAGAATTGACTATCTTCGCTCTCTTCCGCTGTGGACTGTCTGGGTGCTCCGCTTCTGCGCCGCGCTTCGCAGATGCAGTATGGTGCGTAACTGGGTGAGCGAAGAAGTTTGCTTTACGCTGTTTACGATCATGACGGTCCTGCTTCCGTGCATCCTTACGAGAGAGTTGGTGTCCGGCCTTTCGTCTATGCCCGTGTACGTTCGCTATCCCATCGTTCAGCGACATATATGCAAGAAAAATCGGAAGACGAACTGTCTCCGCCCGCCAACTCCTCGAGCAAGGACTTGGGTAGCGAAGGACCTGTGCGAGCCGACATAATTTTGTAGATCTCGTGTCTGATTGGCTGGAGAGACCAGAGCGGTTGTTGACGGTTGTTGTCCAAAGGCTTCAATCTCCACCAGATCTAAATCTACTTACCGCCACAGTTTGTGAACGCCAGCTGGAATCCAGCTGAAGCCTTTTGGTACTTAACTTGCGCGTGCACACTTGACTGTGGACACTGGTTTTACATGCTTGGCGACGTCGCGCTGGACATGCCAACCGATTTGCGTTCCTTCGAAAAAGACGAGGTTCCAAGGAAGCGATTGAGTGTCACAGGACTCACTATCGACATACCCTCTTCCTACCGTCCTCAGGTCCAGGCGGCACCGCATCCACCATCACGATGGAGGACTCCTGAGTTCATCTTCTACGAACTTGTATTCTGTTTAGTTGTCCCTATAATGATATGGATCCCCGTGACTCTGAGTTCACGTACGTGTTCATTCTACTAGTACCCATACCCTTGTTCACCGCTGGTGTTCAGCGTCGCATCCCAATTACCCTCTTTACAGGAGGAGACTGTCCCCAGGGTGGCTATTTGGACTCAAAGTGGTGAGTCTTGTTTCGCGGAAAGTATATCTGCGGCTCCAAACAGACGAGGTGGAATCGGAACCTCTCTCTGTTAGAGAAACGAAGGATTTCTTGTCGTCATGTATTCTTCATAGCAAAATCCGGTTCCATATCGAGACTGCCGATTTACTTGCGTCATATAAAGTGGTGTTCAGCCTCCGCGCGGTTAACCCTTCGTCATTTGTTCAGGATAATAGCGACATTCAATATCGTTCTTTCAGAGGGAATATCCCTGCGCTCGTTATTCTTGTTGGATCTTTCCTGGCCGCCAAGTTTGTTTACACTCACTCAGCAAAGCGGTACATGTCTTTGCGACCCCTAAATAATACATATCATGTTCCATTCCTATTCACCTTCTCCATACTCATGCTTTTGGGCCTTCATGGCACGAGTATCGTCAAGATATTCGCGATCGTCACCGCCAACTACGGGATAGCTAAGACTTGCCGTGCATCGAAATTTGGGCCACTTCTGACATGGATATTCAACGCCGCTGTTCTGTTTGCCAATGAACGGAACGAAGGGTACCGCTTTGCCAGTATGCACCCATCATTGGAGATGTTGGTACGTCTGCTCATAATCGTCATGGCTAACGAGCTTATCTCAGTATGGCTCTCCTCAGGACAGTATAGAGGGCATATATCCTCGCTGGCATATCAGTTTCAATATCACCATGTTGCGCCTCGTTTCATTCAACATGGACTATTATTGGGCATGCAACTCTGCCGGAGCTACTGATGTGAGGCACGTCGCTCATGGTATCTCGAGGCATATCCTGACTTTCAGACGAAGCCAGGATCGACGTTGAGCGAGAAAGAGAGAGCCACCGTTTCACACACTCTCGAGTCATACTCATACACCAATTACATTGCCTATGCCCTATATCCGCCATTATACATTGCAGGGCCTATCATGACGTTCAACGACTTCATGTGGCAGGTTAGTCTTGGTGCGACCTGCTTGTGTTACTGTCTTGTGCGATAACTCAACTTTTGCACAGCTTTGCAGGCCAACTTCCTTGCAGTTACGCTCAACATTGAGCTACATGTGCCGACTTCTCGCTTGCTTCTTCACTCTGGAATTCATCCTGCATTTCATGTATGTTATCGCCATCAAAGATGCCAAGGCGTGGGGTGGAGATACTGCTGCCGAGCTAAGTATGATTGGGTTCTGGAACTTGATCATTGTCTGGCTCAAGGTCGACTCTTCTATTCCGTTGCATATATTGGTCATCTGATGCAACTCTCTTACTAGCTTCTGATACCGTGGCGTTTCTTCCGCCTGTGGGCGCTCGCGGATGGAATCGACCCTCCTGAGAACATGGTTCGTTGCATGGCAAACAACTATTCTACCCTCGGATTCTGGAGAAGCTGGCATCGCAGTTATAATCTCTGGATCGTCAGGTAAGACATCGCCGAGTGCATTTTGTCGTTGTTCAGCAATCGCGGTGAATTTAGGTATATCTACATACCACTCGGCGGCACGAAGAACGTCGTGTTCGCTTCACTTTTGATATTTTCTTTTGTTGCATTGTGGCACGACCTGTCTTTCCGACTGCTTGCCTGGGGTTGGCTTGTGACTCTTTTCATCCTTCCTGAATTGGTCGCTCGTTATCTCTTGAGTCCATCAAAGGTGAGTACCCCACTTTTATTGACTTAGCCCGCCCCAGTTGATCGTGCGATCGGCAGTACGGGGATAGAGTATGGTACCGCCATGTCTGCGCAATAGGGGCCGTATTCAACATCTTGATGATGATGAGCGCAAATCTCGTCGGCTTCGTCTTAGGGACTGATGGCATATCATACATGCTTCATCAGCTTCTCGGTAGCTGGGAAGGTAACTAAGGCACTAGGCTCAGAAGGATAGCCTTGCTTATCACTTTCCTATTCTGTAGGGATCCGTTTCCTCATGGCAGCGTGTACTTGCCTCTTTGTGGCTGCTCAAGTGATGTTCGAATATCGGTGCGTCTCCATCACCCACCCCCTTTCCAATGACATCGTCTGACCTTATCTCCAGCGAGCAAGAGCTCCGGGAAGGTATCGTGCGACGCTGTTGACATTGGGGAGTTTGCTTCTTTGGATTATACGGTACACCCATAGATTCGGTACTGATGCAGTGTACCCATGGCTATTACCCGGTGTAGTACTGGGCGCTATATTTTCGACTGCAACCTCTCGATGTCAGTCATTCGTTATCTTGCGGTTCTTCCCGCTTCTCGCTATCCCGTGCGCTGGCTGACAGAGATCTTTAGTGTTCTTTTTGTTGCACCGTGCTATGCTTGAAGTCTCCTCGCAAATGTATACAACCACATCCATATACTACTCGGAATTCTAAAAACCATTTATCCGGAGGATCGCAGCTACTACTGTGATGTCAACGATGTTAATCGAGAGAGTAGTGCGCGTGCATGCATCCCGTAACGTGTCTACCACTTCCTTGTCGACAGCAGAATGTCAAGCCTGCGTCGCATGTACAGGATACAAGTGTGGCTGTTATCTCGAGGAAGCCCTGGTCATTGAAGATCAGCCGAAGCTGCTGGATCCTGACCCCATTTCTCCACTGGACGTCCTCCAATAGAAGGAGCTGCTGCTGCCGTAGGACTCGAGTGTTCCGGAACGATTGATATCTCAATGCGGGATGAACAAATTGCAGTCATGAAGGTGCAGTGGTTCATGGAGGCCCGAGAATTTAGAGGCAGTTTTCTGACTAGCGGCCACTGTACTTACCGTCCTTTGTTTTTGACCATCATCGAACTGGCAATGTCTGGTTCACGTACATTCCGGCAAGTTCACTCCACAAAATAAGGTTAACGAAAATTTAAATCCAAAAATCGAGTAGACGAGCGTGGACTGAGATGATGTATGTATGCAGCGTACCTATTATAAGCGACAGGGAAATGATTTGCCTCCTACCACGACAAGAGTAAGGCTGTAGCGCGACCCGCTATAGTACAATGACATATTGGTCGCATGGTACAGAGCGCAATAGACTGGAAAGATTAGTACAATGCACGGGCTTATTTTATAAGCGCGGGATCGAATACAGACTCGACGGGAAAAGCTCGAGATACAAGTACAGAGTAGATCAAGAGAAGTCGCACATGGTTCGGCGGCCGGCCTTGTTGTGAATCAAAGGTGCGATCAAAACAAGCGCATACAATATGGACCTATGAAATAAATTGCATTGACCGTCCGTGGCATTTACTCAGTCTCGTCAGCACTAGTCACTGAGTGTCCGAATCCTGAATTACACATACCAATCTGCTTTCGTGCCGACATGGGAATCAAGTGAAACGATTGATAGCAATGCATATGCGCGAGGAACAAAGCCACAGATTACGGTGGTGAGGAGACGCAGAACGAGCACACCACAGATCATGCACATGGCTGCCGAATCACACAGAAAGATGCTCGTCGTTTCCAATACCTCGGACGCTGCATCGTATTGTGACTGAAAACTTGTGTACACAAACACCCGAAATTACATGAGGACAAGGGCGATGGTGGAGACCGCCGTCGCACCAAGGACAGCATAACCAGTGTTGTACGCTCCCTTGAGCGTCAAGACTGAAACGGCCATTTGAGCAGCTTGCGCAAATCGGAAGAGAAAACGGGACCATACATTTGCCCATATCCCAGCTCAGGTGGCGAAGGCCATTGAAGGAGTGGAACGCGAAAGGCAGAGCGAGGACAGTCTTGGCGGCATACTTGACCGCGTCAGGAGCAGCAGCGACGAACTCGATTACATGAGTCGAATCAAAGGTGGTGGGGGCAACGAGGTACGCGATGGCATATGCGTACAGCACTGAGGCGAGGTGAGCAATTCGGTAGATGAGATAGAACGACTCATGTGTCACGTACAGACGCTAAGACCAGCGCCTGTGACACGATTGGCAATCGACCCAAGCCAGGTGAGCTGCGGCTGGTAGATGGCAAAGTGTGGGCTCGAAGGGCGGTTCAGCCGCTGCTTGTTTAGGATATCCACGGAGGCGGAAGGTGGGAGCGACTGTGTCTGCACGCTTCTGTGATTCAGTAATCATGTTCATTCAGCGCCACTGACAGGTAGAAAACTTAGTATCAAATCACCGTTTGGGGAAGATAGCCCGTAGGGCTTGGGTTTGGCCTGCACCAGTTTTAGACAAATATTTGCTCCTGTAGAAGAGAGAGGGCGCACCATGCCTCGGCTTGAGGACGGCCCTCCTCAACGCTGGTCCCAGGCCGATAGTTCGTGTCGACAACATGATGCTTGGGAGTTACCTGTGGAGCTTGACCGTCTTGTGCGCGAGACGCACGACAGGAGCGTTCGGTAGCGGTCGGCCGTGAGTGTCAGTGACATGGTGTGACATAACTGTCACGTGCGTGGCGGAAACTCGAATGCATGCCAGGAGGTTGTTGCCTATCGACGTCAAATCCAAGGCCCGCTCGTTCATCACCACCTCAGGAATGAAGTAAAAGCGTTGTTGCTCGATACAGCATATATCGTCAGCCTTAATCTCATGTTTACACCAAAAAGTAATCTATGCAAACAAGTGCGATGATCCCATACTAACACATAAGCAAAATAAAAGCAGAGGTCAGTAAGTACAATTGGAATGTCATGAACAAATACGAGAAGCACCACACCGTCCCTCAATCACGAAAGCACCACAGATCGCACATTCCGTCGAAAACTCCCTGTCCGAGTTGTACGTATCCGGCTGCGGTTAATCCCAAACGCTGTGTCTATCAAAGAGAATCTTATGATTCCTCGGGCCACATCAACTCCGTCGCATCTATCGAGGGGAAGTCAGCAGGATCGTCAACCTCCATAGCGTCATCATCAGGGACCGCGCTGGAGGAACCAAGAGACGTCTCTTGGGGGCGCTGCACCACTACCGGCTCAATTACCCCCGAAGGCCTCTTTCCCTCTACCACTGACGATGCACCTTGCCTTGTAGGATCTCCCAGCTGTGCGTTCCCCCGGTGCGATCGCGGAATTTCGCGTGGTACAAGCAGAAGATTGGTACCGGGGGTAGCGGCCTCGGAAGAATATCCCAGCCTCATTAAAGGTTTAATATCACCGGCTTCGGGACGATGTGGAACAACTGAAGAGCGATCATGTAGAGGAGGCTCGTCTTCAGGTCTCGGAAGCTTCTTGAATTTTAATGAGCGCCAAGCTGGAGGGGCGAAATCAGGAGCGGATGTCGACGGGGAACAATCACCAATGCCAGAGGGATTGCCCTTAGAGCTACCTGCAGCGGAGGTGTTGCTCTTAGAGCTACCTGCAGTGGCATTCGGCGACTTTTTGACCATTAATGGTTTTTGTCCAATAGAGGAGGGCTTGGTAGTAATTAGCCTTCGTTTGATCGTGGAAGGCTTCGCACCAAGTGGTTGGCCGAGTCTTTCGACGGTTGACGGCCCAATAATAATAAGCTTTCGTTGAAAGGGGAGAGGCTTCCTCTCGGTAAGTGTCTTCTTTTCAATGACGGGCCTCTCGTCCTTAAAGACGGGCAGTGCTTCTCTCGCGGAAGCTGTAACACGTCTCTTCGGTAAATTGAGATGAAGAGTCCCCTCCTTTCTAGGAATAGTCGGCTGGCCGTCAAGGCGCTTCGGTAGAAATGAGTTCAGAGCAGGATGTGTAGGTGGTGAATGAATGTAGACGTACACGGAAGCGATATTTGCAAACTAGGTGGCCAGCCTTTCCCATTTCCCGCCAAGCCTGGATTAGAGGTAGTTGGTAAAGAGATTGCTTAGTACGTGTTAAGACTCACGGCTTCAACGACGTAGAGGCCATCGTACCGATACCTGTATAGTCGTTGGGGATCGATTCGAGTTGATACGAATACGACGACGTACCCTTCCGCAGGCGCAAAATCAGAATGAAGTTGGAATCCCCTCACAACACGCACCGGCTTTCTCGTCATTGAAGACACCTGTGAGGATCGGGGTCAATCCAAGGTCAAGTTGCTGAATGTGCAGCGTACCTTCAGCGACATGTTCTTCGGATTGTTCTCAAACGATTGATCGTAAGCTTGCGGACCTTCACGAGCCTTAGTAATTGCATGAGCTTTGGTGTTCAACAACGCGGTCAGGCCCACACACCTTATTCTCAGCACCGAGGTCCCGTCCTCCGCATCCAGTATATGTGCTGTCAGTCATAACGTGAGAAACATACGGCTATTAGGCACACATACGCACAACGAATATCCCGTATCTTCGTCGTCTTCATAACCTCCAGACATGACGATGCTAAATGCACCTTCGTCCTTGCGGCCATGGATCCCTTGCAGTATCCCGGCGTGCACGCTAAAGTCATTGCACTCCTGTCTAATGGCAGACCTTCATCATTTCCCGCAACCCAATTCCGCGAGGGAAAAGCTCACCTTGAGCGGAAGGCCGTGCCCACTGGAACGTCGGGAATGTGACCGAACACACACCTGGCAAGAAAGTTGTACGTGATCTGTGGAAACCTTGCAGATGAAGTCGACCTACGGATCGTGAGTTCGCTTGTGCCGAGGAGGCTGATACTTAGGCATGGTGGTCACTGGCCAGATAAAGATCAGTCGCCTTCTGAAGACTCGAGTCGAAGTCGAACGATCAACGTTCAACGAGATCGACGACGGCGCTCTGGACGTGACTGTCTCCGTCACACTGCTTATCTTCGCAATCCCACGCTGATCATTGCGAAGTTCGCAAACAAATGGATCACCAAACAAATGGATCGCCACACAAATGGATCACGATTCTCCATGAGCATCAACGATACCAGAGCTTTCTGTCACTTGCACCTTCGTTCCTATAACAGTGTCGGCCTGTATGAATCCCGGATACTCCGTTAATTTTGGGGTCTAACGTACAAGACGGGACGGTTGTGCTAGTACCTTTGGCTGACCCAGGGCGAGTATTTTACGTCGGAATATCAACCAATTGGGCTGCTGGAACGTTAGCCGGCAACCCGAATAGGAATGAATATTAGCTCTTTTCCAAAGGTCTTTACTCCAAAAGGCATGCCGAGTCTGTTCCTGGCGGAGTCGGTCGTTCCTGATCAGTATGTTCGAACAGAGTTGGGAACTCGTTCAAGTTCTGAGATCTGAGCAGCCGGTCTGACAATACTTAGACTCCTCAAGCAAACAGTGCTGCGACCGTCGTGACACAATTTAGACGTGAAGCCACGTCGAGCTTCGGTCCTTCACTGCGTTGTGTAACCTGCTGATGTGGCGTTTCTAGGTTTGACTGGCGGGATATAATTGAATGGCCTCTGCGCAGAGTCTGCGGAACAAGAGCCACATTCAGTGAGGGAGGCCCGAATGAGAGGTCCTATCATGTGGCGGCTAGTCTGGCCGAGCAAGCCGCCCAATTGTTTTGATCGGGTGGTCATAGTTAGTTATGGTTCCGCGAACCTCATAATCCCGTCTGGCGGGCCTGCGCTATACAAGGGCAGCGGCGGGTACCCAGCTTCACCCAACTTCCGGTACACGACCATGGCCGATGAGGTTTGTTTGCTTCGCGATTCGACGTCGCGCTTTACCTCGCTGATCGGACTTCTGAGTCGCAGCAGTCTTCTATACCCCTTCACGCGCTTCTCTCTATCAGCTTCTTGGTGATCGGAGGTGGTCAGTGCTGATTCTGACTACCCATGAGATTCTCAGTCTTCTCCAGCTCTCATTCTACAGGAATCTCTGGTCTCACAAGTGCTATTGCCCTCAGACGCGCTGGACATCGCGTGCTAGTGCTTGAGAAGGGAAATGGTATCAAGAATGTAAGGACCCAACGCATGTGCTGGACAGAGTATGAATACTATGCATTAGACGGGAGAGTCCGGCATACATGTGCCCGCGAATCTCACAAAAGTTTTGTTCAATTGGGGACTTAAGGACAAGCTACTACAATGCGGGCTGGTCTCGCACACTATGTTCCTAACGAAATGTGAGCGCTTTTTGCCGCTTCGTGACTGATACTCACTATCCCGGTTTTCAGACACTACTGGAGAGTTCCTTGGCACACAGGTGTGGGAGGAGGAAGTATTAAGAGAGACGCGTGGCGAAGTACTGCTAATGACCGTACGTCCTCCATTGATCATGCTAGATGCAGAAAATAACTGTCTTCGCACAGCATCGGAATCTAGTCAAAGTCCTGTACGATGCTGCAATATCCCTGGGTGCCAAGATACGTCACAATGCAGAAGTTGTAGAGATCGATGCAGCCAAGCGGCAAGTAACCTTAGCGTCGGGTGAGGTGTTAACGGCCGACGCGATCGTCGGTGCGGACGGTCCATCAAGTTTATGTAGAAAGGCTGTGATGGAATCGAGAGACCCAGGGAAGCCACTGGGCATCTCCATGTATGTGTATGTACATCCCCAAGATCATCGGCACTTAAACTGTCCAACACTTACTGTGCTTATGCAGCGCGACTGTCCAAGAGGAATATGTATCAAAAGACCTCTTCCGTTCAGACGGCCTTAAAAATAATGATGTAAGTATAAACATCTCAAGACGTCTTTGCCACCACAGCGATGAACACAACTGCGTTCGCTGTAGCATGTCCTTCTCGTGGCGTTTGGAAGCCGTCAGTTTGTGATGAGTTATCCAATGGTAGGTATTTCTCTTATTAGGTGATTATTGCCACTAATGCATATCAAGGGCAACGGAAAGTACTCGGTACACTTCTATACGGCGGATGATGTCGCCGTGGGACAGTATGGAGACCCTCCTTCTGCAGACTTGAAGAAATTAATGGTCAACTGTGAGCCAAGGTGAGGGTTCACTGTCTCACAGATTGTCGATATGGTTCTATGTGATCCATGCAGACTGTTGAGGATGGCTCAACATGCGGGACCTGCGGTGCGGGTCGTCATTAAAAACTATACTCTCAAGGCAGACTGGATACACGAAACCGGGCACCTCGTGGTCATCGGCCAGGCCGCACATCCTTGGCCGGTAAGCGCTCACTTCTTGCAGTTACGGATGATGCCAACCCATGATCTTGCGTCGCATTACAGGGCTGCACAATCCAAGGAAGTGCCATGGCTGTAGAAGATGCGGCGGTCCTCGGCAAGCTCTTTTCGCATCTAAGTAGTGAGGATCAGATACCCGACTTCCTCTCCGCGTTCCAAGACCTACGACAGCCACGTGTGAAACAAATATTCCCAAACGAGCTCGCAAGCGTGTTCTTTTCTATGCTTGAGGATGGGGACCCTCAGCAAGTGCAACGGGATGAGGCCATGCGAGCAAAACACAAGTCGGGCGTGTCCGTGCTTGACAATTTGGACGACAGCCCCGAGTGGGACGAGCTGAGGACGACATTTAATTATGACTGCGAGGACGAAGCGGATGACTGGTGGCTGAAGTGGGGCCGCTTGCGGGAGCAAGCACGGAGCAGAAATCCTAAGACATTGGGTACGAAGTTCGTCATGGATGTTCAGGTCAGCGAAACCACCAGATTTGCGTAGAATCCTATGGATGGGTTTCTTTACAGGGCGGTGTAACGAACTAGGTATCTCACGTATTCCTCCTCGTCGTTCTGTGCTTCGGTATGTATTAGCTTTTGAGGTGCTTTCGGTGATCAGCGCTATCGTGATGTTGATGTCCCTTTCTCGTTTCCATAGAATGAGGCGTTATGACTCCGTCCAGGGTTCCACTCTATGGGTAACAATTTGCCGTGATCTGCGCGGGGTCAGGCACGGCTTTTTGATGTGTCGCACTCAGTAGTTACCCAACTGACTTGGTAACGACACGTTCACTCAATATATACTCACGCTAATTGATGCAAGAGCCGAGGTCTTCCGCCGATGCTCAGGTGCGCACGAGCCTAGCTGGATTTGTGAGATTCATACTCGGTTTACAGACCAACGAACGTCTCTTAAGGCAAGCACTATCATTATTGCACAGGCAACACGTACCCCAAAACATCCGCCTCTCCATGGATGCAGAAGAATTGAGCGATATTGTGTCACATTCCTCCTTACTGTCGGGAGGAGGTGGGTAAGAGAGACAGGCTCACCGTCATAGAACATGCTTCGCCTCGCGCATCCGGCGGTACCCACCGGCGTCATCGACGTTGATGTGTCCATAAGCATTGCGGTTTGACAATTTGTTCAAGGAGGGGGTGGGACATAGCGTCGGGTACTGTCTCGCCCGTCTTCGCTTTCCACCTGTCAGTCAGAATCTTCCGCAAGATCTGGGGGAAACATTATAACATTCTTAACATGGCGGTAGTAGCTGCATTTCTTCCGATACTGTAATCGGCTCTGGTAATTCGAAGTAGCATGTGAATCTGGTGGGCAGGAGTCTGAAGGAGAGTATGGAGCAATAAAAAAGGACGCACTAGAGATATCAGTCAGCGAGCGGGAGCAATAGCACGGCGAAGCTTGAAACGCGGAGAAGAATCGCAAAGTAATGAATAACTGACACCGAGAAGAATTGGGGGTGGGGAAATGAGTCCACCCTGATACTGAATCACCACTCCCAGGCAAACACATACAACGATATCCCGATGATCTCATACCTTAGGCTCCGCCTCTAGGTGGAGCGAAGACCTCTCTTGTGCGCGTACCGCAGCTAACGTCGGGAGTAATTCATCAACGTGCATCCAGGCTTCCTCGACTTCAGGCGTCCAGCCGGAATCGTCGATCTCCCGCAGATTGGGAAGCAGGTCTGAGAGGAATGCAGCGATCTTCCCTGGAGGGAGGGGTCCGAGCCTGATCCACTTCAACGCGGTGTTCACGTAGCCAGCACCAGGCCTCTGCCCCGGTACGATGTTGTCTGTATTCTCCGTATCGACGTCCAACATCAACTGCGTGAGCTGGGGACAAAATCGCACAAGTACTATCATGAGGGGGGAGTTACCGATCTTTGAGCGCTCGGGCTTCCTCTTCTGTATTCCGGGATGCTTTGTCTTCATTTTTACATGGGCAGATGTATGCACTTCCACATTACATTTTGCAAATTTTTTTACATGTTCTCGTGGTGAGGAGGGAGAGACGGCAAGATGCCGGTGGTGGGTGTTGACGGGGGGTGGTGTTGCTGATTTTGTCACACAGATGTCACGCTCATCTCGCGGACGGAGCGCTCACGCGGGTGCCATATCGGGCTATACGTCGTCACGCTTTTCATCGGGAGTGTTACAAAATGCAGGCTGAAGCATGTCTGATTGCCCAAAACACTTATCGGGATGGTGGAACACAGTGCTGTAGCACATATTGCTATCACCCAAACATCACTTGGGTCAGTCATTCTCAGTATCAAGAGAGATCTTTGATATTAGTACACCTACCATAGTTGCAAACGCGGTATTTGATGTCTCATTCAGCAATCCCGGAATGCCTGAACCCCTGGCTTGGTAGAACACATCTACTGGTGTATAGTATCGTCCTACAATTTTATCTGATTTATTTATTGAGTGTGGAAGCAGCGACGGCAGTGTTGCCGATTTTTTGGATTTCGCAACTCCCCCCACGTGATAGTACACTACCAGATGAGCCGGGTACCGGACGGATGACCAGGACCGGAGTTACCTGGTGGATAACCATCGGGTACCCACCAGAGGGTTTTGACACAGTACCCACCGTGTAAATAATATAGTTAACTGTAGTTTAACCAATGATGGCTATCTCGCAAGTAAACCGGGGATATACATAACGTACCCACTGGGTACCGGACCGGTAGCTGGCTCTGGTTACCCAGCGGGTAACTGGAGCTGTATACCGTGTCGGTATCCGCTGAGCAACTCGCATGTGTCTAGCACGCAACCTGTGGTCCCGGCAGGGGATCACAAGAGGCAGGTTACACTGCCATATAATTGCACAATATTACTACATTACAGTACTGTACAGGAATACACAGCATGTAAATACATGGTTAGAAAACTAAAAGGTAGATAGGATGGGCTGGAAGGCAAGTGAGAGCGATAGCACATTGGCGGCCCCGGATGGCGGGAGGAGCGCAGCAGGGGGTTCGAGCTTCACAGAGGCCAGCAAGGTGCTGCAAGCTATGGTTCCATCCTGTGAGAAATTCCACTGTAAAGGTACTTCAGGAGCTCATCAGTAGCAAATTTGCAAGCCGAGTCATGCTAAGCCTCACGCAAGCCGCCCTTCCCATTGCTCCCCACTCGCGTTCGCACTCTGCATGTCAATGCGGCTCGGCTGGGATAGATGATGTCACTTCCAGAAATATGGGAATATCATACCTTCAAGATCAAATGTCGCAAGGAAAGAGAGGTCGACCGAGAACGCGCGTGCAGTACCAGTGAGAAATTGCTAAGTCCAAACGCCCATGTTGATCTTCAATAAGCCAAACAAAACACAACAAATGACGGGAGCTCTCGCCGCCCGTCGGATTCAAAGTTCTGCTTTCATTCTTACATCTTATATTTACTTAGCCTGCCGGTAAATATTGGCCTCATTGAAACCCAAACATCCAATGGAGGACCTTTTGAGAAGCATGCATAGGGAGGGAGACTCAAACATGATGCTGACAGCGACAGCGACAGCAATATTTGCGCGCCGAATCCCTGCCCCCGCCGACTGTACGCACGCATACTACGACGGCAACAGCAACAGCGGCATGGGCTGAGAGAGATATTATGAACATGCTTAAGGAAATCTTAACAGATTTGCACCATCAACACCGAAAATATTGTAGTCTGATAGGCAATGTCGTACAGCATGGATGCTTGCCGGTACCACACAGTTACCCAACGGGTACCCAGCGGATAACTGACACTGGGTACCCACCAGTTACCCAATTCCAGTTACCCACCCGGTAACTGTACCATGGCGCCAGCCGGTAACCGCCAGCTACATAGAAAGTAACTAGTGAATGACTACAAATTAACTAACGGTAGGTAAACACCAGGTATCCAAACCATATACCGGATGGTTAGCTGAGTTTAGTTACGGACTGTATGCTTGATATGTAACCAGCGGTTACATGCTAACTACCGGCCAAATGTTTTCGGACCCAGTATCCGCCCAGTACCCGCGTCGCCTGGTGGTGTACGGTTGCCGAGGATGGACAGGTCTATTCCCCAAGTTCTCGACACAAATCTCTGGTTGTGGATCAATTGTTTGATGGGAAAAATAGATATTTAATTTGGTTAGATGTCTGCCAAGCCCACTGATTCTCACGCCTACTGCCGCTCCGCTGTATCGTGCTCATCGTCCTGCACGATGAGCTCGCAGAATTAGCTGTTGCTCTCTGTGACAAGGGGGGGGAGAGGCAGTAATGTCATTTGCTTTTATAAAGTAAATATCCATTTTTTCAATAAACAACAGCTTCGGTAAGCAAGTGCATTATTATTAACTTGCAGTCAGTGCTTGAGCGTGCACGAGGATAGCATAAATCTGATGGTAGAGTACACTACATGCCTTACTTCAAGTCAAAGATATGGTATAAAATATATATCAGACCTATATACAATATAATTTCCCTTTCTGCAGGTGCCCAATGCACACAGCCTGGTGTCAGCAACAGTTGAGAAAATGCAACAGCGATGTGAGGGGAAGGAGGAGCTGTCGCTGCTGGTGCGGCATGTACAGCTCGTGCACTCGGTGATTGCAGGGCCATCCGGAGCAGTGGGCGGACCCTCGAGGATGCTCTCACCAAGGCACATCGCCAACCTGGTGGGAATCTGAAGAAGCAGATATCCAGTAGTTGCGCAAGGGAAAAGGAGAGCTGAGCAGGGGACTACATACCTAGAAACCCTCGGGACATCATGACCTTCCACATATCAACGGGGGGCTCCACATCTTTGAAGCTCTGGCAAAAGATTCCCGCCATCTCGGGCTCGTCAATCAGGTCCTGGTACAATGTGATGTACTCGTGCTCGAGTGAGTCCGTCGCATTGATGCACTTGCGCGAGTTGAAGATGAGCATCTTCTGGAGGTCGATCACTCTCAGTAGGATGGAAAAGCATAAGACACTGAGGGACGTGACACATGTGAGATAGGGAAGAGGAACCAGGAAATAGGGGGATGAGAGCGGCACACAGTGATGCACCTACAGCCTCACTAGCAGAGCGAGAGAAAGCAGAATGGCCGACTGACCAGTGCCGCACCAGTGACCTGTGAAATGAACTTTCAGTCTGTACGTAAACAAAATATTCACAGAGAGAATATCAGTGAGCCAGTAGTAGCAAGTAGGCAGAATATACACCAGCAACATCATGCATCATGCAAAGCAATGAGCGCGACATGGCAGACGGTGAGTATGTGTAAGAAATGGCGGGCAAGCATCTAACTGGCCACGCCTCGGCACTCAATTAAATATCTATTTTTCCCATCAAACAATTGATCCACAACCAGGGATTTGTGTCGAGAACTTGGGGAATGGACCAGGCTCCTAAAACCATCCGTCGCTATAGTGTTCTCGCTCCTTTATCCTAACAGCATGTTTTAGTGATCATGTGACATATGTTTTATGAGACCTACCCTTTTGAGCGAAAATTACGGGATAAGGAAATTTGTACGGAGGAGGAGAACACTATAGGACGGCTGGCCAAACTGGTCATCCGAGGTTACGCCGAACGCGTGCAACCAGCATTTCTCGCAGAAAAAGCGGAGCAAACCCTAGCTTGGGTCTTATTTTTCTCTGTGTAAGCGACCCAAATCTGACGTGCACGTAGTGCACGAGTGAGCCCACCAGGCATGCAACACATACACATTATTGCTTACTTCATTGTTTTAGAGGACTGCTAAGTATTGCTGAGAGCATCAGGCTCCAGAGTGGATAAAAGTGAAGTGTCAATGCAACTCTGAGTCACTAGTACTGTGCTCCATATAAATTTGTTCTTAATGGCCTTGCAGCCAATGTGCCTGAAATATATGACAACTGGGTAGTCTTACACCTAGTTTAGTGCACCTTCAATACAATCAACAGCCCCGGGGCTTGCATTGTGCGATGTGGCGCGACGGTGGGCGCACTCGTGCAGTACGCGAACGTCGGATTTGGGTCGCTTGCGCAGAGAAAAATAAGACCCAAGCTAGGGTTTGCTCCACTTTTCCTGCGAGAAATGCTGGTTGCGCGCGTTCGGTGTAACCTCGGATGATCAGTTTGGCCAGCCGTCCTATAGTGTTCTCCTCCTCCGTACAAATTTCCTTATCCCATAATTTTCGCTCAAAAGGGTAGGTCTCATAAAACATATGTCACATGATCACTAAAACATGCTGTTAGGATAAAGGAGCGAGAACACTATAGCGACAGATGGTTTTAGGAGCCTGGGAATAGACCTGTCCATCCTCGGCAACCGTAACAAGGTGGACAAGGGCATGGAAGGTAGGAGACGGTGGTCGATCAGAAAGTGAGACCAACGTCGACTCGCGTAGATGGGGCAGGGCCATCGCCAAGTCTCTGACAGAGTCGTCGCTCAGATCAACGTGACTGTCCGCTGCAATCGCGAGCTTCCTCAAGATCGAGAAGGCAAGCAGTAATTGCAGTGATTCCGCATTGAGGTGATCTGTAGCCTCTTTGTCCACATCTCCCATCGTCAGCTAAAATTGCTCCAATGAAGAGCAGCAACAATGATCGTGTACCATTCGCAAAAATAACAGCAGATCGGTGATGATGCATGTCTGGAAGGAGAGTGATTGGATGAGGGGAAGATGAATGGAGGCCAGGATTGCAGTACACGTTGACAGTGATGCGGCGCCGAGGGAGAACTCTGTGAGAGTTTCAAACACCAAAGGTGTTGAGAGCCTGAGAAATGGCTCGCCATACTCAAACAAGGTGATGATAAGTGATTGCAGACGAGGAAGAGACGTTAAGTGCGTCACAATCTCATGGGAAATGACTTTGCTTCGATATCCGACTGATCGGAGGGCATGAAAGTCATTGATGGCGGCTGGAAGCATTGCTATGATGCGTGATAACTTGACGTCGCCTTCAGGCTCTCTCCCACAGAACGTGCAGCATTTGTTGCCCAATCTCTTCCTCCACTTGTCTTTTTGTCCACAACGTCCCATGTCGCCATGTCGGTAATTCCCCGTAGGATGAGCTTGCGGGTGGAATCAACTGCAAAATGCACCAACATTCCGTCGTTGTCCTTAATATCAATGTTGCCACCACGGTCGAGGTACCACTTGAGGCCATCCGCCGCCCGCTCAACGAGACTTTTGTTTTACGGTTGCCAAATCAAGCAGTCACTGGGTTGGATAGGCCTTCTGAAATACTGAAAATTTGTGGAAAATCATGAGCACTAAGGTAGCCTAGGCAAACAAACAATTCATATCATACCAACCTTGTGCGCCAGAAACCCTCAGACACAGTCGCTCTTGCTTCCCACAGATCTTCAGGCATGCATTTGATCAAATTAACCAGGTCATATTGCATATACCAGAGTGCATCCAGGGCTTGGTCATGAAAGCAGCGACAGGTCCTTGCAAGAGCGGCAAGACTAGGGAAAGATTCACGCGAATTCAAGTCAAAGGTGTTGATGATGATACTGACAACATCCCCGACCAACAAGCAGCGATGCATGGTACCAAGTACATAGACATAGAATTTCCTCCTAATAGCGGAGACGTTGTCAGTGAGCCGTCGGTGCTGTTAACGCCGCTGAGGTCAACGCGGTGTGACAAGTTGTGACAGAACGCGCCATCCTACCAAAAGGAGTGTACGATTGATTGTTCGGATTCGATTGGCGCCCTGCGGGTGCTCATGTCACATCATCTCGGTTTTTAGTTGTACTTACACCGGAGTAGTCGGCCCCATTTGCAATAAGTCAGTAAAGTCTTGTAAGTAGATTGCAGTGTCTTGGGCTGTTGCCTGGATGTTGGTCGGGCCTAGCCCATACTCTGATGACAATCTCAACGCAGACAGCGATGTCGTGCAGGCTGCAAGTACTAGTATTAGCGACACTCAATTTTGTTTATTGCGCTGTTTATTTATTTCGCTCCTGCCTAAAAGAGATGTGATGGTGTCCAGATTTAGACGTTATGAAATGTTCCTCCCTACCCGCATTTTATAGATTAATTCCGATCGGAGTTGAAATTAAACATTAGCGCTTGCACAGAGCGAGCGCGGCCCTGCTGAACATGGCTCGGCGCCATCATGCACATTTGCGTTCATCAGCAGCTGCTTTGGACCTTGAAGCTGTTGCTGCACTCCTCCTGGCAGATGCTTGCAGTGTCGAGGAAGAGATCATGGCACTGGCGATTGCTGAACTCATGCTCAAAATCCGGCAAGTGCAAATTGGCAGATACAGTTGCAGGGGGTGGTACGATCAAGTGAAGTCTGAGGATTTCTTCGACATCATTTTGCACCATTCTTCAGACCGCTGGTTTCATGACTCCGGTGTACACAGGGAGAAGTCCCACTGGTTCTGAGAAGCCATGTAGCATTACCACTGGACTGCGCTCACTCTTCCGGCCTACAGACCATTTGCAAGTCTGAATGTATTTCTGCATAAAAAATTCATTTATTTCTACGAATAAACATGCTACATCCTCTCACCTTCCTATCTTAGACTGTTGCCGTACCATGCCGCCTGTCCTTTTTAGGACCAGTGACGCAATAAACTGGCAATAAATAAACAAAATTGAGTGTCGCTATTAAGATGTTCGACGCGCTGAACATTCCGCGCCATCATCAGTGTCGAAAGAGGACGGCGCCGCGGTGCCAGTCGGATGTCGGGCGTCGGGCACAGGGTGCCAATTGCCTTATCCCACTGCCGAATTACAGGAGGGTTTCTAATGTCAACAAATGTCTCTAATGAAACCTAAGTATGTTTACTAATTGGATTTCAAAGATCCGGAAGTTGGGAAACGTATGAAATTAGCTGACTACGCCAACTACGTGGCTCAGGTACAGAAAGGCACCTCGTCAGCTACAGCTAAAGTATGTATGGTAAAGTAAAGTAAAGTAATGCAATAGTAAAGTCCTTCTGCAGCTCTGCTGAAGCTTGCTATGCACCTGTTCTCCTTGAAGTACCTGTAAGCATTCCGAAGTCCCGCAGCCATGAAGTCCATCGTTCTTCCCAGTCATCCACGGCACAAATCGCATGAATACAAATGCAGCCCTCACAAACTCACTGGCTCCAACTTCAATCCTTCATGATCCATGATCCATGTCCTCCCAATGATGGCCAGTCATCAGATGGTCACCAATCAAGGTGCACAACAGATGATGTTGTACTGCAAGAGGGCTTGTGAAGGTGATTGCTTCCAATGCAACTGGGGTCGATGGAAAGTTGAATGACGAAAAATCGATAGGGGAGGAGAGAACGGCACTGAGAGGCATCGCACGAGAATGGTGTGTATCAGTCGGAGCCCCTATTGAGACAGAGTCTCCTGGATGCAGAGGACATGGCACCGAGTTGACAGTGCACTGAGGAAGAGAAAAGAATAAAGCAAAAGCATCAGATGGTGAACGTCAAAATGTCGAATAATAGGGGCTGATGTGGTTTTAATATTTTCTGGCACCGGCAGTCCCTGCGTCGAACCCCACCGTGAGCGGGACAAGTCACGGCAGGATTGCCACTGTGAACAGACTGTAGTGTCGGCGCGGTAACGGTAACAGTAACGGTGGTGGTGGTGGGGCCCTTCGGCTGGACGTGACGTGACCAGGCGCCCGCTGGGCGCCAATCGAATCCGAACAATCGACCGCCCTCTCTACCGAAAGCACTATTCATAAATCTAATACAAAACTATTCTCAACTAGTCCAAAGTTGTCTATCAACCGTCTCACGCTTCGCATGCCACTTACAAAGATTTCCCCGCTGGTAACCGCGTCTGCACAGTTCGACTGAAGTCCCCATTCGACAGAATCGTCCGCCTCACCTCCTCACAGATTGCACTGAAAGCCTTGCCAGCGTATTCGAAGTCAGACAACTGCAGAACCATTTCGATTAGCTCCTTTCACGGGACCAGTGATGACATGATTTACCTCATTCCAGACCTGTGCACTGCATCTGCACCACCATGCACCCCCATGGAAATAGTACGCCGCGTAAGTGTTCCACTCGGACAACAGCCTCTCGATCAGAAGAGCATGAATGCTGGCGAGTATTTCAGGTGTATATACATCCAAAGGAGAGCTCTCGACAGGCAACGGCAACAGCACATTTGTCTAGCATCGGAGAGTTTAGTATGAGAATCAGGAGCAATTTCCAACGGCATGATTCACCATGTTCAAGGTCAACTCTCCGCTCTCATCCATGACCTTCGTACCGAGAACCTCTGCCAGCCTTTGTCCTCCCTTGACGGCGAGATCGTGACAGTATGCATTAATCTTGGCCTCTCCTCCGAGCCACTCACGAAAGTCAAGGGCTGTTGTACTGATTAACTGGCAGTAGAGCGAAATCAGAAACAGCGAGCTTGCCTGCTCCGACACTCAAAAACGGCGTCTGATCCATAGTTCCCGTCCCTGAGAAGTCGCATAAGTAACATTGTCGTGTTATATCCAGAAAAGCCGCAGTTCCACGACGTACATTCGTGCTGTCCAACGAAGTTAGTACCGTCGATGCTTAACCACGGTCGAGGTGGATCGTGAGGTGATACATATTCGTGGGAGGTCGGGAGAGACGACTTGATGATGTGTTGGTTTCTGCAGTGCGACAGTAAGTTCAGGGACCGTAGCAGGAAGAATCTCAGGTGCATCCCCAGTCATATTCACAAAAAAAGCGCCGTATTATCCACTCCATTTGTCTGAACCTTAGTCAAGCGGTTGCTACGCTCACCGTTTGGGCACATATAGAACAGCACATCCGCGCTTCACGTAGAGCCACTTGTGGCAGTTGGAGATGAAGAAGTCTGGTTTGGCTTCCCGGAGGTTAATATCGACCTACAGCATTCCAAGGCATGCTTGTCAGATAACTCGGAGACATACAAAGATAGAGGCCGACCTCTTGTCCGATACTATGTGCGCCGTCAACAAGGCTCCACACGCCTTCTTCCTTACAGACACGCACCATTTCCTTCCAGGGAAGTAGCACACCCGGGTTCGACGTTAAGCTATCAATAACCGCGACAAATTTGTTCTTCTTCTTACACCCTTCGGGCACCACGGCGTCCGACGGTGCATCGCTGAAATCTACGTCGGGATACAGCTGTTTAATCTCTCTAATGCGGGCGCGGAATCGGTCGACTATCTCCACATGCGTCATGGGGAAGGTATATGCGATAGTGTGCACTGTCGGTCGAGGCTGTTCGGAGCGATCACTGAGGTACTGCAATGTGCGAGAAACAGCGCCGTAGGTCGTCGACGCTGTATCATCAGTCAACTTCACGATTAAGATCAGGTATCTTAGGTTCTCGCTCAACAGACCTCCAAGCATCACATCGCTCTCCTTCCACTCAAAGTTTCTGAGCACCGTATTGATACCGTGCGTCGCGTTGGGGACTAAGACCACCTCGTCGAGTTCGGCACCAATCAAATTGGCGACACGGCCTCTGGAAGACCCCGTGCGTATCAGAGTTGCGGACGATACACCACATTGGAACGGTACATGCCTCGCTTCCTTCAACATGGGCATATAGGTAACGCGGTGGAACTTATCTGGATTCCTTTCTGCGAGCATTGTGATTTTGGTACTTGCAAAAATAACCGGAAGAGGCTGAGATCCGTATGAACCTGAATATGAGAACATAATCAGTACGGATAATTCGGAAATATCCCAGCCATGTTCCAGCTAGGTCTTCATCGCGCTGTGCTGTCTGGGGAACAGTACGTAAACATGCCACCAACTTACCATGGTTAAGATTCACATATCCTGCGTCGAATGCCCAAAAGTGCTTGAGCGCGTGGCCAAACGGGGGAGGTTCTGAGCCAGCATCGTAAGTATGGCCTTTCAAGCCTTCAATGGAGGGTTGATCGTTGGAATTGATAGCTGTCATGGTCCAAACTCGAGAGCTTCAAGTTGGACGGAAATACTTATCGACGAACGGAACTGCCTGCAGGAAGTAGAGGGCGAATTTATGCACAATGGAAACCACTCATTGATATACAAGAGTTGCGGATGACTCGATCATGACTCGATTATCAGTCCGGTCAATTGGTAGAAAAACCGGCAGGTCATCAGTCTACACAGTAACACGTGACAACGAAATGCAGGTCCTGATATGGAAGGCCCTCAAATTCGACATCCCGGCTTGAACGTGACGCTCAATAATCCTCGGGGACTGAAAATGCACCCTCGTCAGCGAATTGGCACCATCAGACATAGGATATATACCTGGAGGAATGTCAACCTCGTCCTCGTTCAAGTACCATGCCACTGCAGGACAAAAATAGTCAAACCGCGAGTGATAAGGTGAGTCAGTAGGTACTACGCACTATCGCCTGTCATCGTCTTCTCGTTATAAGTCTGACCATCGCCCAGCCAGTACAGTCGGTTCTTGATGCCATTGACAGCCTCATACGTGTAATCTTCCCAGCGCGGATGCTTAATGGCGCGTACCGCGTGTAGGCAAGATCCTGCAGAACACAACACAAGGTGAGCAAGCTGGCGGTCAAGCAGCTGCAATGTACGAGCCAGGGTATAAACCAACAACACGCCCTTCTTCTTGGCCCATCTTGTACCACGAGCGGCACTTATCGCTATAGACAGTCTTGTCCGATGCTGGTCAGGACAGCGGCGGAAACCATAACCACGACATACCTTAGGAAAGTAATGCTACGAGATGCACGACGTCAGCGAGATCTCTGCACGGGACCTGATTTCCAAATCACCTCGAGATACTCGTCGAAGTCTTCCAGAGCTTCTCTCTTGACTTCGATGCTCTTCAGCCATTCTCTCTGCAGTTTCTTCACAACCTCAACTGCATATTCAACCTGACGTTCAATTAACACGAGTAGCGATCCGGACCCCACGCCTGAATTAGGTCCCAAGGAAAAGAACCAGTTCGGAAATCCGTCAACGCAGAGAGTCAAGTATGTCACGGGATGGGGACTCCATTTATCACGAATATCCGTGCCATCTCGTCCGATTATAGGAAATTCGAGCTGAAAGCTGGTGTCGTATCCTGAAAAAAAGTCAACTGCTGTTGCTCTGACGGGGCGAAGCACGTACCAGTCGCACATATGATGATGTCCAGATCATCATGTTTGCCGTCCACGGTCTCGATTCCAGTCGGTGTGATTTGCTTGATGTGTGTCGTGACAAAGTCAACCTGCAAATACAGGACGATCAGAACTATGGAGGCGCAGAGGCGAGACGAAACTTACGTTGTCCTGCGACACAGCTTCCAGATAGCCAGGACCAGGTGTCAGTCGTCGACATGCCACCGAGAAGTCCGGGATTACTAGAACGGTGAAATTCAGAAGATACAAACGAACGGACAGCAATTTCCCCTTACAATGATCTGCAATCCATGGCTTCTTCGCTAATTTCTTTCTCATATTGTCGGCAAAAATGGTGCGGGCAGCCAGCTGGCTCTCAGTTCCTCTGAGAGTTGAGGAGTGATTTGACTATGTCTCATCAGGTGAATGGCAATAGACGTGACAGAGTGAGTTCACGCACGTTGAGGTCCGACTCGAGTTCATGCCTGAATTGCTTATAATAGACCGGATCCTTGAACGTCTCTTTATCTTCTTCACAGAACGTATCTGACGAAGGGGCTCGTCGTTAAGTGGGCTGCACCCATCCTAAGTGTCTCGAACGCACAATTTTCTGCAGTCGGGTCTCGCTTCAACAATTCCGCAAACTTTGCTCCGGAAAACGGTGTCGAGAGCCAAGTCTTGCCACGAACGTAGTTTGATAGCTTAGCGACCCTCGGTTGAATAGATGGCACAAGTTGAAGCGCACTCGAGCCCTATTCGATGATCTAGGGGTTACAATAAGCACTTGCAGAAAATTCCCGGCGACTCACAACTCCAATTACGCCAACCTTCTTGTCCTTCCAATCCTCCACTGCCTCCTGCCATGTCTGATTCCCTACCTCAAAGTCCGCACTATGGAACAACTTCCCTTTGAAGTCTTTCAAGCCTTCGATGTCGGGCCAAGTCCACCTACTAAGCCCTCCAATACCCGTAAACAGGAAGTCAGCCACGTCCTCGAACTCCTCGAACTGTTCACCGTCCGAGTTCGTGCATGGCACGGGTCTGCGAATACGCAGGTACCACTTCCCGCTCGGCTCATCATACCGTGCATGGACGACTTGATGCCGCAGTTTGATGTAGCGCGTCAGTTTGTACTTGTCCACGACGCCCTCCAGATAAGAACGGATTTCCGGACCCGGAGCATAGAAACTCGACCAATCTGTCTGATAGACTTCATGACAAACGACTTTATACGGATGTATGCCACACTCACCTTCTCTTCGAAGGTATATTGGTACTTCGGATGGGCATCAATCAATGAGCGAATCACAGCAGCGTGTGCAAACTCACACAGTGAGCGGGAATGTCGCACGCAAGCCCGCTTTATAACGTCCCACACTTAACGAGAGAGGAAACATGGTAATAGATGCAAATGCTTACGGATACTTGTTGCTGAACCATGTCCCACCTACTCCAGCGTTCTTGTCATAGATGGTGAGGTCAAGATTCTGGAGCCTTTGCGGAAATCTATTCGTCACAGTCAATATGCAGGTAAACATCCAAAAGCTACGACGACGAGTACCTTATTCCCGCAGCGATCCCACTGAATCCCGCGCCAATGACCACAACTTTGATAGGTCTGTACTCATCTATGGAGAAAGTTCCGAGCTTAAACTGAGGCTCTTCCTGGGATGCATCGGGGGGTTGAGTAGAATCTGCAGCAAAGTCACCCATATTTGCGCAATGGAGTTCTCTCGGGAGTGCAGGTCGTGAACCGACCCCAGCCTCGTATAAAAGCCACCGGTCCTCGCAATATCATGCGCGCGTCGCAGACCATGCAGGAACTCAGTCGGTGTGGGAAGGACAGTCATAATTTAAGCTATCCGTGAGTCGCATAAGATCGAGGTTGAGACGTCCGATGACCACACCTAGCCACCCACGAGAATGATTCAGTCATTCTGATGTACAATTGAAGTAAGCAATTGGACACGCTTCTACATCACATGAAAGGAACTGTTGGATCGATCGCATTAGTTGCGCCCTTGCGAATTCGGAGACAAATATGTTGAACCTTCGCACCAATATTTTAGGCAAATCAGTACATCCTGTTTTTAGGATAGGAAGTTTCAGCGAAACCGTGGTTGTAATTGCGACGTTAAATAATGAGAAACCACAGACAATCCTGCAGACAATCCAATTGGTAATCTCGGAGATCTAGATCGCAAACGCGCGGACCAGGGCCAACCTCCGAATAAACCGGGAAACTATTGAAGCAAGAAATCGCTGACGACACTCCTCATCTCCTCCCGGGCCATTCGCAACGTTCGAGTAAGTGCGAACCCACCCAACTAAGCAATGGCGTAAGAACTGTCTTAGTGATGGAGGGATAGAGTGATGGTGGGGCAGCACGACTGCTCTTGCTGATAAGCGTCGTATGGCATGCATAACACAAGTAAGGCATCAGGGTTGGCGTGGTCGAAAGTCTTGGGGTCACGCTGTCGACGGACAGGTGAAGAAATGGAATCGGATCGATTTCAACATTTGAAGATAGGCGGAACTGTACGGAGATGCTAGAAGTCGTGAATACATGCAGGTGAGCAGACTAAGGGAAAAAAGTGTACCTTCGTTGCGTGCATGAGAGTACTGAGCAGCAACGAAGGTCGCGTGGTTCGTATATCAACGTAGTACCGTAGAAGGAAAGTGTTGTGGTTTAACCCGAGGGCGGGGTACCTACACAGGGCAGCAAGCTGATGGAAAAGTCTTCCAAAATGGGTGTCAAACAGGCAAGTGACCTGCCACCGCAGCTTCATTAATACACTAACCAAAGTCCTTCAGATTGCCGAACTCATGACCTCGTTCGAGTCGGTTAGACGCCATGAAACGCTTCGGTGGTAACAGAGAGGATTGGCCAGTCCAAAACATAGGCAAAAATGACCTTGTACTCCTGGAATGCAACGTCTACCGCTGGAAGGTCAACAACAAAGGGAAAGCAATCTATAATGATGATTGGAGGCTTTGGCGTACAGCATTCGAGATTCTCACCGTCAACCTCAATATCGGACCTGAAATTGAAACCAAGGTGCGAGTGCCAGGAGATCGAGGAGTTTGTCTAGTTTGCGGAAAATACTTTGCTACTATCCTATCATCTTCATGACCATGTACAGTAATATTGTATGCGAATGGACTACGCCAGGCTTACGAATTAGAAACTGGCCGGATGACGCGCTCACTGAAATCGGAACCGGGCATGCGGACGCAGCGCCAACTCCCAACAAGTATTTCACATTGAAGTCTGGAGGTGTATCGGTGACCGGTCCTATACTGTACATAGTTCCATGTGACAACGAAATGCAGGAAGGCCCTCAAATTTGTAAGCAACTGCGCCTCGGGCTACGAGTAGAAGAGAGTAGAAATTGGCTTAACTACATAGAAGCCTGTTGAGCTCCTTATATACTGTAAACTAAAAGACTAGAAACTACCAGACTATTCTCGAGACATTGTCCTTACTAATCCTAACCCTACGGACCTTTCCCGGACCTTTCCGTAGATGCCGGATTGCTAATCCGCACACCTCCAACACACCCCCTCAATTCGGCATCTCCAAAATTCATCGGCTATCCATACTTGGAAATCCTGTACCTCGCTATATGCTGTGGGAGCCCTATGCTCGTGACAAGAGAGCCTCCTGCTACCATCCCGCCAGATCCTTCGACCACAACAGCAGAGCCAATGCTTCATTCCCAAGGTACCTCCCTTGATTCTCACGGTAACCCTAACCCTTCAAAATGCAACGTCTCGCAAATCAAAGGCAACCGACGCCTTCTCGGCCTTTGCCGAATTCTTTTCGTTGTACCTA